CCGTGGACAAGGTCACGAGCGCTACTTCCTGCTTGTTGTTGACGACTACTCGCGTTACACCGCAGTCTTCCCCTTGCGCGGCAAGGGTGATGTCACTGAGGTGCTGATCGACTGGATCCGCGCAGCTCGTCTCCAGCTCAGGCAGAGCTTTGGCTCGGACTTTCCTGTTCTGCGTCTGCACTCGGACAGAGGCGAAGAGTTTTCCTCTGGCCTTCTGAGAGCCTACTGTCGCGCACGGGGCATCCGTCAGACCTTCACGCTTCCGGACTCTCCGCAACAAAATGGGATCGCTGAGCGCCGCATTGGCATGGTCATGGACGTCGCTCGTACGTCCATGATGCATGCGACTGCCCCCCATTTTCTGTGGCCGTTTGCGGTGAGGTACGCGGCGCATCAGATCAACCTCCACCTTAGGGTCTCCAAGCCGGAGACCTCCCCAGCCTTGTTGTGGACGGGGAAGGTTGGCGATGCATCGGCGTTCCGGGTCTAGGGATCTCGGGCGTTTGTCCGCGACTTGTCTGCGGACAAGCTGTCCCCTCGTGCTGCTCCTTGCGTCTTCCTGGGGTTCCCCCCTGACGCGCCTGGGTGGCAGTTCTACCACCCCACCTCTCGCCGTGTTCTGTCCTCTCAGGACGTCACGTTTGACGAGTCGGTCCCCTACTACCGCCTCTTCCCCTACCGCACTCCGTCCCTACCTCCGCACCCGCTCTTCCTTGTTCTAGGTCCCCCCCCGGTAGACCCCCTCCCCCCTCAGGGTCCTGCCCCTTCAGGTGTGTCCCAGGTAGACGCAGTCAAGCCTGTCGAGGTCACAGGTGACTCTGGTGCTGCTTAGGGTGCTGAGCCTGGGGGTGCTGTGACTGGGGGTGCTGAGCCTGGGGGTGTTGCGACTGGGGTTGCTGAGCCTGGGGGTGCTGAGTGGTGGGGTGCTGCGACTGGGCGTGCTGAGCCTGGGGGTGCTGAGCCTGGAGGTGCTGAGCCTGGGGGTGCTGAGCCTGGGGGTGCTGCGACTGAGGGTGCTGAGCCCGGAGGTGCTACGCCTGGAGGTCCTCCGGGGGCTTCGTCTCGCCGGGAGCCACTCTCTCCACCGGAGTTGCGCGAGTGGTTTGCCCGGCGCTGGAGCCGTGCTGCTGGAGCTGGAGGTTCTTCGGCTGCTGAGGGTGCTGGTGCCGCGGGTCCCGGAGGTGCTCGTACTGGGAGTACTGGAGCTGCTGGGTCTGCGGGTTCGACTGGAGCTGGTGCTGCTGCAGGCGTTGGTGCTGCGCCTACTGCTCGTGGTACTGGTGGAGGTTCTGGAGCGGCTAGAGGTGCTGCTGGAGCGGGTGCTCCTTCTAGGGGTACTGGTGCTGTCCCTGCTGTGTCTGGCGTCGCCGCGCGGCCTCGACCGTACTTCGTTCCACTCCTGCAGCAGGTTCTTGGTCTTCCACCTTCTACAGGTCCTCCTCCTTCTTTAGAGTGTCCGCAGCCTGTCCAGTCACAGCTACAGTTACAGCCTGCCTCCCCACTACCTGCTCCCTCTCCCTACACTGGTCCTACTGGAGGTCTTGCTGAGCGTCGTGAGCCTGCGTCTCGTCCTGCGTCCCCTGTTCGTGCTGCTCGCACTAGTGGTCGCGGTTCGCGTCAGCGTCCTCCTCCTGTCCGTGGCACGCACCAGATGTCTCTGCGTCCGTCCACTGCTCCCCTGCGTGCCCCTTTCCCTTCTCCTCCTGCGTCCTCTCTTCCTACTCTTGCCGACCCGGAGTCGGACTCTCTTCGTGCTGCCAGTCCCACTGCCACGCGTCTCCTTGCTACTGTCGTCACTGACCCTTCCTTTGATTCCACTGCTGCGTTTGCCCTAGTTGCTCAGCTTGTCGACTTTGCTACTCGCTGTCGCCTAGACTACGCTGCTAGTCTTGTCGCCGAGTCTGAGTCTGTCTGTCCTCCATTCGTCGGGGGTGAGTGTGCCCTTGGCACGGACGTCCTTGAGGACAGGCAGGAGAAGTTCCAGTGTCTGGCAGCTGCTTCACCTCATCTCGTGTCCGTACTGCTTACCCATGAGGGAGACCCGGAAGCACTTGACATCCCGACTCCGCGTTCTTACGCGGAGGCGATAGAGGGTCCCTACTCTTCTCAGTGGCAGGCAGCTATGGATGCAGAGATGGCTTCCTGGAAGTCCACAGGCACCTACGTTGACGCTGTTCCCCCTCCTGGGGCGAACATCGTCAGTGGCATGTAGATTTTTAGGGTGAAGCGGCCGCCGGGTCCTCCGCCTGTCTTCAAGGCACGGTACGTGGGTCGTGGCTTCAGTCAGCAGCAGGGAGTTGACTACTTTCAGACCTTCTCTCCCACCCCGAAGATGACCACTCTTCGGGTGCTACTACACGTTGCTGCTCACCGTGACTACGAGCTGCACTCCCTCGACTTCAGCACAGCTTTCTTGCAGGGCAGCCTGCACGAGGAGATCTGGCTGCGCTTCCCACCTGGCTTCATTGGGTCGTTCCCTCCTGGTACCCAGTGGAGTCTCCGGCGTCCAGTTTACGGTCTCCGCCAGGCGCCCCGTGAGTGGCACGACACACTGAGGACTACACTTGCGGCTCTTGGGTTTGCTCCTTCTACTGCCGACCCGTCGCTGTTTCTGCGCACCGACACTTCTCTGCCGCCTTTCTACATCCTTGTGTACGTCGACGACTTGGTCTTTGCCACTGCTGACACTGCTGGACTCGCCTACGTGAAGTCCGAGCTGCAGAAGAGACACACGTGCACTGACCTGGGTGAACTGCGCAGCTACCTTGGCTTGCAGATTACCCGGGACAGAGCACAGCGCACCATTACCCTGACTCAGTCACACATGGTGCAGCAGGTCCTTCAGCGCTTCGGCTTCACGTACTCCTCGCCTCAGGCCACTCCTCTGCCTACTCGCCACTCTCTCTCAGCTCTGCCTTCGGATGAGTCCGTAGAGTCGAGTGGCCCGTATCCAGAGCTTGTTGGCTGCCTCATGTACCTGATGACCTGCACTCGACCTGACCTTGCATACCCTCTTAGCATTCTCGCACGCTATGTTGCTCCTGGGAGACACCGACCAGAGCACATGGCTGCAGCGAAGAGGGTGTTGCGCTACCTGTGCAGTACGTCGGGCATGGGGCTAGTGCTTGGAGGGCGCAGTCCAGTTGTCCTCACTGGGCACGCAGACGCTTCTTGGGCTGACGACCAGGCTACACAGCGGTCGTCACAAGGTTACACCTTCAGTCTTGGTTCCGGCTCTGTCTCGTGGCGGGCTACTCGCTCGTCTTCTGTTCTCGGCTCCAGTTGTGAGGCTGAGATCTACGCCGGGGCCATGGCTGCACAGGAATTTTGCTGGCTCACCTACGTGCTGACCGACCTTGGAGAGCCGCCTCATTCTCCTCCTGTTCTGTACGTAGACAACAAGGCCATGCTGGCCTTGTATAGAGAGCAGCGACCGGAGCACAGAACGAAGCACATTGCTCTCCGCTACTTTCTTGCTCGTGAGCTACAGCAGCGTGGTGAGTTACGACTTGCGTACGTGGCCTCTGAGGCCAACACTGCTGATGTTTTCACCAAGGCACTTGCGTCTTGTGATCATCAGCGCTTCTGCACTCAGCTGGGTCTTGTCTCTGTCTTGCCTCACTTGCTCACCTCTTGACCTTGCTTGTACTATTACATATATATATACCTGCTCTTGCTTGTCTAGCCTTTATATATATATGTGTACTCCTGCATGTGAACTGGCCTTGTGGCCTTGAACTTGTGCTCACAATGTGTGGTGGCTTTGTGATCCACCCTGAGCTTTGCTTTGCTTTGCTTGACTGGTCTTGTGACCCCCTGTTCTCCCCCACTTTGCCTATGGGGGTGTGTTAGAACATTATAGCTTATGCAGTTGTGTAGGCTATAGTGGGGTATCCCATAGGGGGTACAACCCAATTAGGGTTTCCTATATGTACTCACTTCATTCATAGTTCATTCATTCTCGTTTGCATTTCCTCAGTAAAAACCCTCAAGCTGCGCACAGCATCAGCGGAACTCAGAGCTAAGTACGTAATTGCTCGCGCGTTTCCAAAAAAGCAGCAACACCGAACTATAGCTACTTCGAAACGCATAGCAAAATCGCAACTACTGTCGAAGCTCTGTACCTGTGCCGCCCATCTGAAATTACAGATCTCTCCCGGGGGTTGAGGGGGTTGCAATGCGAGTTATCCCACCGCGCACATACACGCTAGGACCCAGAAGTAGTGACGGGAGGGGGCAGTGCAAGGTAGCAGTAACCTGCTTCTAGAGAGTCGCGCCGAGAAGTTGTTTGGCTGTTTACGAATGAGGACTTGCTTCAGAGCGTGGTCACTGAAATACGCCTATGCCTGGGGATTGAAGTCGTCTCACAAAGGCTGTGAGGAGAAGCCGCCCGATTGGTCAGCTAAAAACAACCACCGTTAAACCGAAGCCATCACTGTACCTGGTGGCGATATATACATACCACACTAGTGAGCAAGGACCTGGGACCCTGTATGTTGGTTGGCATATAAAACTGGCAAGCCTATCATATTTTGTGCAATCCAAACGATTGGTTTGGAAGCTAGGGAATGTGGTGCGCAGGCTCAAATACCCTGTAAGAAATGTACGATCGACTACATTAATCGACTACAGAGGACACACAAACAAACCCACCGGAAGCATCGAAAGGTAAATACGATAGAATAAGAGCGTGTTCCTATCCTCGTATCAAGATAACCTCGTATCAAGCTCACACTGAGAATTCCCCTAAACCCAAAACCTCTCGCTAGTTTTACCAGGCAAAATCAACATTCTTGATACGAGGTTTCCTGATATGAGGCCGTAGGAACACGCCCTAAAGAGCCAAAATAAGGAGAGAGTCAATGGGGTAGCGAAGCATAGAGAGGTCACGGACTGCTGCGCATGTCACCATGAGATGTCTAACAGCGTCTTTCTGCGATTGCATCATTGCCAATGACCGAAGCCAAGAAAACCCAAGGCCGGTGGCAGGATACACATGTTCATACAAACAGAAAGCCGTCCCCCCATGCGGCCTGGACAGGTCCAGCCTGTGTGACCGGGGCAGGCCCTGCCTGTGCAGCCGGTGCAGGCCCAGGACGTGCGGTCGGGACGGGCTCAGCCTGCGCGCCCGTGACAGGCGCAACCTGGGCGGCAGGGACAGGCACAAATGGTGCGGCCGGGACAGGCACGGGCTGCGCGAGTGGGGCCAGCATAGTCTGGAAGGCCGGGATAGGCACAGGCTGCATGGCTGGGGCCAGCACAGGCTGCACGGCTGGGGCCAGCACAGGCTGCACGGCTGGGGCCAGCACAGGCTGCACGGCTGGGGCCAGCACAGGCTGCACGACTGGGGCCAGCACTGGCTGCCCGACTGGGGCCAGCACAGGCTGCCCGACTGGGGCCAGCACAGGCTGCCCGACTGGGGCCAGCACAGGCTGCCCGACTGGGGCCAGCACAGGCTGCGGGGCCGGGACAGGTGCAGGCTGCGCAAAGCGGTTGATGCCCTCTGTGTCTTCAATGTCGTCGATGGAGATGTAAATTATTCCGGTCGTAGAGAAGGCCCACGCCCTTTCACTGGGCTTGTACCAGGGGCCGCTCCCGTTGACAGAGGGGGCCATAATGGCAGCCTTGCACCATGCCGTCACTTTCTGTAGAGACTCGCGAACCTTCCTGCCGTTGATGCCAAGACCGTGCGACACATCGGCACCGTTGTTGATAATACGATGCTCGACCTGCAGGATGATAGGGCATGCAGGACAGGAATGGATAAACAGGCGGGATGTAGAGAGAGGGGGACGTGATAGGGGGAAGGGAGGTTATGGCAGGATGGACGTGTCAGAATAGATTTTGAAAACGCCCGATAATGGACCTGCCCCACACCCTCTTGGATATGCGGTGGGACTGAATCACCGTCATGACTGTAATGTTGTCAAGGAAGCAATAATTTGGGCAAGGAGGCTGACATAGGAGGGCTTGGGGTGAGGAATCAGAGGAGAGGGGGGAGAGGGGGAATAGGATTGCATGGGGGTGTGAGAAGGAATTGTGAAAACACCAGGGTGTGCCCTGGCCCCACTCCCTCCCAGATAATCCGTGGACCGAATCACCCACAGGGCTTGGGTTGAATAAACAGAGCGGAGAGGGGAGAGGGGGAATGGGATTGCATGGGGGTGTGAGAAGGAATTGTGAAAACACCAGGGAGTGCCCTGGCCCCACTCCCTCCCAGATAAGCCCTGGACTGAATCACCCACAGGGCTTGGGTTGAAGAAACAGAGGGGAGAGGGGAGAGGGGGAATGGGATTGCATGGGGGCGTGAGAAGGGATTGTGAAAACACCAGGGTGTGCCCTGGCCCCGCTCCCTCCCAGGTAAGCTCTGGACTGAAACACCCACAGGGCGGAAATATGGGCAAGGAGGCTGACATAGGAGGGTTTGGGGACAAGAAACAGAGGGGAGAGGGGGAAGGGGGAATAGGATTGTATGGGGGTGTGAGAAGGGATTGTGAAAACACCAGGGTGTGCCCTGGCCCCACTCCCTCCCAGGTAAGTCCTGGACCGAAACACCCACAGGGCGGAAATATGGGCAAGGAGGCTGACATAGGAGGGTTTGGGGTCAAGAAACAGAGAGGAGAGGGGGGAGGGGGGATAGGATTGCATGGGGGTGTGAGAAGGGATTGTGAAAACACCAGGGTGCGCCCTGGCCCCACTCCCTCCCAGGTAAGTCCTGGACTGAATCACCCACAGGGCGGAAATATGGGCAAGGAGGCTGACATAGGAGGGTTTGGGGTCAAGAAACAGAGGGGAGAGGGGGGAGGGGGGATATGTTTGCATGGGGGTGTGAGAAGGGATTGTGAAAACACCAGGGTGTGCCCTGGCCCCACTCCCTCCCAGATAAGCCCTGGACTGAATCACCCACAGGGCTTGGGTTGAAGAAACAGAGCGGAGAGGGAATGAGATTGCATGGGGGCGTGAGAAGGGATTGTCAAAACACCTGGGTGTGCCCAGGCCCCACTCCCTCCCAGGTAAGCTCTGGACTTAAACACCCACAGGGCGGAAATATGGGCATGGAGGCTGACATAGGAGGGTTTGGGGACAAGAAACAGAGGGGATACGGGGAAGGGGGAATAGGATTGCATGGGGGTGTGTGAAGGGATTGTGAAAACACCAGTGTGTGCCCTGACCCCACTCCCTCCCAGATAAGTCCTGGACTGAAACACCCACAGGGCGGAAATATGGGCAAGGAAGCTGACATAGGAGGGTTTGGGGACAAGAAACTAAGGGGAGAGGGGGGAGGGGGGATAGGATTGCATGGGGGTGTGAGAAGGGATTGTGAAAACACCAGGGTGTTCCCTGGCCCCACTCCCTCCCAGATAAGCCCTGGACTGAATCACCCACAGGGCTTGGGTTGAAGAAACAGAGCGGAGAGGGGAGGGGGGGAATGGGATTGCATGGGGGCGTGAGAGATTGTGAAAACACCAGGGTGTGCCCAGGCCCCACTCCCTCCCAGGTAAGCTCTGGACTAAAACACCCACAGGGCGGAAATAAGGGCAAGGAGGCTGACATAGGAGGGTTTGGGGACAAGAAACAGAGGGGATAGGGGGAAGGGGGAATAGGATTGCATGGGGGTGTGTGAAGGGATTGTGAAAACACCAGGGTGTGCCCTAACCCCACTCCCTCCCAGGTAAGTCCTGGACTGAAGAACCCTCTGCTTCAACAGTACATGGATGTCACCGCAGGGAGTCTCGATGCATACCGCAGCGTCATGCAGCGGCATGGATACAACAGCGCCGAGACTCAGGTATGCGGGACAGTGGTGCGAATAGGTGGGGTTGTGGATGTCACATGGTGCGAATAGGTGGGGTTGTGGATGTCGCATGGTGCGAATAGGTGGGGTTGTGGATGTCGCATGGTGCGAATATCTGGGTGGCGAGAGAGTAGTGCTCACAGATCGCGGTGCGGACTGATACCAAGGTGGACACTGAGTAAGAGAAATGCGTGCACCCAGAGGGAGATGGGGACAGAGGGAGATGGGGACAGAGGGAGATGGGGACAGAGGGAGATGGGGACAGAGGGAGATGGGGACAGAGTGAGATGGGGACAGAGGGAGATGGGGAAAGGGAGAGGTGGGGACAGAGGGAGATGGGGAAAGGGAGAGGTGGGGACAGAGTGGGGTGTGAGGACAGAGTGGGGTGAATACAGAGTGGGGTGTGGTGACAGGGTGGGGTGTGGTGAGAGAGTGGGGTGTGATGAGAGAGTGGGGTGTGATGAGAGAGTGGGGTGTGATGAGAGAGTGGGGTGTGATGAGAGAGCGGGGCGTGATGACATAGTGGGGTGGGTTTCTGAGTGGGGTGTGAGGACAGAGTGGGGTGTGAGGACATAGTGGGGTGTGATGGCAGAGTATAGTGGGTTTCAGAATGGGGTGTGAGGACATAGTGGGGTGTGATGGCAGAGTATAGTGGGTTTCAGAGTGGGTTGTGAGGACATAGTGGGGTGTGATGGCAGAGTATAGTGGGTTTCCGAGTGGGGTGTGAGGACAGAGTGGGGTGAGGACATAGTGGGGTGAGGACAGAGTGGGGTGAGGATAGATTGGGATGGGAGGACATAGTGGGGTGTGAGGACAGAGTTGGATCCATGACAGAGTGGGGTTTGAGGACAAAGTGGGGTGACGACCTTGAGGGATGTGGAGAGAGAGGTGCAGAGCGAGATTGATGTGGTCAGAGCATACACAACACATGCACAGCACTGTTTTCCCTCACCAGAACTCCCTCTTGTAAGCCCGTCCGTTCCTGGAAAACATGTCATGATTGCCCACAATTGTGTGTGTCTTCGCAGGTTCATCGGGCGGTCGTGCTTCCGGCATGGGATGTGCGCACGGGCGAGCCCTCGGCTACATATGCACGCGCGGTACCATCGCACCATGGATCACCCACGTTCTCATGTGTGGAGCATGGTGCTGTGGACACCGAGAAACGGTATGGCAAGTTGGTCCTTATCATGCGTGCGAGGAGGTCCGCAGATGGGCAGGGAGGCCCGCTTCATGCGGTGGCGTACATCAAGCCCTGGAAGGAGTGTGGCATTGACCAGTTGACGGGATGCGTGAAGTTAGAGGAGGTTAAGGGTGCCAATGCATGTGTGGTCGTGCCTGTTGCACACCTTCGTCGGGTTGTGCACGTCGTCCAGTCCTTTGATCGGGAAGGTGTGTGGTTACTGAACAAGTGGGCTGCTGGCCTGCGTCGGGGGGTGTTTGATGATCACACTCCAAACCCTGTGCGACATTTTTGTGTGTGGTGGTTCAAGGGGACACTGTTGGCGAATGGTGTTGAGGGTTTAGGAGCATGCAAGATCGTTCACGGCTCTTTCAAAATCCCTCTAGGACGTCTAGGATAAAGTATACAATGGTGCCAATGCATGTGTGGTCGTGCCTGTTGCACACCTTCGTCGGGTTGTGCACGTCGTCCAGTCCTTTGATCGGGAAGGTGTGTGGTTACTGAACAAGTGGGCTGCTGGCCTGCGTCGGGGGGTGTTTGATGATCACACTCCAAACCCTGTGCGACATTTTTGTGTGTGGTGGTTCAAGGGGACACTGTTGGCGAATGGTGTTGAGGGTTTAGGAGCATGCAAGATCGTTCACGGCTCTTTCAAAATCCCTCTAGGACGTCTAGGATAAAGTATACAATGGTGCCAATGCATGTGTGGTCGTGCCTGTTGCACACCTTCGTCGGGTTGTGCACGTCGTCCAGTCCTTTGATCGGGAAGGTGTGTGGTTACTGAACAAGTGGGCTGCTGGCCTGCGTCGGGGGGTGTTTGATGATCACACTCCAAACCCTGTGCGACATTTTTGTGTGTGGTGGTTCAAGGGGACACTGTTGGCGAATGGTGTTGAGGATTTAGGAGCATGCAAGATCGTTCACGGCTCTTTCAAAATCCCTCTAGGACGTCTAGGATAAAGTATACAACAGTACTTTGCGTAGATGGGTATAATACTTACCTCTGATGTGGGGACAAATTTATACGTGGGTGTGCTCCTGGCCTTAATCAATCCTCCTTTTGTAGGCAGGTATGTGGCAAATTTTACATGGAGCGGCACACCAAACCAGCATAAGGAATTTGGGCATAGCCTGGACAATGGCAGACCCAGTAGGTGGAAACGCAAATGTGTGCTGGTTCTATACTCTCTATGTTTAAACAGTGGTGTTAAATATGATATGTAGTGATATTTTACATCTTGGAAATAGAAATATGTAGTAACCGATTTGCTTCTAGTTCGCAATCGGATATAACAATAATGGACTCCCTGTTTGAACCCAGCCTCGACTCCCAACCATATCGGAATCCGAAGCTGGCGACGAAGCAATTTCCGAAGCTGGGGGGTATCCCGTGGGTTACAACGAACTGAGAGACGCCCTGATTGGTCCGCTTCATTCTCACGAATTGCAACTAGCGAGAATTACCACTTCGTACACGTCTCTCGAGCGCAGAGGAAACCTGAGGGCGTCTTTAGGGAAACCTGCGGGTTACCCCCCGAGGGTATCCTGGGGGTATCACACACTTTCCAGCCGATTTCAGACTCGTGATTTTTAGGATGTGGGAGGGGAGTGGGAGGAAAGTGGAAGGGGTGTGCTTGCGGCATGGGAGGTGTGTGGGGAGAACGCACCACTGGAAAAATGAGGTGTGCGTTGGGGCAGAGGGCAAAGACGAAGGCGCAGATGGAGACAATGACTGGGCTGGCAAATGGATGGTTAGACTGTTGGGGCAACGGGGAAAGACGATGGGGGAGAGGGAAAACAGCTTTGCCTTTTCCATGGAGACCTGAGGATGGTGGCCCGGTGTGAGGATGGTGGCCCGGTGTGAGGAAGTCCAATAGTTGACATACCACACTCGTCCACCACGCCACACCGCAAACATTCATCCCTTCATGCTACTGCTTCCATTGCCCCTTCTTCCGCAGCATCCATGACAGCTACTCCAAGAATCCGACGCCGATTCAACTCATGGCAATGTGAAGCCGAGTCAATTCCTGGCAGTGTGAAGCCACCGCACCACACAGATATTCAGAGTTGGTGTGAGAGAGGTGAAAGGCAGAGAGGAAACAATATGGGGTAAAGACATGACGATTGGCATGATGATTCAACTCCTAGCAATGTGAAAGCCACCGCACGCATCACACAGAAATTCAGAAAGCAGAAGAAAAAGAGTGATTTGGGAGAAAGAGGAACGAAAAGAGCAGACTTGGTGTGAGAGAGGTGTAAGGCGGAAGCGAAACGACTTTAGGCAGAGAAGGCAATTATTGCTTGCATATGAATTGGGGACCTACATCACTCTAGCTGCTGTGAAATGCAACGTTGATGGTGTGGCACCACATGCTGCAACATTGATGATGTGGCACCACATGCTGCAACATCGATGATGTGGCACCACATGATGCAACCTGCAGGTGACTGGGAGGAGCAAAGTGCGACAAACAAGACAATGATGCAAATGTGCTAACCATGGGATGCCGTCAGGAAGAGACAGCATTTGCACCTCAGCTGCATCGCCACTACTGCAGCAATTGCCCACCCCCAATGCATGAGCAACAACACCATGCGCTACAAATGGGATGCACCCCCAACTCGTTTCAAAAGCAACACCATGCGCCTCTGTCAACCACCTGTCTGTCTCCATCCCAGCCAATCGCTCAACCACAGTGCAGCCACAATGTTGAGCTGAGGCACGTGTTGAGCTGAGGCACGTGTTGAGCTGAGGCACGTGCTGAGCTGAGGCACGTGCTGAGCTGAGGCACGTGCCGAGCTGAGGCACGTGCTGAGCTGAGGCACGTGTCGAGCTGAGGCACGAGCCGAGCTGAGGCACGAGCCGAGCTGAGGCACGTGCCGAGCTGAGGCACGTGCCGAGCTGAGGCACGTGCTGAGTTGAGGCACGAGCCGAGCTGAGGCACGTGCCGAGCTGAGGCACGTGCTGAGCTGAGGCACGTGCCGAGCTGAGGCACGTGCTGAGCTGAGGCACGTGCTGAGCTGAGGCACGTGTTGAGCTGAGGCACGTGCCGAGCTGAAGCACGTGCCGAGCTGAGGCACGTGCCGAGCTGAGGCACGTGCCGAGCTGAGGCACGTGCTGAGCTGAGGCACGTGCTGAGCTGAGGCACGTGCTGAGCTGAGGCACGTGCTGAGCTGAGGCACGTGCCGAGCTGAGGCACGTGCCGAGCTGAGGCACGTGCCGAGCTGAGGCACGTGCTGATCTGAGGCACGTGCTGAGCTGAGGCACATGCCGAGCTCAGGCACGTGCCGAGCTGAGGCACGTGCCGAGCTGAGGCACGTGTCGAGCTGAGGCACGTGCTGAGCTGAGGCATGTATTGAGCTGAGGCACGTGTTGAGCTGAGGCACGTGCTGAGCTGAGGCACGTGCTGAGTTGAGGCACGTGCCGAGCTGAGGCACGTGCTGAGCTGAGGCACGTGCCGAGCTGAGGCACGTGCTGAGCTGAGGCACATCCTGAGCTGAGGCACGTGCTGAGCTGAGGCACGTGCTGAGCTGAGGCACGTGCCGAGCTGAGGCATGTGCCGAGCTGAGGCACGTGCTGAGCTGAGGCACGTGCCGAGCTGAGGCACGTGCTGAGCAGAGGCACGTGCTGAGCTGAGGCACGTGGTGAGCTGAGGCACGTGCTTAGCTGAGGCACGTGCTGAGCTGATGCACGTGCCGAGCTGAGGCACGTGCTGAGCTGAGGCTCGTGCTGAGCTGATGTGATCATCAGCGCTTCTGCACTCAACTAGGTCTTGTGCCTGTCTTACCTCACTTGCTCACCTCTTGACCTTGCTTGTACTGTCACATATATATATACCTGCTCTTGCTTGTCTAGCTTTATATATATGTGTACTCTTGCATGTGAACTGGCCTTGTGGCCCCTGACCTTGTGCTCGGACTGTGTGGTGACTTTGTGATCCACCCTGAGCTTGCTTTGCTTTGCTTTGCTTGACTGTTCTTGTGACCCCTTATTCTCCCCCACTTTGCCTATGGGGGTGTGTCAGAACATATAGCTTGTGCTTATTGTGTAGGCTATAGTGGGGTAGCCTATAAGGGGTACAACCCAATTAGGGTTAGTACTTGTACTCAGTTCATTCATAGTTCATTCATTCTCGTTCACATTTTCTCATCTACGTGCAGGAACTCCTGCAAGAAGCAAAAATTCCAGCTTCGCCCACATTTCGCCTTCACTGCGACAACCAGAGCGCGATCCGCATCGCGAACAAGGCCGGTTTCATTAACCGCACCAAGCACATTGCGCTGCGGTACTTCTTCGTGAAGGACGAAGTGGACAAAGGCAAGGTCAACTTGACCTACTGCCCAACAGGTGACATGGCAGCAGACTTCCTCACGAAGGGACTGCCACGCTAGCAGTATCAGCACTGCTCCGAACTCAGCGGTGTGGTCAAGCAGGTCAATTCGCGCCACGGCCAGGAGTGAAGGGGGGTGTTACGAATAGTAATATTTGATATTACTAAGCACTCCTCGCCGCAGCAAAAGGAACACGCAATACCGGGAATGAACGCGAAGCGTCAGACGCTTGGAACTGAATCGAAGCGTCGAACGGTTACAGGACATCTGGACCGTCAGAGGAGACAGCACCGGGCAGCTGCAGGCAGGATGGTTTTGGCGGGAATAGTTACGAAACTGTACGAGCCGCACAGTTAAGAATACATCTGAATAAGGGAATGTACCCCTTAGAGTACATGGCTAGCTAGGTCGTTTCGTCTTCCCTGTACTCATATTTATATTTCCTGTACCTGCATGTTTTAATCATCTCAAGCATTTTACATTCACTCTGCCATTTGAGATCAAGGGCCCACCAACACTACCTCTCTTCAAGCGAACCTTCCTGAGCAGATCCTGGGCTACGATCAACTTCTGATCGCAGCAAGACCATCAGACCAAAATGGTCTGATAACGAGAGCCCTGCCCCTGGGGTCTACTGAGTCAGCGAAATGTGTTTGAGATTGGCGAGAAGTTGGGCGAAACCAAAGCCCTCAACCCACCCAACACCTCGACTAGCCAACCCTGCTCCCTCACCTCCCAACATGCAACTTTTGTAAAGTTGTACAATTTGGGCCGCGAGCTTTAACTTGATGTTAATGCAGGAGGACCTTTCGTGAAAGCTGTTGTAGCTCCCTTTGTGATGACCAAATTTAGGCCTTCACGACAGATGAAATTCATGCTGCACATGTAGAGAATAACAATATGGTTCCAACCGTGTGATCAAAATTATTCTGAGTTGGTAGGTAGGGACTAGTTTATAATAGGCTCATTAACCATAACTATTCAATTTTACACGGTTTCACAAGAGTGTTTGGATGCATACACGATACGAGACCTCTTGTATCGCAAACAAGATCCCTAGAAGCCACATCATATGGTAAGCTCGTAGAATTCGCGCCGCCGCTCGCGTGGAGTCACAGCAGCACACGCTGCTACACTGACAGGCTCGAGGGCCAACTCATCGATTCGAGCCTTACTCCAATGGCGCTCACGACGATGTCTGCGATGTCAACGACGCGCAACGCCACGGATACCCAGCCATGGCTGCTGGATGGATGCACAATCGTAACGGGGCCATGCGTAGGCAGGGCACGTCGCTGGGATCCCACGTATGATGCTAGGCTGGCTACAGCGTTACGGCGGGACCACGGGGGGGTCTTGCCGGGCAGCAGCCAGCTACACGCCACCTCATGACAGTCTTTGGGCGGCACGTTCGTTCGTCGGTCCTTCGTGACGAATTCAATTCTGGTAGCCGCGATAACAATGGGATCGAAAACCCTGGATCGAAACGCCCGGATCATCTATCTCCTCTGCGTCACCTTCGATTTTATCGTCCAATCAGGGTCGTAATCGATCGGCTCGGGCGCAGCTGGAGCGCGAATCGAATCCTTCACTCGATCAGCCGCGAGCCTGCCCCACCAACCTTCCCCACACTCCCCATCCCCTCTGCCCGCGATGATCCACCCACCGGCGATCCCTTCCCTTCTCGCGACCTACTCCATAGCCCCTAGTCAAGATCCAAATCATCTCGCGAATCCTACTCGCGCCTGTTCGACGACATCACACGATCTGCCAGGAGGCAGCGACAGCGTCGGCATGAGCTGGCGGATCCGACACAATTCGTACCACTGGCAGGGTCGCCAGGATTCTTTTGAGGGGATCGCAGGTGCCGTGTTCTGCACTTCGTTCGAGGCTCTGCACCCTGTGCAGTAGTAATTGCAAGCCGAACGCCTGCCTCATTCTTCACTCCACCTCGTCGCTTCAAACTTTCGCTCCGTCTTCTTCCTACGAGCCATCGTCTCCTCTTCCCTACCTCCGAGGTACTCGTTTTCTCCGCTCGTCACTCGTCGTCTCCACTTCACATCTTCGCCTCTCCTCTCCTCGCCTCGCCGCGTCGAGAGGCTCTCGCAATCCTTGGCCTGCCAGGCGATCATGAGCAGCGACGAGCCGCCAGTCAGCCTCGCGGATCGCGCCCACTTCAGCCGTCAGGTAACCATCCGCTTCGTCTTCCGAACCCCCTAGCGCCGTCGCTGCACGTGCTCTCCGTGCTTCGCCCTTCTCCGTGCTCTGCTGCAAACACGGCTCTCGACTATCCAAGCTGATTTCGGAAACTTAAACCGGAAATTCGTGTTGAATTCTACTTGACTCTTCCTCGCCTGTTTGTCCCCTTCCCCTCCCCACTCTTGCCTTGTCTCTACAGGCGCGTCACCTCGCTGCTTTCAGCATCCAGCTGCACCTCCTGCAAGGCCCGCCAATCACGCGCCGCCAGTTGGACGCCGCGTCCTGGTTGCTTACGCGCAGGGAGCTGTGTGACGTCATGAACGAGCGCGCTGCTGCAGGCTTGTGTGGTAACCCGCAGTGTACACGCACTGTAGATGGAACTCTACGGATAATTTACGAAGCAACAGCGGGCTCGAGCAGGTTTTGCAGTGGGGTGTGAGGAGCGAGGTAGGGCGGCGAATTTTTGCTTCCCCTTGGAGCAACGCGGGAGAGGGGTCGAATGGGGAGGGGCTTGGAGCAGGGATGATTTAACTGCCATCGTTACGGCTGTCACCACGCCTGACGGCGACGGCGCTTGCACTGACAGGGGCGCTGCTGCTTCTATCAGTGGGTCTGGTCCGGCTGAATCAGGGTCGGCCACATCAGGTTCGGTTGTATTAGGCTCGGCTGGGCCCCAGTGTGTGAGTGAAGGCAGCCCCAGCAGCGCACGAGGGGAGGCTGCTGCTCTGCTGTCAGCGCGACTGCAATCCGCTGCCGCCCGCCTGTGGACTGCCGGCATGGCTGGGGCGAGTGGCGTGGCAGGGGCGGGTGGCGCGGGAGGGAAGGGAGGAGGAGGGACAACGAGTGCTGGCGGCTTCCTGGGTTTGGTGCTCATGGGCGGGGCTGGGGGAGAGGAAGGGATGGAAGGGATGGAAGGGATGGTAGGAATGCAGGGAACGGAGGGGATGGAGGGGATGGAGGGGATGGAAGGGGGTGAAGATGGGGATGAAGATGGGGATGAAGAGTGGCAGAGCGGGAACGCAGAGAGCCTCAGGGGAGTGCGGGGCAAGAGGGAAGGCGGAAGGGGGCAGTGGACTGCAAGCACGAGTGCTGCCCCTCTTGAAGGGACGCTGCCTGCACCTGCATGCACTCATCCCCAGGAAATTGAGCCATGGCGACTCTCTCCTGCAAGTAATGGCTTCAACTGGGCCTGCAGGGAGGCGGCGGGAGCGCCTCAGGGCATTGCGTCAGCAGGCAGCAGCAGCGGTGGCAGCAACGGCTGTGGTGGCAGCAGTGGTGCCCCCGCCACGAGCGCCAGAGCTTGCGGTGCGCGCAGCTGTGGGTCGGGGCAGGAGCCACGTGAGGGCAGCAGCAGCAGAGGGACGCGAGAGGGCAGCAGCGCCTGTGGTGGCCCTCGTGACATGAGTACTGAGCTAGGAAGCGCCAGCGGACTGTGGTCCAACGACTGCAGCACCTGTGCCTCACAGCAAGGACTGGGGGAGGACAGCAAAGAGGCGAGCCGGTGGAGCGGCGGCGTGAGTGCTGCTTTTTGGGAGGCGCTGCTGTGTGAGAGGAGGGATGCGAGGGGGGATGCGAGCAGCAGGTGTGCTGGCAGTGACGTGGATGATCTGTGTCATTGCTCTGGTGCAGTTGGAGAGGCAGCGGGTCTGGAGAGGAGGAGAGAGGGCCAAGGGAAGGAAGAGGAGCAGGGGTGTGATGAGATGGCGGAGCAGGCAGAGGGGGAAGACGCAGGGAAGCAAGGCAGTGAGGACGAGGGGGGACGAGAGGAAGGGGCCAGTGTAGAGGCGGTGGGAGTGGAGGGTGTGGGAGGGGAGGCGGTGTGGCAGCGGCTGATGGCTCACCGGGTGCGCCAAGCAGCCTGCAAGTCCCACGTGCTCTCCAAGCCTCTCTCCTCGCGGACTATCCACCACCGTATGCCGCACCCACAACTCTCTCCGTCCGTGCATCCCCCCTCCCCCTCCTCCTCTCCCTGGTTCTACCCACCTTATCGTAGTGCTTCTTTGCCCCTCAACTCCACTTCCTCCTCCGCCTCCCCGTCCTCCTCCTCTTCTTCCTCTCCATGCCTCTACCCACCCTATCACAGTGCCTCATTGCCCCCCGCCTCCCCCTCCTCCTCTCCCTTTCACTCCTTTCGCTCCTCCTCCTCCGCCCCTGTTTGCATGCCTTCCCCACCAACCCTCTCACACTCATACAACCGAACACGTGTCCCCGCCACATCAAACCCCTGCTCCTCTGCACCCACTGCCAACATCTGTCTCTCAGCCGCCTCCCCTCCCTTTCCACACCTGCCCTGTAACCCCACTCACGAGTCCAGCACCCCAAGGGCCGCCCCTCCTAGCCCCCCCAGTTGGCGTGACCCTCTTCGCCCGGCCCTGCGCACCAGCCCACGCTACCAGCAAGGCAGGAGAGGGCAGCTTCCGGCTCTGCCTCGCAGTGTGTCGTGGGCGGATGCACAGGGGAGGGCTCTCACAGAGGAGCTTCAGTTCTCCAGGCACGATAGACCGTAGCAGACCAAGAGACATGCCAGCCAGGGGGGAGGGAAGAAGAACCTTGGTTTCGTTTCTGCTGCTCAAGCGGGGCTCCATGCACCTTGGCCGGCAGTGCCTCGAATCGAATGGCTCTTAACCCTGCCTGGCGGTCGCTTCATACAGCACTCGGCACGAGTGCCTTTTTACCCTCGGGTCAAGGTGGTTTCTCCATCGCTCGAGTGGTTTTACCTGTACAGTCTAACTCTCTACTTTGTCGAATCTCGGTGCCAGTCGCCTGTTTTTGTGCCGCGCAAGGGCATTCACTTGCCAGGCTACCGTGCACCACCACCACCATCGCTTGCTTGCACCGGAGTTGCTCCTCTTTGATAGACTTTTTTTCCTCCTGGTGTGGAGCAATGTGGTTTACCTTTGCCGCACAGGCAATTGCAAATGATGCGCCCTGTTTTTAGTGCTTGCTCACTTCACACGGGCAATGCACTATTATCAACGCCAAGCTAGTTAGCACTGCCACCACCATTGCACCAGAGTTGATCCACATCTTACTCCTTTTCCCCGCGGTGCTGCGGTGCAATGTTCTGTTTTGTGGCCTGTACTAATGTTATGCCGTATACCAGGCATTTGCAAGGGACTTGCAAGGGCATTCATCCACCTGTAATTTTTTTCCCTCCTGGTGATTGTCACTGTGACATAGTATTACCGGTAGTATATTTGCAATATACTGCTACCGTATGGCACGGCACTTAAAAGGAACTTGTCTTCTCCATATATTTGTGCCGTGGAAGGGTTTCGCTTGGCTCATTCAAGCTGCCTGGCTACACCTCACCTCACCACTCATTGCACCAGACTGGAGTTACAGCAACCTGCTGCCTGCGTTTGTAGGTCCTCCTCCCTAACACTGCATTGTGTGTTTGTGGGGGTTCATCTGACAGGGTCCAGACAGACCACGCCCCACTACTGATCACCAGTAATCCATGCAGCTGTGTGCACTTAGCCTAGTCTGTACACGTGTGCAGCACATGCTGTGATGATGCAGCGGCAAGGCATGCACAGTGCCATGTGGGGGCACGAGAGGTGCCACCTATGGCAACACATGCATATGCCACATTTCTCTGTCCGCCCACCCATGGCACAGCCAGCAGCACAGCCGAATAGTGTCTGCTGCTGCTGCTTCCACCGCTGCCGCCGCTGCCGCTGCTGCTGCTCAACATTTGTGCTGCTGCTGCTGCTACGAACCCCATCAGTGAACCACATCATCGATGCCTCACTGTGCCGCCACTGCTCCCCACCCACGGCATAGCGAGCAGCAGCCCAAAAAGAGCCTGCTGCTGCTGCTACCAACCAAATTAGCAGATCAGCAGATGAGCAGAAGAGCAGATGAGCGGATGAGCAGATCACATCACCAATGCCTCCCCTTGCCGCCACTGCCCCCCTCCCATGGCACAGCGAGCAGCAAAGCCAAACAGCAGTGCCACCCTCTCCGCCTCCTGCTGCCTCACCACTGCCTCCCCCGCTGCTGCTGCTGCTGCTGCCCACTGGGAGTGCAACAGGCCAGTAGCACCAACCCTGCTGCTGCTGCTGCCACCAGGGGGAGAAGCATCAGCCAAGGGGGAGGCGAGTGTGAGGGAATGCCATCTGTGGCTCTCCAAACAGCCGAGGGGATGGGCAGCAAGAGGGAAGGGCCAATGCGAAACGCGACTGTCAGTGAGGTGTAACTGCCAGTGTGGGTGATGTGGCTCACTCAACTCAAGCCCAGCGCCCTCCACTCTGCTCTCAGAAACAGTTTGATCGGAAGCCGCATAGACGTCACTGCGAAGGTCCCTAGCACCCCCTGCATTGTCCACACCACCCACCATCACTCCTGCCCCTGCCCCACCCATCGGTGCTGCTATCTCACTATCAGCCACACGCCCCTCAAGAGAGTGCTGCTCATGCGCCAGCAGGGTGGAGTGCAGGCGCTGAAGCTCCGCCCCTATGCGCGCACAGATGGCGTCCAGCAGGGCAGAGGGGGGCGGGGGACATGGTGCTGGGAAGGACGGCGGATGGGGGGTGTGCTGGTCGGTGGGGGTGGAGCTGCTGCTGGTGGTGCGAGCGATCGTGTGCTGCGCAGGCTGTGCATGCTGGCTTTGGTGCTGGTGGTGGTGGTGGTGATGGTGCTGGTGATGACGGTACGAGTGCAGCAGATCAGAGATGTCGATTGGATCGCCCACCATCACTGCCACCTGTGACATGGGGAAGAGAAGGGACGGAGGGGAGGGAAGGGAGGGGGCCGGGAGAGGAGAGAGGGGAGGGGGGGGAGAGAGGGTAGGGAGGGGAGAGAGGGGAGGGAGGGGAGAGAGGGGAGGGAGGGGAAAGGGGAGGAGGGAGGGGGAGAGAGAGGAGGGAGGGGGGGGGGGTGACAGGTACGGGAGGTGGAAACCGGGCAGGCAGGCAGGGAGGGCAGGGGGGGCAGTGAGGGCAGGAAGGCAGGTGCAAAAGGTACGAGAATTGGGAAGAGGGGATTCCCACAGCAGTGGTGGGTGTGGATGGTTAGAGCGGCCAGGATCACATCACAGATGGCTAAAGAATCTGAAAAGGCCCACAGTGCCACAGCCCAAAGAATGACGAGTCTGAGGGGAGATGCGAGGATGGGTGGTGATGAAGGGAGCGGTGACAGGTGGTAATGTGTATGGTGCATCGATGTGGATAGATGGGCATGGATGGGCATGGATTGGCATGGATGGGCATGGATGGGCATGGATGGGCATGGATAGGCACGGATGGGTATGGATGGGCATGGATGGGCATGGATAGGCATGGATAGGCATGGATAGTCATGGATAGGCATGGATGGGCATGGATAGGCATGGATAGGCATGAATAGGCATGGATGGGCATGGATAGGCATGAATAGGCATGGATGGGCATGGATGGGCATGGATAGGCACGGATGGGTATGGATGGGCATGGATGGGCATGGATAGGCATGGATAGGCATGGATAGTCATGGATAGGCATGGATGGGCATGGATAGGCATGGATAGGCATGAATAGGCATGGATGGGCATGGATAGGCATGAATAGGCATGGATGGGCATGGATGGGCATGGATAGGAAATCTGGGTTTACCCGTTGGCCTACGGCTGGCAGCGTTTGTCCTCTAGCTTGCACGCGGTGCATGCCGACATGCACCACCGGGATGATGAGGGGAGGCACAGTGCACTGCGCTGCCAGCCTGGCGGAACAACCATGGGCGGGGAGGGTCATGACTGGGGAGAGAGATCAGTTGGAGGAGGGTATGAGGAGGGGTCATGGGGTGGGGTGGGGTGGTGGGTGTGTGAAACCCAGCAGCATCACATCACATCGCACATGCACCATCCCACTCGTTCTAATTCCACCTAACCACCCTCATCCCACCCCACCATAACACCACCCTTCCGCCCCAATCCAACTCCCCCTTCCCTTTTCCCCCGCCCCCCCGTGTCCCCCTCCTCTCACCACGCCACGCCTCGGCGCATGGGGCCAACGGTGCGGCCGCCATCCAGCGAGCGAGTGCCCTCGGGGAAGATGTGCACCCACCCGCCGTTGCTCAGCTGCTGTGCCGCTGCTACCATGCCCTGCAGGAGGATAAAGGTGTGCGAAGAGAGGGAAAGAGGTCCGACAGCCCTAGTGAGCGACACATGGCTGGTCTGAGGCAACAATGCGCACCCACCCACCCGCCCGCCCGCCCGCGCTCAGCCGCTCGGCTGCTGCTACCATGCCCTGCAGGGGGTTGGGGTGGAGGCGGGAGGGAGTGCACCCACTCGTTTTCATCTAGGCGCTGTGCTGCTGCAGTGCAGCCGATGCAGGGCGCCTGAGCATGCGCTAGCACACTCAGGCGGAGTGGGGCGGGAGGTGAGGGAAAGAGAGTTCCGAGGGGGTTGGAGGGGGAGAGGGGAGGGAGGTGCATGGCGTGCAGAGGAGTGGAGAAGAAAGAACGCGGGAGGGAGGTCCACACAACAAGTCCCCCCAGTCCAATCCCAACTCCCACTCACTGGCTGCTGGATTCCCCCTCCCCGCTCCACTGGTAACGCCCGCAGTGAGGTGAAGAAGGCGGAGAGGAGAGGCGAGGAGAAGCAGCGGTCGGAGGCACAGAGGGTCCAGCGGAGAGAGGCGGGGCGGGCGAGCATGAGGGATGGCGGCACCACTGCTGCCATGACCAGCGGGTCGTCCATTGCTGCCACGTGATTGGCCACCTGGTGGGTGAGGGGAGAGATGGGAGGGTGTATGTATGGTGCACCGTGGAAAGGGGATCAGGGGCAATGGTGGATGGATGAACGAGGGGGGCAACACCGCTGCTACCACCATTGCTGCCACGTGGTTTGGTGGACACATGACGAGGCGAGGGGAGGCGTTGGGCCGTGGCTAGAGAGACATGCGGTAAGGCAAGGACGTGAAGCACGTGGTTGGTTTTGAGTCGACTCAAAAGCACATGCGGTAAGGCAAGGACGTGAAGCACGTGGTTGGTGGACACATGGCGGGGGAGACGTGGCGTTTGGATAAGGGGCATGGGAATAAGGGGTGCAAGGGGGGATGGATGAGCTGGCAGGTGAGGGAGAGAGAGAGTGCAGAGGAGTGTGTGTTACGGCTCCTGGAAAACAACAGGCGGGGAAAGCGGAGAGGTGAGGGAGAGCGTGTAAGGGACGGTTGATGCAGGGAGTGCAGGCGAGAAGAGGGAGGAAGAGAGGGGTGACGGGGTCGCACAGCATGATGGTCACAAGAAGCACGCACACGTGGGGGAGGAGGCAAGCACACAGGGGGGCAGCAGTGGTACCGTGAGGAGAGGCGTGCCGGGAGGTCGGTGGGCGATGGCGTTGGTGAGCTTGTGAGCGCCGATCACCTGGTGGGGGGGGGGAGGGGGGAGGGGTATGAGTATGAGGGGATGGGCGGAGGGGCGGAGGGGAGGAGGGGAGGAAGGGGGTGGAGGGTGGACACCCAAAAGGTGGGCGATGGCGTTTGTGAGCTTGTGCGCGTCAATCACCTGGAGGTGGGGGGGGGGGGGGGGGAGGAGTGTAGGCGAAGGGGGATGGGCGGACGGGGGTGGCGGATGCGTGTCGGGGAGTGCAGGGGGAAACATAGTCCAGCAATATAAAACCTTGAACCAGCATAAAGTCGATACGCAACCTAAATGTTGAATACAGAACGAATTCAAGCTGTCACACTAGTTGGTTAGCTATACTCGACCTAAAATATTTGTTATACTGTGGCATGGATGGTGGAGGGAGCAAGGCCAGCAGCAAAGCACAAGGCGGCAGGCACACATATCAGCCCGCCTTGGTGCGGTTGACTGCGGTTGAGCGCACCTCAGTGCGGTTGAGGCCGTGCATGAAGGCGTGTGATACAGCGCCCAGGGCAGGCAGCAGCACTGCCTGCGCCATGCGCACTGCCGCGCTCTGCTGCTCCTCGCCCGCCCCTAACCCCCCCACCACCACCGCTTGCCTCGCCCCATCTGCCCCGCTCCCCCCGCCCACCCCCTCCGCCTCGCCTCTCTCCCCAAGCTCGCCCGTCGCCTCTATCCTTGTTGCTGTCAACGCCTCTCCTGCTGCACGTTGCGCATCCGCCGTGTCAGTCAGAAGTCCCACCGGCCCCTCCGCAAATCGCGCCGTGAATCGCGCCTTGAATTGCGCGAGCACGCTGTTGCCTTTGAACACGCGCACCGCCGCCAGCGACGACGTCGCCGCAGCCGCCGCCGTCGCCATCGCCGCCTTGCGGCCGCCGCCCGCCGCGACGGACGCTTGAAGGGAGCCGTAGGGAGCAGATCCGTAACCGTTGTGGTAACCCGACGCGTACAACCCCTGTGCGCGACACTTGACGCGATTCTTCCATTCGCGAAGCCGTTCGCGAATGATTACACGGTTCGTGTGGATGTGGTGTTGATCCACGCCACGTGGCGTAGAATGATTGGCCCTTTCCATTACGCGGAAAGAAGAGGGGCGCAGCTAGTGGAAAATCGCTGGTCCCGTGGCTTAATCTCTGGTCGCGTGGCTTAATCTCTGGTCGCGTGGCTTAATCTCTGGTCGCGTGGCTTAATCTCTGGTCGCGTGATTTAATCGCAAATGGCGGCGAGGGTGGCGACTGAAGCTTGGAACGGCGGGCGGAGAGGAGTGGACGGCAGGCGGAGGGAAGTGAAAGAGGAACAGTCTAATTGGCGCTGAGAATTCGAGCCTGCTTCTGCAGACACAGCCTCACAAGCACTTCGACACCAAGCGCCAGCTACAGCTGTGATGGGTGAAAATTGGAACTTGTGGAAATGGAAGCATGAAGAGAGAGATCTGGGAATTCAATGAGGGGAAACTGCTTTCATATGGTTTGTTGATGGCTGAGGGCGCAGTCAGAAGTTTGCCCACCATCCGAAGTGAGAGTGGCAACTGTGACGAGGAAGAGCTTTTGTCGAGATCTATTGAAGGAGGTTGACATTACCACAAAACAGAAATATGTTTTGCGTTACTCTTCATAGAAGCACGAGTTGACTAAGAGCATTGCCGGACGAGGTCGCGCTCGTCTGTATCCTGAGCGGGGGCCAACCCTTGGGATTGTTGCACACCTGCGAGACCCTTCGCCTGCCACATAGATGACTCGTCCGTTCCAAGCTTAGAGTCTGCAGCGGCATCTGCCCGGAAGAGCATGTGACGTGGCGGTTAGAGAGGGGGACACCGCGTGAAGGCGGGAAACCGAGCAGCGAAAACCCCCCGCTCCCAGCAGTGGAGGGATAGCGAGGCTGAGTGCGCGGCGGTGGTTTCTCTCGCAGGCTCGTGCCACGGGACCATTTCCAACCCTTTTCCCACCCGCTTTTTCCCACCCGCTTTTTCCCACCCGCTTTCCCCCCCCCCCGCTTTTCCCCCCCCCCCGCTTTTCCCCCCCCCCGCTTTTCCCCCCCCCCGCTTTTCCCCCCCCCCTTTTCCCCCCCCGCCTTTCCCCCCCCCCGCCTTTCCCCCCCCCGCTTTTCCCCCCCCCCCTTTTTCCCCCCCGCTTTTTCCCACCCGCTTTTTCCCACCCGCTTTTTCCCACCCGCTTTTTCCCACCCGCTTTTCCCCACCCGCCTTCCCCACCGGCTTCCCCCCCCCGCTTCCCCCCCCTGCTTTTTCCCACCCGCTTTTTCCCACCCGCTTTTTTCCCACCCGCTTTTTCCCACCCGCTTTTTTCCCACCCGCTTTTTCCCACCCGCTTTTCCCCACCCGCTTTTCCCCACCCGCTTTCTCCCACCCCGCTTTCTCCCACCCGCTTTATCCCACCCCGCGTCCTCCCACCCCGCTTTTTTCCCACCCCATGTCATACTCCCACTTTGCTTTCTTGTTCACCCTAATGAAAGTAATCATTCATAATAGTCTTAATTAGTAAATGTTCCTCGTAGTAATCTTCGCGCGGGCGCGCGCGACTGACTCTCATGGCCGCCAGTGCGAGCCGGCGCGACCCTTGCAACGGTCACGATCATGGTAGTAGCGGTCGCGGCGAGAGCGAGCAGTGGCGGAGGGCGCAGGTGCGCGGAATGCTGCGTGCGCCCATGGCTCGCGCGCGAGTGGTGTCCGTCGATGACCTCGTCATGACTTCCGGCCTCTTGCCGTGCTCCCTTCCTGCCTCTTGCCGTGCTCCCTTCCTGCCTCTTGCCGTGCTCCCTTCCTGCCTCTTGCCGTGCTCCCTTCCTGCCGCCCCCCCCTATGCCGCCACGCCTGCTATCCCCCCTGCTAACATGCGCCTTTCTTTCAGCAGCGCGGCGCAGCAGCCGCAGTGGCAGTCACGGAAGCATTAGCTGCGGGAAGGAGAGGCGGGAAATATGAGGGAGGGAGGGGGGGAGGGGAGGGCGAGTTGGGGTTCAGCCGCCGCGCTGCCAGCCACCTGCCAGCCACCAGCCACCTGCCAGCCACCAGCCACCTGCCAGCTACCAGCCACCTGCCAGCCACCTGCCGAGTGTGGGGAGAGTGACGTAGTGAGGTGGGGCATGGTGTGTGCGCGCCACGTGGCGAGAGGGCGGCAGGTGCATGTATTCGTGTACATGCACCACCCGCTCATCCACCCCAGCATGCAAAGCATGCGACCGCCGTGTCCCATCCCCCCGGGCGTGTCAGTGGGGGCGACCTTTTCTTTGTGTGACGTTCTGCTGCTCCCCGCCTCACCCGCCTCTGCTGGTAGGTAACACCCGCCTCTGCTGGTAGGTAACACCCGCCTCTGCTGGTAGGTAACACCCGCCTCTGCTGGTAGGTAACACCCGCCTCTGCTGGCAGGTAACATCCGCCTCTGCTGGTAGGTAACACCCGCCTCTGCTGGCAGGTAACACCCGCCTCTGCTGGTAGGTAACACCCGCCTCTGCTGGCAGGTAACACCCGCCTCTGCTGGCAGGTAACACCCGCATCTGCTGGCAGGTAACACCCGCATCTGCTGGCAGGTAACACCCGCCTCTGCTGGCAGGTAACACCCGCCTCTGCTGGCAGGTAACACCCGCCTCTGCTGGCAGGTAACACCCGCCTCTGCTGGCAGGTAACACCCGCCTCTGCTGGCAGGTAACACCCGCCTCTGCTGGCAGGTAACACCCGCCTCTGCTGGCAGGTAACACCCGCCTCTGCTGGCAGGTAACACCCGCCTCTGCTGGCAGGTAACACCCGCCTCTGCTGGCAGGTAACACCCGCCTCTGCTGGCAGGTAACACCCGCCTCTGCTGGCAGGTAACACCCGCCTCTGCTGGTAGGTAACACCCGCCTCTGCTGGCAGGTAACACCCGCCTCTGCTGGCAGGTAACACCCGCCTCTGCTGGCAGGTAACACCCGCCTCTGCTGGCAGGTAACACCCGCCTCTGCTGGCAGGTAAACACCCGCCTCTGCTGGCAGGTAACACCCGCCTCTGCTGGCAGGTTTACACCCAGAATGCAACGCGTGCCATGTTCCGCATCGCGCTACACCCACAGCTCTCGTCCAAAGCTGCTGCGTGGCTCGCCTTTCGTGTGTGACGTGTTATCATCAGTCTATGCTGCTGCCTTGCTGTGTCAGGCCTGTGTCGTCTGAATCAGTAGCTTGGCTTGGTGTCGCTACAACAGCGTGCTCCTCGACCTGTGTCTTCTCCGTGTTGCCTTGCTGTTCCACCTGTCATGTCGAGCGCTAATCGCTGCCTCCGCCCACCATGGCCCAGCTCAGGTGACCTGCCCATCTGCCTCGTGCCTGCTGGAATGGCACCACCTGCTGCCTGGGGTGATGGAGCACATAGCAGCAGGGGTGGTGAGATAAGGGGTGGTGAGATAAGGGGTGGTGAGGGCTGGAATTCAGGGCAAGAGGTGGTGCGAGTGCGGATGGTCGCTTGCTCCCAGCATGGAGGGGAGGAGCATGGAGGGGAGGAGCATGGAGGGGAGGACACAGTCGTTCAGGGATGGGAAGGAGTGGGTGAGGGAGGCGGCAGGGGAGGGGTGGGAAGGAGAGAGGTGCGAGGGGAGGCAGCGGCGGGATTGAGGGTGGGGGGAGGCGGTGTGATGTGAGTGGAGGAGGGGTGGCAGGAGGAGCGGGTGCAGAGGGAGTGCGCATTCGATGCTGGGTGAGAGAGGGGTGGTGATGGGTGGGAGTGTTGGGAGATGGTTAAAAGTGGGTGACGGTGGTTATTCATGGAGTGTGTAGTTTGGTGTGTGTGGTTTGGTGTGTGTGGTTTGGTGTGTGTGGTTTGGTGTGTGTGGTTTGGTGTGTGTGGTTTGGTGTGTGTGGTTTGGTGTGTGTGGTTTGGTGTGTGTGGTTTGGTGTGTGTGGTTTGGTGTGTGTGGTTTGGTGTGTGTGGTTTGGTGCCTGTGATGAAAACCCGGCCCGGATTTACACACATGAGCACAGGGTGAGCCGATTCAAGTCAAATCGGTTGTTGCTAACGCAAGAAAACGCCAAAGTGGAAACAGGACCTTGATTACGATTTGAACTAAGGCCCGAACTCGGCCGAGCTTTACTCGGCTGAGTGATTCTGCAAACGAGGCGAGGTCTCAAGGAACTCGCCTCATACGTTTGCAGACAGTCCACTCAGATCCTCTCGTGGCATACGATTGAGAATTTTCAAAACTGGCATGCTCTTGTCACGGTCATTGTTCAGTCGATTCGAAAGCACTCCAGCTCCTTTTCAGAGTCTGCACCTTAGCAGAATCCCGCACGTTTAGTCGGGGACAAACTTTGACTCGGCTCGCTGCTCATGCTGCTGTGGGTTGTTGTCTCGGAGTGTCTTTCCCATAGCCTTGCCATGGCAGATGCGGTGCACTCATAAGCAGTCTTGTCACGCTCCCTATTTTCTCCCCCCTTCCCCAGTTAGCAGCAAAGCACGCCATGTGCCTGCTGCTCGTGTGCCCCTCTTTCCGGTCCTTCCACCTCATCCTCCAAACCCCCCTATTCCGTTCCACCCCTATCCCCAGCTAGCAGCAGTGCACTCCGCGTGCCTGCTGCTTGTGTGACCCCCCCCCACCCCCTGCGCTTTTTCCGACCACCAATCCCTTTCCCCCTCCACCCTCACCTCCCCCCTCCTTTTCATTCCACCCCCCTCCCCAACTTGAAACACTGCACTCCGTTCTCCTGCTGGCTGTGCTCCTCCCCGTCCCCTCCCCTTTTTCCAACCCCCTCTCTCTTTCCGCTTTCCCCACGCCCAACCCATGTTGTTCATTCCACCCTCCTTCCCAGCTATCAGCAGTGTATTCCGTCCGCTTGCTGCCTGTGCTCCCCCGCCCTGCCGCTGCCAGCATGTGTGTGTGAGGGAGGGGGGGCCTTGCCTTGCTCCGCCCACAGGCCTGGGCGGCAGCAGGGAGGGCGGCAGCAGGCAGGGAGGCAGCAGGCAGGGAGGCAGCAGGCAGGGAGGCAGCAGGAAGGGTGGCAGCAGCAGGTAGGGTGGCAGGAGGGAGAAAGAGAGATGAAACGTGGGTGTGGGTGGGAGTGTGGAGGGTGGCAGGGGGTAGAATGGATTGGCACGGAGTGAAGGAAGATAATGGGAGTGGGAGTGGTGGTGAGAGTGGTGGTGAGAGTGGTGGTGACAGTGGTGGTGAGAGTGGTGGTGAGAGTGGGCTTGAGCACCAAGACGTACGAATATGTCCTCTGATGGAAGGCGCGAAATGCCATTTTCATCGTCAGATTTGATGGCAGGAGGGTGTGGGGGGGAGGGGGGGAGGAAAAGGTGCCACGCTTTGAGTTATACTGTTAATGTTGCTGCAACCAGCTGTGCTGCTGAGAGGGGAGGGAGGTGGAAGGGAGGGAGAAGGAGGGGAGGGCGGAGGCAGGGGAGGCGCAAGCAGGGGAGGCGCAAGCAGGGAAAGCGCAAGCAGAGGAAGCACAAGCAGAGGAAGCGCAAGCAGAGGAAGCACAAGCAGAGGAAGCACAAGCAGAGGAAGCACAAGCAGAGGAAGCGTACGCAGAGGAAGCGCAAGCAGAGGAAGCGCAAGCAGAGGAAGCACAAGCAGAGGAAGCACAAGCAGAGGAAGCGCAAGCAGGGGATGTCAGATATATATGACTTAGTGTTTGTAGGCTCTAGTGGGGTAGACACTAAAGGGTACATATCTCTAGGGTTTCATATTTGTATCACACACTTTCCTAGTTCATTCATTCGTTCCTCGTGATTCTCACATGGTATAGAGCGGGTTCCCTAGTGGGACCGTTTCTTCCTAAGGTCCCACCTTAAATTTTTTTTTTCCTAACCTGCCCGAAGCGCGCTTCGCGCTCTGACCTGCCCTACCCTTTCGCGGCCCCTTAGCGGCCTGCCCTGCTCCTGAGTCCCGTCGCGGCCCCCCTTTGCGGCCCTTTCACTGCCCCTTAGCGGCCCCTTCGAGGCCCCTTAGCAGCCTCCCTTCACGGCCCCTTAGCGGCCCCTTCGCGGCCCCTTCACGGCCCCTTAGCGGCCCCTTCGAGGCCCCTTAGCGGCCTCCCTTCACGGCCCCTTAGCGGCCCCTTCGCGGCCCCTCCAAGGCCCCTTAGCGGCCCCCCTCGCGGCTCCATCTCGGCCCCTTCGCGGCCCCTTAGCGGCCCCTTCGCGGCCCCTTCGCGGCCCCCTCGCGGCCTCTTCGCGGCCCCCCTTCGCGGCCCCTTCGCGGCCTCGCCCCGCTGCCCGTAGCGGCCCCGCCCCGTCGCCAGTCGCGGCCCCGTCCCGTCGCCAGCCGCGGCCCCGCCCCGTCGCCAGTCGCGGCCCCGCCCCGCCGCCCCTGCCTCGTCGCGACGCCTCAGCGGGACCCGTGCGTCGCCCCTGCCTCGTTGCGACGCCCCTGCGGGTCCTGCGAGGCGCGGCTCCTGCGCGTCGCGACGCCCGGCGGGACCCGCGTGGCGTCGCCCCTGCCCGCCGCGGCGCCCTGCCCTAACCCGCGCCCTGGCCCCGGGAGCAGCCGCCCCTGCAGCAGCCGCCCCTGGCCCCTGGAGCAGCCGCCCCTGCAGCAGCTGCCCCTGGCCCCTGGAGCAGCCGCCCCTGCAGCAGCTGCCCCTGGCCCCTGGAGCAGCCGCCCCTGCAGCAACCACCCCTGGCCCCTGGAGCAGCCGCCCCTGACCACTGGAGCAGCCGCCTCTGGCCCCTGGAGCAGCCGCCCCTGGCCCCTGGAGCAGCCGCCCCTGCAGCAGCTGCCCCTGGCCCCTGGAGCAGCCGCCCCTGCAGCAGCCGCCCCTGGAGCAGCCGGCCCTGCAGCTGCCGCGGAGCCCTCGCCCTGCGGTGGTAGCGGCCTCGCCGTTGCTGCCGTCGTACGCCTGCCCTTCTTGCCACTGGTGAGCAGTGCCCTGCCCGTACTGCTGTTACTGCTGCTCTTGCTGCTACTGCTCTTTCTACTGCTACTGCTGCTCCTGGCGTGGCCAGATGCAGCTCCAGCGCCGTCCGCGTGAGTCCCTCACCCCCCAACAACTTCGTGAGTGGTACGCTAGTTGGGGTTGTAGGGATGGCCGCGCTGCGACTACTGCTACTGCTGCTACTACGGCTAGTACTGCTAATGCTGCTCCTGCCGGTGACCAGATGCAGCCCCAGCGACGTCCGCGTGAGTCCCTCACGCCCCAGCAGCTTCGTGAGTGGTACGCTACTTGGGGTTGTCGGGGTGGCCGTAGTGGGATTCGTTTTGGAGTGAGTAGTTCGGGAGCTGCTTCGCGTGGCCAGGTGCAGGTGCAGCGTCGTCCGCGCGCGGTCCTTTCGCCCCTGTAGCTTCGTGAGTGGTACGCTCAGCGTGGAGCGTCACGGAGTACTGCTCGCTGTCCGTACGTCATTCGCACTGGTGCTCCGACTGGTCAGCCTTGCGGGACGTTTGGTCACACAGAGTCCCGCTACTTCGCCCGTCTGAGCGACGCCAGGCGTACGGAGTTTGGCGACGCGGCTGAGCTCCCCGACTGGGTGCAGCTGCTTCGGTAGAGGGTAGATATCTATACTCTTGACTATGATACTATTCTCACTGCCATGTATGCATTCCCTACTAGTGATGAGGGTGACTGTTACCTGTGTGTTCCGCCTGACCCGGGCATTAAGGCTGCTGCTCTAGGTGCTAGTGAGGCAGCTGCTCTAGGAGCTAGTGCGTCTGCTGCTCCAGGTGCTGGTGAGTCTGCTGCTCCAGGTGCTGGTGAGTCTGCTGCCCCAGGTACTGGTGAGTCTGCTCTCTCAGGCACCACGTCGGCTCAGGTTTTGCACACCTTTACCCTTGACTCGGGTGCTTCCCGCTCCTTCTTTCGAGACCGCACCACACTCAAGCCGCTAAGTCGGCCGATTGCAGTCTCCCTGGCAGACCTCTCTGGGGGTCCTGTCCTTGCTAGCTTCTCCACTATCTTACCGTGTCCGGCAGCCCTATCTAGCACCGTGTCAGGTCTTTACCTCCCCTCGTTCTCTACGAACTTGGTAAGTGGTGCTGACCTACAGGATGGACGGGTTGACCAGTTCACTCCTGCGAGTCAGCGAGTGACCCACTGTACGTATGCTCGGACGGGCCGACACTTGGCCACGTTTACCCGTCAGCCGGGGTCGAGCCTGTATACACCGTCTACTGAGTCTCCTCCGGTTGCTGCGTCTGGTTAGGTAGCTGCGTCGGGTGAGGTGTTTGCTGCAGCGTCTAGGTCTGGTCCTTAGTCTGCCCCCTGCTCGTGTCGTCTCCTGTCTCACCAGACTCTCCTCTGGCACCACCGCCTTGGTCACCCCTCCCTGCCTCGTCTCCGAGGCATGGCCTCCCGTGTCCTTGTCTCTGGTCTCCCCCGGTCCCTCCCTCCTCTTCCCCCGGGGCTTGCCCCTACCTGCGTTCCCTGCGTCAAGGGGCGGCAGCGCGCCGCTCCTCACTCCTCCGTGTTTCCTCCGACAGAGGCTCCGCTGCAGACGCTTCACCTGGACGTGTGGGGCCCCGCCCGCGTCCGTGGACAGGGTCACGAGCGTTACTTCCTGCTGGTAGTTGACGACTACTCGCGTTACACCACAGTCTTCCCCTTGCGCAGCAAGGGTGAGGTCACTGAGATGTTAGATCGAATGGATCCGCGCAGCTCGTCTCCAGCTCAGAGAGAGTTCCGGCTCGGACTTTTCTGTTCTGCGTCTGCACTCCGACAGAGGCGGAGAGTTTTCCTCTGACCTTCTGCGAGCCTACTGTCGTGCACGGGGCATCCGCCAGACGTTCACGCTTCCGGCCTCTCCACAACAAAATGGGATTGCTGAGCGCCACATTGGTATGGTCGTGGACGTCGCTCGTACGTCCATGATCCATGCGGCTGCTCCCCATTTCCTGTGGCCGTTCGCGGTTCAGTACGCGGCGCATCTGATCAACCTTCAGCCCCGGGTCTCCTTGCCGGAGACCTCTCCTACTTTGCGGTGGACGGGGAAGGTTGGCGATGCGTCTGCGTTCCGTGTCCGGGGATTTCGAGCTTTTGTCCGCGACTTGTCTGCGGACAAGCTGTCTCGCCGTGCTGTTCTCTGCGTCCTCCTTGTCTTCCGCCTTGACGCGCCTGGTTGGCAGTTTTACCACCTTACCTCGCGCCGTGTTTTGTCCTCCCAGGACGTCGCGTTTGACGAGTCAGTTCCTTACTACCGTCTCTTCCCCTACTGCATTGCACCCCTCCCCCCGCCGCTGCTCATCCTCGCGCCAGGTCCCTTCCTGATAGACCCGCTTCCCCCTCAGGGTCCTGCACCCTCTGGTGTGTCCCAGGTAGACGCAGTCGAGCCTGTCAAGGTAGGTGTTGACTCTGGTGCTGCTAGGGGTGCTGAGCCTGCGGGTGCGGAGTCTGGGGGTGCTGAGCCTGAGGGTGGTGAGCCTGGGGGTGCTGCGAGTGGGGGTGCGGAGCCTGAGGGTGCTGGGCCTGCTAGTGTGGAGTCAGGCGGTACTGGTTCTGGAGGTCCTTCGGGTGCTTCGTCCTGGCGGGAGCTACCCTCTCCACAGGAGCTGCGCGAGTGGTTTTCTCGGCGCTGGAGCCGTGCTGCTGGAGCTGGAAGTGCTGCTGGAGCTAGAGGTTCTACTGGAGCTGGAGGTGCTGCTGGAGCTGGAGGTTCTATTGCTGCTGAGGGTGCTGGTGCCACGGGTCCCAGAGGTGCTCGTACTGGAGGTACTGGAGCTGCTGGGCCTGGAAGTGCTCGTGGTGCTGGAGCTGCTGGCGGTGCTGGAGCTGGCGGTGCTACTGGAGTAAGTGCTGCTGGAGGTACTGGAGCTGGGGCTGTTGAGTCTTCAGGTGGTCCTGCTGGAACTGGAGCTGCTGGTGTTGGTGCTTCTAAGGGTGGTGGAGTTGGCGCTGCTGGAGCTGGGGGTGCTACTGGCGCTGGTGCTGCCGCTGGGGGTGCTGGTACTGTACATGATGGTTCTGGAGGCGCTGCGCGGCCGCGGCCGTCCTTCGTTCCGCTCCTTGAGCATGTTCATGGTCTCCCGCCTTCTACTGGTCGTGCTCCTTCCTTACAGTGTCCACCGCCTGTCCGGTCCGAGTCACAGTTACAGCCCGCATCCCCACTATCTGCCCTTTCTTCCTACACTGGTCCTACTGGAGGTCTTGCTGAACGTTGTGAGCCTACGTCTCGTCCTGCGTCGCCTGTTCGTGCTGGTCGCACTAGTCGTCGTGTTCCGCGTCAGCGTCCTCCTGCGGTCCCAGGCACGCACCAGATGGCACTGCGTCCTTCCACTGCTCCACTACTTGTCCCTTTGCCGTCTCCTCCAGAGTCCTCTCTTCCTGTTCTTGCTGACCCGGAGTCTGTCTCTCTTCGTGCTGCCAATCCTACTGTCACGCGTCTTCTGGCTATTGTTGTCACTGACCCTTCCTTTGAGTTCACTGCTGCGTCTGCCCTAGTTGCTGATCTTGTCGACTTCGCTGCTCGCTGTCGTCTAGACTACGCCGCTAGTCTTGTTGCTGAGTCTGAGTCTGTCTGTCCTCCGTCCGTCGGGGGTGAGTGTGCTCTTAGCAAGGACGTCCTTAAGGACAGGCAGGAGGAGTTCCAGTGTTTTGCTGCTGCATTACCTCATCTCGTGTCCATGCTGACTGCCCCTGAGGGAGACCCGGATGCACCAGACATCCCGACTCCGCGCTCTTAGGCATAGGCAATAGAGGGTCCCTACTCCTCTCAGTGGCAGTCAGCCATGGACGCAGAGATGGCTTCCTGGAAGTCCACAGGCACCTACGTCGACGAGGTTCCCCCACCTGGGGCGAACATCGTCAGTGGCATGTGGATTTTTAGGGTGAAGCGGCCGCCGGGTTCTCCGCCTGTCTTCAAGGCGCGTTACGTGGCTCGAGGCTTCAGTCAGCGGCAGGGAGTTGACTACTTTCAGACCTTGCTTCGACTTCACGTACTCCTTGCCTCAGACCACTCCTCTGTCTACTCACCACTCGCTCTCAGCTCTGCCTTCGGATGAGTCCGTAGAGCCGAGTGGCCTGTACCTAGAGCTTGTTGGCTGCCTCATGTACCTGATGACCTGCACTCGACCTGACCTTGCATACCCTCCTAGCATCTTGGCACGCTATGTTGCTCCTGGGAGACACGGACCAGAGCACATGACTGCAGCGAAGAGGGTGTTGCGCTACTTGTGCAGTACGTCGGGCATGGGGCTTGTGCTTGGAGGGCGGAGTCCAATGGTCCTCACTGGTAACGTAGACGCTTCTTGGGCAGACGACCAGGCTACGCAGCGGTCGTCATAGGGTTACACCTTCAGCCTTGGTTCCGGCTCTGTCTCGTGGCGGTCTACCCGCTCGTCTTCTGTTCTCGGCTCCAGCTGTGAGGCTGAGATCTACGCAGGGGCCATGGCTGCACAGGAGATACGCTGGCTCACCTACCTGTTGACCGACATAGGAGAGCCGCTTCGTTCTCCTCCACTTCTGTACGTAGACAACAAGGCCATGCTGGCCTTCTGTCGGGAGCACAGACTGGAGCACAGAACGAAGCACATTGCTCTTGGCTACTTCCTTGCTCATGAGCTGCAGCAACGTGGTCAGTTGCACCTTTCTTACGTGGCCTCTCGAGCCAACACGGCTGATATCTTTACCAAGGCACTTCAGCCTTGTGATCATCAGCGCTTTTCTACAATGCTAGGTCTTCTGCCTACTTGGCCTCACTTGCTCACTTCTTGACCTTGCTTGGACTCTGATCTTTCTATACCTGCACTTGCTTGTTTACCTTTATATATAATCCTTCATGTGAACTGGCCTTGTGGCCTTGAACTGGTGCTCGGAATGTCTGGTGACATTGTGATCCACTCTGAGCTTGCTTTGCTTGACTAGTCTTGTGACCCCTAGTTCTCCCCCAAATTGCTTATGGGGGTGTGTCAGATATATATGACTTAGTGTTTGTAGGCTCTAGTCGGGTAGACACTGTACAGGTCTCTAGGGTTTCATATTTGTATCACACACTTTCCTAGTTCATTCATTCATTCCTCGTGAATCTCACAGAGGAAGCGCAAGCAGAGGAAGCACAAGCAGAGGAAGCACAAGCAGAGGAAGCACAGGCAGAGGAAGCGCAAGCAGAGGAAGCACAAGCAGAGGAAGCACAAGCAGAGGAAGCGCAAGCAGAGGAATCGGAAGCAGAGGAAGCGCAAGCAGAGGAAGCACAAGCGGAGGAAGCGCAAGCAGAGGAAGCACAAGCAGAGGAAGCGCAAGAAGAGGAAGCACAAGCAGAGGAAGCAACAGCAGAGGAATCGCAAGCAGAGGAAGCACAAGCAGAGGAAGCACAAGTAGAGGATCGCAAGGAGAGGAAGCGCAAGAAGAGTGAGCGCAAGCAGAGGAAGCGCAAGCAGAGGAAGCGCAAGCAGAGGAAGCACAAGCAGAGGAAGCACAAGCACAAGAAGCACATGCAGAGGAAGCGCAAGCAGAGGAAGCGCAAGCAGAGTAAGCACAAGTAGAGGAAGCACAAGAAGAGGAGCGCAAGCAGAGGAAGCGCAAGCAGAGGAAGCACAAGCAGAGGAATCACAAGATGAGGAAGCACAAGCAGAGGAAGCGCAAGCAGAGGAAGCACAAGCATAGGAAGCACAAGCAGAGGAAGCGCAAGCAGAGGAAGCACAAGCAGAGAAAGCACAAGCAAAGGAAGCGCAAGCAGAGGAAGCACAAGTAGAGGAAGCGGAAGTAGAAGAAGCACAAGCAGAGGAAGCGCAAGCAGAGGAAGCACAAGCAGAGGAAGCACAAGCAAAGGAGCGCAAGCAGAGGAAGCGCAAGCAGAGGAAGCGCAAGCAGAGGAAGCGCAAGCAGAGGATGCGCAAGTAGAGGAAGCGCAAGTAGAGGAAGCGCAAGTAGAGGAAGCGCAAGCAGAGGAGTCACAACCAGAGGAAGCGCAAGCAGAGGAAGTGCAAGCAGAGGAAGCACAAGAAGAGGAAGCACAAGCAGAGGAAGCACAAGCAGAGGAAGCGCGAGCAGAGGAAGCGCAAGCAGAGGAAGCGTAAGCAGAGGAAGCACAAGCAGATGAAGCGCAAGCAGAGGAAGCACAAGCAGAGGAAGCGCAAGAAGAGGAAGCACAAGCAGAGGAAGCACAAGCAGAGGAGCGCAAGCAGAGGAAGCGCAAGCAGAGGAAGCACAAGAAGAGGAAGCGCAAGCGGAGGAAGCACAAGGAGAGGAAGCGCAAGCGGAGGAAGCACAAGCAGAGGAAGCGCAAGCAGAGGAAGCACAAGAAGAGGAAGCGCAAGCGGAGGAAGCACAAGCAAAGGAAGCGCAAGCAGAGGAAGCATTAGCAGAGGAAGCACAAGAAGAGGAGCACAAGCAGAGGAAGTGCAAGCAGAGGAAACGCAAGCAGAGGAAGCACAAGCAGAGGAAACGCAAGTAGAGGAAGCACAAGCAGAAGAAGCACAAGCAGAGGAAGCGCAAGCAGAGGAAGCACAAGCAAGGAAGTGCAAGCAGAGGAAACGCAAGTAGAGGAAGCGCAAGCAGAGGAAGCGCAAGTAGAGGAAGCACAAGCAGAAGAAGCACAAGCAGAGGAAGCGCAAGCAGAGGAAGCACAAGCAAGGAAGCACAAGAAGAGGAAGCGCAAGCAGAGGAAGCGCAAGTAGAGGAAGCACAAGCAGAGGAAGCACAAGGAGAGGAGCGCAAGCAGAGGAAGCGCAAGCACAGGAAGCACAAGCAGAGGAAGCACAAGCAGAGGAAGCACAAGCAGAGGAAGCGCAAGCAGAGGAAGCGCAAGCAGAGGAAGCACAAGCATAGGAAGCACAAGCAAAGGAAGCGCAAGCAGAGGAAGCACAAGCAGAGAAAGCACAAGCAAAGGAAGCGCAAGCAGAGGAAGCACAAGTAGAGGAAGCGGAAGTAGAAGAAGCACAAGCAGAGGAAGCGCAAGCAGAGGAAGCACAAGCAGAGGAAGCACAAGCAAAGGAGCGCAAGCAGAGGAAGCGCAAGCAGAGGAAGCGCAAGCAGAGGAAGCGCAAGCAGAGGATGCGCAAGTAGAGGAAGCGCAAGTAGAGGAAGCGCAAGTAGAGGAAGCGCAAGCAGAGGAGTCACAACCAGAGGAAGCGCAAGAAGAGGAAGTGCAAGCAGAGGAAGCACAAGAAGAGGAAGCACAAGCAGAGGAAGCACAAGCAGAGGAAGCGCGAGCAGAGGAAGCGCAAGCAAAGGAAGCGTAAGCAGAGGAAGCACAAGCAGATGAAGCGCAAGCAGAGGAAGCACAAGCAGAGGAAGCGCAAGAAGAGGAAGCACAAGCAGAGGAAGCACAAGCAGAGGAGCGCAAGCAGAGGAAGCGCAAGCAGAGGAAGCACAAGAAGAGGAAGCGCAAGCGGAGGAAGCACAAGGAGAGGAAGCGCAAGCGGAGGAAGCACAAGCAGAGGAAGCGCAAGCAGAGGAAGCACAAGAAGAGGAAGCGCAAGCGGAGGAAGCACAAGCAGAGGAAGCGCAAGCAGAGGAAGCATTAGCAGTGGAAGCACAAGAAGAGGAGCGCAAGCAGAGGAAGTGCAAGCAGAGGAAACGCAAGCAGAGGAAGCACAAGCAGAGGAAGCGCAAGTAGAGGAAGCACAAGCAGAAGAAGCACAAGCAGAGGAAGCGCAAGCAGAGGAAGCACAAGCAAGGAAGTGCAAGCAGAGGAAACGCAAGTAGAGGAAGCACAAGCAGAGGAAGCGCAAGTAGAGGAAGCACAAGCAGAAGAAGCACAAGCAGAGGAAGCGCAAGCAGAGGAAGCACAAGCAAGGAAGCACAAGAAGAGGAAGCGCAAGCAGAGGAAGCGCAAGTAGAGGAAGCACAAGCAGAGGAAGCACAAGGAGAGGAGCGCAAGCAGAGGAAGCGCAAGCAGAGGAAGCACAAGCAGAGGAAGCACAAGCAGAGGAAGCACAAGCAGAGGAAGCGCAAGGAGAGGAAGCGCAAGCAGAGGAAGCACAAGCAGAGGAAGCACAAGCAGAGGAGCGCAAACAGAGGAAGCGCAAGCAGAGGAAGCACAAGCAGAGGAAGCACAAGCAGAGGAAGCACAAGCAGAGGAAGCGCAAGCAGAGGAAGCACAAGCAGAGGAAGCACAAGTAGAGGAAGCACATGCAGAGGAAGCACAAGCAGAGGAAGCACAAGCAGAGGAAGCACAAGCAGAGGAAGAACAAGCAAAGGAAGCGCAAGCTAAAGAAGCACAAGCAGAGGAAACGCAAGCAAAGGAAGCACAAGCTGAGGAAGCACAAGAAGAGGAAGCGCAAGCAGAGGAAGCACAGGCAGAGGAAGCTCAAGCGGAGGAAGCGTAAGCAGAGGATGCACAAGCAGAGGAAGAACAAGCAAAGGAAGCGGAAGCTGAAGAAGCACAAGCAGAGGAAACGCAAGCAAAGGAAGCACAAGCAGAGGAAGCACAAGCAGAGGAGCGCAAGCAGAGGAAGCGCAAACAGAGGAAGCGCAAGAAGAGGAAGCACAAGCAGAGGAAATGCAAGCAGAGGAAGCGGGAGCTGAGGAGTCACAACCAGAGGAAGCGCAAGCAGAGGAAGCGCAAGTTGAGGAAGCACAAGCAGAGGAAGCACAAGCAGAGGAAGCACAAGCAGATGAAGCGTGAGCAGAGGAAGCGCAAGCTGAGGAAGCGTAAGCAGAGGAAGCACAAGCAGAGGAAGCGCAAGCAGAGGAAGCACAAGCAGAGGAAGCACAAGCAGAGGAGCGCAAGCAGAGGAAGCGCAAGCAGAGGAAGGGCAAGAAGAGGAAGCACAAGCAGAGGAAGCGCAAGAAGAGGAAGCGCAAGTAGAGGAAGCGCAAGCAGAGGAAGCACAAGAAGAGGAAGCGCAAGCGGAGGAAGCACAAGCAGAGAAAGCGCAAGCAGAATAAGCACAAGCAGAGGAAGCACAAGAAGAGGAGCGCAAGCAGAGGAAGTGCAAGCAGAGGAAACGCAAGCAGAGGAAGCACAAGCAGAGGAAGCGCAAGTAGAGGAAGCACAAGTAGAAGAAGCACAAGCAGAGGAAGCGCAAGCAGAGGAAGCACAAGCAAGGAAGCACAAGTAGAGGAAGCGCAAGCAGAGGAAGCGCAAGCAGAGGAAGCACAAGCAGAGGAAGCACAAGGAGAGGAGCGCAAGCAGAGGAAGCGCAAGCAGAGGAAGCACAAGCAGAGGAAGCACAAGCAGAGGAAGCACAAGCAGAGGAAGCGCAAGCAGAGGAAGCACAAGCAGAGGAAGCACAAGTAGAGGAAGCACATGCAGAGGAAGCACAAGCAGAGGAAGCACAAGCAGAGGAAGCACAAGCAGAGGAAGAACAAGCAAAGGAAGCGCAAGCTGAAGAAGCACAAGCAGAGGAAACGCAAGCAAAGGAAGCACAAGCAGAGGAAGCACAAGCAGAGCAAGCGCAAGCAGAGGAAGCACAAGCAAAGGAAGCTCAAGCGGAGGAAGCGTAAGCGGAGGATGCACAAGCTGAGGAAGAACAACCAAAGGAAGCGCAAGCTGAAGAAGCACAAGCAGAGGAAGCGCAAGCAAAGGAAGCACAAGCAGAGGAAGCACAAGCAGAGGAGCGCAAGCAGAGGAAGCGCAAGCAGAGAAAGCGCAAGAAGAGGAAGCACAAGCAGAGGAAGCGCAAGCAGAGGAAGCGGAAGCTGAGGAGTCACAACCAGAGGAAGCGCAAGCAGGGGAAGCGCAAGTTGAGGAAGCACAAGAAGAGGAAGCAAAAGTAGAGGAAGCACAAGCAGAGGAAGCGCGAGTTGAGGAAGCGCAAGCAGAGGAAGCGTAAGCAGAGGAAGCACAAGCAGAGGAAGCGCAAGCAGAGGAAGCACAAGCAGAGGAAGCACAAGCAAAGGAAGCGCAAGCAGAGGAAGCACAAGTAGAGGAAGAGGAAGCAGAAGAAGCACAAGCAGAGGAATCGCAAGCAGAGGAAGCACAAGCAGAGGAAGCACAAGCAGAGGAGCGCAAGCAGAGGAAGCGCAAGTAGAGGAAGCGCAAGCAAAGGAAGCGCAAGCAGAGGATGCGCAAGGAGAGGAAGCGCAAGTAGAGGAAGCGCAAGTAGACGAAGCGCAAGCAGAGGAGTCACAACCAGAGGAAGTGCAAGCAGAGGAAGCGCAAGCAGAGGAAGCACAAGAAGAAGAATAACAAGCAGAGGAGGCACAAGCAGAGGAAGCACAAGGAGAGGAGCGCAAGCAGAGCAAGTGCAAGTAGAGGAAACGCAAGCAGAGGAAGCACAAGCAGAGGAAGCGCAAATAGAGGAAGCACAAGCAGAAGAAGCACAAGCAGAGGAAGCGCAAGCAGAGGAAGCGCAAGCAGAGGAAGGGCAAGAAGAGGAAGCACAAGCAGAGGAAGCGCAAGAAGAGGAAGCGCAAGCAGAGGAAGCGCAAGCAGAGGAAGCACAAGAAGAGGAAGCGCAAGCGGAGGAAGCACAAGCAGAGAAAGCGCAAGCAGAATAAGCACAAGCAGAGGAAGCACAAGAAGAGGAGCGCAAGCAGAGGAAGTGCAAGCAGAGGAAACGCAAGCAGAGGAAGCACAAGCAGAGGAAGCGCAAGTAGAGGAAGCACAAGTAGAAGAAGCACAAGCAGAGGAAGCGCAAGCAGAGGAAGCACAAGCAAGGAAGCACAAGTAGAGAAAGCGCAAGCAGAGGAAGCGCAAGCAGAGAAAGCACAAGCAGAGGAAGCACAAGGAGAGGAGCGCAAGCAGAGGAAGCGCAAGCAGAGGAAGCACAAGTAGAGGAAGCACAAGCAGAGGAAGCACAAGCAGAGGAAGCTCAAGCAGAGGAAGCACAAGCAGAGGAAGCACAAGTAGAGGAAGCACATGCAGAGGAAGCACAAGCAGAGGAAGCACAAGAAGAGGAAGCACAAGCAGAGGAAGAACAAGCAAAGGAAGCGCAAGCTGAAGAAGCACAAGCAGAGGAAACGCAAGCAAAGGAAGCACAAGCAGAGGAAGCACAAGCAGAGGAAGCGCAAGCAGAGGAAGCACAAGCAGAGGAAGCTCAAGCGGAGGAAGCGTAAGCAGAGGATGCACAAGCTGAGGAAGAACAAGCAAAGGAAGCGCAAGCTTAAGAAGCACAAGCAGAGGAAACGCAAGCAAAGGAAGCACAAGCAGAGGAAGCACAAGCAGAGGAGCGCAAGCAGAGGAAGCGCAAGCAGAGGAAGCGCAAGAAGAGGAAGCACAAGCAGAGGAAGCGCTAGCAGAGGAAGCGGAAGCTGAGGAGTCACAACCAGAGGAAGCGCAAGCAGAGGAAGCGCAAGTTGAGGAAGCACAAGCAGAGGAAGCAAAAGCAGAGGAAGCACAAGCAGAGGAAGCGCGAGTTGAGGAAGCGCAAGCAGAGGAAGCGTAAGCAGAGGAAGCACAAGCAGAGGAAGCGCAAGCAGAGGAAGCACAAGCAGAGGAAGCACAAGCAAAGGAGTCACAACCAGAGGAAGTGCAAGCAGAGGAAGCGCAAGCAGAGGAAGCACAAAAAGAGGAAAATCAAGCAGAGGAAGCACAAGCAGAGGAAGCACAAGAAGAGGAAGCACAAGCAGAGGAAGCACAAGCAGAGGAAGCGCGAGCAGAGGAAGCGCAAGCAGAGGAAGCGTAAGCAGAGGAAGCACAAGCAGAGGAGCGCAAGCAGAGGAAGCGCAAGCTGAGGAAGTGCAAGCAAAGGAAGCGCAAGCAGAGGATGCGCAAAGAGAGGAAGCGCAAGTAGAGGAAGCGCAAGCAGAGGAGTCACAACTAGAGGAAGCGCAAGCAGAGGAAGCGCAAGCAGAGGAAGCACAAGAAGAGGAAGCACAAGCAGAGGAAGCACAAGGAGAGGAAGCACAAGAAGAGGAAGCACAAGCAGAGGAAGCACAAGCGGAGGAAGCGCGAGCATAGGAAGCGCAAGCAGAGGAAGCGTAAGCAGAGGAAGCACAAGCAATGGAAGTGCAATCAGAGGAAGCACAAGCAGAGGAAGCGTAAGAAGAGGGAGCACAAGCAGAGGAAGCACAAGCAGAAGAGCGCAAGCAGAGGAAGCGCAAGCAGAGGAAGCACAAGAAGAGGAAGCGCAAGCGGAGGAAGCACAACCAGAGGAAGCGCAATCAGAGGAAGCACAAGCAGAGGAAGCACAAGAAGAGGAGCGCAAGCAGAGGAAGTGCAAGCAGAGGAAACGGAAGTAGAGGAAGCACCTGCAGAGGAAGCGCAAGTAGAGGAAGCACATGCGGAAGAAGCACAAGCAGAGGAAGCGCAAGCAGAGGAAGCACAAGCAAGGAAGCACAAGTAGAGGAAGCGCAAAAAGGAAGCGTAAGCAGAGGAAGCACAAGCAGAGGAAGCACAAGGAGAGGAGCGCAAGCAGAGGAAGCGCAAGCAGAGGAAGCACAAGCGAAGGAAGCACAAGCAGAGGAAGCACAAGTAGAGGAAGCGCAAGCAGAGGAAGCACAAGCAGAGGAAGCACAAGTAGAGGAAGCACATGCAGAGGAAGCACAAGCAGAGGAAGCACAAGCAGAGGAAGCACAAGTAGAGGAAGAACAAGCAAAGGAAGCGCAAGCTGAAGAAGCACAAGCAGAGGAAACGCAAGCAAAGGAAGCACAAGCAGAGAAAGCACAAGCAGAGGAAGCGCAAGCAGAGGAAGCACAAGCAGAGGAAGTGCAAGCAAAGGAAGCGCAAGCAGAGGAAGCACAAGCAGAGGTAGCACAAGAAGAGGAAGCGCAAGCAAAGGAAGCACCTTCAGAGGAAGCGCAAGCAGAGGAAGCGCAAGGAGTGGAAGCACAAGTAGAGGAAGCGCAAGCAGAGGAAGCGCAAGAAGAGGAAGCACAAGCAGAGGAAGCGCAAGCAAAGGAAATGCAAGCAGAGGAAGCGCAAGCAGAGGAAGCACACGCAAAGGAAGCGCAAGCAGAGGAAGCACAAGAAGACGATGCGCAAGCAGAGGAAGCACAAGCAAAGGAAGCACAAGCAGAGGAGCGCAAGCAGAGGAAGCACAAGCAGAGGAAGCGCAAGCAGAGGAAGCGCAAGCAGAGGAAGCACAAGAAGAGGAAGCACAAGCAGAGGAAGCAACAGCAGAGGAAGCGCAAGCAGAGGAAGCACAAGGAGAGGAAGCGCAAGTAGAGGAAGCACAAGCATAGGAAACACAAGCAAAGAAGCGCAAGCAGAGGAAGCAAAAGCAGAGGAAGCAAAAGCAGAGGAAGCGCAAGCAGAGGAAGCACAAGTAGAGGAAGCGAAAGCAGAGGAAGCACAAGCAGAGGATGCGCAAGGAGAGGAAGCACAAGCAGAGGAAGCACAAGTAGAGGAGCGCAAGCAGAGGAAGCGCAAGCAGAGGAAGCGCAAGAAGAGGAAGCACAAGAAGAGGAAGCGCAAGCAGAGGAAGCAGAAGCTGAGGAGTCACAACCAGAGGAAGCGCAAGCAGAGGAAGCGCAAGTTGAGGAAGCACAAGCAGAGGAAGCAAAAGCAGAGGAAGCACAAGCAGAGGAAGCGCGAGTTGAGGAAGCGCAAGCAGAGGAAGCGTAAGCAGAGGAAGCACAAGCAGAGGAAGCGCAAGTAGAGGAAGCACAAGCAGAGGAAGCACAAGCAAAGGAGTCACAACCAGAGGAAGTGCAAGCAGAGGAAGCGCAAGCAGAGGAAGCACAAAAAGAGGAAAATCAAGCAGAGGAAGCACAAGCAGAGGAAGCACAAGAAGAGGAAGCACAAGCAGAGGAAGCACAAGCAGAGGAAGCGCGAGCAGAGGAAGCGCAAGCAGAGGAAGCGTAAGCAGAGGAAGCACAAGCAGAGGAGCGCAAGCAGAGGAAGCGCAAGCTGAGGAAGCGCAAGCAAAGGAAGCGCAAGCAGAGGATGCGCAAGGAGAGGAAGCGCAAGTAGAGGAAGCGCAAGCAGAGGAGTCACAACCAGAGGAAGCGCAAGCAGAGGAAGCACGAGTTGAGGAAGCGCAAGCAGAGGAAGCGTAAGCAGAGGAAGCACAAGCAGAGGAAGCGCAAGCAGAGGAAGCACAAGCAGAGGAAGCACAAGCAAAGGAAGCGCAAGCAGAGGAAGCACAAGTAGAGGAAGAGGAAGCAGAAGAAGCACAAGCAGAGGAATCGCAAGCAGAGGAAGCACAAGCAGAGGAAGCACAAGCAGAGGAGCGCAAGCAGAGGAAGCGCAAGCAGAGGAAGCGCAAGCAGAGGAAGCACAAGAAGAAGAATAACAAGCAGAGGAGGCACAAGCAGAGGAAGCACAAGGAGAGGAGCGCAAGCAGAGCAAGTGCAAGTAGAGGAAACGCAAGCAGAGGAAGCACAAGCAGAGGATGCGCAAATAGAGGAAGCACAAGCAGAAGAAGCACAAGCAGAGGAAGCGCAAGCAGAGGAAGCGCAAGCAGAGGAAGGGCAAGAAGAGGAAGCACAAGCAGAGGAAGCGCAAGAAGAGGAAGCGCAAGCAGAGGAAGCGCAAGCAGAGGAAGCACAAGAAGAGGAAGCGCAAGCGGAGGAAGCACAAGCAGAGAAAGCGCAAGCAGAATAAGCACAAGCAGAGGAAGCACAAGAAGAGGAGCGCAAGCAGAGGAAGTGCAAGCAGAGGAAACGCAAGCAGAGGAAGCACAAGCAGAGGAAGCGCAAGTAGAGGAAGCACAAGTAGAAGAAGCACAAGCAGAGGAAGCGCAAGCAGAGGAAGCACAAGCAAGGAAGCACAAGTAGAGAAAGCGCAAGCAGAGGAAGCGCAAGCAGAGAAAGCACAAGCAGAGGAAGCACAAGGAGAGGAGCGCAAGCAGAGGAAGCGCAAGTAGAGGAAGCACAAGTAGAGGAAGCACAAGCAGAGGAAGCACAAGCAGAGGAAGCTCAAGCAGAGGAAGCACAAGCAGAGGAAGCACAAGTAGAGGAAGCACATGCAGAGGAAGCACAAGCAGAGGAAGCATAAGAAGAGGAAGCACAAGCAGAGGAAGAACAAGCAAAGGAAGCGCAAGCTGAAGAAGCACAAGCAGAGGAAACGCAAGCAAAGGAAGCACAAGCAGAGGAAGCACAAGCAGAGGAAGCGCAAGCAGAGGAAGCACAAGCAGAGGAAGCTCAAGCGGAGGAAGCGTAAGCAGAGGATGCACAAGCTAAGGAAGAACAAGCAAAGGAAGCGCAAGCTTAAGAAGCACAAGCAGAGGAAACGCAAGCAAAGGAAGCACAAGCAGAGGAAGCACAAGCAGAGGAGCGCAAGCAGAGGAAGCGCAAGCAGAGGAAGCGCAAGAAGAGGAAGCACAAGCAGAGGAAGCGCTAGCAGAGGAAGCGGAAGCTGAGGAGTCACAACCAGAGGAAGCGCAAGCAGAGGAAGCGCAAGTTGAGGAAGCACAAGCAGAGGAAGCAAAAGCAGAGGAAGCACAAGCAGAGGAAGCGCGAGTTGAGGAAGCGCAAGCAGAGGAAGCGTAAGCAGAGGAAGCACAAGCAGAGGAAGCGCAAGCAGAGGAAGCACAAGCAGAGGAAGCACAAGCAAAGGAGTCACAACCAGAGGAAGTGCAAGCAGAGGAAGCGCAAGCAGAGGAAGCACAAAAAGAGGAAAATCAAGCAGAGGAAGCACAAGCAGAGGAAGCACAAGAAGAGGAAGCACAAGCAGAGGAAGCACAAGCAGAGGAAGCGCGAGCAGAGGAAGCGCAAGCAGAGGAAGCGTAAGCAGAGGAAGCACAAGCAGAGGAGCGCAAGCAGAGGAAGCGCAAGCTGAGGAAGCGCAAGCAAAGGAAGCGCAAGCAGAGGATGCGCAAGGAGAGGAAGCGCAAGTAGAGGAAGCGCAAGCAGAGGAGTCACAACTAGAGGAAGCGCAAGCAGAGGAAGCGCAAGCAGAGGAAGCACAAGAAGAGGAAGCACAAGCAGAGGAAGAACAAGGAGAGGAAGCACAAGAAGAGGAAGCACAAGCAGAGGAAGCACAAGCGGAGGAAGCGCGAGCAGAGGAAGCGCAAGCAGAGGAAGCGTAAGCAGAGGAAGCACAAGCAATGGAAGTGCAAGCAGAGGAAGCACAAGCAGAGGAAGCGTAAGAAGAGGGAGCACAAGCAGAGGAAGCACAAGCAGAAGAGCGCAAGCAGAGGAAGCGCAAGCAGAGGAAGCACAAGAAGAGGAAGCGCAAGCGGAGGAAGCACAACCAGAGGAAGCGCAAGCAGAGGAAGCACAAGCAGAGGAAGCACAAGAAGAGGAGCGCAAGCAGAGGAAGTGCAAGCAGAGGAAACGGAAGTAGAGGAAGCACCTGCAGAGGAAGCGCAAGTAGAGGAAGCACATGCGGAAGAAGCACAAGCAGAGGAAGCGCAAGCAGAGGAAGCACAAGCAAGGAAGCACAAGTAGAGGAAGCGCAAAAAGGAAGCGTAAGCAGAGGAAGCACAAGCAGAGGAAGCACAAGGAGAGGAGCGCAAGCAGAGGAAGCGCAAGCAGAGGAAGCACAAGCGAAGGAAGCACAAGCAGAGGAAGCACAAGCAGAGGAAGCGTAAGCAGAGGAAGCACAAGCAGAGGAAGCACAAGTAGAGGAAGCACATGCAGAGGAAGCACAAGCAGAGGAAGCACAAGCAGAGGAAGCACAAGTAGAGGAAGAACAAGCAAAGGAAGCGCAAGCTGAAGAAGCACAAGCAGAGGAAACGCAAGCAAAGGAAGCACAAGCAGAGAAAGCACAAGCAGAGGAAGCGCAAGCAGAGGAAGCACAAGCAGAGGAAGTGCAAGCAAAGGAAGCGCAAGCAGAGGAAGCACAAGCTGAGGTAGCACAAGAAGAGGAAGCGCAAGCAAAGGAAGCACCTTCAGAGGAAGCGCAAGCAGAGGAAGCGCAAGGAGTGGAAGCACAAGTAGAGGAAGCGCAAGCAGAGGAAGCGCAAGAAGAGGAAGCACAAGCAGAGGAAGCGCAAGCAAAGGAAATGCAAGCAGAGGAAGCGCAAGCAGAGGAAGCACACGCAAAGGAAGCGCAAGCAGAGGAAGCACAAGAAGACGATGCGCAAGCAGAGGAAGCACAAGCAAAGGAAGCACAAGCAGAGGAGCGCAAGCAGAGGAAGCACAAGCAGAGGAAGCGCAAGCAGAGGAAGCGCAAGCAGAGGAAGCACAAGAAGAGGAAGCACAAGCAGAGGAAGCAACAGCAGAGGAAGCGCAAGCAGAGGAAGCACAAGGAGAGGAAGCGCAAGTAGAGGAAGCACAAGTATAGGAAACACAAGCAAAGAAGCGCAAGCAGAGGAAGCACAAGCAGAGGAAGCAAAAGCAGAGGAAGCGCAAGCAGAGGAAGCACAAGTAGAGGAAGCGAAAGCAGAGGAAGCACAAGCAGAGGATGCGCAAGGAGAGGAAGCACAAGCAGAGGAAGCACAAGTAGAGGAGCGCAAGCAGAGGAAGCGCAAGCAGAGGAAGCGCAAGAAGAGGAAGCACAAGAAGAGGAAGCGCAAGCAGAGGAAGCAGAAGCTGAGGAGTCACAACCAGAGGAAGCGCAAGCAGAGGAAGCGCAAGTTGAGGAAGCACAAGCAGAGGAAGCAAAAGCAGAGGAAGCACAAGTAGGGGAAGCGCGAGTTGAGGAAGCGCAAGCAGAGGAAGCGTAAGCAGAGGAAGCACAAGCAGAGGAAGCGCAAGTAGAGGAAGCACAAGCAGAGGAAGCACAAGCAAAGGAGTCACAACCAGAGGAAGTGCAAGCAGAGGAAGCGCAAGCAGAGGAAGCACAAAAAGAGGAAAATCAAGCAGAGGAAGCACAAGCAGAGGAAGCACAAGAAGAGGAAGCACAAGCAGAGGAAGCACAAGCAGAGGAAGCGCGAGCAGAGGAAGCGCAAGCAGAGGAAGCGTAAGCAGAGGAAGCACAAGCAGAGGAGCGCAAGCAGAGGAAGCGCAAGCTGAGGAAGCGCAAGCAAAGGAAGCGCAAGCAGAGGATGCGCAAGGAGAGGAAGCGCAAGTAGAGGAAGCGCAAGCAGAGGAGTCACAACCAGAGGAAGCGCAAGCAGAGGAAGCGCAAGCAGAGGAAGCACAAGAAGAGGAAGCACAAGCAGAGGAAGCACAAGGAGAGGAAGCACAAGAAAAGGAAGCACAAGCAGAGGAAGCACAAGCGGAGGAAGCGCGAGCAGAGGAAGCGCAAGCAGAGGAAGCGTAAGCAGAGGAAGCACAAGCAGAGGAAGTGCAAGCAGAGGAAGCACAAGCAGAGGAAGCGTAAGAAGAGGGAGCACAAGCAGAGGAAGCACAAGCAGAGGAGCGCAAGCAGAGGAAGCGCTAGCAGAGGAAGCACAAGAAGAGGAAGCGCAAGCGGAGGAAGCACAACCAGAGGAAGCGCAAGCAGAGGAAGCACAAGCAGAGGAAGCACAAGAAGAGGAGCGCAAGCAGAGGAAGTGCAAGCAGAGGAAACGGAAGTAGAGGAAGCACCTGCAGAGGAAGCGCAAGTAGAGGAAGCACATGCGGAAGAAGCACAAGCAGAGGAAGCGCAAGCAGAGGAAGCACAAGCAAGGAAGCACAAGTAGAGGAAGCGCAAAAAGGAAGCGTAAGCAGAGGAAGCACAAGCAGAGGAAGCACAAGGAGAGGAGCGCAAGCAGAGGAAGCGCAAGCGGAGGAAGCACAAGCGAAGGAAGCACAAGCAGAGGAAGCACAAGCAGAGGAAGCGCAAGCAGAGGAAGCACAAGCAGAGGAAGCACAAGTAGAGGAAGCACATGCAGAGGAAGCACAAGCAGAGGAAGCACAAGCAGAGGAAGCACAAGTAGAGGAAGAACAAGCAAAGGAAGCGCAAGCTGAAGAAGCACAAGCAGAGGAAACGCAAGCAAAGGAAGCACAAGCAGAGAAAGCACAAGCAGAGGAAGCGCAAGCAGAGGAAGCACAAGCAAAGGAAGTGCAAGCAAAGGAAGCGCAAGCAGAGGAAGCACAAGTAGAGGTAGCACAAGAAGAGGAAGCGCAAGCAAAGGAAGCACCTTCAGAGGAAGCGCAAGCAGAGGAAGCGCAAGGAGTGGAAGCACAAGTAGAGGAAGCGCAAGCAGAGGAAGCGCAAGCAGAGGAAGCACAAGCAGAGGAAGCGCAAGCAAAGGAAATGCAAGCAGAGGAAGCGCAAGCAGAGGAAGCACACGCAAAGGAAGCGCAAGCAGAGGAAGCACAAGCAGACAATGCGCAAGCAGAGGAAGCACAAGCAAAGGAAGCACAAGCAGAGGAGCGCAAGCAGAGGAAGCACAAGCAGAGGAAGCGCAAGCAGAGGAAGCGCAAGCAGAGGAAGCACAAGAAGAGGAAGCACAAGCAGAGGAAGCAACAGCAGAGGAAGCGCAAGCAGAGGAAGCACAAGGAGAGGAAGCGCAAGTAGAGGAAGCACAAGCATAGGAAACACAAGCAAAGAAGCGCAAGCAGAGGAAGCACAAGCAGAGGAAGCAAAAGCAGAGGAAGCGCAAGCAGAGGAAGCACAAGTAGAGGAAGCGAAAGCCGAGGAAGCACAAGCAGAGGATGCGCAAGGAGAGGAAGCACAAGCAGAGGAAGCACAAGTAGAGGAGCGCAAGCAGAGGAAGCGCAAGCAGAGGAAGCGCAAGAAGAGGAAGCACAAGAAGAGGAAGCGCAAGCAGAGGAAGCGGAAGCTGAGGAGTCACAACCAGAGGAAGCGCAAGCAGAGGAAGCGCAAGTTGAGGAAGCACAAGCAGAGGAAGCACAAGCAGAGTAAGCACAAGCAGAGGAAGCGCGAGTAGAGGAAGCGCAAGCAGAGGAAGCGTAAGCAGAGGAAGCACAAGAAGAGGAAGCGCAAGCAGAGGAAGCACAAGCAGAGGAAGCGCAAGAAGAGGAAGCACAAGTAGAGGAAGCAAAAGCAGAGGAAGCACAAGCAGAGGAGCGCAAGCAGAGGAAGCGCAAGCAAAGGAAGCACAAGAAGAGGAAGAGCAAGCGGAGGAAGCAAAAGCAGAGAAAGCGCAAGCAGAGGAAGCATAAGCAGAGGAAGCACAAGCAGAGGAGCGCAAGCAGAGGAAGTGCAAGCAGAGGAAATGCAAAAAGAGGAAGCACAAGCAGAGGAAGCGCAAGTAGATGAAGCACAAGCAGAAGAAGCGCAAGTAGAGGAAGCGCAAGCAGAGGAAGCACAAGCTATGGAAGCACAAGCAGAAGAAGCGCAAGCAGAGGAAGCACATGAAGAGGAAGCCCATTTCGAGGAAGCACAAGCAGAGGAAGCACAAGCAGAGGAAGTGCAAGCAGAGGAAGCACAAGCAGAGGAAGCGCAAGCAGAGCAAGCACAAGCAGAGGAGGCACAAGCAGAGGAAGCACAAGCAGAGGAGCGCAAGTAGAGGTAGCGCAAGCAGAGGAAGCGCAAGCACAGGAAGCGCAAGCAAACGAAGCGCAAGCAAAGGAAGCGCAAGTAGAGGAAGCACAAGCAGAGGAAGCGCAAGTAGAGGAAGCACAGGCATAGGAAGCGCAAGCAGAGGAAGCGTTAGTAGAGGAAGCGCAAGCAGAGGAAGCGCAAGCAGAGGAAGACAAGTAGAGGAAGCACAAGTAGAGGAAGCGCAAGCAGAGGAAGCACAAGCAGAGGAAGCACAAGCGGAGGAAGCGCGAGCAGAGGAGGCGCAAGCAGAGGAAGCGTAAGCAGAGGAAGCACAAGCAGAGGAAGCGCAAGCAGAGGAAGCACAAGCAGAGGAAGCGTAAAAAGAGGGAGCAAAAGCAGAGGAAGCACAAGCAGAGGAGCGCAAGCAGAGGAAGCGCAAGCAGAGGAAGCACAAGAAGAGGAAGCGCAAGCGGAGGAAGTACAACCAGAGGAAGCGCAAGCAGAGGAAGCACAAGCAGAGGAAGCACAAGAAGAGGAGCGCAAGTAGAGGAAGTGCAAGCAGAGGAAACGGAAGTAGAGGAAGCACAAGCAGAGGAAGCGTAAGTAGCGGAAGCACAAGCAGAAGAAGCACAAGCAGAGGAAGCGCAAGCAGAGGAAGCACAAGCAAGGAAGCACAAGTAGAGGAAGCGCAAGCAGAGGAAGCGTAAGCAGAGGAAGCACAAGCAGAGGAAGCACAAGTAGAGGAGCGCAAGCAGAGGAAGCGCAAGCAGAGGAAGCACAAGCGAAGGAAGCAAAAGCAGAGGAAGCACAAGCAGAGGAAGCGCAAGCAGAGGAAGCACAAGCAGAGGAAGCACAAGTAGAGGAAGCACAAGGAGAGGAGCGCAAGCAGAGGAAGCGCAAGCAGAGGAAGCACAAGCGAAGGAAGCACAAGCAGAGGAAGCACAAGCAGAGGAAGCGCAAGCAGAGGAAGCACAAGCAGAGGAAGCACAAGTAGAGGAAGCACATGCAGAGGAAGCACAAGCAGAGGAAGCACAAGCAGAGGAAGCACAAGTAGAGGAAGAACAAGCAAAGGAAGCGCAAGCTGAAGAAGCACAAGCAGAGGAAACGCAAGCAAAGGAAGCACAAGCAGAGAAAGCACAAGCAGAGGAAGCGCAAGCAGAGGAAGCACAAGCAGAGGAAGTGCAAGCAAAGGAAGCGCAAGCAGAGGAAGCACAAGCAGAGGTAGCACAAGAAGAGGAAGCGCAAGCAAAGGAAGCACCTTCAGAGGAAGCGCAAGTAGAGGAAGCGCAAGGAGTGTAAGCACAAGTAGAGGAAGCGCAAGCAGAGGAAGCGCAAGCAGAGGAAGCACAAGTAGAGGAAGCGCAAGCAAAGGAAATGCAAGCAGAGGAAGCGCAAGCAGAGGAAGCACACGCAGAGGAAGCGCAAGCAGAGGAAGCACAAGCAGACGATGCGCAAGCAGAGGAAGCACAAGCAAAGGAAGCACAAGCAGAGGAGCACAAGCAGAGGAAGCACAAGCAGAGGAAGCGCAAGCAGAGGAAGCGCAAGCAGAGGAAGCACAAGAAGAGGAAGCAACAGCAGAGGAAGCGCAAGCAGAGGAAGCACAAGCAGAGGAAGCGCAAGTAGAGGAAGCACAAGCATAGGAAACACAAGCAAAGAAGCGCAAGCAGAGGAAGCACAAGCAGAGGAAGCGCAAGCAAAGGAAATGCAAGCTGAGGAAGCGCAAGCAGAGGAAGCACACGCAGAGGAAGCGCAAGCAGAGGAAGCACAAGCAGACGATGCGCAAGCAGAGGAAGCACAAGCAAAGGAAGCACAAGCAGAGGAGCGCAAGCAGAGGAAGCACAAGCAGAGGAAGCGCAAGCAGAGGAAGCGCAAGCAGAGGAAGCACAAGAAGAGGAAGCAACAGCAGAGGAAGCGCAAGCAGAGGAAGCACAAGCAGAGGAAGCGCAAGTAGAGGAAGCACAAGCATAGGAAACACAAGCAAAGAAGCGCAAGCAGAGGAAGCACAAGCAGAGGAAGCGCAAGCAAAGGAAATGCAAGCTGAGGAAGCGCAAGCAGAGGAAGCACACGCAGAGGAAGCGCAAGCAGAGGAAGCACAAGCAGACGATGCGCAAGCAGAGGAAGCACAAGCAAAGGAAGCACAAGCAGAGGAGCGCAAGCAGAGGAAGCACAAGCAGAGGAAGCGCAAGCAGAGGAAGCGCAAGCAGAGGAAGCGCAAGCAGAGGAAGCAACAGCAGAGGAAGCGCAAGCAGAGGAAGCACAAGCAGAGGAAGCGCAAGTAGAGGAAGCACAAGCATAGGAAACACAAGCAAAGAAGCGCAAGCAGAGGAAGCACAAGCAGAGGAAGCACAAGCAGAGGAAGCGCAAGCAGAGGAAGCACAAGTAGAGGAAGCGGAAGCAGAGGAAGCACAAGCAGAGGATGCGCAAGGAGAGGAAGCACAAGCAGAGGAAGCACAAGTAGAGGAGCGCAAGAAGAGGAAGCGCAAGCAGAGGAAGCGCAAGAAGAGGAAGCACAAAAAGAGGAAGCGCAAGCAGAGGAAGCGGAAGCTGAGGAGTCACAACCAGAGGAAGCGCAAGCAGAGGAAGCGCAAGTTGAGGAAGCACAAGCAGAGGAAGCACAAGCAGAGTAAGCACAAGCAGAGGAAGCGCGAGCAGAGGAAGCGCAAGCAGAGGAAGCGTAAGCAGAGGAAGCACAAGAAGAGGAAGCGCAAGCAGAGGAAGCACAAGCAGAGGAAGCGCAAGAAGATGAAGCACAAGTAGAGGAAGCACAAGCAGAGGAAGCACAAGCAGAGGAGCGCAAGCAGAGGAAGCGCAAGCAAAGGAAGCACAAGAAGAGGAAGAGCAAGCGGAGGAAGCAAAAGCAGAGGAAGCGCAAGCAGAGGAAGCATAAGCAGAGGAAGCACAAGCAGAGGAGCGCAAGCAGAGGAAGTGCAAGCAGAGGAAATGCAAAAAGAGGAAGCACAAGCAGAGGAAGCGCAAGTAGATGAAGCACAAGCAGAAGAAGCGCAAGTAGAGGAAGCGCAAGCAGAGGAAGCGCAAGCAGAGGAAGCACAAGCTATGGAAGCACAAGCAGAAGAAGCGCAAGCAGAGGAAGCACATGAAGAGGAAGCCCATTTCGAGGAAGCACAAGCAGAGGAAGCACAAGCAGAGGAAGTGCAAGCAGAGGAAGCACAAGCAGAGGAAGCGCAAGCAGAGCAAGCACAAGCAGAGGAGGCACAAGCAGAGGAAGCACAAGCAGAGGAGCGCAAGTAGAGGAAGCGCAAGCAAAGGGAGCGCAAGCACAGGAAGCGCAAGCAAACGAAGCGCAAGCAGAGGAAGCGCAAGTAGAGGAAGCACAAGCAGAGGAAGCGCAAGTAGAGGAAGCACAAGCATAGGAAGCGCAAGCAGAGGAAGCGCAAGTAGAGGAAGCGCAAGCAGAGGAAGCGCAAGCAGAGGAAGCGCAAGTAGAGGAAGCACAAGTAGAGGAAGCGCAAGCAGAGGAAGCACAAGCAGAGGAAGCGCTAGCAGAGGAAGCACAAGCAGAGGAAGCACAAGCAGAGGAGCGCAAGCACAGGAAGCGCAAGCATAGGAAGCGCAAGAAGAGGAAGCGCAAGCAGAGGAAGCACAAGCAGAGGAAGCACAAGCGGAGGAAGCACAAGTAGAGGCAGCACAAGCAGAGGAAGCCCAAGCAAAGGAAGCGCAAGCAGAGGAGCGCAAGCAGAGGAAGCACAAGCAGAGGAAGCACGAGCAGAGGAAGCACAAGCAGAGGAAGCACAAGCAGAGGAAGCCAAAGCAAAGGAAGCGCAAGCAGAGGAGCGCAAGCAGAGGAAGCGCAAGAAGAGGAAGCACAAGCAGAGGAAGCACAAGTAGAGGAAGCACAAGTAGAGGAAGCACAAGCATAAGAAGCACAAGTAGAGGAAGCAAAAGCATAGGAAGCACAAGCAGAGGTAGCGAAAGCAGAGGAAGCGCAAGCAGAGGAAGCACAAGCAGAGGAAGCGGAAGCAGACGAAGCACAAGCAGAGGAAGCGCAAGCAGAAGAAGCACAAGCAGAGGAAGCGCAAGTAGAGGAAGCACAAGCACAGGAAGCCCATTTAGAGGAGCCCAAGCAGAGGAGGCGCAAGCAGAGGAAGCGCAAGCAGAGGAAGCGCAAGCAGAGGAAGCGCAAGCAGAGGAAGCGCAAGCAGAGGAAGCGCAAGCAGAGGAAGCACAAGTAGAGGAAGCGCAAGCAGAGGAAGCACAAGCAGAGGAAGCATAAGCAGAGGAAGCACAAGCAGAGGAAGCGCATGCAGAGGAAGTGCAAGCAGAGGAAGTGCAAGAAGAAGAAGCACAAGCAGAGGAGGCGCAAGCACAGGAAGCACAAGCAGAGAAAGCGCAAGCAGAGGAAGCACAAGCAGAGGAAGCGCAAGCAGAGGAAGCGCAAGCAGAGGAAGCACAAGCACAGGAAGCACAAGCAGAGGAAGCGCAAGCAGAGGAAGCGCAAGCAAAGGAAGCGCAAGCAGAGGAAGCGCAAGGAGAGGAAGCGCAAGCAGAGGAAGCACAAGCAGAGGAAGAGCAAGGAGAGGAAGCACAAGCAGAGGAAGCGCAAGCAGGGGAAGCACAAGCAGAGGAAGTACAAGCTCAGGAGCTTAAGCAAAGGAAGCGTAAGGAGAGCAAGCAGAGGAAGCACAAGCAGAGGAAGAGCAAGCAGAGGAAGCACAAGCACAGGAAGCGCAAGAAGAGGAAGCACAAGCAGAGGAAGCAACAGCAGAGGAAGCGCAAGCAGAGGAAGCACAAGCAGAGGAATCGCAAGTAGAAGAAGCACAAGCATAGGAAGCAGAAGCAAAGAAGCGCAAGCAGAGGAAGCACAAGCAGAGGAAGCACAAGCAGAGGAAGCGCAAGCAGAGGAAGCACAAGTAGAGGAAGCGGAAGCAGAGGAAGCACAAGCAAAGGAAGTGCAAGCAAAGGAAGCACAAGCAGAGGAAGCACAAGTAGAGAAGCGCAAGCAGAGGAAGCGCAAGCACAGGAAGCGCAAGCAGAGGAAGCACAAGCAGAGGAAGTGCATGCAGAGGAAGCGCAAGCTGAGGAGTCACAACCACAGGAAGCGCAAGCAGAGGAAGCGCAAGCAGAGGAAGAACAAGCAGAGGAAGCACAAGCAAAGGAAGCACAAGCAGAGGAAGCGCAAGCAGAGGAAGCACAAGCAGAGGAAGCGCAAGAAGAGGAAGCACAAGCAGAGGAAGCACAGGCAGAGGAAGCACAAGCAGAGGAGCGCAAGCAGAGGAAACGCAAGCAGAGGAAGCACAAGAAGAGGAAGCGCAAGCAGAGGAAGCATAAGCAGAGGAAGAACAAGCAAAGGAAGCGCAAGCAGAGGAAGCACAAGCAGAGGAAGCGCAAGAAGAGGAAGCACAAGCAGAGGAAGCACAAGCAGAGGAAGCACAAGCAGAGGAGCGCAAGCAGAGGAAGCGCAAGCAGAGGAAGCACACGCAGAGGAAGCGCAAGCAGAGGAAGCAATAGCAGAGGATGCGCAAGCAGAGGAAGCACAAGCAAAGGAAGCACAAGCAGAGGAGCGCAAGCAGAGGAAGCACAAGCAAAGGAAGCGCAAGCAGAGGAATCGCAAGCAGAGGAAGCGCAAGAAGCGGAAGCACAAGCAGACGAAGCAACAGCAGAGGAAGCGCAAGCAGAGGAAGCGCAAGAAGAGGAAGCACAAGCAGAGGAAGCACAAGTAGAGGAAGCACAAGTAGAGGAAGCACAAGCATAGGAAGCACAAGCAGAGGAAGCACAAGCATAGGAAGCACAAGCAGAGGTAGCGAAAGCAGAGGAAGCGCAAGCAGAGGAAGCACAAGCAGAGGAAGCAGAAGCAGACGAAGCACAAGCAAAGGAAGTGCAAGCAGAAGAAGCACAAGCAGAGGAAGTGCAAGTAGAGGAAGCACAAGCACAGGAAGCCCATTTAGAGGAGCCCAAGCAGAGGAGGCGCAAGCAGAGGAAGCGCAAGCAGAGGAAGCGCAAGCAGAGGAAGCGCAAGCAGAGGAAGCGCAAGCAGAGGAAGCGCAAGCAGAGGAAGCACAAGTAGAGGAAGCGCAAGCAGAGGAAGCACAAGCAGAGGAAGAGCAAGCAGAGGAAGCACAAGCACAGGAAGCGCAAGAAGAGGAAGCACAAGCAGAGGAAGCAACAGCAGAGGAAGCGCAAGCAGAGGAAGCACAAGTAGAGGAATCGCAAGTAGAAGAAGCACAAGCATAGGAAGCAGAAGCAAAGAAGCGCAAGCAGAGGAAGCACAAGCAGAGGAAGCACAAGCAGAGGAAGCGCAAGCAGAGGAAGCACAAGTAGAGGAAGCGGAAGCAGAGGAAGCACAAGCAGAGGAAGTGCAAGCAGAGGAAGCACAAGCAGAGGAAGCACAAGTAGAGAAGCACAAGCAGAGGAAGCGCAAGCACAGGAAGCGCAAGCAGAGGAAGCAAAAGCAGAGGAAGTGCACGCAGAGGAAGCGCAAGCTGAGGAGTCACAACCACAGGAAGCGCAAGCAGAGGAAGCGCAAGCAGAGGAAGAACAAGCAGAGGAAGCACAAGCAGAGGAAGCACAAGTAGAGGAAGCGCAAGCAGAGGAAGCACAAGCAGAGGAAGCGCAAGAAGAGGAAGCACAAGCAGAGGAAGCACAGGCAGAGGAAGCACAAGCAGAGGAGCGCAAGCAGAGGAAACGCAAGCAGAGGAAGCACAAGAAGAGGAAGCGCAAGCAGAGGAAGCATAAGCAGAGGAAGAACAAGCAAAGGAAGCGCAAGCAGAGGAAGCACAAGCAGAGGAAGCGCAAGAAGAGGAAGCACAAGCAGAGGAAGCACAAGCAGAGGAAGCACAAGCAGAGGAGCGCAAGCAGAGGAAGCGCAAGCAGAGGAAGCACACGCAGAGGAAGCGCAAGCAGAGGAAGCAATAGCAGAGGATGCGCAAGCAGAGGAAGCACAAGCAGAGGAAGCACAAGCAGAGGAGCGCAAGCAGAGGAAGCACAAGCAAAGGAAGCGCAAGCAGAGGAATCGCAAGCAGAGGAAGCGCAAGAAGCGGAAGCACAAGCAGACGAAGCAACAGCAGAGGAAGCGCAAGCAGAGGAAGCGCAAGAAGAGGAAGCACAAGCAGAGGAAGCACAAGTAGAGGAAGCACAAGTAGAGGAAGCACAAGCATAGGAAGCACAAGCAGAGGAAGCACAAGCATAGGAAGCACAAGCAGAGGTAGCGAAAGCAGAGGAAGCGCAAGCAGAGGAAGCACAAGCAGAGGAAGCAGAAGCAGACGAAGCACAAGCAAAGGAAGTGCAAGCAGAAGAAGCACAAGCAGAGGAAGTGCAAGTAGAGGAAGCACAAGCACAGGAAGCCCATTTAGAGGAGCCCAAGCAGAGGAGGCGCAAGCAGAGGAAGCGCAAGCAGAGGAAGCGCAAGCAGAGGAAGCGCAAGCAGAGGAAGCGCAAGCAGAGGAAGCGCAAGCAGAGGAAGCACAAGTAGAGGAAGCGCAAGCAGAGGAAGCACAAGCAGAGGAAGCATAAGCAGAGGAAGCGCAAGCAGAGAAAGCGCATGCAGAGGAAGTGCAAGCAGAGGAAGTGCAAGAAGAGGAAGCACAAGCAGAGGAGGCGCAAGCACAGGAAGCGCAAGCAGAGGAAGCGCAAGGAGAGGAAGCGCAAGCAGAGGAAGCGCAAGCAGAGGAAGCACAAGCACAGGAAGCACAAGCAGAGGAGCGCAGGCAGAGAAAGCGTAAGCAAAGGAAGAGCAAGCAGAAGAAGCACAAGCAGAGGAAGCGTAAGCAGAGGAAGCGCAAGAAGAGGAAGCGCAAGCAGAGGAAGCGCAAGCAGAGGAAGCGCAAGTAGAGGAAGCACAAGCAGAGGAAGCGCAAACAGAGGAAGCACAAGCAAGAAGCACAAGCAGATGAAGCACAAGCAGAGGAGCGAAAGCAGAGGAAGCGCAAGCAGAGGAAGCACAAGCAGAGGAAGCGCAAGGAGAGGAAGCACAAGCAGAGGAAGCGCAAGCAGGGGAAGCACAAGCAGAGGAAGTACAAGCACAGGAGCTCAAGCAAAGGAAGCGTAAGGAGAGCAAGCGCAAGCAGGGGAAGCACAAGCACAGGAAGCGCAAGAAGAGGAAGCACAAGCAGAGGAAGCAACAGCAGAGGAAGCGCAAGCAGAGGAAGCACAAGCAGAGGAAGCACAAGCAGAGGAAGCGCAAGCAGAGGAAGCACAAGTAGAGGAAGCGGAAGCAGAGGAAGCACAAGCAGAGGAAGTGCAAGCAGAGGAAGCACAAGAAGAGGAAGCACAAGTAGAGGAGCGCAAGCAGAGGAAGCGCAAGCACAGGAAGCGCAAGCAGAGGAAGTGCACGCAGAGGAAGCGCAAGCTGAGGAGTCACAACCACAGGAAGCGCAAGCAGAGGAAGCGCAAGCAGAGGAAGAACAAGCAGAGGAAGCACAAGCAGAGGAAGCACGAGCAGAGGAAGCGCAAGCAGAGGAAGCACAAGCAGAGGAAGCGCAAGAAGAGGAAGCACAAGCAGAGGAAGCAAAAGCAGAGGAAGCACAAGCAGAGGAGCGCAAGCAGAGGATGCACAAGAAGAGGAAGCGCAAGCAGAGGAAGCATAAGCAGAGGAAGAACAAGCAAAGGAAGCGCAAGCAGAGGAAGCACAAGCAGAGGAAGCGCAAGAAGAGGGAGCACAAGCAGAGGAAGCACAAGCAGAGGAAGCACAAGCAGAGGAGCGCAAGCAGAGGAAGCGCAAGCAGAGGAAGCACACGCAGAGGAAGCGCAAGCAGAGGAAGCAATAGCAGAGGATGCGCAAGCAGAGGAAGCACAAGCAGAGGAAGCACAAGCAGAGGAGCGCAAGCAGAGGAAGCACAAGCAGAGGAAGCGCAAGAAGAGGACTCGCAAGCAGAGGAAGCGCAAGAAGCGGAAGCACAAGCAGACGAAGCAATAGCAGAGGAAGCGCAAGCAGAGGAAGCACAAGCAAAGGAAGCACAAGCAGAGGAAGCGCAAGCAGAGTAAGCACAAGTAGAGGAAGCGGAAGCAGAGGAAGCACAAGCAGAGGATGCGCAAGCAGAGGAAGCACAAGCAGAGGAAGCACAAGCAGAGGAGCGCAAGCAGAGGAAGCGCAAGCTGAGGAAGCGCAAGAAGAGGAAGCACAAGCAGAGGAAGCGCAAGCAGAGGAAGCGGAAGCTGAGGAGTCACAACCAGAGGAATCGCAAGCAGAGGAAGCGCAAGTTGAGGAAGCACAAGCAGAGGAAGCACAAGCTGAGGAAGCACAAGCAGAGGAAGCGCAAGCAGAGGAAGCGTGAGCAAAGGAAGCACAAGCAGAGGAAGCGCAAGCAGAGGAAGCACAAGCAGAGGAAGCGCAAGAAGAGGAAGCACAAGCAGAGGAAGCACAAGCAGAGGAAGCACAAGCAGAGGAGCGCAAGCAGAGGAAGCGCAAGCAAAGGAAGCACAAGAAGAGGAAGCGCAAGCGGAGGAAGCACAAGCAGAGGAAGCGCAAGCAGAGGAAGCATGAGCAGAGGAAGCACAAGAAGAGGAGCGCAAGCAAAGTAAGTGCAAGCAGAGGAAACGCAAAAAGAGGAAGCACAAGCAGAGGAAGCGCAAGTAGATGAAGCACAAGCAGAAGAAGCGCAGGCAGAGGAAGCGCAAGCAGAGGAAGCGCAAGAAGAGGAAGCACAAGCTATGGAAGCACAAGCAGAAGAAGCGCAAGCAGAGGAAGCACATGAAGAGGAAGCCCACTTCGAGGAAGCACAAGCAGAGGAAGCGCAAGCAGAGGAAGCACAAGCAGAGGAAGCGCAAGCAGAGGAAGCACAAGCAGACGAGGCACAAGCAGAGGAAGCACAAGCAGAGGAGCGCAAGCAGAGGAAGAACAAGCAGAGGAAGCGCAAGCAGAGGAAGCGCAAGCAAAGGAAGCGCAAGCAGAGGAAGCGCAAGTAGAGGAAGCACAAGCAGAGGAAGCGCAAGTAGAGGAAGCAAAAGCATAGGAAGCGCAAGCAGAGGAAGCGCAAGTAGAGGAAGCGCAAGCAGAGGAAGCGCAAGCAGAGGAAGCGCAAGTAGAGGAAGCACAAGTAGAGGAAGCGCAAGCAGAGGAAGCACCAGCAGAGGAAGCGCTAGCAGAGAAAGCACAAGCAGAGGAAGCACAAGCAGAGGAGCGCAAGCACAGGAAGCGCAAGCATAGGAAGCGCAAGAAGAGGAAGCGCAAGCAGAGGAAGCACAAGAAGAGGAAGCACAAGCAGAGGAAGCACAAGCAGAGGAAGCACAAGAAGAGGAAGCACAAGCAGAGGAAGCACAAGCGGAGGAAGCGCGAGCAGAGGAAGCGCAAGCAGAGGAAGCGTAAGCAGAGGAAGCACAAGCAGAGGAAGCGCAAGTAGAGGAAGCACAAGCAGAGGAAGCGTAAAAAGAGGGAGCACAAGCAGAGGAAGCACAAGCAGAGGAGCGCAAGCAGAGGAAGCGCAAGCAGAGGAAGCACAAGAAGAGGAAGCGCAAGCGGAGGAAGCACAACCAGAGGAAGCGCAAGCAGAGGAAGCACAAGCTGAGGAAGCACAAGAAGAGGAGCGCAAGCAGAGGAAGTGCAAGCAGAGGAAACGGAAGTAGAGGAAGCACAAGCAGAGGAAGCGAAAGTAGAGGAAGCACAAGCAGAAGAAGCACAAGCAGAGGAAGCGCAAGCAGAGGAAGCACAAGCAAGGAAGCACAAGTAGAGGAAGCGCAAGCAGAGGAAGCGTAAGCAGAGGAAGCACAAGCAGAGGAAGCACAAGGAGAGGAGCGCAAGCAGAGGAAGCGCAAGCAGAGGAAGCACAAGCAAAGGAAGCAAAAGCAGAGGAAGCACAAGCAGAGGAAGCGCAAGCAGAGGAAGCACAAGCACAGGAAGCACAAGTAGAGGAAGCACATGCAGAGGAAGCACAAGCAGAGGAAGCACAAGCAGAGGAAGCACAAGTAGAGGAAGAACAAGCAAAGGAAGCGCAAGCTGAAGAAGCACAAGCAGAGGAAACGCAAGCAAAGGAAGCACAAGCAGAGAAAGCACAAGCAGAGGAAGGGCAAGCAGAGAAAGCACAAGCAGAGGAAGTGCAAGCAAAGGAAGCGCAAGCAGAGGAAGCACAAGCAGAGGTAGCACAAGAAGAGGAAGCGCAAGCAAAGGAAGCACCTTCAGAAGAAGCGCAAGCAGAGGAAGCGCAAGGAGTGGAAGCACAAGTAGAGGAAGCGCAAGCAGAGGAAGCGCAAGCAGAGGAAGCACAAGCGGAGGAAGCGCAAGCAAAGGAAATGCAAGCAGAGGAAGCGCAAGCAGAGGAAGCACACGTAGAGGAAGCGCAAGCAGAGGAAGCACAAGCAGACGATGCGCAAGCAGAGGAAGCACAAGCAAAGGAAGCACAAGCAGAGGAGCGCAAGCAGAGGAAGCACAAGCAGAGGAAGCGCAAGCAGAGGAAGCGCAAGCAAAGGAAGCACAAGAAGAGGAAGCAACAGCAGAGGAAGCGCAAGCAGAGGAAGCACAAGCAGAGGAAGCGCAAGTAGAGGAAGCACAAGCATAGGAAACACAAGCAAAGAAGCGCAAGCAGAGGAAGCACAAGCAGAGGAAGCACAAGCAGAGGAAGCGCAAGCAGAGGAAGCACAAGTAGAGGAAGCGGAAGCAGAGGAAGCACAAGCAGAGGATGCGCAAGGAGAGGAAGCACAAGCAGAGGAAGCACAAGTAGAGGAGCGCAAGCAGAGGAAGCGCAAGTAGAGGAAGCGCAAGAAGAGGAAGCGCAAGCAGAGGAAGCGGAAGCTCAGGAGTCACAACCAGAGGAAGCGCAAGCAGAGGAAGCGCAAGTTGAGGAAGCACAAGCAGAGGAAGCACAAGCAGAGTAAGCACAAGCAGAGGAAGCGCGAAAAAGGAAGCGCAAGCAGAGCAAGCGTAAGCGGAGGAAGCACAAGAAGAGGAAGCGCAAGCGGAGGAAGCACAAGCAGAGGAAGCGCAAAAAGAGGAAGCAGAAGCATAGGAAGTGCAAGCAAAGGAAGCGCAAGCAGAGGAAGCACAAGCAGAGGTAGCATTAGAAGAGGAAGCGCAAGCAGAGGAAGCGCAAGGAGTGGAAGCACAAGTAGAGGAAGCGCAAGCAGAGGAAGCGCAAGCAGAGGAAGCACAAGCAGAGGAAGCGCAAGCAAAGGAAATGCAAGCAGAGGAAGCGCAAGCAGAGGAAGCACACACAGAGGAAGCGCAAGCAGAGGAAGCACAAGCAGACGATGCGCAAGCAGAGGAAGCACAAGCAAAGGAAGCACAAGCAGAGGAGCGCAAGCAGAGGAAGCACAAGCAGAGGAAGCGCAAGCAGAGGAAGCGCAAGCAGAGGAAGCACAAGAAGAGGAAGAAACAGCAGAGGAAGCGCAAGCAGAGGAAGCACAAGCAGAGGAAGCGCAAGTAGAGGAAGCACAAGCATAGGAAACACAAGCAAAGAAGCGCAAGCAGAGGAAGCACAAGCAGAGGAAGCGCAAGCAAAGGAAATGCAAGCAGAGGAAGCGCAAGCAGAGGAAGCACACGCAGAGGAAGCGCAAGCAGAGGAAGCACAAGCAGACGATGCGCAAGCAGAGGAAGCACAAGCAAAGGAAGCACAAGCAGAGGAGCGCAAGCAGAGGAAGTGCAAGCAGAGGAAATGCAAAAAGAGGAAGCACAAGCAGAGGAAGCGCAAGTAGATGAAGCACAAGCAGAAGAAGCGCAAGTAGAGGAAGCGCAAGCAGAGGAAGCGCAAGCAGAGGAAGCACAAGCTATGGAAGCACAAGCAGAAGAAGCGCAAGCAGAGGAAGCACATGAAGAGGAAGCCCATTTCGAGGAAGCACAAGCAGAGGAAGCACAAGCAGAGGAAGTGCAAGCAGAGGAAGCACAAGCAGAGGAAGCGCAAGCAGAGCAAGCACAAGAAGAGGAGGCACAAGCAGAGGAAGCACAAGCAGAGGAGCGCAAGTAGAGGAAGCGCAAGCAGAGGAAGCGCAAGCACAGGAAGCGCAAGCAAACGAAGCGCAAGCAGAGGAAGCGCAAGTAGAGGAAGCACAAGCATAGGAAGCACAAGTAGAGGAAGTGCAAGTAGAGGAAGCACAAGTAGAGGAAGCGCAAGCAGAGGAAGCACAAGCAGAGGAAGCGCTAGCAGAGGAAGCACAAGCAGAGGAAGCACAAGTAGAGGAGCGCAAGCACAGGAAGCGCAAGCATAGGAAGCGCAAGAAGAGGAAGCGCAAGCAGAGGAAGCACAAGCAGAGGAAGCACAAGCGGAGGAAGCACAAGTAGAGGCAGCACAAGCAGAGGAAGCCCAAGCAAAGGAAGCGCAAGCAGAGGAGCGCAAGCAGAGGAAGCACAAGCAGAGGAAGCACGAGCAGAGGAAGCACAAGCAGAGGAAGCACAAGCAGAGGAAGCCAAAGCAAAGGAAGCGCAAGCAGAGGAGCGCAAGCAGAGGAAGCGCAAGAAGAGGAAGCACAAGCAGAGGAAGCACAAGTAGAGGAAGCACAAGTAGAGGAAGCACAAGCATAGGAAGCATAAGCAGAGGAAGCAAAAGCATAGGAAGCACAAGCAGAGGTAGCGAAAGCAGAGGAAGCGCAAGCAGAGGAAGCACAAGCAGAGGAAGCGGAAGCAGACGAAGCACAAGCAGAGGAAGCGCAAGCAGATGAAGCACAAGCAGAGGAAGCGCAAGTAGAGGAAGCACAAGCACAGGAAGCCCATTTAGAGGAGCCCAAGCAGAGGAGGCGCAAGCAGAGGAAGCGCAAGCACAGGAAGCGCAAGTAGAGGAAGCGCAAGCAGAGGAAGCGCAAGCAGAGGAAGCGCAAGCAGAGGAAGCACAAGTAGAGGAAGCGCAAGCAGAGGAAGCACAAGCAGAGGAAGCATAAGCAGAGGAAGCACAAGCAGAGGAAGCGCATGCAGAGGAAGTGCAAGCAGAGGAAGTGCAAGAAGAGGAAGCACAAGCAGAGGAGGCGCAAGCACAGGAAGCACAAGCAGAGAAAGCGCAAGCAGAGGAAGCACAAGCAGAGGAAGCGCAAGCAGAGGAAGCGCAAGCAGAGGAAGCACAAGCACAGGAAGCACAAGCAGAGGAAGCGCAAGTAGAGGAAGCGCAAGCAAAGGAAGCGCAAGCAGAGGAAGCGCAAGGAGAGGAAGCGCAAGCAGAGGAAGCGCAAGCAGAGGAAGCACAAGCACAGGAAGCACAAGCAGAGGAGCGCAGGCAGAGAAAGCGTAAGCAAAGGAAGAGTAAGCAGAGGAAGCACAAGCAGAGGAAGCGTAAGCAGAGGAAGCGCAAGAAGAGGAAGCGCAAGCAGAGGAAGCGCAAGCAGAGGAACACAAGTAGAGGAAGCACAAGCAGAGGAAGCGCAAGCAGAGGAAGCACAAGCAAGAAGCACAAGCAGATGAAGCACAAGCAGAGGAGCGAGAGCAGAGGAAGCGCAAGCAGAGGAAGCACAAGCAGAGGAAGCGCAAGGAGAGGAAGCACAAGCAGAGGAAGCGCAAGCAGGGGAAGCACAAGCAGAGGAAGTACAAGCTCAGGAGCTTAAGCAAAGGAAGCGTAAGGAGAGCAAGCGCAAGCAGAGGAAGCGCAAGCACAGGAAGCGCAAGAAGAGGAAGCACAAGCAGAGGAAGCAACAGCAGAGGAAGCGCAAGCAGAGGAAGCACAAGCAGAGGAATCGCAAGTAGAAGAAGCACAAGCATAGGAAGCACAAGAAAAGAAGCGCAAGCAGAGGAAGCACAAGCAGAGGAAGCACAAGCAGAGGAAGCGCAAGCAGAGGAAGCACAAGTAGAGGAAGCGGAAGCAGAGGAAGCACAAGTAGAGGAAGTGCAAGCAGAGGAAGCAGAAGCAGAGGAAGCACAAGTAGAGGAGCGCAAGCAGAGGAAGCGCAAGCACAGGAAGCGCAAGCAGAGGAAGCACAAGCAGAGGAAGTGCACGCAGAGGAAGCGCAAGGTGAGGAGTCACAACCACAGGAAGCGCAAGCAGAGGAAGCGCAAGCAGAGGAAGAACAAGCAGAGGAAGCACAAGCAGAGGAAGCACAAGCAGAGGAAGCGCAAGCAGAGGAAGCACAAGCAGAGGAAGCGCAAGAAGAGGAAGCACAAGCAGAGGAAGCACAAGCAGAGGAAGCACAAGAAGAGGAGCGCAAGCAGAGGAAACGCAAGCAGAGGAAGCACAAGAAGAGGAAGCGCAAGCAGAGGAAGCATAAGCAGAGGAAGAACAAGCAAAGGAAGCGCAAGCAGAGGAAGCACAAGCAGAGGAAGCGCAAGAAGAGGAAGCACAAGCAGAGGAAGCACAAGCAGAGGAAGCACAAGCAGAGGAGCGCAAGCAGAGGAAGCGCAAGCAGAGGAAGCACACGCAGAGGAAGCGCAAGCAGAGGAAGCACAAGCAGAGGAAGCACAAGCAGAGGACCCACAAGAAGAGGAGCGCAAGCAGAGGAAACGCAAGCAGAGGAAGCACAAGAAGAGGAAGCGCAAGCAGAGGAAGCATAAGCAGAGGAAGAACAAGCAAAGGAAGCGCAAGCAGAGGAAGCACAAGCAGAGGAAGCGCAAGAAGAGGAAGCACAAGCAGAGGAAGCACAAGCAGAGGAAGCACAAGCAGAGGAGCGCAAGCAGAGGAAGCGCAAGCAAAGGAAGCACACGCAGAGGAAGCGCAAGCAGAGGAAGCAATAGCAGAGGATGCGCAAGCAGAGGAAGCACAAGCAGAGGAAGCACAAGCAGAGGAGCGCAAGCAGAGGAAGCACAAGCAAAGGAAGCGCAAGCAGAGGAATCGCAAGCAGAGGAAGCGCAAGAAGCGGAAGCACAAGCAGACGAAGCAACAGCAGAGGAAGCGCAAGCAGAGGAAGCGCAAGAAGAGGAAGCACTAGCAGAGGAAGCACAAGTAGAGGAAGCACAAGTAGAGGAAGCACAAGTAGAGGAAGCACAAGCATAGGAAGCACAAGATGAGGAAGCACAAGCATAGGAAGCACAAGCAGAGGTAGCGAAAGCAGAGGAAGCGCAAGTAGAGGAAGCACAAGCAGAGGAAGCGGAAGCAGACGAAGCACAAGCAAAGGAAGCGCAAGCAGAAGAAGCACAAGCAGAGGAAGCGCAAGTAGAGGAAGCACAAGCACAGGAAGCCCATTTAGAGGAGCCCAAGCAGAGGAGGCGCAAGCAGAGGAAGCGCAAGCAGAGGAAGCGCAAGCACAGGAAGCGCAAGAAGAGGAAGCACAAGCATAGGAAGCCCATTTAGAGGAGCCCAAGCAGAGGAGGCGCAAGCAGAGCAAGCGCAAGCAGAGGAAGCACAAGCACAGGAAGCGCAAGAAGAGGAAGCACAAGCAGAGGAAGCAACAGCACAGGAAGCGCAAGCAGAGGAAGCACAAGCAGAGGAAGCGCAAGTAGAAGAAGCACAAGCATAGGAAGCAGAAGCAAAGAAGCGCAAGCAGAGGAAGCACAAGCAGAGGAAGCACAAGCAGAGGAAGCGCAAGCAGAGGAAGCACAAGTAGAGGAAGCGGAAGCAGAGGAAGCACAAGCAGAGGAAGTGCAAGCAGAGGAAGCACAAGCAGAGGAAGCACAAGTAGAGGAGCGCAAGCAGAGGAAGCGCAAGCACTGGAAGCGCAAGCAAAGGAAGCACAAGCAGAGGAAGTGCACGCAGAGGAAGCGCAAGCTGAGGAGTCACAACCACAGGAAGCGCAAGCAGAGGAAGCGCAAGCAGAGGAAGAACAAGCAGAGGAAGCACAAGCAGAGGAAGCACAAGCAGAGGAAGCGCAAGCAGAGGAAGCACAAGCAGAGGAAGCGCAAGAAGAGGAAGCACAAGCAGAGGAAGCACAAGCAGAGGAAGCACAAGCAGAGGAGCGCAAGCGGAGGAAACGCAAGCAGAGGAAGCACAAGAAGAGGAAGCGCAAGCAGAGGAAGCATAAGCAGAGGAAGAACAAGCAAAGGAAGCGCAAGCAGAGGAAGCACAAGCAGAGGAAGCGCAAGAAGAGGGAGCACAAGAAGAGGAAGCACAAGCAGAGGAAGCACAAGCAGAGGAGCGCAAGCAGAGGAAGCGCAAGCAGAGGAAGCACACGCAGAGGAAGCGCAAGCAGAGGAAGCAATGGCAGAGGATGCGCAAGCAGAGGAAGCATAAGCAGAGGAAGCACAAGCAGAGGAGCGCAAGCAGAGGAAGCACAAGCAGAGGAAGCGCAAGAAGAGGAATCGCAAGCAGAGGAAGCGCAAGAAGCGGAAGCACAAGCAGACGAAGCAACAGCAGAGGAAGCGCAAGCAGAGGAAGCACAAGCAAAGGAAGCACAAGCAGAGGAAGCGCAAGCAGAGTAAGCACAAGCAGAGGAGGCGCAAGCAGAGGAAGCACAAGCAGAGGACGCACAAGCAGAGGAGCGCAAGCAGAGGAAGCGCAAGCTGAGGAAGCGCAAGAAGAGGAAGCACAAGCAGAGGAAGCGCAAGCAGAGGAAGCGGAAGCTGAGGAGTCACAACCAGAGGAACCGCAAGCAGAGGAAGCGCAAGTTGAGGAAGCACAAGCAGAGGAAGCACAAGCTGAGGAAGCACAAGCAGAGGAAGCGCAAGCAGAGGAAGCGCAAGCAGAGGAAGCGTTATCAAAGGAAGCACAAGCAGAGGAAGCGCAAGCAGAGGAGCGCAAGCAGAGGAAGCGCAAGCAAAGGAAGCACAAGAAGAGGAAGCGCAAGCGGAGGAAGCACAAGCAGAGGAAGCGCAAGCAGAGGAAGCATGAGCAGAGGAAGCACAAGAAGAGGAGCGCAAGCAAAGGAAGTGCAAGCAGAGGAAACGCAAAAAGAGGAAGCACAAGCAGAGGAAGCGCAAGTAGATGAAGCACAAGCAGAAGAAGCGCAGGCAGAGGAAGCGCAAGCAGAGGAAGCGCAAGAAGAGGAAGCACAAGCTATGGAAGCACAAGCAGAAGAAGCGCAAGCAGAGGAAGCACATGAAGAGGAAGCCCACTTCGAGGAAGCACAAGCAGAGGAAGCGCAAGCGAGGAAGCACAAGCAGAGGAAGCGCAAGCAGAGGAAGCACAAGCAGACGAGGCACAAGCAGAGGAAGCACAAGCAGAGGAGCGCAAGCAGAGGAAGCGGAAGCAGAGGAAGCACAAGCAGAGGAAGCGCAAGCAAAGGAAGCGCAAGCAGAGGAAGCGCAAGTAGAGGAAGCACAAGCAGAGGAAGCGCAAGTAGAGGAAGCACAAGCAGAGGAAGCGCAAGCAGAGGAAGCGCAAGTAGAGGAAGCGCAAGCAGAGGAAGCGCAAGTAGAGGAAGCGCAAGTAGAGGAAGCACAAGTAGAGGAAGCGCAAGCAGAGGAAGCACCAGCAGAGGAAGCGCTAGCAGAGGAAGCACAAGCAGAGGAAGCACAAGAAGAGGAGCTCAAGCAGAGGAAGCGCAAGCAGAGGAAGCACAAGCAGAGGAAGCGCAAGGAGAGGAAGCACAAGCAGAGGAAGCACAAGCAGAGGAAGCGCAAGCAGGGGAAGCAGAAGCAAAGGAAGTACAAGCAGAGGAGCTCAAGCAGAGGAAGCGTAAGCAAAGGCAGAGCAAGCAGAGGAAGCACAAGCAGAGGAAGCGTAAGGAGAGCAAGCGCAAGTAGAGGAAGCACAAGCACATGAAGCGCAAGAAGAGGAAGCACAAGCAGAGGAAGCAACAGCAGACGAAGCGCAAGCAGAGGAAGCACAAGCAGAGGAAGCGCAAGTAGAGGAAGCACAAGCATAGGAAGCACAAGCAGAGGAAGCACAAGCAGAGGAAGCACAAGTAGAGGAAGCGCGAGCAAAGGAAGCGCAAGCAGAGGAAGCGCAAGCAGAGGAAGCGCAAGCAGAGGAAGCAATAGCAGAGGAAGCGCAAGAAGAGGAAGCACAAGCAGAGGATGCACAAGCAGAGGAAGCACAAGCAGAGGAAGCACAAGCAGAGGAGCACAAGCAGAGGAAGCGCAAGCAGAGGAAGCGCAACCAAAGGAAGCGCAAGCAGAGGATGCGCAAGCAGAGGAAGCGCAAGTAGAGGAAGCGCAAGTAGAGGAAGCGCAAGCAGAGGAGTCACAACCAGAGGAAGCGCAAGCAGAGGAAGCGCAAGCAGAGGAAGCACAAGAAAAGGAAGCACAAGCAGAGGAAGCGCAAGCAGAGGAAGCACAAGCAGAGGAAGCGCAAGCAGAGGAAGCACAAGAAGAGGAGCGCAAGCAGAGGAAGTGCAAGCAGAGGAAACGCAAGCAGAGGAAGCACAAGCAGAGGAAGCGCAAGTAGAGGAAGCACAAGCAGAAGAAGCACAAGCAGAGGAAGCGCAAGCAGAGGAAGCACAAGCAAGGAAGCACAAGTAGAGGAAGCGCAAGCAGAGGAAGGGCTAGTAGAGAAAGCACAAGCAGCGGAAGCTCAAGGAGAGGAGCGCAAGCAGAGGAAACGCAAGCAGAGGAAGCACAAGCAGAGGAAGCACAAGAAGAGGAAGCACAAGCAGAGGAAGCGCAAGCAGAGGAAGCACAACTAGAGGAAGCACAAGTAGAGGAAGCACATGCAGAGGAAGCACAAGCAGAGGAAGCACAAGCAGAGGAAGCACAAGCAGAGGAAGAACAAGCAAAGGAAGCGCAAGCTGAAGAAGCACAAGAAGAGTCAACGCAAGCAAAGGAAGCACAAGCAGAGGAAGCACAAGCAGAGGAAGCTCAAGCAGAGGAAGCACAAGCAGAGGAAGCTCAAGTGGAGGAAGCGTAAGCAGAGGATGCACAAGTAGAGGAAGCGCAAGCAGAGGAAGCACAAGCAGAGGAAGCGTAAGCAGAGGAAGCACAAGCAGAGGAAGCACAAGCAGAGGAGCGCAAGCAGAGGAAGCTCAAGCAGAGGAAGCGCAAGCAGAGGAAGCACTAGCAGTGGAAGCGCATGCAGAAGAAGCGTAAGAAGAGGAAGCACAAGCAGAGGAAGCGCAAGCAGACGAAGCACAAGCAGAGGAAGAGCAAGCAGAGGAAGCGCAAGCAGAGGAAGCACAAGCAGAGGAAGTGCAAGCAAAGGAAGCGCAAGCAGAGGAAGCACAAGCAGAGGAAGCACAAGAGGAGGAAGCGCAAGCAAAGGAAGCACCTTCAGAGGAAGCGCAAGCCGAGGAAGCGCAAGGAGTGGAATCACAAGTAGAGGAAGCGCAAGCAGAGGAAGCACAAGCAGAGGAAGCGCAAGCAAAGGAAGTGAAAGCAGAGGAAGCGCAAGGAGAGGAAGCACACGCAGAGGAAGCGCAAGCAGAGGAAGCACAAGCAGAGGATGCGCAAGCAGGGGAAGCACAAGCAGAGGAAGCACAAGCAGAGGAGCGCAAGCAGAGGAAGCACAAGCAGAGGAAGCGCAAGCAGAGGAAGCGCACGCAGAGGAAGCGCAAGAAGAGGAAGCACAAGCAGAGGAAGCAACAGCAGAGGAAGCGCAAGCAGAGGAAGCACAAGCAGAGGAAGCGCAAGTAGAGGAAGCACAAGCATAGGAAACACAAGCAAAGAAGTGCAAGCAGAGGAAGCACAAGCAGAGGAAGCACAAGCAGAGGAGCGCAAGCAGAGGAAGCACAAGCAGAGGAAGCACAAGCAGAGGAAGCACAAGCAGAGGAAGCGCAAGCAAAGGAAGTGCAAGCAGAGGAAGCGCAAGCAGAGGAAGCACACACAGAGGAAGCGCAAGCAGAGGAAGCACAAGCAGAGGATGCGCAAGCAGAGGAAGCACAAGCAGAGGAAGCATAAGCAGAGGAGCGCAAGTAGAGGAAGCACAAGCAGAGGAAGCGCAAGCAGAGGAAGCGCAAGCAGAGGAAGCGCAAGAAGAGGAAGCACAAGCATAGGAAACACAAGCAAAGAAGCGCAAGCAGAGGAAGCACAAGCAGAGGATGCGCAAGCAGAGGAAGCACAAGCAGAGGAAGCACAAGCAGAGGAGCACAAGCAAAGGAAGCGCAAGCAGAGGAAGCGCAAGAAGAGGAAGCACAAGCAGAAGAAGCGCAAGCAGAGGAAGCGAAAGCTGAGGAGTCACAACCAGAGGAAGCGCAAGCAGAGGAAGCGCAAGTTGAGGAAGCACAAGCAGAGAAAGCACAAGTAGAGGAAGCACAAGAAGAGGAAGCGCGAGCAGAGGAAGCGCAAGCAGAGGAAGCGTAAGCAGAGGAAGCACAAGCAGAGGAAGCGCAAGCAGAGGAAGCACAAGCAGAGGAAGCGCAAGAAGAGGAAGCACAAGTAGATTAAGCACAAGTAGAGGAAGCACAAGCAGAGGAGCGCAAGCAGAGGAAGCGCAAGCAAAGGAAGCACAAGAAGAGGAAGCGCAAGCGAAGAAAGCACAAGCAGAGGAAGCGCAACCAAAGGAAGCATAAGCGGAGGAAGTGCAAGCAGAGGAGCGCAAGCAGAGGAAGTGCGAGCAGAGGAAATGCAAAAGGAGGAAGCACAAGCAGAGGAAGCGCAAGTAGATGAAGCACAAGAAGAAGAAGCGCAAGTTGAGGAAGCGCAAGCAGAGGAAACGCAAGCAGGGGAAGCACAAGCTAAGGAAGCACAAGCAGAAGAAGCGCAAGCAGAGGAAGCACATGAAGAGGAAGCCCACTTCGAGGAAGCACAAGCAGAGGAAGCACAAGCAGAGGAAGCGCAAGCAGAGGAAGCACAAGGAGAGGAAGCGCAAGCAGAGGAAGCGCAAGAAGAGGAAGCACAAGTAGAGGAAGCGCAAGCAGAGGAAGCACAAGCAGAGGAAGTGCTAGCAGAGGAAGCACAAGCAGAGGAAGCACAAGCAGAGGAGCGAAAGCAGAGGAAGCGCAAGCACAGGAAGCGCAAGAAGAGGAAGCGCAAGAAGAGGAAGCACAAGCAGAGGAAGCACAAGCGGAGGAAGCACAAGCAGAGGTAGCACAAGCAGAGGAAGCGCAAGCAAAGGAAGCGCAAGCAGAGGAGCGCAAGCAGAGGAAGCATAAGCAGAGGAAGCACGAGCAGAGGAAGCCAAAGCAAAGGAAGCGCAAGCAGAGGAGCGCAAGCTGAGGAAGCGCAAGAAGAGGAAGCACAAGCAGAGGAAGCACAAGCAGAGGAAGCACAAGTAGAGGAAGCACAAGCAGAGGAAGCACAAGCATAGGAAGCACAAGCAGAGGAAGCGCAAGTAGAAGAAGCACAAGCATTGGAAGCCCATTTAGAGGAGCCCAAGCAGAGGAGGCGCAAGCAGAGGAAGCGCAAGCGGAGGAAGCGCAAGCAGAGGAAGCGCAAGCAGAGGAAGCGCAAGCAGATGAAGCGCAAGCAGAGGAAGCGCAAGCAGAGGAAGCGCAAGCAGAGGAAGCACAAGTAGAGGAAGCGCAAGCAGAGGAAGCACAAGCAGAGGAAGCATAAGTAGAGGAAGCACAAGCAGAGGAAGCGCATGCAGAGGAAGTGCAAGCAGAGGAAGCGCAAGAAGAGGAAGCACAAGCAGAGGAGGCGCAAGCACAAGAAGCAGAAGCAGAGGAAGGGCAAGCACAGGAAGCACAAGTGGAGGAGCGCAAGCAAAGGAAGCGCAAGCAGAGGAAGCGCAAGGAGAGGAAGCGCAAGCAGAGGAAGCGCAAGCAGAGGAAGCACAAGCAGACGAAGTGCAAGCAAAGGAAGCACAAGCACAGGAAGCACAAGCAGAGGAGCGCAAGCAGAGGAAGCGCAAGCAGAGGAAGCGCAAGCAGAGGAATCGCAAGCAGAGGAAGCACAAGCAGAGGAGCGCAAGCAGAGGAAGCGCAAGCAGAGAACGCAAGCAGAGGAAGCGCAAGTGGAGGAAGCATAAGCAGAGGAAGCGCAAGCAGAGGAAGCACAAGCAGAGGAAGCACAAGCAGATGAGCGCAGGCAGAGGAAGCGTAAGCAAAGGAAGCACAAGCAAAGGAAGCGTAAGCGGAGGAAGCACAAGCAAAGGAAGTGTAAGCAGAGGAAGCGCAAGAAGAGGAAGCACAAGCAGAGGAAGCGCAAGCAGAGGAAGCGCAAGTAGAGGAAGCACAAGCAGAGGAAGCGCAAGCAGAGGAAGCACAAGCAAGAAGCACAAGCAGAGGAAGCACAAGCAGAGGAGCGCAAGCAGAGGAAGCGCAAGCAGAGGAAGCACAAGCAGAGGAAGCGCAAGGAGAGGAAGCACAAGCAGAGGAAGCGCAAGCAGGGGAAGCACAAGCAGAGGAAGTACAAGCAGAGGAGCTCAAGCAGAGGAAGCGTAAGGAGAGCAAGCGCAAGCAGAGGAAGCACAAGCACAGGAAGCGCAAGAAGAGGAAGCACAAGCAGAGGAAGCAACAGCAGAAGAAGCGCAAGCAGAGGAAGCACAAGCAGAGGAAGCGCAAGTAGAGCAAGCACAAGCATAGGAAGCACAAGCAAAAAGCGCAAGCAGAGGAAGCACAAGCAAAGGAAGCACAAGCAGAGGAAGCGCAAGCAGAGGAAGCACAAGTAGAGGAAGCGGAAGCAGAGGAAGCACAAGCAGAGGAAGCGCAAGCAGAGGAAGCACAAGCAGAGGAAGCACAAGTAGAGGAGCGCAAGCAGAGGAAGCGCAAGCACAGGAAGCGCAAGCAGAGGAAGCACAAGAAGAGGAAGCGCACGCAGAGGAAGCGCAAGCTGAGGAGTCACAACCAGAGGAAGCGCAAGCAGAGGAAGCGCAAGCCGAGGAAGAACATGCAGAGGAAGCACAAGCAGAGGAAGCACAAGCAGAGGAAGCGCAAGCAGAGGAAGCACAAGCAGAGGAAGCGCAAGAAGAGGAAGCACAAGAAGAGGAAGCACAAGCAGAGGAAGCACAAGCAGAGGAAGCGCAAGCAGAGGAAGCACAAGCAGAGGAAGCGCAAGGAGAGGAAGCACAAGCAGAGGAAGCGCAAGCAGGGGAAGCACAAGAAGAGGAAGTACAAGTAGAGGAGCTCAAGCAGAGGAAGCGTAAGGAGAGCAAGCGCAAGCAGAGGAAGCACAAGTAGAGGAAGCACAAGCAGAGGAAGCAATAGCAGAAGAAGCGCAAGAAGAGGAAGCACAAGCAGAGGAAGCACAAGCAGAGGAAGCGCAAGCAGAGGAAGCACAAGTAGAGGAAGCGGAAGCAGAGGAAGCACAAGCAAAGGAAGCGCAAGCGGAGGAAGCACAAGCAGAGGAAGCACAAGTAGAGGAGCGCAAGCAGAGGAAGCGCAAGCACAGGAAGCGCAAGCAGAGGAAACCCAAGTAGAAGAAGCGCACGCAGAGGAAGCGCAAGCTGAGGAGTCACAACCAGAGGAAGCGCAAGCAGAGGAAGCACAAGTAGAGGAAGCGCAAGCAGAGGAAGCACAAGCAGAGGAAGCGCAAGAAGAGGGAGCACAAGCAAAGGAAGCACAAGCAAAGGAAGCACAAGCAGAGGAGCACAAGAAGAGGAAGCACAAGCAGAGGAAGCACAAGAAGAGGAAGCGCAAGCAGAGGAAGCACAAGCAGTGGAGGCACAAGCAGAGGAAGCACAAGCAGAGGAGCGCAAGCAGAGGAAGCGCAAGCAGAGGAAGCGCAAGCAGAGGAAGCGCAAGCAAAGGAAGCGCAAGCAGAGGAAGCGCAAGTAGAGGAAGCACAAGCAGAGGAAGCGCAAGTAGAGGAAGCACAAGCATAGGAAGCGCAATCAGAGGAAGCGCAAGTAGAGGAAGCGCAAGCAAAGGAATAGCAAGCAGAGGAAGCGCAAGTAGAGGAAGCACAAGTAGAGGAAGCACAAGTAGAGGAAGCACAAGCAGAGGAAGCGCTAGCAGAGGAAGCACAAGCAGAGGAAGCACAAGCAGAGGAGCGGAAGCAAAGGAAGCGCAAGCACAGGAAGCACAAGAAGAGGAAACGCAAGAAGAGGAAGCACAAGCAGAGGAAGCACAAGCGTAGGAAGCACAAGCAGAGGTAGCACAAGCAGAGGAAGCGCAAGCAAAGGAAGCGCAAGCAGAGGAGCGCAAGCAGAGGAAGCACAAGCAGAGGAAGCACGAGCAGAGGAAGCCAAAGCAAAGGAAGCGCAAGCAGAGGAGCGCAAGCTGAGGAAGCGCAAGAAGAGGAAGCACAAGCAGAGGAAGCACAAGCAGAGGAAGCACAAGCATAGGAAGCACAAGCAGAGGAAGCACAAGCATAGGAAGCACAAGTAGGGGTAGCGAAAGCAGAGGAAGCGCAAGCAGAGGAAGCACAAGCAGACGAAGTGCAAGTAGAGGAAGCACAAGCATTGGAAGCCCATTTAGAGGAGCCCAAGCAGAGGAGGCGCAAGCAGAGGAAGCGCAAGCAGAGGAAGCGCAAGCAGAGGAAGCGCAAGCAGAGGAAGCGCAAGAAGATGAAGCGCAAGCAGAGGAAGCGCAAGCAGAGGAAGCGCAAGGAGAGGAAGCACAAGTAGAGGAAGTGCAAGCAGAGGAAGCACAAGCAGAGGAAGCATAAGTAGAGGAAGCAGAAGCAGAGGAAGCGCATGCAGAGGAAGTGCAAGCAGAGGAAGCGCAAGAAGAGGAAGCACAAGCAGAGGAGGCGCAAGCACAAGAAGCACAAGCAGAGGAAGGGCAAGCAGAGGAAGCACAAGTAGAGGAGCGCAAGCAAAGGAAGCGCAAGCAGAGGAAGCGCAAGGAGAGGATTTGCGCAAGCAGAGGAAGCGCAAGCATAGGAAGCACAAGCAGACGAAGCGCAAGCAAAGGAAGAACAAGCACAGGAAGCACAAGCAGAGGAGCGCAAGCAGAGGAAGCGCAAGCAAAGGAAGCGCAAGCAGAGGAATCGCAAGCAGAGGAAGCACAAGCAGAGGAGCGCAAGCAGAGGAAGCGCAAGCAGAGAACGCAAGCAGAGGAAGCGCAAGTAGAGGAAGCATAAGCAGAGGAAGCGCAAGCAGAGGAAGCACAAGCAGAGGAAGCACAAGCAGAGGAGCGCAGGCAGAGGAAGCGTAAGCAAAGGAAGCACAAGCAAAGGAAGCGTAAGCGGAGGAAGCACAAGCAAGGAAGCGTAAGCAAAGGAAGCGCAAGAAGAGGAAGCGCAAGCAGAGGAAGCGCAAGCAGAGGAAGCGCAAGTAGAGGAAGCACAAGCAGAGGAAGCGCAAGAAGAGGAAGCACAAGCAAGAAGCACAAGCAGAGAAAGCACAAGCAGAGGAGCCCAAGCAGAGGAAGCACAAGCAGAGGAAGCGCAAGGAGAGGAAGCACAAGCAGAGGAAGCGCAAGCAGGGGAAGCACAAGCAGAGGAAGTACAAGGAGATGAGCTCAAGCAGAGGAAGCGTAAGGAGAGCAAGCGCAAGCAGAGGAAGCACAAGCACAGGAAGCGCAAGAAGAGGAAGCACAAGCAGAGGAAGCAACAGCAGAAGAAGCGCAAGCAGAGGAAGCACAAGCAGAGGAAGCGCAAGTAGAGCAAGCACAAGCATAGGAAGCACAAGCAAAGAAGCGCAAGCAGAGGAAGCACAAGCAAAGGAAGCACAAGCAGAGGAAGCGCAAGCAGAGGAAGCACAAGTAGAGGAAGCGGAAGCAGAGGAAGCACAAGCATAGGAAGCGCAAGCAGAGGAAGCACAAGCAGAGGAAGCACAAGTAGAGGAGCGCAAGCAGAGGAAGCGCAAGCACAGGAAGCGCAAGCAGAGGAAGCACAAGCAGAGGAAGCGCACGCAGAGGAAGCGCAAGCTGAGGAGTCACAACCAGAGGAAGCGCAAGCAGAGGAAGCGCAAGCAGAGGAAGAACATGCAGAGGAAGCACAAGCAGAGGAAGCACAAGCAGAGGAAGCGCAAGTAGAGGAAGCACAAGCAGAGGAAGCGCAAGAAGAGGAAGCACAAGCAGAGGAAGCACAAGCAGAGGAAGCACAAGCAGAGGAAGCGCAATCAGAGGAAGCACAAGCAGAGGAAGCGCAAGGAGAGGAAGCACAAGCAGAGGAAGCGCAAGCAGGGGAAGCACAAGCAGAGGAAGTACAAGCAGAGGAGCTCAAGCAGAGGAAGCGTAAGGAGAGCAAGCGCAAGCAGAGGAAGCACAAGCACAGGAAGCGTAAGAAGAGGAAGCACAAGCAGAGGAAGCAATAGCAGAAGAAGGGCAAGCAGAGGGAGCACAAGCAGAGGAAGCACAAGCAGAGGAAGCGCAAGCAAAGGAAGCGCAAGCGGAGGAAGCACAAGCAGAGGAAGCACAAGTAGAGGAGCGCAAGCAGAGGAAGCGCAAGCACAGGAAGCGCAAGCAGAGGAAGCCCAAGTAGAAGAAGCGCACACACAGGAAGCGCAAGCTGAGGAGTCACAACCAGAGGAAGCGCAAGCAGAGGAAGCGCAAGCAGAGGAAGAACAAGCAGAGGAAGCACAAGCAGAGGAAGCACAAGCAGAGGAAGCGCAAGCAGAGGAAGCACAAGCAGAGGAAGCGCAAGAAGAGGGAGCACAAGCAGAGGAAGCACAAGCAACGGAAGCACAAGCAGAGGAGCACAAGAAGAGGAAGCACAAGCAGAGGAAGCACAAGAAGAGGAAGCGCAAGCAGAGGAAGCATAAGTAGAGGAAGAACAAGCAGAGGAAGCGCAAGCAGAGGAAGCACAAGAAGAGGAAGCACAAGCACAGGAAGCACAAGCAGAGGAAGCACAATCAGAGGAGCGCAAGCAGAGGAAGCGCAAGCAGAGGAAGCACACGCAGAGGAAGCGCATGCAAAGGAAGCACAAGCAGAGGATGCGCAAGTAGAGGAAGCACAAGCAGAGGAAGCACAAGCAGAGGAGCGCAAGCAGAGGAAGCACAAGCAGAGGAAGCACAAGCAGAGGAAGTAACAGCAGAGGAAGCGCAAGCAGAGGAAGCTCAAGCAGAGGAAGCGCAAGTAGAGGAAGCACAAGCATAGGAAACACAAGCTAAGAAGCGCAAGCAGAGGAAGCACAAGCAGAGGAAGCACAAGCAGAGGAAGCGCAAGCAGAGGAAGCACAAGTAGAGGAAGCGGAAGCACAGGAAGCACAAGCAGAGGATGCGCAAGCAGAGGAAGCACAAGCAGAGGAAGCACACGCAGAGGAGCGCAAGCACAGGAAGCGCAAGCAGAGGAAGCGCAAGAAGAGGAAGCACAAGCAGAGGAAGCGCAAGCAGAGGAAGCGGAAGCTAAGGAGTCACAACCAGAGGAAGCGCAAGCAGAGGAAGCGCAAGTTGAGGAAGCACAAGCAGAGGAAGCACAAGCAGAGGAAGCACAAGCAAAGGAAGCGCGAGCAGAGGAAGCGCAAGCAGAGGAAGCGTAAGTAGAGGAAGCACAAGCCGAGGAAGCGCAAGCAGAGGAAGCACAAGCAGAGGAAGCGCAAGAAGAGGAAGCACAAGCAGAGGAAGCACAAGCAGAGGAAGCACAAGCAGAGGAGCGCAAGCAGAGGAAGCGCAAGCAAAGGAAGCACAAGAAGAGGAAGCGCAAGCGGAGGAAGCACAAGCAGAGGAAGCGCAAGTAGAGGAAGCATAACTAGAGGAAGCACAAGCAGAGGAGCGCAAGCAGAGGAAGTGCAAGCAGAGGAAACGCAAAAAGAGGAAGCGCAAGCAGAGGAAGCGCAAGTAGATGAAGCACAAGCAGAAGAAGTGCAAGCAGCGGAAGCGCAAGCAGAGGAAGCGCAAGCAGAGGAAGCACATGAAGAGGAAGCCCACTTCAAGGAAGCACAAGCAGAGGAAGCACAAGCAGAGGAAGCGCAAGCAGAGGAAGCAAAAGCAGAGGAAGCGCAAGCAGAGGAAGCACAAGCAGACGAGGCACAAGCAGAGGAAGCACAAGCAGAGGAGCGCAAGCAGAGGAAGCGCAAGCAGAGGAAGCGCAAGAAGAGGAAGCGCAAGCAAAGGTAGCGCAAGCAGAGGAAGCGCAAGTAGAGGAAGCACAAGCAGAGGAACCGCAAGTAGAGGAAGCACAGGCATAGGAAGCGCAAGCAGAGGAAGCGCAAGTAGAGGAAGCGCAAGCAAAGAAAGCGCAAGCAGAGGAAGCGCAAGTAGAGGAAGCACAAGTAGAGGAAGCGCAAGCAGAGGAAGCACAAGCAGAGGAAGCGCTAGCAGAGGAAGCACAAGCAGAGGAAGCACAAGCAGAGGAGCGCAAGCAGAGGAAGCGCAAGCACAGGAAGCCCATTTAGAGGAGCCCAAGCAGACGAGGCGCAAGCAGAGGAAGCGCAAGCAGAGGAAGCGCAAGCAGAGGAAGCGCAAGCAGAGGAAGCACAAGTAGTGGAAGCGCAAGCAGAGGAAGCGCAAGCAGAGGAAGCGCAAGCAGAGGAAGCACAAGTAGAGGAAGCGCAAGCAGAGGAAGCACAAGCAGAGGAAGCATAAGCAGAGGAAGCACAAGCAGAGGAAGCGCATGCAGAGAAAGTGCAAGCAGAGGAAGCGCAAGAAGAGGAAGCACAAGCAAAGGAGGCGCAAGCACAGGAAGTTCAAGCAGAAGAAGCGCAAGCAGAGGAAGCACAAGTAGAGGAGCGCAAGCAAAGGAAGCGCAAGCAGAGGAAGCGCAAGGAGAGGAAGCGCAAGCAGAGGAAGCGCAAGCAGAGGAAGCACAAGCAGACGAAGCGCAAGCAGAGGAAGCACAAGCAGAGGAAGCACAAGCAGAGGAGCGCAAGCAGAGGAAGCTCAAGCAGAGGAAGCGCAAGCAGAGGAATTGCAAGCAGAGGAAGCACAAGCAGAGGAGCGCAAGCAGAGAAAGCGCAAGCACAAAAGCATAAGTAGAAGGAGCGCAAGTAGAGGAAGCACAAGCAGAGGAAGCGCAAGCAGAGGAAGCACAAGTAGAGGAAGCAAAAGCAGAGGAGCGCAGGCAGAGGAAGCGTAAGCAAAGGAAGAGCAAGCAGAGGAAGCACAAGCAGAGGAAGCGTAAGCAGAGGAAGCGCAAGAGGAGGAAGCGCAAGCAGAGGAAGCGCAAGTAGAGGAAGCGCAAGTGGAGGAAGCACAAGCAGAGGAAGTGCAAGCAAAGTAAGCACAAGCAAGAAGCACAAGCAGAGGAAGCACAAGCAGAGGACCGCAAGCAGAGGAAGCGCAAGAAGAGGAAGCACAAGCAAAGGAAGCGCAAGGAGAGGAAGCACAAGAAGAGGAAGTACAAGCAGAGGAAGTCCAAGCAGAGGAATTACAAGCAGAGGAGCTCAAGCACAGGAAGCGCAAGCAAAGAAAGAGCAAGCAGAGGAAGCACAAGCAGAGGAAGCGTAAGGAGAGCAAGCGCAAGAAGAGGAAGCACAAGCACAGGAAGCGCAAGAAGAGGAAGCAAAAGCAGAGGAAGCAACAGCAGAGGAAGCGCAAGCAGAGGAAGCACAAGCAGAGGAAGCGCAAGTTGAGGAAGCACAAGCATAGGAAGCACAAGCAAAGAAGCGCAAGCAGAGGAAGCACAAGCAGAGGAAGCACAAGCAGAGGAAGCGCAAGCAGAGGAAGCACAAGTAGAGGAAGCGCAAGCAGAGGAGCACAAGCAGAGGAAGCACAAGCAGAGGAAGCGCAAGGAAAGGAAGCGCAAGCAGAGGAAGCGCAAGTAGAGGAAGCGCAAGCCGAGGAAGCACAAGAAGAGAAACCGCAAGCAGAGGAAGCACAAGAAGAGGAAGCGCAAGGAGAGGAAGCGCAAGCAAAGGAAGCGCAAGCAGAGAAAGCACAAGCAGAGGAAGCGCAAGCGGACGAAGCACAAGCCGAGGAAGCACAAGCAGAGGAGCGCAAGCTGAGGAAGCGCAAGCAGAGGAAGCGCATTGAGAGGAAGCACAAGTAGAGGAAGCACAAGCAGTGGAGCGCAAGCAGAGGAAGTGGAAGCAAAGGAAGCACAAGCGGAGGAAGCGCAAGCAGAGGAAGCACAAGCAAAGAAAGCGCAAGCAGAAGAAGCACAAGCAGAGGAAGCACAAGTAGAGGAGCGCAAGCAGAGGAAGCGTAAGCAGAGGAAGCGTAAGTAGAGGAAGCGTAAGCAGAGGAAGCGTAAGCAGAGGAAGCACAAGCAGAGGAAGCGTAAGTAGAGGAAGCGCAAGCACAGGAAGCGCAAGCAGAGGAAGCGCAAGCAAAGGAAGCGTAAGCAGAGGAAGCACAAGCAGAGGAAGCACAAGCAGAGGAGCGCAAGCAGAGGAAGCGCAAGCAGAGGAAGCAAAAGTAGAGGAAGCTCAAGCAAAGGAAGCACAAGCAAAGTAAGCACAAGCAGAGGAAGCGCAAGCAAGGGAAGCACAAGCAGAGGAAGCACAAGTAGAGGAAGCTCAAGCAGAGGAAGCACAAGAAGAGGAAGCACAAGCAGAGGAAGCGCAAGCAGAGGAAGCACAAGCAGAGGAAGTGCAAGCTGAGGAAGCGCAAGCAGAGGAAGCGCAAGCAGAGGAAGCACAAGCAGAGGAAGCGCAAGCAGAGGAAGCACAAGCAGAGGAAGCACAAGCAGAGGAGCGCAAGCAGAGGAAGCGCAAGCAGAGGAAGCAAAAGCAGAGGAAGCTCAAGCAAAGGAAGCACAAGCAGACGAAGCACAAGCAGAGGAAGCGCAAGCAAAGGAGGCACAAGCAAAGGAAGCACAAGCAAAAGAAGCTCAAGCAGAGGAAGCGCAAGCAGAGGAAGCACAAGCAAAGGAAGCGCAAGAAGAGGAAGCACAAGCACAGGAAGCGCAAGCAGAGGAAGCACAAGCAGAGGAAGCACAAGCAGAGGAAGCGCAAGCAGAAGAAGCACAAGCAGAGGAAGCCCAAGCAGAGGAGCGCAATCAGAGGAAGTGCAAGCATAGGAAGTGCAAGGAGAGGAAGCGCAAGCAGAGGAAGCACAAGTAGAGGAAGCACAAGTAGAGAAAGCACAAGCAGAGGAAGCGCAAGCAAAGGAAGCACAAGCAAAAGAAGCACAAGAAGAGGAAGCACAAGAAGAGGAAGAGCAAGCAGACGAAGCAAAAGCAAGGAAGTACAAGCAGAGGAGTGCAAGCAGAGGAAGCGCAAGCAGAGGAAGCGCAAGGAGAGGAAGCACAAGCAGAGGAAGCACAAGCAGAGGAGCGCAAGTAGAGGAAGTGCAAGCAGAGGAAGCACAAGCAGAGGAAGCGCAAGCAGAGGAATCACAAGCAAAGGAAGCGCAAGCAGAGGAAGCACAAGAAGAGGAAGCACAAGCAGAGGAGCGCAAGCAGAGGAAGGGTAAGCAGACGAAGCGCAAGCAGAGGAAGCGCAAGCAGAGGAAGGGTAAGCAGAGGAAGCGCAAGCAGAGGAAGCGCAAGCAGAGGAAGCACAAGCAGAGGAAGCAAAAGCAGAGGAGCACAAGAAGAGGAAGCGCAAGCAGAGGAAGCAAAAGCAGAGGAAGCTTAAGCAAAGGAAGCACAAGCAGACGAAGCACAAGCAGAGGAAGCGCAAGCAGAGGAAGCACAAGCAGAGGAAGCACAAGCAGAGGAGCGCAAGCAGAGGAAGCGTAAGCACAGGAAGCGCAAGGAGAGGAAGCACAAGCAAAGGAAGCACAAGAAGAGGAAGCACAAGAAGAGGAAGAGCAAGCAGACGAAGCACAAGCAAAGGAAGTACAAGCAGAGGAGTGCAAGCAGAGGAAGCGCAAGCAGAGGAAGCGCAAGGAGAGGAAGCACAAGCAGAGGAAGCACAAGCAGAGGAAGCACAAGCAGAGGAAGCACAAGCAGAGGAAGCACAAGCAGAGGAAACACAAGCAGAGGAGCGCAAGCAGAGGAAGCGTAAGCACAGGAAGCGCAAGGAGAGGAATCGCAAGGAGAGGAAGCGCAAGTAGAGGAAGCACAAGCAGAGGAAGCACAAGTAGTGGAAGCACAACAAGAGTAAGCGCAAGCAGAGGAAGCACAAGCAGAGGAAGCAAAAGCAGAGGAGCGCAAGCAGAGGAAGCGCAAGCAGAGGAAGTGCAAGCAGAGGAAGCACAAGCAGAGGAAGCACAAGCACAGGAAGCGCAAGCAGAAGAAGCACAAGCAGTGGAAGCACAAGCAGAGGAGCCCAAGCAGAGGAAGCAGAAGCATAGGAAGTGCAAGCAGAGGAAGCACAAGCAGAGGAAACGCAAGCAGAGGAAGCACAAGCAGAGGAAGCACAAGCAGAGGAAGCACAAGCAGAGGAGCGCAAGCAGAGGAAGCGTAAGCACAGGAAGCGCAAGGAGAGGAAGCGCAAGCAGAGGAAGCGCAAGTATAAGAAGCACAAGCAGAGGAAGCACAAGTAGCGGAAGCACAACTAGAGTAAGCGCAAGCAGAGGAAGCACAAGCAGAGGAAGCAAAAGCAGAGGAGCGCAAGCAGAGGAAGCGCAAGCAGAGGAAGTGCAAGCAGAGGAAGCACAAGCAGAGGAAGCACAAGCACAGGAAGCGCAAGCAGAGGAAGCACAAGCAGTGGAAGCACAAGCAGAGGAGCCCAAGCAGAGGAAGCAGAAGCATAGGAAGTGCAAGCAGAGGAAGCACAAGCAGAGGAAGCGCAAGCAGAGGAAGCATAAGCAGAGGAGCGCAAGCAGAGGAAGTGCAAGCACAGGAAGCGCAAGGAGAGGAAGCGCAAGCAGAGGAGCGGAGGCAGAGGAAGTGCAAGCAGAGGAAGCACAAGCGGAGGAAGCGCAAGCACAGGAATCACAAGCCAAGGAAGCGCAAGCAGAGGAAGCACAAGTAGAGGAAGCACAAGCAGAGGAGCGCAAGCAGAGGAAGTGTTAGCAGAGGAAGCGCAAGCAGAGGAAGCGCAAGTAGAGGAAGCGTAAGAAGAGGAAGCGCAAGCAGAGGAAGCGCAAGCAGCGGAAGCACAAGCAGAGGAAGCACAAGCAGAGGAGCGCAAGCAGAGGAAGCGCAAGCAGAGGAAGCAAAAGCAGAGGAAGCTCAAGCAAAGGAAGCACAAGCAGACGAAGCACAAGCAGAGGAAGCGCAAGCAGAGGAGGCACAAGCAAAGGAAGCACAAGCAAAGGAAGCTCAAGCAGAGAAAGCAAAAGAAGATGAAGCACAAGCAGAGGAAGCGCAAGCAGAGGAAGCACAAGCAAAGGAAGCGCAAGAAGAGGAAGCACAAGCAGAAAAAGCGCAAGCAGACGAAGCACAAGCAGAGGAAGCACAAGCAGAGGAGCGCAAGCAGAGGAAGCGCAACGAGAGGAAGCACAAGCAGAGGAAGCACAAGCAGAGGAGCGCAAGCAGTTGAAGTGCAAGCAAAGGAAGCACAAGCAGAGGAAGAGCAAGCAGAGGAATCACAAGCAAAGGAAGTGCAAGCAGAGGAAGCACAAGCAGAGGAAGCACAAGCAGAGGAGCGCAAGCAGAGGAAGTGTAAGGAGAGAAAGCGGAAGCAGAGGAAGCGCAAGCACAGGAAGCGTAAGCAGAGGAAGCGCAAGCAGAGGAAGTGCAAGCAGAGGAAGCGCAAGCAGACGAAGCTCAAGCAGAGGAGCGCAAGTAGAGGAAGCGCAAGCAGAGGAAGCAAAAGCACAGGAAGCTCAAGCAAAGGAAGCACAAGCAGAGGAAGAACAAGCAGAGGAAGCCCAAGCAGAGGAAGCTCAAGCAGAGGAAGCACAAGAAGAGGAAGCACAAGCAGAGGAACGCAAGCAGAGGAATTGCAAGCACGGGAAGCGCAAGGAGAGGAAGCGCAAGCAGAGGAAGCACAAGTAGAGGAAGCACAAGCAGAGAAAGCACAAGCAGAGGAAGCGCAAGCAGAGGAAGCACAAGAAGAGGAAGCGCAAGCAGAGGAAGCACAAGCAAAGGAAGCACAAGAAGAGGAAGCACAAGAAGAGGAAGAGCAAGCAGACGAAGCACAAGCAGAGGAAGCACAAGCAGAGGAGTGCAAGCAGAGGAAGCGCAAGCAGAGGAAGCGCAAGGAGACGAAGCACAAGCAGAGGAAGCACAAGCAGAGGAGCGCAAGCAGAGGAAGTGCAAGCAGAGGAAGTACAAGCAGAGGAAGTGCAAGCAGAGGAATCACAAGCAAAGGAAGCGCAAGCAGAGGAAGCACAAGCAGAGGAAGCACAAGCAGAGGAGCGCAAGCAATGGAAGTGTAAGCAGAGGAAGCGCAAGCAGAGGAAGCGCAAGTAGAGGAAGCGTAAGCAGAGGAAGCGCAAGCAGAGGAAGCGCAAGCAGAGGAAGCACAAGCAGAGGAAACACAAGCAGAGGAGCGCAAGCAGAGGAAGCGCAAGCAGAGGAAGCAAAAGCAGAGGAAGCTCAAGCAAAGGAAGCACAAGCAAACTAAGCGCAAGAAGAGGAGGCACAAGCAGAGGAGCGCAAGAAGAGGAAGTGCAAGCATAGAAAGCGCAAGGAGAGGAAGCGCAAGCAGAGGAAGCACAAGTAGAGGAAGCACAAGCAGAGAAAGCACAAGTAGAGGAAGCGCAAGCAGAGGAAGCAGAAGCAGAGGAGCGCAAGCAGAGGAAGTGCAAGCACAGGAAGCCCAAGGAGAGGAAGCGCAAGCAGAGGAAGCACAAATAGAGGAAGCACAAGCAGAGAAAGCACAATCAGAGCAAGCGCAAGCAGAGGAAGCACAAGCAGAGGAAGCGCAAGCAGAGGAAGTACAAGCAAAGGAAGCACAAGAAGAGGAAGCACAAGAAGAGGAAGAGCAAGCAGACGAAGCACAAGCAGAGGCAGCACAGGCAAAGGAGTGCAAGCAGAGGAAGCACAAGCAAAGGAAGTGCAACGAGAGGAAGCACAAGCAGAGGAAGCACAAGCAGAGGAGCGCAAGCAGAGGAAGTGCAAGCAGAGGAAGCACAAGAAGAGGAAGCGCAAGCGGAGGAATCACAAGCACAGGAGCGCAAGCAGAGGAAGTGTAAGCAGAGGAAGCGCAAGCAAAGGAAGCGCAAGTAGAGGAAGCGTAAGCAGAGGAAGCGCACGCAGAGGAAGCGCAAGCAGAGGAAGTGTAAGCAGAGAAAGCGGAAGCAGAGGAAGCGCAAGCACAGGAAGCGTAAGCAGAGGAAGCGCAAGCAGAGGAAGTGCAAGAAGAGGAAGCACAAGCAGACGAAGCACAAGCAGAGGAGCGCAAGCAGAGGAAGCGCAAGCAGAGGAATCAAAAGCACAGGAAGCTCAAGCAAAGGAAGCACAAGCAGAGGAAGAACAAGCAGAGGAAGCACAAGCAGAGGAAGCTCAAGCAGAGGAAGCACAAGAAGAGGAAGCACAAGCAGAGGAGCGCAAGCAGAGGAAGTGCAAGCACGGGAAGCGCAAGGAGAGGAAGTGCAAGCAGAGGAAGCACAAGTAGAGGAAGCACAAGCAAAGAAAGCACAAGAAGAGGAAGCGCAAGCAGAGGAAGCACAAGAAGAGGAAGCGCAAGCAGAGGAAGCACAAGCAAAGGAAGCACAAGAAGAGGAAGCACAAGAAGAGGAAGCACAAGCAGAGGAGTGCAAGCAGAGGAAGCGCAAGCAGAGGAAGCGCAAGGAGAGGAAGCACAAGCAGAGGAAGCACAAGCAGAGGAGCGCAAGTAGAGGAAGTGCAAGCAGAGGAATCACAAGCAAAGGATGCGCAAGCAGAGGAAGAACAAGTAGAGGAAGCACAAGCAGAGGAGCGCAAGCAGAGGAAGTGTAAGCAGAAGAAGCGCAAGTAGAGGAAGCGCAAGTGGAGGAAGCGTAAGGAGAGGAAGCACAAGCAGAGGAAGCGCAAGCAGAGGAAGCACAAGCAGAGGAAGCACAAGCAGAGGAGCGCAAGCAGAGGAAGCGCAAGCAGAGGAAGCAAAAGCAGAGGAAGCTCAAGCAAAGGAAGCACAAGCAGACTAAGCGCAAGCAGAGGAGGCACAAGCAGAGGAGCGCAAGCAGAGGAAGTGCAAGCACAGGAAGCGCAAGGAGAGGAAGCGCAAGCAGAGGAAGCACAAGTAGAGGAAGCACAAGCAGAGAAAGCACAAGCAAAGGAAGCGCAAGTAGAGGAAGCACAAGCAGAGGAGCGCAAGCAGAGGAAGTGCAAGCACAGGAAGCGCAAGGAGAGGAAGCGCAAGCAGAGGAAGCACAAGTAGAGGAAGCACAAGCAGAGAAAGCACAAGCAGAGCAAGCGCAAGCAGAGGAAGCACAAGCAGAGGAAGCGCAAGCAGAGGAAGCACAAGCAAAGGAAGCACAAGAAGAGGAAGCACAAGAAGAGGAAGAGCAAGCAGACGAAGCACAAGCAGAGGAAGCACAAGCAGAGGAGTGCAAACAGAGGAAGCACAAGCGGAGGAAGCGCAACGAGAGGAAGCACAAGCAGAGGAAGCACAAGCAGAGGAGCGCAAGCAGAGGAAGTGCAAGCAGAGGAAGCACAAGAAGAGGAAGCGCAAGCAGAGGAATCCCAAGCAAAGGAAGCCCAAGCAGAGGAAGCACAAGCAGAGAAAGCACAAGCAGAGGAGCGCAAGCAGAGGAAGTGTAAGCAAAGGAAGCGCAAGCAGAGGAAGCGCAAGTAGAGGAAGCGTAAGCAGAGGAAGCGCAAGAAGAGGAAGCGCAAGCAGAGGAAGCACAAGCAGAGGAAGCACAAGCAGAGGAGCGCAAGCAGAGGAAGCGCAAGCGGAGGAAGCAAAAGCAGAGGAAGCTCAAGCAAAGGAAGCACAAGCAGACGAAGCAAAAGCAGAGAAAGCGCAAGCAGAGGAGGCACAAGCAAAGGAAGCACAAGCAAAGGAAGCTCAAGCAGAGGAAGCACAAGAAGAGGAAGCACAAGCAGAGGAAGCGCAAGCAGATGAAGCAGAAGCAAAGGAAGCGCAATAAGAGGAAGCACAAGCAGAAATAGCGCAAGCAGACGAAGCACAAGCAGAGGAAGCACAAGCAGAGGAGCGCAAGCAGAGGAAGCGCAAGCAGAGGAAGCGCAAGGAGAGGAAGCACAAGCAGAGGAAGCACAAGCACAGGAAGCGCAAGCAGAGGAAGCACAAGCAGAGGAAGCGCAAGCAGAAGAAGCACAAGCAGAGGAAGCACAAGCAGAGGAGCGCACCAGAGGAAGTGCAAGCATAGGAAGTGCAAGGAGAGGAAGCGCAAGCAGAGGAAGCACAAGTAGAGGAAGCACAAGTAGAGAAAGCACAAGCAGAGGAAGCGCAAGCAAAGGAAGCACAAGCAAAAGAAGCACAAGAAGAGGAAGCACAAGAAGAGGAAGAGCAAGAAGACGAAGTAAAAGCAAGGAAGTACAAGCAGAGGAGTGCAAGCAGAGGAAGCGCAAGTAGAGGAAGCGCAAGGAGAGGAAGCACAAGCAGAGGAAGCACAAGCAGAGGAGCGCAAGTAGAGGAAGTGCAAGCCGAGGAAGCACAAGCAGAGGAAGCGCAAGCAGAGGAATCACAAGCAAAGGAAGCGCAAGCAGAGGAAGCACAAGAAGAGGAAGCACAAGCAGAGGAGCGCAAGCAGAGGAAGGGTAAGCAGACGAAGCGCAAGCAGAGGAAGCGCAAGCAGAGGAAGGGTAAGCAGAGGAAGCGCAAGCAGAGGAAGCGCAAGCAGAGGAAGCACAAGCAGAGGAAGCAAAAGCAGAGGAGCACAAGAAGAGGAAGCGCAAGCAGAGGAAGCAAAAGCAGAGGAAGCTTAAGCAAAGGAAGCACAAGCAGACGAAGCACAAGCAGAGGAAGCGCAAGCAGAGGAAGCACAAGCAGAGGAAGCACAAGCAGAGGAGCGCAAGCAGAGGAAGCGTAAGCACAGGAAGCGCAAGGAGAGGAAGCACAAGCAAAGGAAGCACAAGAAGAGGAAGCACAAGAAGAGGAAGAGCAAGCAGACGAAGCACAAGCAAAGGAAGTACAAGCAGAGGAGTGCAAGCAGAGGAAGCGCAAGCAGAGGAAGCGCAAGGAGAGGAAGCACAAGCAGAGGAAGCACAAGCAGAGGAAGCACAAGCAGAGGAAGCACAAGCTGAGGAAGCACAAGCAGAGGAAACACAAGCAGAGGAGCGCAAGCAGAGGAAGCGTAAGCACAGGAAGCGCAAGGAGAGGAATCGCAAGGAGAGGAAGCGCAAGTAGAGGAAGCACAAGCAGAGGAAGCACAAGTAGTGGAAGCACAACAAGAGTAAGCGCAAGCAGAGGAAGCACAAGCAGAGGAAGCAAAAGCAGAGGAGCGCAAGCAGAGGAAGCGCAAGCAGAGGAAGTGCAAGCAGAGGAAGCACAAGCAAAGGAAGCACAAGCACAGGAAGCGCAAGCAGAAGAAGCACAAGCAGTGGAAGCACAAGCAGAGGAGCCCAAGCAGAGGAAGCAGAAGCATAGGGAGTGCAAGCAGAGGAAGCACAAGCAGAGGAAACGCAAGCAGAGGAAGCACAAGCAGAGGAAGCACAAGCAGAGGAAGCACAAGCAGAGGAGCGCAAGCAGAGGAAGCGTAAGCACAGGAAGCGCAAGGAGAGGAAGCGCAAGCAGAGGAAGCGCAAGTATAAGAAGCACAAGCAGAGGAAGCACAAGTAGCGGAAGTACAACTAGAGTAAGCGCAAGCAGAGGAAGCACAAGCAGAGGAAGCAAAAGCAGAGGAGCGCAAGCAGAGGAAGCGCAAGCAGAGGAAGTGCAAGCAGAGGAAGCACAAGCAGAGGAAGCACAAGCACAGGAAGCGCAAGCAGAGGAAGCACAATCAGTGGAAGCACAAGCAGAGGAGCCCAAGCAGAGGAAGCAGAAGCATAGGAAGTGCAAGCAGAGGAAGCACAAGCAGAGGAAGCGCAAGCAGAGGAAGCATAAGCAGAGGAGCGCAAGCAGAGGAAGTGCAAGCACAGGAAGCGCAAGGAGAGGAAGCGCAAGCAGAGGAGCGGAGGCAGAGGAAGTGCAAGCAGAGGAAGCACAAGCGGAGGAAGCGCAAGCACAGGAATCACAAGCCAAGGAAGCGCAAGCAGAGGAAGCACAAGCAGAGGAAGCACAAGCAGAGGAGCGCAAGCAGAGGAAGTGTTAGCAGAGGAAGCGCAAGCAGAGGAAGCGCAAGTAGAGGAAGCGTAAGAAGAGGAAGCGCAAGCAGAGGAAGCGCAAGCAGAGGAAGCACAAGCAGAGGAAGCACAAGCAGAGGAGCGCAAGCAGAGGAAGCGCAAGTAGAGGAAGCAAAAGCAGAGGAAGCTCAAGCAAAGGAAGCACAAGCAGACGAAGCACAAGCAGAGGAAGCGCAAGCAGAGGAGGCACAAGCAAAGGAAGCACAAGCAAAGGAAGCTCAAGCAGAGTAAGCACAAGAAGAGGAAGCACAAGCAGAGGAAGCGCAAGCAGAGGAAGCACAAGCAAAGGAAGCGCAAGAAGAGGAAGCACAAGCAGAGGAAGCACAAGCAGAGGAGCGCAAGCAGAAGAAGTGTAAGGAGAGAAAGCGGAAGCAGAGGAAGCGCAAGCACAGGAAGTGCAAGCAGAGGAAGCGCAAGCAGACGAAGCACAAGCAGAGGAGCGCAAGTAGAGGAAGCGCAAGCAGAGGAAGCAAAAGCACAGGAAGCTCAAGCAAAGGAAGCACAAGCAGAGGAAGAACAAGCAGAGGAAGCACAAGCAGAGGAAGCTCAAGCAGAGGAAGCACAAGAAGAGGAAGCACAAGCAGAGGAACGCAAGCAGAGGGATTGCAAGCACGGGAAGCGCAAGGAGAGGAAGCGCAAGCAAAGAAAGCACAAGCAGAGGAAGCGCAAGCAGAGGAAGCACAAGAAGAGGAAGCGCAAGCAGAGGAAGCAAAAGCAAAGAAAGCACAAGAAGAGGAAGCACAAGAAGAGGAAGAGCAAGCAGACGAAGCACAAGCAGAGGAAGCACAAGCAGAGGAGCGCAAGCAGAGGAAGCGCAAGCAGAGGAAGCAAAAGCAGAGGAAGCTCAAGCAAAGGAAGCACAAGCAGACTAAGCGCAAGCAGAGGAGGCACAAGCAGAGGAGCGCAAGCAGAGGAAGTGCAAGCACAGGAAGCGCAAGGAGAGGAAGCGCAAGCAGAGGAAGCACAAGTAGAGGAAGCACAAGCAGAGAAAGCACAAGCAAAGGAAGCGCAAGTAGAGGAAGCACAAGCAGAGGAGCGCAAGCAGAGGAAGTGCAAGCACAGGAAGCGCAAGGAGAGGAAGCGCAAGCAGAGGAAGCACAAGTAGAGGAAGCACAAGCAGAGAAAGCACAAGCAGAGCAAGCGCAAGCAGAGGAAGCACAAGCAGAGGAAGCGCAAGCAGAGGAAGCACAAGCAAAGGAAGCACAAGAAGAGGAAGCACAAGAAGAGGAAGAGCAAGCAGACGAAGCACAAGCAGAGGAAGCACAAGCAGAGGAGTGCAAACAGAGGAAGCACAAGCGGAGGAAGCGCAACGAGAGGAAGCACAAGCAGAGGAAGCACAAGCAGAGGAGCGCAAGCAGAGGAAGTGCAAGCAGAGGAAGCACAAGAAGAGGAAGCGCAAGCAGAGGAATCACAAGCAAAGGAAGCCCAAGCAGAGGAAGCACAAGCAGAGGAAGCACAAGCAGAGGAGCGCAAGCAGAGGAAGTGTAAGCAAAGGAAGCGCAAGCAGAGGAAGCGCAAGTAGAGGAAGCGTAAGCAGAGGAAGCGCAAGAAGAGGAAGCGCAAGCAGAGGAAGCACAAGCAGAGGAAGCACAAGCAGAGGAGCGCAAGCAGAGGAAGCGCAAGCGGAGGAAGGAAAAGCAGAGGAAGCTCAAGCAAAGGAAGCACAAGCAGACGAAGCAAAAGCAGAGGAAGCGCAAGCAGAGGAGGCACAAGCAAAGGAAGCACAAGCAAAGGAAGCTCAAGCAGAGGAAGCACAAGAAGAGGAAGCACAAGCAGAGGAAGCGCAAGCAGATGAAGCAGAAGCAAAGGAAGCGCAATAAGAGGAAGCACAAGCAGAAATAGCGCAAGTAGACGAAGCACAAGCAGAGGAAGCACAAGCAGAGGAGCGCAAGCAGAGGAAGCGCAAGCAGAGGAAGCGCAAGGAGAGGAAGCACAAGCAGAGGAAGCACAAGCACAAGAAGCGCAAGCAGAGGAAGCACAAGCAGAGGAAGCGCAAGCACAAGAAGCACAAGCAGAGGAAGCACAAGCAGAGGAGCGCAATCAGAGGAAGTGCAAGCATAGGAAGTGCAAGGAGAGGAAGCGCAAGCAGAGGAAGCACAAGTAGAGGAAGCACAAGTAGAGAAAGCACAAGCAGAGGAAGCGCAAGCAAAGGAAGCACAAGCAAAAGAAGCACAAGAAGAGGAAGCACAAGAAGAGGAAGAGCAAGCAGACGAAGCAAAAGCAAGGAAGTACAAGCAAAGGAGTGCAAGCAGAGGAAGCGCAAGCAGAGGAAGCGCAAGAAGAGGAAGCACAAGCAGAGGAAGCACAAGCAGAGGAGCGCAAGTAGAGGAAGTGCAAGCAGAGGAAGCACAAGCAGAGGAAGCGCAAGCAGAGGAATCACAAGCAAAGGAAGCGCAAGCAGAGGAAGCACAAGAAGAGGAAGCACAAGCAGAGGAGCGCAAGCAGAGGAAGGGTAAGCAGACGAAGCGCAAGGAGAGGAAGCGCAAGCAGAGGAAGGGTAAGCAGAGGAAGCGCAAGCAGAGGAAGCGCAAGCAGAGGAAGCACAAGCAGAGGAAGCAAAAGCAGAGGAGCACAAGAAGAGGAAGCGCAAGCAGAGGAAGCAAAAGCAGAGGAAGCTTAAGCAAAGGAAGCACAAGCAGACGAAGCACAAGCAGAGGAAGCGCAAGCAAAGGAAGCACAAGCAGAGGAAGCACAAGCAGAGGAGCGCAAGCAGAGGAAGCGTAAGCACAGGAAGCGCAAGGAGAGGAAGCACAAGCAAAGGAAGCACAAGAAGAGGAAGCACAAGAAGAGGAAGAGCAAGCAGACGAAGCACAAGCAAAGGAAGTACAAGCAGAGGAGTGCAAGCAGAGGAAGCGCAAGCAGAGGAAGCGCAAGGAGAGGAAGCACAAGCAGAGGAAGCACAAGCAGAGGAAGCACAAGCAGAGGAAGCACAAGCAGAGGAAGCACAAGCAGAGGAAACACAGGCAGAGGAGCGCAAGCAGAGGAAGCGTAAGCACAGGAAGCGCAAGGAGAGGAATCGAAAGGAGAGGAAGCGCAAGTAGAGGAAGCACAACCAGAGGAAGCACAAGTAGTGGAAGCACAACAAGAGTAAGCGCAAGCAGAGGAAGCACAAGCAGAGGAAGCAAAAGCAGAGGAGCGCAAGCAGAGGAAGCGCAAGCAGAGGAAGTGCAAGCAGAGGAAGCACAAGCAAAGGAAGCACAAGCACAGGAAGCGCAAGCAGAAGAAGCACAAGCAGTGGAAGCACAAGCAGAGGAGCCCAAGCAGAGGAAGTAGAAGCATAGGAAGTGCAAGCAGAGGAAGCACAAGCAGAGGAAACGCAAGCAGAGGAAGCACAAGCAGAGGAAGCACAAGCAGAGGAAGCACAAGCAGAGGAGCGCAAGCAGAGGAAGCGTAAGCACAGGAAGCGCAAGGAGAGGAAGCGCAAGCAGAGGAAGCGCAAGTATAAGAAGCACAAGCAGAGGAAGCACAAGTAGCGGAAGCACAACTAGAGTAAGCGCAAGCAGAGGAAGCACAAGCAGAGGAAGCAAAAGCAGAGGAGCGCAAGCAGAGGAAGCGCAAGCAGAGGAAGTGCAAGCAGAGGAAGCACAAGCAGAGGAAGCACAAGAAAAGGAAGCGCAAGCAGAGGAAGCACAAGCAGTGGAAGCACAAGCAGAGGAGCCCAAGCAGAGGAAGCAGAAGCATAGGAAGTGCAAGCAGAGGAAGCACAAGCAGAGGAAGCGCAAGCAGAGGAAGCATAAGCAGAGGAGCGCAAGCAGAGGAAGTGCAAGCACACGAAGCGCAAGGAGAGGAAGCGCAAGCAGAGGAGCGGAGGCAGAGGAAGTGCAAGCAGAGGAAGCACAAACGGAGGAAGCGCAAGCACAGGAATCACAAGCCAAGGAAGCGCAAGCAGAGGAAGCACAAGCAGAGGAAGCACAAGCAGAGGAGCGCAAGCAGAGGAAGTGTTAGCAGAGGAAGCGCAAGCAGAGGAAGCGCAAGTAGAGGAAGCGTAAGAAGAGGAAGCGCAAGCAGAGGAAGCGCAAGCAGAGGAAGCACAAGCAGAGGAAGCACAAGCAGAGGAGCGCAAGCAGAGGAAGCGCAAGCAGAGGAAGCAAAAGCAGAGGAAGCTCAAGCAAAGGAAGCACAAGCAGACGAAGCACAAGCAGAGGAAGCGCAAGCAGAGGAGGCACAAGCAAAGGAAGCACAAGCAAAGGAAGCTCAAGCAGGGAAAGCACAAGAAGAGGAAGCACAAGCAGAGGAAGCGCAAGCAGAGGAAGCACAAGCAAAGGAAGCGCAAGCAGAGGAGCGCAAGCAGAGGAAGTGTAAGGAGAGAAAGCGGAAGCAGAGGAAGCGCAAGCACAGGAAGCGTAAGCAGAGGAAGCGCAAGCAGAGGAAGCGCAAGCAGACGAAGCACAAGCAGAGGAGCGCAAGTAGAGGAAGCGCAAGCAGAGGAAGCAAAAGCACAGGAAGCTCAAGCAAAGGAAGCACAAGCAGAGGAAGAACAAGCAGAGGAAGCACAAGCAGAGGAAGCTCAAGCAGAGGAAGCACAAGAAGAGGAAGCACAAGCAGAGGAACGCAAGCAGAGGAATTGCAAGCACGGAAAGCGCAAGGAGAGGAAGCGCAAGCAGAGGAAGCACAAGTAGAGGAAGCACAAGCAGAGAAAGCACAAGCAGAGGAAGCGCAAGCAGAGGAAGCACAAGAAGAGGAAGCGCAAGCAGAGGAAGCAAAAGCAAAGGAAGCACAAGAAGAGGAAGCACAAGAAGAGGAAGAGCAAGCAGACGAAGCACAAGCAGAGGAAGCACAAGCAGAGGAGTGCAAGCAGAGGAAGCGCAAGCAGAGGAAGCGCAAGGAGAGGAAGCACAAGCAGAGGAAGCACAAGCAGAGGAGCGCAAGCAGAGGAAGTGCAAGCTGAGGAAGTACAAGCAGAGGAAGTGCAAGCAGAGGAATCACAAGCAAAGGAAGCTCAAGCAGAGGAAGCACAAGCAGAGGAAGCACAAGCAGAGGAGCCCAAGCAGAGGAAGTGTAAGCAGAGGAAGCGCAAGCAGAGGAAGCGCAAGTAGAGGAAGCGTAAGCAGAGGAAGCGCAAGCAGAGGAAGCGCAAGCAGAGGAAGCACAAGCAGAGGAAACACAAGCAGAGGAGCGCAAGCAGAGGAAGCGCAAGCAGAGGAAGCAAAAGCAGAGGAAGCTCAAGCAAAGGAAGCACAAGCAAACTAAGCGCAAGCAGAGGAGGCACAAGCAGAGGAGCGCAAGAAGAGGAAGTGCAAGCACAGAAAGCGCAAGGAGAGGAAGCGCAAGCAGAGGAAGCACAAGTAGAGGAAGCACAAGCAGAGAAAGCACAAGTAGAGGAAGCGCAAGCAGAGGAAGCACAAGCAGAGGAGCGCAAGCAGAGGAAGTGCAAGCACAGGAAGCCCAAGGAGAGGAAGCGCAAGCAGAGGTAGCACAAGTAGAGGAAGAACAAGCAGAGAAAGCACAAGCAGAGCAAGCGCAAGCAGAGGAAGCACAAGCAGAGGAAGCGCAAGCAGAGGAAGTACAAGCAAAGGAAGCACAAGAAGAGGAAGCACAAGAAGAGGAAGAGCAAGCAGACGAAGCACAAGCAGAGGAAGCACAGGAAGAGGAGTGCAAGCAGAGGAAGCACAAGCAGAGGAAGCGCAACGAGAGGAAGCACAAGCAGAGGAAGCACAAGCAGAGGAGCGCAAGCAGAGGAAGTGCAAGCAGAGGAAGCACAAGAAGAGGAAGCGCAAGCAGAGGAATCACAAGCAAAGGAAGCCCAAGCAGAGGAAGCACAAGCAGACTAAGCACAAGCACAGGAGCGCAAGCAGAGGAAGTGTAAGCAGAGGAAGCGCAAGCAGAGGAAGCGCAAGTAGAGGAAGCGTAAGCAGAGGAAGTGCAAGCAGAGGAAGCGCAAGCAGAGGAAGTGTAAGCAGAGAAAGCGGAAGCAGAGGAAGCGCAAGCACAGGAAGCGTAAGCAGAGGAAGCGCAAGCAGAGGAAGTGCAAGAAGAGGAAGCACAAGCAGACGAAGCACAAGCAGAGGAGCGCAAGCAGAGGAAGCGCAAGCAGAGGAAGCAAAAGCACAGGAAGCTGAAGCAAAGGAAGCACAGGCAGAGGAAGAACAAGCAGAGGAAGCACAAGCAGAGGAAGCTCAAGCAGAGGAAGCACAAGAAGAGGAAGCACAAGCAGAGGAGCGCAAGCAGAGGAAGCACAAGAAGAGGAAGCGCAAGCAGAGGAAGCACAAGCAAAGGAAGCACAAGAAGAGGAAGCACAAGAAGAGGAAGAGCAAGCAGACGAAGCACAAGCAGAGGAAGCACAAGCAGAGGAGTGCAAGCAGAGGAAGCGCAAGCAGAGGAAGCGCAAGGAGAGGAAGCACAAGCAGAGGAAGCACAAGCAGAGGAGCGTAAGTAGAGGAAGTGCAAGCAGAGGAAGTACAAGGAGAGGAAGTGCAAGCAGAGGAATCACAAGCAAAGGATGCGCAAGCAGAGGAAGCACAAGTAGAGGAAGCACAAGCAGAGGAGCGCAAGCAGAGGAAGTGTAAGCAGAGGAAGCGCAAGCAGAGGAAGCGCAAGTGGAGGAAGCGTAAGGAGAGGAAGCTCAAGCAAAGGAAGCACAAGCAGACTAAGCGCAAGCAGAGGAGGCACAAGCAGAGGAGCGCAAGCAGAGGAAGTGCAAGCACAGGAAGCGCAAGGAGAGGAAGCGCAAGCAGAGGAAGCACAAGTAGAGGAAGCACAAGCAGAGAAAGCACAAGCAAAGGAAGCGCAAGCAGAGGAAGCACAAGCAGAGGAGCGCAAGCAGAGGAAGTGCAAGCACAGGAAGCGCAAGGAGAGGAAGCGCAAGCAGAGGAAGCACAAGTAGAGGAAGCACAAGCAGAGAAAGCACAAGCAGAGCAAGCGTAAGCAGAGGAAGCACAAGCAGAGGAAGCGCAAGCAGAGGAAGCACAAGAAGAGGAAGAGCAAGCAGACGAAGCACAAGCAGAGGAAGCACAAGCAGAGGAGTGCAAACAGAGGAAGCACAAGCGGAGGAAGCGCAACGAGAGGAAGCACAGGCAGAGGAAGCACAAGCAGAGGAGCGCAAGCAGAGGAAGCACAAGCAGAGGAGCGCAAGCAGAGGAAGTGCAAGCAGAGGAAGCACAAGAAGAGGAAGCGCAAGCAGAGGAATCACAAGCAAAGGAAGCCCAAGCAGAGGAAGCACAAGCAGAGGAAGCACAAGTAGAGGAGCGCAAGCAGAGGAAGTGTAAGAAGAGGAAGCGCAAGCAGAGGAAGCGCAAGTAGAGGAAGCGTAAGCAGAGGAAGCGCAAGAAGAGGAAGCGCAAGCAGAGGAAGCACAAGCAGAGGAAGCACAAGCAGAGGAGCGCAATCAGAGGAAGCGCAAGCGGAGGAAGCAAAAGTAGAGGAAGCTCAAGCAAAGGAAGCACAAGTAGACGATGCAAAAGCAGAGGAAGCGCAAGCAGAGGAGGCACAAGCAAAGGAAGCACAAGCAAAGGAAGCTCAAGCAGAGGAAGCACAAGAAGAGGAAGCACAAGCAGAGGAAGCGCAAGCAGAGGAAGCAGAAGCAAAGGAAGCGCAATAAGAGGAAGCACAAGCAGAAATAGCGCAAGCAGAAGAAACACAAGCAGAGGAAGCACAAGCAGAGGAGCGCAAGCAGAGGAAGCGCAAGCAGAGGAAGCGCAAGGAGAGGAAGCACAAGCAGAGGAAGCACAAGTAGAGGAGCGCAAGCAGTTGAAGTGCAAGCAAAGGAAGCATAAGCAGAGGAAGCGCAAGCAGAGGAATCACAAGCAAAGGAAGCGCAAGCAGAGGAAGCACAAGCAGAGGAAGCACAAGCAAAGGAGCGCAAGCAGAGGAAGTGTAAGCAGAGAAAGCGCAAGCAGAGGAAGCGCAAGCATAGGAAGCGTAAGCAGAGGAAGCGCAAGCAGAGGAAGTGCAAGCAGAGATAGCGCAAGCAGACAAAGCACAAGCAGAGGAGCGCAAGCAAAGGAAGCGCAAGCAGAGGAAGCAAAAGCACAGGAAGCTCAAGCAAAGGAAGCACAAGCAGAGGAAGCACAAGCAAAGGAAGCACAAGCAGAGTAAGCTCAAGCAGAGGAAGCACAAGAAGAGGAAGCACAAGCAAAGGAAGCGCAAGCCGAGGAAGCACAAGAAAAGGAAGCGCAAGAAGAGGAAGCACAAGCAGAGGAAGCGCAAGCAAAGGAAGCGCAAGCAGAGGAAGCGCAAGGAGAGGAAGCACAAGTAGAGGAAGCACAAGCAGAGGAGCGCAAGCAGAGGAAGTGCAAGCAAAGGAAGCGCAAGCAGAGGAATCACAAGCAAAGGAAGCGCAAGTAGAGGAAGCACAGGCAGAGGAAGCACAAGCAGAGGAGCGCAAGCAGAGGAAGTGTAAGCGGAGAAAGCGCAAGCAGAGGAAGCGCAAGCACAGGAAGCGTAAGCAGAGGAAGCGCAAGCAGAGGAAGCGCAAGCAGAGGAAGCGAAAGCAGACGAAGCACAAGCAGAGGAGCGCAAGCAGAGGAAGCGCAAGCAGAGGAAGCAAAAGCAGAGGAAGCTCAAGCAAAGGAAGCACAAGCAGAGGTAGCACAAGTAGAGGAAGCGCAAGCAGAGGAAGCACAAGCAGAGGAAGCTCAAGCAGAGGAAGCACAAGAAGAGGAAGCACAAGCAGAGGAAGCGCAAGCAGAGGAAGCGCAAGCAAAGGAAGCACAAGCAGAGGAGGCACAAGCAGAGGAGCACAAGCAGAGAAAGCTCAAGCAGAGGAAGCATAAGGAGAGGAAGCGCAAGTAGAGGAAGCACATGCAGAGGAAGCAAAGGCAGAGGAAGCAAAAGCACAGGAAGCACAAGTAGAGGAGCGCAAGTAGAGGAAGTGTAAGCAGAGGAAGTGTTTGCGCTTCCTCTGCTTGCGCTTCCTCTGCTTGCGCTTCCTCTGCTTGCGCTTCCTCTGCTTGGGCTCCTCTGCTTGTGCTTCCTCTGCTTATGCTTCCTCTGCTTGCGCTTCCTCTACTTGTGCTTCCTCTCCTTGTGCTTCCTCTACTTGCGCATCTTCTGCTTGTGCTTCCTCTGCATTCGCTTCCTCTGCTTGTGCTTCCTTTGCTTGTGCTTCTTCTGCTTGCGCTTCCTCTGCTTGCGCTTCCTCTGATTGTGCTTCCTCCGAGTGCGCTTCCTCTTCTTGTGCTTCCTCTGCTTGCGCTTCTTCTGCTTGTGCTTTCATTGCTTGTGCTTTCTCCGCTTGTGCTTCCTCTTCTTGTGCTTCTTCTGCTTGTGCTTCCTCTTCTTGTGCTTCTTCTTCTTGCGCTTCCTCTCCTTGTGCTTCCTCTGCTTGCGTTTCCTCTGCTTGCCCTTCCTCTGCTTGCGCTTCTCTGCTTGTGCTTCCTCTGCTTGTGCTTCCTGTGCTTGCGCTTCTTCTGCTTAGGCTTCCCAGATTGCACTTCCTCTGCTTGCGCTTCCTCTGCTTGCGCTTCCTCTGCTTAGGCTCCTCTGCTTGTGCTTCCTCTACTTGCGCATCCTCTGCTTGTGCTTCCTCTGCTTGCGCTTCCTCTGCTTGCGCTTCCTCTGCTTGTGCTTCCTCTGCTTGCGCTTCCTCTGCTTGTGCTTCCTCTGCTTGTGCTTCCTCTGCTTGCGCTTCCTCTGCTTGCGCTTCCTCTGATTGTGCTTCCTCTGAGTGGGCTTCCTCTTCTTGTGCTTCCTCTGCTTGCGCTTCTTCTGCTTGTGCTTTCATTGCTTATGCTTCCTCCGCATGCGCTTCCTCTTCTTGTGCTTCTTCTGCTTGTGCTTCCTCTACTTGCGCTTCCTCTTTTTGTGCTTCCTCTGCTTGCGTTTCCTCTGCTTGCGCTTCCTCAGCTTGCGCTTATCTGCTTGTGCTTCCTCTTCTTGTGCTTCCTGTGCTTGCGCTTCCTCTGCTTAGGCTTCCTCTGCTTGCGCTTCCTCTTCTTGCGCTTCCTCTACTTACGCTTCCTCTGCTTGTGCTTCCTCTCCTTATGCTTCCTCTGCTTGCGCTTCCTCTGCTTGTGCTTCCTTTGCTTGTGCTTCCTCTAATTGTGCTTCCTCTGCTTGTGCTTCCTCTGCATGTGCTTCCTCTGCTTGCGCTTCTTCTGCTTGTGCTTCCTCTGCTGTGCTTCCTCTGCTTGCGCTTCCTCGGCTTGTGCTTCTTCAGCTTGTGCTTCCTGTGCTTGTGCTTCCTCTGCCTGTGCTTCCTCTGCTTGTGCTTTCTCTGCTTGCGATTCGTCTGCTTGTGCTTCCTCTACTTGCGCTTCCTCTGCTTGCGCTTCCTCTACTTGTGCTTCCTCTGCTTGTGCTTCCTCTGCTTGCACTTTCTCTGCTTGTGCTTCCTCTGCTTGCGCTTCCTCTGCTTGTGCTTCCTCTACTTGGGCTCTTGTGCTTGTGCTTCCACTGCTTGTGCTTCCTCTGCTTGCGCTTTTTGTGCTTGTGCTTCCTCTGCTTCTGCTTCCTCTGCTTGCACTTCCTCTGCTTGTGCTTCCTCTGCTTGCGCTCCTCTGCTTGTGCTTCCTCTACTTGTGCTTCCTCTGTTTGCGCTTCCTCTAGTTGTGCTTCCGCTGCTTGTGCTTCCTCTGCTTGTGCTTTCTCTGCTTGCTCTTCCTTTGCTTGCGCTTCCTCTACTTGCGCTTCCTCTGCTTGGGCTCCTCTGCTTGTGCTTCCTCTGCTTGTGCTTCCTCTGCTTGCGCTTCTTCTGCTTGTGATTCCTCTGCTTGTGCTTCCTCTGCTTGCGCTTCCTCTGCTTGCGCTTCCTCTGCTTGCGCTTCCTCTGCTTGCGCTTCCTCTACTTGTTCTTCCTCTGCTTGCGCTTCCTCTGCTTGCACTTCCTCTGCTTGTGCTCCTCTGCTTGCGCTTCCTCTGCTTGCGCTTCCTATGCTTGCGCTTCCTCTTCTTGCGCTTCCTCTGCTTACGCTTCCTCTGCTTGTGCTTCCTCCGCTTGCTCTTCCTTTGCTTACGCTTCCTCTGCTTGCGCTCCTCTGCTTGTGCTTTCTCTGCTTGTGCTTCCTCTGCTTGCGCTTCCTCTGCTTGTGCTTCCTCTGCTTATGCTCCTCTGCTTGCGCTTCCTCTGCTTGCGCTTCCTATGCTTGCGCTTCCTCTTCTTGCGCTTCCTCTGCTTACGCTTCCTCTGCTTGTGCTTCCTCTGCTTGCTCTTCCTTTGCTTACGCTTCCTCTGCTTGCGCTCCTCTGCTTGTGCTTGATCTGCTTGTGCTTCCTCTGCTTGCGCTTCCTCTGCTTGTGTTTCCTCTGCTTGTGCTTTCTCTGCTTGCTCTTCCTCTACTTGCGCTTCCTCTGCAGGCGCTTCCTCTACTTGGGCTCCTCTGCTTGTGCTTCCTGTGCTTGTGCTTCCTGTGCTTGCGCTTCCTCTGCTTGTGCTTCCTCTGCTTGTGCTTCCTCTGCTTGCGCTTCCTCTGCTTGCGCTTCCTTTGCTTGCGCTTCCTCTGCTTGCGCTTCCTCTGCTTGTTCTTCCTCTGCTTGCGCTTCCTCTGCTTGCACTTCCTCTGCTTGTGCTCCTCTGCTTGCGCTTCCTCTGCTTGCGCTTCCTATGCTTGCGCTTCCTCTTCTTGCGCTTCCTCTGCTTACGCTTCCTCTGCTTGTGCTTCCTCTGCTTGCTCTTCCTTTGCGTACGCTTCCTCTTCTTGCGCTCCTGTGCTTGTGCTTTCTCTGCTTGTGCTTCCTCTGCTTGCGCTTCCTCTGCTTGTGCTTCCTCTGCTTGCGCTTCCTCTGCTTGTGCGTCCTTTGCTTGCGCTTCCTCTGCTTGCGCTCCTCTGCTTGTGCTTCCTCTGCTTGCGCTTCCTCTGCTTGCGCTCCTCTGCTTGTGCTTCCTCTGCTTGCGCTTCCTCTACTTGTGCTTCTCTGCTTGCGCTTCCTCTGCTTGTGCTTCCTCTGCTTGCGCTTCCTCTGCTTGCGCTTCCTCTGCTTGCGCTTCCTCTGATTGCGCTTCCTCTGCTTGCGCTTTCTCTGCTTATGCTTCCTCTGCTTATGCTTCCTCAGCTTGTGCTTCCTCTGCTTGCGCTTCCTCTGCTTGTGCTTCCTCTGCTTGCGCTTCCTCTGCTTGCGCTCCTCTGCTTGTGCTTCCTCTGCTTGCGCTTCCTCTACTTGTGCTTCTCTGCTTGCGCTTCTTCTGCTTGTGATTCCTCTGCTTGTGCTTCCTCTGCTTGCGCTTCCTCTGCTTGCGCTTCCTCTGCTTGCGCTTCCTCTGCTTGCGCTTCCTCTGCTTGTTCTTCCTCTGCTTGCGCTTCCTCTGCTTGCACTTCCTCTGCTTGTGCTCCTCTGCTTGCGCTTCCTCTGCTTGCGCTTCCTATGCTTGCGCTTCCTCTTCTTGCGCTTCCTCTACTTACGCTTCCTCTGCTTGTGCTTCCTCCGCTTGCTCTTCCTTCGCTTACGCTTCCTCTGCTTGCGCTCCTCTGCTTGTGCTTTCTCTGCTTGTGCTTCCTCTGCTTGCGCTTCCTCTGCTTGTGCTTCCTCTGCTTATGCTCCTCTGCTTCCGCTTCCTCTGCTTGCGCTTCCTATGCTTGCGCTTACTCTTCTTGCGCTTCCTCTGCTTACGCTTCCTCTGCTTGTGCTTCCTCTGCTTGCTCTTCCTTTGCTAATGCTTCCTCTGCTTGCGCTCCTCTGCTTGTGCTTGATCTGCTTGTGCTTCCTCTGCTTGCGCTTCCTCTGCTTGTGTTTCCTCTGCTTGTGCTTTCTCTGCTTGCTCTTCCTCTGCTTGCGCTTCCTCTGCAGGCGCTTCCTCTACTTGGGCTCCTCTGCTTGTGCTTCCTGTGCTCGTGCTTCCTCTGCTTACGCTTCCTCTGCTTGTGCTTCCTCTGCTTGTGCTTCCTCTGCTTGCGCTTCCTCTGCTTGCGCTTCCTTTGCTTGCGCTTCCTCTGCTTGCGCTTCCTCTGCTTGTTCTTCCTCTGCTTGCGCTTCCTCTGCTTGCACTTCCTCTGCTTGTGCTCCTCTGCTTGCGCTTCCTCTGCTTGCGCTTCCTATGCTTGCGCTTCCTCTTCTTGCGCTTCCTCTGCTTACGCTTCCTCTGCTTGTGCTTCCTCTGCTTGCTCTTCCTTTGCGTACGCTTCCTCTGCTTGCGCTCCTGTGCTTTCTCTGCTTGTGCTTCCTCTGCTTGCGCTTCCTTTGCTTGTGCTTCCTCTACTTGCGCTTCCTCTGCTTGTGCTTCCTTTGCTTGCGCTTCCTCTGCTTGCGCTCCTCTGCTTGTGCTTCCTCTGCTTGCGCTTCCTCTGCTTGCGCTCCTCTGCTTGTGCTTCCTCTGCTTGCGCTTCCTCTACTTGTGCTTCTCTGCTTGCGCTTCCTCTGCTTGTGCTTCCTCTGCTTGCGCTTCCTCTGCTTGCGCTTCCTCTGCTTGCGCTTCCTCTGATTGCGCTTCCTCTGCTTGCGCTTTCTCTGCTTATGCTTCCTCTGCTTATGCTTCCTCAGCTTGTGCTTCCTCTGCTTGCGCTTCCTCTGCTTGCGCTTCCTGTGCTTGCGCTTTCTTTGCTTGGGCTCCTTTGCTTGTGCTTCCTCTGCTTGTGCTTCCTCTGCTTGCGCTTTCTCTGCTTGTGCTTCATGTGCTTGTGCTTCCTCTGCTTGCGCTTCCTCTGCGTTTGCTTCCTCTGCTTGCGCTTCCTCTGCTTGCGCTTCTTCTGCTTGTGGTTCCTCTGCTTGTGCTTCCTCTGCTTGTGCTTCCTCTACTTGCGCTTCCTCTGCTTGTGCTCTTTGGTTGTGCTTCCTCTACTTGTGCTTCCTCTGCTTGCGCTTCCTCTAGTTGTGCTTCCGCTGCTTGTGCTTCCTCTGCTTGTGCTTTCTCTGCTTGCTCTTCCTCTGCTTGCGCTTCCTCTGCTTGCGCTTCCTCTGCTTGGGCTCCTCTGCTTGTGCTTCCTCTGCTTATGCTTCCTCTTCTTGCGCTTCCTCTGCTTGTGCTTCCTCTGCTTGTGCTTCCTCTGCTTGCGCTTCCTCTGCTTGCGCTTCCTCTGCTTGCGCTTCCTCTACTTGCGCTTCCTCTGCTTGTTCTTCCTCTGCTTGCGCTTCCTCTGCTTGCACTTCCTCTGCTTGTGCTCCTCTGCTTGCGCTTCCTCTGCTTGCGCTTCCTATGCTTGCGCTTCCTCTTCTTGCGCTTCCTCTGCTTACGCTTCCTCTGCTTGTGCTTCCTCTGCTTGCTCTTCCTTTGCTTACGCTTCCTCTGCTTGCGCTCCTCTGCTTGTGCTTTCTCTGCTTGTGCTTCCTTTGCTTGCGCTTACTCTGCCTGTGCTTCCTCTACTTGCGCTTCCTCTGCTTGTGCTTCCTTTGCTTGCGCTTCCTCTGCTTGCGCTCCTCTTCTTGTGCTTTCTCTGCTTTCGCTTCCTCTGCTTGCGCTCCTCTGCTTGTGCCTCCTCTGCTTGCGCTTCCTCTGCTTGTGCTTCTCTGCTTGCGCTTCCTCTGCTTGTGCTTCCTCTCCTTGCGCTTCCTCTGCTTGCGCTTCCTCTGCTTGCGCTTCCTCTGATTGCGCTTCCTCTGCTTGCGCTTTCTCTGCTAATGCTTCCTCTGCTTATGCTTCCTCAGCTTGTGCTTCCTCTGCTTGCGCTTCCTCTGCTTGTGCTTCCTCTGCTTACGCTTCCTCTGCTTGCGCTTCTTGTGCTTGCGCTTCCTCTGCTTGCGCTTCCTCTGCTTGCGCTTCCTCTGCTTGCGCTTCCTCTGCTTGCGCTTCCTCTGCTTGCGCTTCCTCTGCTTGCGCTTTCTCTCCTTGGGCTCCTTTGCTTCTGCTTCCTCTGCTTGTGCTTCCTTTGCTTGCGCTTTCTCTGCTTGTGCTTCCTCTGCTTGTGCTTCCTCTGCTTGCGCTTCCTCTGCTTTTGCTTCCTTTGCTTGCGCTTCCTCTGCTTGCGCTTCTTCTGCTTGTGGTTCCTCTACTTGTGCTTCCTCTGCTTGTGCTTCCTCTACTTGCGCTTCCTCTGCTTGCACTTCCTCTGCTTGTGCTCTTTGGTTGTTCTTCCTCTGCTTGTGCTTCCTCTTCTTGTGCTTCCTCTGCTTGCGCTTCCTATGCTTGTGCTTCCTCTGCTTGCGCTTCCTCTACTTGGGCTCCTCTGCTTTTGCTTCCTCTGCTTGTGCTTCCTCTGCTTGTGCTTCCTCTGCTTGCGCTTCCTCTGCTTACGCTTCCTCTGCTTGCGCTTCCTCTGCTTGCGCTTCCTCTGCTTGCGCTACCTCTGCTTGTGCTTCCTCTGCTTGTGCTTCCTCTGCTTGATCTTCCTCTGCTTGCGCTTCCTCTGCTTGCGCTTCCTCTGCTTGGGCTCCTCTGCTTGTGCTTCCTCTGCTTGTGCTTCCTCTGCTTGTGCTTCCTCTGCTTGTGCTTCCTCTGCTTGTGCTTCCTCTGCTTGCGCGTCCTCTGCTTGCGCTTCCTCTGCTTGCGCTTCCTCTGCTTGCGCTTCCACTGCTTGTTCTTCCTCTGCTTGCGCTTCCTCTGCTTGCACTTCATCTGCTTGTGCTCCTCTTCTTGCGCTTCCTCTGCTTGCGCTTCCTATGCTTGCGCTTCCTCTTCTTGCGCTTCCTCTGCTTACGCTTCCTCTTCTTGTGCTTCCTCTGCTTGCTCTTCCTTTGCTTACGCTTCCTCTGCTTGCGCTCCTCTGCTTGTGCTTCCTCTGCTTGTGCTTCCTCTGCTTGCGCTTCCTCTGCTTGTGCTTCCTCTGCTTGTGCTTCCTCTGCTTGTGCTTCCTTTGCTTGCGCTTCCTCTGCTTGCGCTCCTCTGCTTGACCTTCCTCTGCTTGCGCTTCCTCTGCTTGCGCTCCTCTACTTGTGCTTCCTCTGCTTGCGCTTCCTCTGCTTGTGCTTCCTCTGCTTGCGCTTCCTCTGCTTGTGCTTCCCCTGCTTGCGCTTCCTCTGCTTGCGCTTCCTCTGCTTGCGCTTCCTCTGCTTGCGCTTCCTCTGCTTGCGCTTTCTCTGCTTATGCCTCCTCTGCTTATGCTTCCTCAGCTTGTGCTTCCTCTGCTTGCGCTTCCTCTGCTTGTGCTTCCTCTGCTTACGCTTCCTCTGCTTGCGCTTCCTTTACTTGCGCTTCCTCTGCTTGCGCTTCTTATGCTTGCGCTTCCTCTGCTTGCGCTTCCTCTACTTGCGCTTCCTCTGCTTGCGCTTTCTCTGCTTGCGCTTTCTCTGCTTGGGCTCCTCTTCTTGTGCTTCCTCTGCTTGTGCTTCCTCTGCTTGCGCTTCCTCTACTTGTGCTTCCTCTGCTTGTGCTTCCTCTGCTTGTGCTTCCTCTACTTGCGCTTCCTCTGCTTGCGCTTCCTCTACTTGCGCTCTTTGGTTGTGCTTCCTCTGCTTGTGCTTCCTCTGCTTGTGCTTCCTCTACTTGCGCTTCCTCTGCTTGCGCTTCCTCTGCTTGTGCTCTTTGGTTGTGCTTCCTCTGCTTGTGCTTCCTCTGCTTGCGCTTCCTCTGCTTGTGCTTCCTCTGCTTGCGCTTTCTCTGCTTATGCTTCCTCTGCTTGCGCTTCCTCTACTTGCGCTCCTCCGCTTGTGCTTCCTCTGCTTGTGAATCCTCTGCTTGCTCTTCCTTTTCTTACGCTCCTCTACTTGCGCTTCCTCTGCTTGTGCTTCCTCTGCTTGCGCTTCCTCTGCTTGTGCTTCCTCTCCTGGCGCTTCCTCTGCTTGTGCTTCCTGTGCTTGCGCTTCCACTACTTACGCTTCCTCTGCTTGTGCTTCCTCTGCTTGCTCTTCCTTTGCTTACGCTTCCTTTGCCTGCGCTCCTCTGCTTGTGCTGCCTCTGCTTGTGCTTCCTCTGCTTGTGCTTCCTCTGCTTGTGCTTCCTCTACTTGCGCTACCTTTGCTAGTGCTTCCTCTGCTTGTGCTTCCTCTGCTTGCGCTCCTCTGCTTGTGCTTCCTCTTCTTGCGATTCCTCTGCTTGCACTTCCTCTGCTTGCGCTTCCTCTATTTGCGCTTCCTCTGCTTGCGCTTCCTCTACTTGCGCTCCTCTGCTTGTGCTTCCTCTGCTTGCGCTTCCTCTGCTTGTGCTTCCTCTGCTTGCGCTTCCTCTGCTTGTGCTTCCTCTTCTTGCGCTTCCTCTGCTTGCGCTTCCTCTGCTTGCCCTTTTTCTGCTTGTGCTTCCTCTGCTTATGCTTCCTCTGCTTGTGCTTCCTCTGCTTGCGCTTCCTCTACTTGTGCTTCCTCTGCTTACGCTTCCTCAGCTTGCGCTTCCTCTGCTTGCGCTTCCTCTGCTTGCGCTTCCTCTGCTTGCGCTTCCTCTGCTTGCGCTTCCTCTGCTTGCGCTTCCTCTGCTTGCGCTTCCTCTACTTGGGCTCCTCTGCTTGTGCTTCCTTTGCTTGTGCTTCCTCTGCTTGTGCTTCCTCTGCTTGTGCTTCCTCTGCTTGTGCTTCCTCTGCTTGCGCTTCCTCTGCTTGTGCTTCCTCTTCTTACGCTTCCTCTACTTGCGCTTCCTTTGCTTGTGCTTCCTCTGCTTGTGCTTCCTCTACTTACGCTTCCTCTGCTTGCGCTTCCTCTACTTGCGCTCCTCTGCTTGTGCTTCCTCTTCTTGTTCTTCCTCTGCTTGCGCTTCCTCTTCTTGTGCTTCCTCTGCTCCCGCTTCCTCTGCTTGCGCTCCTCTGCTTCTGCTACCTCTGCTTGTGCTTCCTGCATGTGCTTCCTCCGCTTGCGCTTCCTCTGCTTACGCTTCCTCTGCTTGCGCTTCCTCTGCTTGCGCTTCCTCTACTTGTGCTTCCTCTTCCTGCGCTTCCTCTGCTTACGCTTCTTCTGCTTGTGCTTCCTCTGCTTGCTCTTCCTTTGCTTACGCTTCCTCTGCTTGCGCTCCTCTGCTTGCGCTTCCTCTGCTTGTGCTTCCTCTGCTTGCGCTTCCTTTGCTTGTGCTTCCTCTCCTTGCGCTTCCTCTGCTTGTGCTTCATCTGCTTGTGCTTCCTCTGCTTGCGCTTCCTCTGCTTGGGCTTCCTCTGCTTGCGCTTCGTCTTCTTGCGCTTCCTCTGCTTACGCTTCCTCTGCTTGTGCTTCCTCTGCTTGCTCTTCCTTTGCTTACGCTTCCTCCGCTTGCGCTCCTCTGCTTGCGCTTCCTCTGCTTGTGCTTCCTCTGCTTGCGCTTCCTCTGCTTGTGCTTCCTCTCCTTGCGCTTCCTCTCCTTGTGCTTCCTCTGCTTGTGCTTCCTCTGCTTGCGCTCCTCTGCTTGTGCTTCCTGTGCCTGTGCTTCCTGCTTGTGCTTCCTCTACTTGCGCTTCCACTGCTTGCGCTTCCTCTGCTTGCGCTTCCTCTTCTTGCGCTTCCACTGCTTACGCTTCTTCTGCTTGTGCTTCCTCTGCTTGCTCTTCCTTTGCTTACGCTTCCTCTGCCTGCGCTCCTCTGCTTGTGCTTCCTCCGCTTGTGCTTCTTTTGCTTGCGGTTCCTCTGCTTGTGCTTCCTCTACTTGCGCTTCCTCTGCTTGTGCTTTCTCTGCTTGGGCTTCCTCTGCTTGCGCTTATCTGCTTCTGCTTCCTCTACTTGTGCTTCCTGCTTTTGCTTCCTCTGCTTGCGCTTCCTCTGCTTACGCTTTCTCTGCTTGTGCTTCCTCTGCTTATGCTTCCTCTGCTTGCGCTTCCTCTACTTGTGCTTCCTCTCCTTGTGCTTCCTCTACTTGCGCATCTTCTGCTTGTGCTTCCTCTGCTTTCGCTTCCTCTGCTTGCGCTTCCTCTGCCTGTGCTTCCTCTGCTTGCGCTTCCTTTGCTTGTGCTTCCTCTGCTTGTGGTTCCTCTGCTTGCGCTTCCTCTGCTTGCGCTTCCTCTGATTGTGCTTCCTCTGAGTGCGCTTCCTCTTCTTGTGCTTCCTCTGCTTGCGCTTCTTCTGCTTGTGCTTTGATTGCTTGTGCTTTCTCCGCTTGCGCTTCCTCTTCTTGTGCTTCTTCTGCTTGTGCTTCCTCTACTTGCGCTTCCTCTCCTTGTGCTTCCTCTGCTTGCGTTTTCTCTGCTTGCCCTTCCTCTGCTTGCGCTTCTCTGCTTGTGCTTCCTCTGCTTGTGCTTCCTGTGCTTGCGCTTCTTCTGCTTAGGCTTCCCAGATTGCACTTCCTCTGCTTGCGCTTCCTCTGCTTGCGCTTCCTCTGCTTAGGCTTCTCTGCTTGTGGTTCCTCTGCTTATGCTTCCTCTGCTTGTGCTTCCTCTACTTGTGCTTCCTCTGCTTGTGCTTCCTCTACTTGCGCATCCTCTGCTTGTGCTTCCTCTGCTTGCGCTTCCTCTGCTTGCGCTTCCTCTACTTGTGCTTCCTCTGCTTGCGCTTCCTCTGCTTGTGCTTCCTCTGCTTGTGCTTCCTCTGCTTGCCCTTCCTCTGCTTGCGCTTCCTCTGATTGTGCTTCCTCTGAGTGCGCTTCCTTTTCTTGTGCTTCCTCTGCTTGCGCTTCTTCTGCTTGTGCTTTCATTGCTTATGCTTCCTCCGCATGCGCTTCCTCTTCTTGTGCTTCTTCTGCTTGTGCTTCCTCTACTTGCGCTTCCTCTTCTTGTGCTTCCTCTGCTTGCGTTTCCTCTGCTTGCGCTTCCTCTGCTTGCGCTTCTCTGCTTGTGCTTCCTCTGCTTGTGCTTCCTGTGCTTGCGCTTCCTCTGCTTAGGCTTCCTCTGCTTGTGCTTCCTCTTCTTGCGCTTCCTCTACTTACGCTTCCTCTGCTTGTGCTTCCTCTCCTTATGTTTTCTCTGCTTGCGCTTCCTCTGCTTGTGCTTCCTTTGCTTGTGCTTCCTCTAATTGTGCTTCCTCTGCTTGTGCTTCCTCTGCATGTGCTTCCTCTTCTTGCGCTTCTTCTGCTTGTGCTTCCTCTGCTGTGCTTCCTCTGCTTGCGCTTCCTCGGCTTGTGCTTCTTCCGCTTGTGCTTCCTGTGCTTGTGCTTCCTCTGCCTGTGCTTCCTCTGCTTGTGCTTCCTCTGCTTGCGATTCGTTTGCTTGTGCTTCCTCTGCTTGCGCTTCCTCTGCTTGCGCTTTCTCTACTTGTGCTTCCTCTGCTTGCGCTTCCTCTGCTTGCACTTCCTCTGCTTGTGCTTCCTCTGCTTGCGCTTCCTCTGCTTGTGCTTCCTCTGCTTGTGCTTCCTCTGCTTGTGCTTCCTCTGCTTGGGCTCTTGTGCTTGTGCTTCCACTGCTTGTGCTTCCTTTGCTTGCGCTTCCTGTGCTTGTGCTTCCTCTGCTTCTGCTTCCTCTGCTTGCACTTCCTCTGCTTGCGCTACCTCTGCTTGCGCTCCTCTGCTTGCGCTTCCTCTGCTTCTGCTTCCTCTGTTTGCGCTTCCTCTAGTTGTGCCTCCGCTGCTTGTGCTTCCTCTGCTTGTGCTTTCTCTGCTTGCTCTTCCTCTGCTTGCGCTTCCTCTGCTTGCGCTTCCTCTGCTTGGGCTCCTCTGCTTGTGCTTCCTCTGCTTGTGCTTCCTCTGCTTGCGCTTCCTCTGCTTGTGCTTCCTCTGCTTGTGCTTCCTCTGCTTGCGCTTCCTCTGCTTGCGCTTCCTCTGCTTGCGCTTCCTCTGCTTGCGCTTCCTCTGCTTATTCTTCCTCTGCTTGCGCTTCCTCTGCTTGCACTTCCTCTGCTTGTGCTCCTCTGCTTGCGCTTCCTCTGCTTGCGCTTCCTATGCTTGCACTTCCTCTTCTTGCGCTTCCTCTGCTTACGCTTCCTCTGCTTGTGCTTCCTCCGCTTGCTCTTCCTTTGCTTACGCTTCCTCTGCTTGCGCTCCTCTGCTTGTGCTTTCTCTGCTTGTGCTTTCTCTGCTTGCGCTTCCTCTGCTTGTGCTTCCTTTGCTTGTGCTCCTCTGCTTGCGCTTCCTATGCTTGCGCTTCCTCTTTTTGCGCTTCCTCTACTTACGCTTCCTCTGCTTGCGCTCCTCTGCTTGTGCTTGATCTGCTTGTGCTTCCTCTGCTTGAGCTTCCTCTGCTTGTGCTTCCTCTGCTTGTGCTTTCTCTGCTTGCTCTTCCTCTGCTTGCGTTTCCTCTGCAGGCGCTTCCTCTACTTGGGCTCCTCTGCTTGTGCTTCCTGTGCTTGTGGTTCCTCTGCTTGCGCTTCCTCTGCTTGTGCTTCCTCTGCTTGTGCTTCCTCTGCTTGCGCTTCCTCTGCTTGCGCTTCCTCTGCTTGCGCTTCCTCTGCTTGCGCTTCCTCTGCTTGTTCTTCCTCTGCTTGCGCTTCCTCTGCTTGCACTTCCTCTGCTTGTGCTCCTCTGCTTGCGCTTCTTCTGCTTGCGCTTCCTATACTTGCGCTTCCTCTTCTTGCGCTTCCTCTGCTTACGCTTCCTCTGCTTGTGCTTCGTCTGCTTGCTCTTCCTTTGCTTACGCTTCCTCTGCTTGGGCTCCTCTGCTTGTGCTTCCTCTGCTTGTGCTTCCTCTGCTTGCGCTTCCTCTGCTTGTGCTTCCTCTGCTTGTGCTTCCTCTACTTGCGCTTCCTCTGCTTGCGCTTCCTCTGCTTGCGCTTCCTCTGCTTGCGCTTCCTCTGCTTGTTCTTCCTCTGCCTGCGCTTCCTCTGCTTGCACTTCATCTGCTTGTGCTCCTCTTCTTGCGCTTCCTCTGCTTGCGCTTCCTATGCTTGCGCTTCCTCTTCTTGCGCTTCCTCTGCTTACGCTTCCTCTGCTTGTGCTTCCTCTGCTTGCTCTTCCTTTGCTTACGCTTCCTCTGCTTGCGCTCCTCTGCTTGTGCTTCCTCTGCTTATGCTTCCTCTGCTTGCGCTTCCTCTGCTTGTGCTTCCTCTGCTTGTGCTTCCTCTGCTTGTGCATCCTTTGCTTGCGCTTCCTCTGCTTGCGCTCCTCTGCTTGTGCTTCCTCTCCTTGCGCTTCCTCTGCTTGCACTCCTCTGCTTGTGCTTCCTCTGCTTGCGCTTCCTCTGCTTGTGCTTCCTCTGCTTGCGCTTTCTCTGCTTGTGCTTCCTCTGCTTGCGCTTCCTCTGCTTGCGCTTCCTCTACTTGCGCTTCCTCTGCTTGCGCTTCCTCTGCTTGCGCTTTCTCTGCTTATGCCTCCTCTGCTTATGCTTCCTCAGCTTGTGCTTCCTCTGCTTGCGCTTCCTCTGCTTGTGCTTCCTCTGCTTACGCTTCCTCTGCTTGCGCTTCCTTTACTTGCGCTTCCTCTGCTTGCGCTTCCTCTGCTTGCGCTTCCTCTGCTTGCGCTTCCTCTGCTTGCGCTTCCTCTGCTTGCGCTTTCTCTGCTTGGGCTCCTTTGCTTGTGCTTCCTCTGCTTGTGCTTCCTTTGCTTGCGCTTCCTCTGCTTGTGCTTCCTCTGCTTGTGCTTCCTCTACTTCCGCTTCCTCTGCTTGTGCTTCCTCTGCTTGCGCTTCCTCTGCTTGCGCTTCTTCTGCTTCTGGTTCCTCTGCTTGTGCTTCCTCTGCTTGTGCTTCCTCTTCTTGCGCTTCCTCTGCTTGCGCTTCCTCTGCTTGTGCTCTTTGGTTGTGCTTCCTCTGCTTGTGCTTCCTCTGCTTGCGCTTTCTCTGCTTGTGCTTCCTCTGTTTGCGCTTCCTCTGCTTATGCTTCCTCTGCTTGCGCTTCCTCTACTTGCGCTCCTCTGCTTCTGCTTCCTCTGCTTGTGCTTCCTCTGCTTGTGCTTCCTCTGCTTGCTCTTCCTCTGCTTACGCTCCTCTACTTGCGCTTCCTTTGCTTGTGCTTCCTCTACTTGCGCTTCCTCTGCTTGTGCTTCCTCTCCTTGCGCTTCCTCTGCTTGTGCTTCCTCTGCTTGCGCTTCCACTACTTACGCTTCCTCTGCGTGCGCTCCTCTGCTTGTGCTTCCTCTTCTTGCGATTCCTCTGCTTGCACTTCCTCTTCTTGCTCTTCCTCTATTTGCGCTTCCTCTGCTTGCGCTTCCTCTACTTGCGCTCCTCTGCTTGTGCTCCTCTGCTTGCGCATCCTCTGCTTGTGCTTCCTCTGCTTGCGCTTCCTCTGCTTGTGCTTCCTCTTCTTGTGCTTCCTCTGCTTGCGCTTCCTCTGCTTGCGCTTTTTCTGCTTGTGCTTCCTCTTCTTATGCTTCCTCTGCTTGTGCTTCCTCTGCTTGCGCTTCCTCTACTTGTGCTTCCTCTGCTTACGCTTCCTCTGCTTGCGCTTCCTCTGCTTGCGCTTCCTCTGCTTGCGCTTCCTCTGCTTGTTCTTCCTCTGCTTGCGCTTCCTCTGCTTGCACTTCCTCTGCTTGTGCTCCTCTGCTTGCGCTTCCTATGCTTGCGCTCCTCTGCTTGCGCTTCCTCTGCTTACGCTTCCTATACTTGCGCTTCCTTTGCTTGTGCTTCGTCTGCTTGTGCTTCCTCTGCTTGTGCTTCCTCTACTTACGCTTCCTCTGCTTGCGCTTCCTCTACTTGTGCTCCTCTGCTTGTGCTTCCTCTGCTTGTGCTTCCTCTGCTTGCGCTTCCTCTTCTTGTGCTTCCTCTGCTCCCGCTTCCTCTGCTTGCGCTCCTCTGCTTCTGCTTCCTCTGCTTGTGCTTCCTGCATGTGCTTCCTCCGCTTGCGCTTCCTCTGCTTACGCTTCCTCTGCTTGCGCTTCCTCTGCTTGCGCTTCCTCTGCTTGCGCTTCCTCTTCTTGAGCTTCCTCTGCTTACGCTTCCTCTGCTTGTGCTTCCTCTGCTTGCTCTTCCTTTGCTTACGCTTCCTCTGCTTGCGCTCCTCTGCTTGCGCTTCCTCTGCTTGTGCTTCCTCTGCTTGCGCTTCCTCTGCTTGTGCTTCCTCTGCTTGCGCTTCCTCTGCTTGTGCTTCCTCTGCTTGTGCTTCCTCTGCTTGCGCTCCTCTGCTTGTGCTTCCTCTGCTTGTGCTTCCTGCTTGTGCTTCCTCTGCTTGCGCTTCCTCTGCTTGTGCTTCCTCTACTTGCGCTTCCACTGCTTGCTCTTCGTCTTCTTGCGCTTCCACTGCTTACGCTTCTTCTACTTGTGCTTCCTCTGCTTGCACTTCCTTTGCTTACGCTTCCTCTGCCTCTGCTCCTCTGCTTGTGCTTCCTCTGCTTGTGCTTCCTCTGCTTGCGCTTCCTCTGCTTGTGCTTCCTCTACTTGCGCTTCCTCTGCTTGTGCTTTCTCTGCTTGGGCTTCCTCTGCTTGCGCTTCTCTGCTTCTGCTTCCTCTACTTGTGCTTCCTGCTTGTGCTTCCTCTGCTTGCGCTTCCTCTGCTTACGCTTTCTCTGCTTGCGCTTCCTCTGCTTGCGCTTCCTCTGCTTGCGCTTCCTCTTCTTGCGCTTCCTCTGCTTACGCTTCCTCTGCTTGTGCTTCCTCTTCTTGCTCTTCCTTTGCTTACGCTTCCTCTGCCTGCGCTCCTCTGCTTGTGCTTCCTCTGCTTGTGCTTCCTCTGCTTGCGCTTCCTCTGCTTGTGCTTCCTCTACTTGCGCTTCCTCTGCTTGTGCTTTCTCTGCTTGGGCTTCCTCTGCTTGCGCTTCTCTGCTTCTGCTTCCTCTACTTGTGCTTCCTGCTTGTGCTTCCTCTGCTTGCCCTTCCTCTGCTTACGCTTTCTCTGCTTGCGCTTCCTCTGCTTGCGCTTCCTCTGCTTGCGCTTCCTCTTCTTGCGCTTCCTCTGCTTACGCTTCCTCTGCTTGTGCTTCCTCTGCTTGTGCTTCCTCTGCTTGTGCTTCCTATGCTTGCGCTCCTCTGCTTGCGCTTCCTCTGCTTGTGCTTCCTCTGCTTGCGCTTCCTCCGCTTGTGCTTCCTCTCCTTGCGCTTCCTCTGCTTGTGCTTCCTCTGCTTGCGCTTCCTATGCTTGCGCTCCTCTGCTTGTGCTTCTTCTGCCTTTGCTTCCTGCTTCTGCTTCCTCTGCTTGCGCTTCCTCTACTTGTGCTTCCTCTACTTGCGCTTCCACTGCTTGCGCTTCCTCTACTTGCGCTTCCTCTGCTTGTGCTTTCTCTGCTTGGGCTTCCTCTGCTTGCGCTTCTCTGCTTCTGCTTCCTCCACTTGTGCTTCCTGCTTGTGCTTCCTCTGCTTGCGCTTCCTCTGCTTACGCTTTCTCTGCTTGCGCTTCCTCTGCTTGCGCTTCCTCTGCTTGTGCTTTCTCTGCTTGGGCTTCCTCTGCTTGGGCTTCTCTGCTTCTGCTTCCTCTACTTGTGCTTCTTGCTTGTGCTTCCTCAGCTTGCGCTTCCTCTGCTTGCGCTTCCTCTGCTTACGCTTCCTCTGCTTGCTCTTCCTTTGCTTACGCTTCCTCTGCCTGCGCTTCCTCTGCTTGTGCTTCCTCTACTTGCGCTTCCTCTGCTTGCGCTTCCTATGCTTGCGCTTCCTCTTCTTGCGCTTCCTCTGCGTACGCTTCCTCTGCTTGTGCTTCCTCTGCTTGCTCTTCCTTTGCTTACGCTTCCTCTGCTTGCGCTCCTCTGCTTGTGCTTCCTCTGCTTGTGCTTCCTCTGCTTGCGCTTCCTCTGCTTGTGCTTCCTCTGCTTGTGCTTCCTCTGCTTGTGCATCCTTTGCTTGCGCTTCCTCTGCTTGCGCTCCTCTGCTTGTGCTTCCTCTGCTTGCGCTTCCTCTGCTTGCGCTCCTCTGCTTGTGCTTCCTCTGCTTGCGCTTCCTCTGCTTGTGCTTCCTCTGCTTGCGCTTCCTCTGCTTGTGCTTCCTCTGCTTGCGCTTCCTCTGCTTGCGCTTCCTCTACTTGCGCTTCCTCTGCTTGCGCTTCCTCTGCTTGCGCTTTCTCTGCTTATGCCTCCTCTGCTTATGCTTCCTTAGCTTGTGCTTCCTCTGCTTGCGCTTCCTCTGCTTGTGCTTCCTCTGCTTACGCTTCCTCTGCTTGCGCTTCCTTTACTTACGCTTCCTCTGCTTGCGCTTCCTCTGCTTGCGCTTCCTCTGCTGCGCTTCCTCTACTTGCGCTTCCTCTGCTTGCGCTTCCTCTGCTTGCGCTTTCTCTGCTTGGGCTCCTTTGCTTGTGCTTCCTCTGCTTGTGCTTCCTCTGCTTGCGCTTCCTCTGCTTGTGCTTCCTCTGCTTGTGCTTCCTCTACTTCCGCTTCCTCTGCTTGTGCTTCCTCTGCTTGCGCTTTCTCTGCTTGCGCTTCTTCTGCTTCTGGTTCCTCTGCTTGTGCTTCCTCTGCTTGTGCTTCCTCTACTTGCGCTTCCTCTGCTTGCGCTTCCTCTGCTTGTGCTCTTTGGTTGTGCTTCCTCTGCTTGTGCTTCCTCTGCTTGCGCTTCCTCTGCTTGTGCTTCCTCTGCTTGCGCTTCCTCTTCTTATGCTTCCTCTGCTTGCGCTTCCTCTACTTGCGCTCCTCTGCTTCTGCTTCCTCTGCTTGTGCTTCCTCTGCTTGTGATTCCTCTACTTGCGCTTCCTTTGCTTGTGCTTCCTCTACTTGCGCTTCCTCTGCTTGTGCTTCCTCTCCTGGCGCTTCCTCTGCTTGTGCTTCCTCTGCTTGCGCTTCCACTACTTACGCTTCCTCTGCTTGTGCTTCCTTTGCTTGCTCTTCCTTTGCTTACGCTTCCTTTGCCTGCGCTCCTCTCCTTGTGCTGCCTCTGCTTGTGCTTCCTCTGCTTGTGCTTCCTCTGCTTGTGCTTCCTCTACTTGCGCTACCTTTGCTAGTGCTTCCTCTGCTTGTGCTTCCTCTGCTTGCGCTCCTCTGCTTGTGCTTCCTCTTCTTGCAATTCCTCTGCTTGCACTTCCTCTGCTTGCTCTTCCTCTATTTGCGCTTCCTCTGCTTGCGCTTCCTCTACTTGCGCTCCTCTGCTTGTGCTTTCTCTGCTTGCGCTTCCTCTGCTTGTGCTTCCTCTGCTTGCGCTTCCTCTGCTTGTGCTTCCTCTTCTTGCGCTTCCTCTGCTTGCGCTTCCTCTGCTTGCGCTTTTTCTGCTTGTGCTTCCTCTGCTTATGCTTCCTCTGCTTGTGCTTCCTCTGCTTGCGCTTCCTCTACTTGTGCTTCCTCTGCTTACGCTTCCTCTGCTTGCGCTTCCTCTGCTTGCGCTTCCTCTGCTTGCGCTTCCTCTGCTTGTTCTTCCTCTGCTTGCGCTTCCTCTGCTTGCACTTCCTCTGCTTGTGCTCCTCTGCTTGCGCTTCCAATTCCCTGGCTCCTCTGCTTGCGCTTCCTCTGCTTACGCTTCCTATACTTGCGCTTCCTTTGCTTGTGCTTCGTCTGCTTGTGCTTCCTCTGCTTGTGCTTCCTCTACTTACGCTTCCTCTGCTTGCGCTTCCTCTACTTGTGCTCCTCTGCTTATGCTTCCTCTGCTTGTGCTTCCTCTGCTTGCGCTTCCTCTTCTTGTGCTTCCTCTGCTCCCGCTTCCTCTGCTTGCGCTCCTCTGCTTCTGCTTTCTCTGCTTGTGCTTCCTGCATGTGCTTCCTCCGCTTGCGCTTCCTCTGCTTACGCTTCCTCTGCTTGCGCTTCCTCTGCTTGCGCTTCCTCTGCTTGCGCTTCCTCTTCTTGCGCTTCCTCTGCTTACGCTTCCTCTGCTTGTGCTTCCCCTGCTTGCTCTTCCTTTGCTTACGCTTCCTCTGCTTGCGCTCCTCTGCTTGCGCTTCCTCTGCTTGTGCTTCCTCTGCTTGCGCTTCCTCTGCTTGTGCTTCCTCTCCTTGCGCTTCCTCTGCTTGTGCTTCCTCTGCTTGTGCTTCCTCTGCTTGCGCTTCCTTTGCTTGTGCTTCCTCTACTTGCGCTTCCTCTGCTTGTGCTTTCTCTGCTTGGGCTTCCTCTGCTTGCGCTTCTCTGCTTCTGCTTCCTCTACTTGTGCTTCCTGCTTGTGCTTCCTCTGCTTGCGCTTCCTCTGCTTGCGCTTCCTCTGCTTGCGCTTCCTCTGCTTGCTCTTCCTTTGCTTACGCTTCCTCTGCCTGCGCTTCCTCTGCTTGTGCTTCCTCTACTTGCGCTTCCTCTGCTTGCGCTTCCTCTGCTTGTGCTTCCTCTACTTGCGCTCCTCTGCTGGTGCTTCCTCTGCTTGCAATTCCTCTGCTTGCGCTTCCTCTGCTTGCGCTTCCTCTACTTGTGCTTCCTCTGCTTGTGCTTCCTCTGCTTGCGCTTCCTCTACTTGCGCTTCCTCTGTCAGAATATTATCTTATTGTTCTAGCCTGTAGTGGGGTGCTCTATAGCGAGTACAACCCTTCTAGGGTTTGCTATTTGTATCCTCATTCTTGCTAGTTCAATCCTCTTTCTTTCTTCTAATTTTGACATCCTCTGCTTGCGCTTCCTCTGCTTGCTCTTCCTTTGCTTACGCTTCCTCTGCCTGCGCTTCCTCTGCTTGTGCTTCCTCTACTTGCGCTTCCTCTGCTTGCGCTTCCTCTGCTTGTGCTCCTCTGCTTGCGCTTCCTCTGCTTGTGCTTCCTCTGCTTGCGCTTCCTCTGCTTGCGCTTCCTCTCCTTGCGCTTCCTCTGCTTGCGCTTCCTCTACTTGCGCTCCTCTGCTTGTGCTTCTTCTGCTTGTGCTTCCTGCTTGTGCTTCCTGCTTGCGCTTCCTCTGCTTGTGCTTCCTCTACTTGCGCTTCCTCTGCTTGTGCTTCCTCTGCTTGTGCTTCCTCTGCTTGCGCTTCCTCTGCTTGTGCTTCCTCTGCTTGCGCTTCCTCTGCTCGCGCTTCCTCTCCTTGCGCTTCCTCTGCTTGCGCTTCCTCTGCTTGCGCTCCTCTGCTTGTGCTTCCTCTCCTTGTGCTTCCTCTGCTTGTGCTTCCTCTGCTTGTGCTGCCTCTGCTTGCGCTTCCTCTGCTTGTGATCCCTCTGCTTGCGCTTCCTCAGCTTGGGCTTCCTTTGCTTGGGCTCCTGTGCTTGCACTCCCTCTACTTGCACTTCCTCTTCTTGCGCTTCCTGTGCTTGTGCTTCCTCTACTTGTGCTTCCTCTACTTGCGCTTCCTCTTCTTGTGCTTCCTCTGCTTGAACTTCCTCTACTTGCGCTTCCTCTGCTTGCGCTCCTCTGCTTGTGCTTCCTCTGCTTGTGCTTCCTCTGCTTGCGCTTCTTCTAGTTGTGCTTCCGCTGCTTGTGCTTCCTCTGCTTGTGCTTCCTCTGCTTGCGCTTCCTCTGCTTGCGCTTCCTCTGCTTGCGCTTCCTCTACATGCGCTTCCTCTGCTTGGGCTCCTCTGCTTGTGCGTCCTCTGCTTGTGCTTCCTCTGCTTGCGCTTCCTCTACTTGTGCTTCCTCTGCTTGTGCTTCCTCTGCTTGCGCTTCCTCTGCTTGCGCTTCCTCTGCTTGCACTTCCTCTGCTTGTGCTTCCTCTGCTTGCGCTTCCTCTGCTTGTGCTTCCTCTATTTGCGCTTCCTCTGCTTGCGCTTCCTCTATTTGCGCTTCCTCTTCTTGCGCTTCCATTGCTTACGCTTCCTCTGCTTGTGCTTCCTCTGCTTGCTCTTCCTTTGCTTACGCTTCCTCTGCCTGCGCTCCTCTGCTTGTGCTTCCTCTGCTTGTGCTTCCTCTGCTTGCGCTTCCTCTGCTTGTGCTTCCTCTGCTTGCGCTTCCTCTGCTTGCGCTTCCTCTTCTTGCGCTTCCTCTACTTGCGCTCCTCTGCTTGTGCTTCTTCTGCTTGTGCTTCCTGCTTGTGCTTCCTGCTTGCGCTTCCTCTGCTTGTGCTTCCTCTACTTGCGCTTCCTCTGCTTGTGCTTCCTCTGCTTGTGCTTCCTCTGCTTGCGCTTCCTCTGCTTGTGCTTCCTCTGCTTGCGCTTCCTCTGCTTGCGCTTCCTCTCCTTGCGCTTCCTCTGCTTGCGCTTCCTCTGCTTGCGCTCCTCTGCTTGTGCTTCCTCTCCTTGTGCTTCCTCTGCTTGTGCTTCCTCTGCTTGTGCTGCCTCTGCTTGCGCTTCCTCTGCTTGTGATCCCTCTGCTTGCGCTTCCTCAGCTTGGGCTTCCTTTGCTTGGGCTCCTGTGCTTGCACTCCCTCTACTTGCACTTCCTCTTCTTGCGCTTCCTGTGCTTGTGCTTCCTCTACTTGTGCTTCCTCTACTTGCGCTTCCTCTTCTTGTGCTTCCTCTGCTTGAACTTCCTCTACTTGCGCTTCCTCTGCTTGCGCTCCTCTGCTTGTGCTTCCTCTGCTTGTGCTTCCTCTGCTTGCGCTTCTTCTAGTTGTGCTTCCGCTGCTTGTGCTTCCTCTGCTTGTGCTTCCTCTGCTTGCGCTTCCTCTGCTTGCGCTTCCTCTGCTTGCGCTTCCTCTACATGCGCTTCCTCTGCTTGGGCTCCTCTGCTTGTGCGTCCTCTGCTTGTGCTTCCTCTGCTTGCGCTTCCTCTACTTGTGCTTCCTCTGCTTGTGCTTCCTCTGCTTGCGCTTCCTCTGCTTGCGCTTCCTCTGCTTGCACTTCCTCTGCTTGTGCTTCCTCTGCTTGCGCTTCCTCTGCTTGTGCTTCCTCTATTTGCGCTTCCTCTGCTTGCGCTTCCTCTATTTGCGCTTCCTCTTCTTGCGCTTCCATTGCTTACGCTTCCTCTGCTTGTGCTTCCTCTGCTTGCTCTTCCTTTGCTTAAGCTTCCTCTGCCTGCGCTCCTCTGCTTGTGCTTCCTCTGCTTGTGCTTCCTCTGCTTGCGCTTCCTCTGCTTGTGCTTCCTCTGCTTGCGCTTCCTCTGCTTGCGCTTCCTCTGCTTGCGCTTCCTCTGCTTGCGCTTCCTCTGCTTGCGCTTCCTCTGCTTAGGCTCCTCTGCTTGTGCTTCCTCTGCTTGTGCTTCCTCTGCTTGCGCTTCCTCTGCTTGTGCTTCTTCTGCTTGTGCTTCCTCTCCTTGCGCTTCCCCTGCTTGTGCTTCCTCTGCTTGCGCTTCCTCTGCTTGCGCATCCGCTGCTTGTGCTTCCTCTGCTTGTGCTTCCTCTACTTGTGCTTCCTCTGCTTGCGTTTCCTCTGCTTGTGCTTCCTCTGCTTGCGCTTCCTCTGCTTGCGCTCCTCTGGTTGTGCTTCCTCCGCTTGTGCTTCCTCTGCTTGCGCTTCCTCTGCTTGTGCTTCCTCTGCTTTCGCTTCTTCTGCTTGTGCTTCCTCTGCTTGCGCTTCCTCTGCTTGCGCTCCTCTGCTTATGCTTCTTCTGCTTGTGCTTCCTGCTTGTGCTTCCTCTGCTTGCGCTTCCTCTGCTTGTGCTTCCTCTACTTGCGCTTCCTCTGCTTGCGCTTCCTCTGCTTGCGCTTCCTCTTCTTGCGCTTCCTCTGCTTACGCTACCTCTGCTTGTGCTTCCTCTGCTTGCTCTTCCTTTGCTTACGCTTCCTCTTCTTGCGCTCCTCTGCTTGCGCTTCCTCTTCTTGCGCTTCCTCTGCTTACGCTTCCTCTGCTTGTGCTTCCTCTGCTTGTGCTTCCTCTGCTTGCGCTTCCTCTGCTTGCGCTTCCTTTGCTTGCACTTCCTCTGCTTGTGCTTCCTCTGCTTGCGCTTCCTCTGCTTGTGCTTCCTCTATTTGCGCTTCCTCTGCTTGCGCTTCCTCTATTTGCGCTTCCTCTTCTTGCGCTTCCATTGCTTACGCTTCCTCTACTTGTGCTTCCTCTGCTTGCTCTTCCTTTGCTTACGCTTCCTCTGCCTGCGCTCCTCTGCTTGTGCTTCCTCTGCTTGTGCTTCCTTTGCTTGCGCTTCCTCTGCTTGTGCTTCCTCTGCTTGCGCTTCCTCTGCCTGCGCTTCCTCTGCTTGCGCTTCCTCTGCTTGCGCTTCCTCTGCTTGCGCTTCCTCTGCTTGCGCTTCCTCTGCTTAGGCTCCTCTGCTTGTGCTTCCTCTGCTTGTGCTTCCTCTGCTTGCGCTTCCTCTGCTTGTGCTTCTTCTGCTTGTGCTTCCTCTCCTTGCGCTTCCCCTGCTTGTGCTTCCTCTGCTTGCGCTTCCTCTGCTTGCGCTTCCGCTGCTTGTGCTTCCTCTGCTTGTGCTTCCTCTACTTGTGCTTCCTCTGCTTGCGTTTCCTCTGCTTAAGCTTCCTCTGCTTGCGCTTCCTCTGCTTGCGCTCCTCTGGTTGTGCTTCCTCTGCTTGTGCTTCCTCTGCTTGCGCTTCCTCTGCTTGTGCTTCCTCTGCTTTCGCTTCTTCTGCTTGTGCTTCCTCTGCTTGCGCTTCCTCTGCTTGCGCTCCTCTGCTTGTGCTTCTTCTGCTTGTGCTTCTTGCTTGTGCTTCCTCTGCTTGCGCTTCCTCTGCTTGTGCTTCCTCTACTTGCGCTTCCTCTGCTTGCGCTTCCTCTGCTTGCGCTTCCTCTTCTTGCGCTTCCTCTGCTTACGCTACCTCTGCTTGTGCTTCCTCTGCTTGCTCTTCCTTTGCTTACGCTTCCTCTTCTTGCGCTCCTCTGCTTGCGCTTCCTCTTCTTGCGCTTCCTCTGCTTACGCTTCCTCTGCTTGTGCTTCCCCTGCTTGCTCTTCCTTTACTTATGCTTCCTCTGCTTGCGCTCCTCTGCTTGCGCTTCCTCTGCTTGTGCTTCCTCTGCTTGCGCTTCCTCTGCTTGTGCTTCCTCTCCTTGCGCTTCCTCTGCTTGTGCTTCCTCTGCTTGTGCTTCCTCTGCTTGCGCTCCTCTGCTTGTGCTTCCTCTGCTTGTGCTTCCTGCTTGTGCTTCCTCTGCTTGAGCTTCCTCTGCTTGTGCTTCCTCTACTTGCGCTTCCACTGCTTGCGCTTCCTCTTCTTGCGCTTCCACTGCTTACGCTTCTTCTGCTTGTGCTTCCTCTGCTTGCTCTTCCTTTGCTTACGCTTCCTCTGCCTGCGCTCCTCTGCTTGTGCTTCCTCTGCTTGTGCTTCCTCTGCTTGCGCTTTCTCTGCTTGTGCTTCCTCTACTTGCGCTTCCTCTGCTTGTGCTTTCTCTGCTTGGGCTTTCTCTGCTTGCGCTTCTCTGCTTCTGCTTCCTCTACTTGTGCTTCCTGCTTGTGCTTCCTGTGCTTGCGCTTCCTCTGCTTACGCTTTCTCTGCTTGCGCTTCCTCTACTTGCGCTTCCTCTGCTTGCGCTTCCTCTTCTTGCGCTTCCTCTGCTTACGCTTCCTCTGCTTGTGCTTCCTCTGCTTGTGCTTCCTCTGCTTGCGCTTCCTATGCTTGCGCTCCTCTGCTTGCGCTTCCTCTGCTTGTGCTTCCTCTGCTTGCGCTTCCTCCGCTTGTGCTTCCTCTCCTTGCGCTTCCTCTGCTTGTGCTTCCTCTGCTTGCGCTTCCTATGCTTGCGCCCTCTGCTTGTGCTTCTTCTGCCTTTGCTTCCTGCTTGTGCTTCCTCTGCTTGCGCTTCCTCTACTTGTGCTTCCTCTACTTGCGCTTCCACTGCTTGCGCTTCCTCTACTTGCGCTTCCTCTGCTTGTGCTTTCTCTGCTTGGGCTTCCTCTGCTTGCGCTTCTCTGCTTCTGCTTCCTCCACTTGTGCTTCCTGCTTGTGCTTCCTCTGCTTGCGCTTCCTCTGCTTACGCTTTCTCTGCTTGCGCTTCCTCTGCTTGCGCTTCCTCTGCTTGTGCTTTCTCTGCTTGGGCTTCCTCTGCTTGGGCTTCTCTGCTTCAGCTTCCTCTACTTGTGCTTCCTGCTTGTGCTTCCTCTGCTTGCGCTTCCTCGGCTTGCGCTTCCTCTGCTTGCGCTTCCTCTGCTTGCTCTTCCTTTGCTTACGCTTCCTCTGCCTGGGCTTCCTCTGCTTGTGCTTCCTCTACTTGCGCTTCCTCTGCTTGCGCTTCCTATGCTTGCGCTTCCTCTTCTTGCGCTTCCTCTGTGTACGCTTCCTCTGCTTGTGCTTCCTCTGCTTGCTCTTCCTTTGCTTACGCTTCCTCTGCTTGCGCTCCTCTGCTTGTGCTTCCTCTGCTTGTGCTTCCTCTGCTTGCGCTTCCTCTGCTTGTGCTTCCTCTGCTTGTGCTTCCTCTGCTTGTGCATCCTTTGCTTGCGCTTCCTCTGCTTGCGCTCCTCTGCTTGTGCTTCCTCTACTTGCGCTTCCTCTGCTTGCGCTCCTCTGCTTGTGCTTCCTCTGCTTGCGCTTTCTCTGCTTGTGCTTCCTCTGCTTGCGCTTCCTCTGCTTGTGCTTCCTCTGCTTGCGCTTCCTCTGCTTGCGCTTCCTCTGCTTGCGCTTCCTCTACTTGCGCTTCCTCTGCTTGCGCTTCCTCTGCTTGCGCTTTCTCTGCTTGGGCTCCTTTGCTTGTGCTTCCTCTGCTTGTGCTTCCTCTGCCTCCGCTTCCTCTGCTTGTGCTTCCTCTGCTTGTGCTTCCTCTACTTCCGCTTCCTCTACTTGTGCTTCCTCTGCTTGCGCTTCCTCTGCTTGCGCTTCTTCTGCTTCTGGTTCCTCTGCTTGTGCTTCCTCTGCTTGTGCTTCCTCTACTTGCGCTTCCTCTGCTTGCGCTTCCTCTGCTTGTGCTCTTTGGTTGTGCTTCCTCTGCTTGTGCTTCCTCTGCTTGCGCTTCCTCTGCTTGTGCTTCCTCTGCTTGCGCTTCCTCTGCTTATGCTTCCTCTGCTTGCGCTTCCTCTACTTGCGCTCCTCTGCTTCTGCTTCCTCTGCTTGTGCTTCCTTTGCTTGTGCTTTCTCTACTTGCGCTTCCTCTGCTTGTGCTTCCTCTCCTGGCGCTTCCTCTGCTTGTGCTTCCTCTGCTTGCGCTTCCACTACTTACGCTTCCTCTGCTTGTGCTTCCTCTGCTTGCTCTTCCTTTGCTTTCGCTTCCTTTGCCTGCGCTCCTCTGCTTGTGCTGCCTCTGCTTGTGCTTCCTCTGCTTGTGCTTCCTGTGCTTGTGCTTCCTCTACTTGCGCTACCTTTGCTAGTGCTTCCTCTGCTTGTGCTTCCTCTGCTTGCGCTCCTCTGCTTGTGCTTCCTCTTCTTGCAATTCCTCTGCTTGCACTTCCTCTGCTTGCTCTTCCTCTATTTGCGCTTCCTCTGCTTGCGCTTCCTCTACTTGCGCTCCTCTGCTTGTGCTTCCTCTGCTTGCGCTTCCTCTGCTTGTGCTTCCTCTGCTTGCGCTTCCTTTGCTTGTGCTTCCTCTTCTTGCGCTTCCTCTGCTTGCACTTCCTCTGCTTGCGCTTTTTCTGCTTGTGCTTCCTCTGCTTATGCTTCCTCTGCTTGTGCTTCCTCTGCTTGCGCTCCTCTGCTTGTGCTTCCTCTGCTTGTGCTTCCTCTGCATGCGCTTCCTCTGCTTGTGCTTCCTCTGCTTGTGCTTCCTCTGCTTGTGCATCCTTTGCTTGCGCTTCCTCTGCTTGCGCTCCTCTGCTTGTGCTTCCTCTACTTGCGCTTCCTCTGCTTGCGCTCCTCTGCTTGTGCTTCCTCTGCTTGCGCTTTCTCTGCTTGTGCTTCCTCTGCTTGCGCTTCCTCTGCTTGTGCTTCCTCTGCTTGCGCTTCCTCTGCTTGCGCTTCCTCTGCTTGCGCTTCCTCTACTTGCGCTTCCTCTGCTTGCGCTTCCTCTGCTTGCGCTTTCTCTGCTTGGGCTCCTTTGCTTGTGCTTCCTCTGCTTGTGCTTCCTCTGCCTCCGCTTCCTCTGCTTGTGCTTCCTCTGCTTGTGCTTCCTCTACTTCCGCTTCCTCTACTTGTGCTTCCTCTGCTTGCGCTTCCTCTGCTTGCGCTTCTTCTGCTTCTGGTTCCTCTGCTTGTGCTTCCTCTGCTTGTGCTTCCTCTACTTGCGCTTCCTCTGCTTGCGCTTCCTCTGCTTGTGCTCTTTGGTTGTGCTTCCTCTGCTTGTGCTTCCTCTGCTTGCGCTTCCTCTGCTTGTGCTTCCTGTGCTTGCGCTTCCTCTGCTTATGCTTCCTCTGCTTGCGCTTCCTCTACTTGCGCTCCTCTGCTTCTGCTTCCTCTGCTTGTGCTTCCTCTGCTTGTGCTTCCTCTGCTTGCTCTTCCTCTGCTTACGCTCCTCTACTTGCGCTTCCTTTGCTTGTGCTTCCTCTACTTGCGCTTCCTCTGCTTGTGCTTCCTCTCCTGGCGCTTCCTCTACTTGTGCTTCCTCTGCTTGCGCTTCCACTACTTACGCTTCCTCTGCTTGTGCTTCCTCTGCTTGCTCTTCCTTTGCTTACGCTTCCTTTGCCTGCGCTCCTCTGCTTGTGCTGCCTTTGCTTGTGCTTCCTCTGCTTGTGCTTCCTGTGCTTGTGCTTCCTCTACTTGCGCTACCTTTGCTAGTGCTTCCTCTGCTTGTGCTTCCTCTGCTTGCGCTCCTCTGCTTGTGCTTCCTCTTCTTGCAATTCCTCTGCTTGCACTTCCTCTGCTTGCTCTTCCTCTATTTGCGCTTCCTCTGCTTGCGCTTCCTCTACTTGCGCTCCTCTGCTTGTGCTTCCTCTGCTTGCGCTTCCTCTGCTTGTGCTTCCTCTGCTTCCGCTTCCTCTGCTTGTGCTTCCTCTTCTTGCGCTTCCTCTGCTTGCGCTTCCTCTGCTTGCGCTTTTTCTGCTTGTGCTTCCTCTGCTTATGCTTCCTCTGCTTGTGCTTCCTCTGCTTGCGCTTCCTCTACTTGTGCTTCCTCTGCTTACGCTTCCTCTGCTTGCGCTTCCTCTGCTTGCGCTTCCTCTGCTTGCGCTTCCTCTGCTTCTTCTTCCTTTGCTTGCGCTTCCTCTGCTTGCACTTCCTCTGCTTGTGCTCCTCTGCTTGCGCTTCCTATGCTTGCGCTCCTCTGCTTGCGCTTCCTCTGCTTACGCTTCCTATACTTGCGCTTCCTTTGCTTGTGCTTCGTCTGCTTGTGCTTCCTCTGCTTGTGCTTCCTCTACTTACGCTTCCTCTGCTTGCGCTTCCTCTACTTGTGCTCCTCTGCTTGTGCTTCCTCTGCTTGTGCTTCCTCTGCTTGCGCTTCCTCTTCTTGTGCTTCCTCTGCTCCCGCTTCCTCTGCTTGCGCTCCTCTGCTTCTGCTTTCTCTGCTTGTGCTTCCTGCATGTGCTTCCTCCGCTTGCGCTTCCTCTGCTTACGCTTCCTCTGCTTGCACTTCCTCTGCTTGCGCTTCCTCTGCTTACGCTTCCTCTTCTTGCGCTTCCTCTGCTTACGCTTCCTCTGCTTGTGCTTCCCCTGCTTGCTCTTCCTTTGCTTACGCTTCCTCTGCTTGCGCTCCTCTGCTTGCGCTTCCTCTGCTTGTGCTTCCTCTGCTTGCGCTTCCTCTGCTTGTGCTTCCTCTCCTTGCGCTTCCTCTGCTTGTGCTTCCTCTGCTTGTGCTTCCTCTGCTTGCGCTCCTCTGCTTGTGCTTCCTCTGCTTGTGCTTCCTGCTTGTGCTTCCTCTGCTTGCGCTTCCTCTGCTTGTGCTTCCTCTACTTGCGCTTCCACTGCTTGCGCTTCCTCTTCTTGCGCTTCCACTGCTTACGCTTCTTCTGCTTGTGCTTCCTCTGCTTGCTCTTCCTTTGCTTACGCTTCCTCTGCCTGCGCTCCTCTGCTTGTGCTTCCTCTGCTTGTGCTTCCTCTGCTTGTGCTTCCTCTACTTGCACTTCCTCTGCTTGTGCTTTCTCTGCTTGGGCTTTCTCTGCTTGCGCTTCTCTCCTTCTGCTTCCTCTACTTGTGCTTCCTGCTTGTGCTTCCTCTGCTTGCGCTTCCTCTGCTTACGCTTTCTCTGCTTGCGCTTCCTCTGCTTGCGCTTCCTCTGCTTGCGCTTCCTCCTCTTGCGCTTCCTCTGCTTACGCTTCCTCTGCTTGTGCTTCCTCTGCTTGCTCTTCCTTTGCTTACGCTTCCTCTGCTTGCGCTCCTTTGCTTGCGCTTCCTCTGCTTGTGCTTCCTCTGCTTGCGCTTCCTCTGCTTATGCTTCCTCTCCTTGCGCTTCCTCTGCTTGTGCTTCCTCTGCTTGCGCTTCCTATGCTTGCGCTCCTCTGCTTGTGCTTCCTGCTTGTGCTTCCTCTGCTTGCGCTTCCTCTACTTGTGCTTCCTCTACTTGCGCTTCCACTGCTTGCGCTTCCTCTACTTGCGCTTCCTCTGCTTGTGCTTTCTCTGCTTGGGCTTCCTCTGCTTGCGCTTCTCTGCTTCTGCTTCCTCCACTTGTGCTTCCTGCTTGTGCTTCCTCTGCTTGCGCTTCCTCTGCTTACGCTTTCTCTGCTTGCGCTTCCTCTGCTTGCGCTTCCTCTGCTTGTGCTTTCTCTGCTTGGGCTTCCTCTGCTTGCGCTTCTCTGCTTCTGCTTCCTCTACTTGTGCTTCCTGCTTGTGCTTCCTCTGCTTGCGCTTCCTCTGCTTGCGCTTCCTCTCCTTGCGCTTCCTCTGCTTGCTCTTCCTTTGCTTACGCTTCCTCTGCCTGTGCTTCCTCTGCTTGTGCTTCCTCTACTTGCGCTTCCTCTGCTTGCGCTTCCTCTGCTTGCGCTTCCTCTGCTTGCGCTTTTTCTGCTTGTGCTTCCTCTGCTTATGCTTCCTCTGCTTGTGCTTCCTCTGCTTGCGCTTCCTCTACTTGTGCTTCCTCTGCTTACGCTTCCTCTGCTTGCGCTTCCTCTGCTTGCGCTTCCTCTGCTTGCGCTTCCTCTTCTTGTTCTTCCTCTGCTTGCGCTTCCTTTGCTTGCACTTCCTCTGCTTGTGCTCCTCTGCTTGCGCTTCCTATGCTTGCGCTCCTCTGCTTGCGCTTCCTCTGCTTACGCTTCCTATACTTGCGCTTCCTTTGCTTGTGCTTCGTCTGCATGTGCTTTCTCTGCTTGTGCTTCCTCTACTTACGCTTCCTCTGCTTGCGCTTCCTCTACTTGTGCTCCTCTGCTTGTGCTTCCTCTGCTTGTGCTTCCTCTGCTTGCGCTTCCTCTTCTTGTGCTTCCTCTGCTCCCGCTTCCTCTGCTTGCGCTCCTCTGCTTCTGCTTTCTCTGCTTGTGCTTCCTGCATGTGCTTCCTCCGCTTGCGCTTCCTCTGCTTACGCTTCCTCTGCTTGCGCTTCCTCTGCTTGCGCTTCCTCTGCTTGCGCTTCCTCTTCTTGCGCTTCCTCTGCTTACGCTTCCTCTGCTTGTGCTTCCCCTGCTTGCTCTTCCTTTGCTTACGCTTCCTCTGCTTGCGCTCCTCTGCTTGCGCTTCCTCTGCTTGTGCTTCCTCTGCTTGCGCTTCCTCTGCTTGTGCTTCCTCTCCTTGCGCTTCCTCTGCTTGTGCTTCCTCTGCTTGTGCTTCCTCTGCTTGCGCTCCTCTGCTTGTGCTTCCTCTGCTTGTGCTTCCTGCTTGTGCTTCCTCTGCTTGCGCTTCCTCTGCTTGTGCTTCCTCTACTTGCGCTTCCACTGCTTGCGCTTCCTCTTCTTGCGCTTCCACTGCTTACGCTTCTTCTGCTTGTGCTTCCTCTGCTTGCTCTTCCTTTGCTTACGCGTCCTCTGCCTGCGCTCCTCTGCTTGTGCTTCCTCTGCTTGTGCTTCCTCTGCTTGCGCTTCCTCTGCTTGTGCTTCCTCTACTTGCACTTCCTCTGCTTGTGCTTTCTCTGCTTGGGCTTTCTCTGCTTGCGCTTCTCTCCTTCTGCTTCCTCTACTTGTGCTTCCTGCTTGTGCTTCCTTTGCTTGCGCTTCCTCTGCTTACGCTTTCTCTGCTTGCGCTTCCTCTGCTTGCGCTTCCTCTGCTTGCGCTTCCTCTTCTTGCGCTTCCTCTGCTTACGCTTCCTCTGCTTGTGCTTCCTCTGCTTGCTCTTCCTTTGCTTACGCTTCCTCTGCTTGCGCTCCTTTGCTTGCGCTTCCTCTGCTTGTGCTTCCTCTGCTTGCGCTTCCTCTGCTTATGCTTCCTCTCCTTGCGCTTCCTCTGCTTGTGCTTCCTCTGCTTGCGCTTCCTATGCTTGCGCTCCTCTGCTTGTGCTTCTTCTGCCTCTGCTTCCTGCTTGTGCTTCCTCTGCTTGCGCTTCCTCTACTTGTGCTTCCTCTACTTGCGCTTCCACTGCTTGCGCTTCCTCTACTTGCGCTTCCTTTGCTTGTGCTTTCTCTGCTTGGGCTTCCTCTGCTTGCGCTTCTCTGCTTCTGCTTCCTCCACTTGTGCTTCCTGCTTGTGCTTCCTCTGCTTGCGCTTCCTCTGCTTACGCTTTCTCTGCTTGCGCTTCCTCTGCTTGCGCTTCCTCTGCTTTTGCTTTCTCTGCTTGGGCTTCCTCTGCTTGCGCTTCTCTGCTTCTGCTTCCTCTACTTGTGCTTCCTGCTTGTGCTTCCTCTGCTTGCGCTTCCTCTGCTTGCGCTTCCTCTGCTTGCGCTTCCTCTGCTTGCTCTTCCTTTGCTTACGCTTCCTCTGCCTGCGCTTCCTCTGCTTGTGCTTCCTCTACTTGCGCTTCCTCTGCTTGCGCTTCCTCTGCTTGTGCTTCCTCTACTTGCGCTCCTCTGCTGGTGCTTCCTCTACTTGCGATTCCTCTGCTTGCGCTTCCTCTGCTTGCGCTTCCTCTACTTGTGCTTCCTCTGCTTGTGCTTCCTCTGCTTGCGCTTCCTCTACTTGCGCTTCCTCTGTCAGAATATTATCTTATTGTTCTAGCCTGTAGTGGGGTGCTCTATAGCGAGTACAACCCTTCTAGGGTTTGCTATTTGTATCCTCATTCTTGCTAGTTCAATCCTCTTTCTTTCTTCTAATTTTGACATCCTCTGCTTGCGCTTCCTCTGCTTGCGCTTCCTCTGCTTGTGCTCCTCTTTTTGCGCTTCCTCTGCTTGTGCTTCCTCTGCTTGCGCTTCCTCTGCTTGCGCTTCCTCTCCTTGCGCTTCTTCTGCTTGCGCTTCCTCTACTTGCGCTCCTCTGCTTGTGCTTCTTCTGCTTGTGCTTCCTGCTTGTGCTTCTTGCTTGCGCTTCCTCTGCTTGTGCTTCCTCTACTTGCGCTTCCTCTGCTTGTGCTTCCTCTGCTTGTGCTTCTTCTGCTTGCGCTTCCTCTGCTTGTGCTTCCTCTGCTTGTGCTTCTTCTGCTTGCGCTTCCTCTGCTTGTGCTTCCTCTGCTTGTGCTTCCTCTGCTTGCGCTTCCTCTGCTTATGCTTCCTCTCCTTGCGCTTCCTCTCCTTGTGCTTCCTCTCCTTGTGCTTCCTCTGCTTGCGCTTCCTATGCTTGCGCTCCTCTGCTTGTGCTTCTTCTGCCTCTGCTTCCTGCTTGTGCTTCCTCTGCTTGCGCTTCCTCTGCTTGCGCTTCCTCTGCTTGCTCTTCCTTTGCTTACGCTTCCTCTGCCTGCGCTTCCTCTGCTTGTGCTTCCTCTACTTGCGCTTCCTCTGCTTGCGCTTCCTCTGCTTGCGCTTCCTCTGCTTGCGCTTTTTCTGCTTGTGCTTCCTCTGCTTATGCTTCCTCTGCTTGTGCTTCCTCTGCTTGCGCTTCCTCTACTTGTGCTTCCTCTGCTTACGCTTCCTCTGCTTGCGCTTCCTCTGCTTGCGCTTCCTCTGCTTGCGCTTCCTCTGCTTGTTCTTCCTCTGCTTGCGCTTCCTCTGCTTGCACTTCCTCTGCTTGTGCTCCTCTGCTTGCGCTTCCTATGCTTGCGCTCCTCTGCTTGCGCTTCCTCTGCTTACGCTTTCTATACTTGCGCTTCCTTTGCTTGTGCTTCGTCTGCTTGTGCTTCCTCTGCTTATGCTTCCTCTACTTACGCTTCCTCTGCTTGCGCTTCCTCTACTTGTGCTCCTCTGCTTGTGCTTCCTCTGCTTGTGCTTCCTCTGCTTGCGCTTCCTCTTCTTGTGCTTCCTCTGCTCCCGCTTCCTCTGCTTGCGCTCCTCTGCTTCTGCTTTCTCTGCTTGTGCTTCCTGCATGTGCTTCCTCCGCTTGCGCTTCCTCTGCTTACGCTTCCTCTGCTTGCGCTTCCTCTGCTTGCGCTTCCTTTGCTTGCGCTTCCTCTTCTTGCGCTTCCTCTGCTTACGCTTCCTCTGCTTGTGCTTCCCCTGCTTGCTCTTCCTTTGCTTACGCTTCCTCTGCTTGCGCTCCTTTGCTTGCGCTTCCTCTGCTTGTGCTTCCTCTGCTTGCGCTTCCTCTGCTTATGCTTCCTCTCCTTGCGCTTCCTCTGCTTGTGCTTCTCTGCTTGTGCTTCTTCTGCTTGCGCTTCCTCTGCTTGTGCTTCCTCTGCTTGCGCTTCCTCTAATTGCGCTTCCTCTGCTTGCGCTTCCTCTGCTTGCGCTTCCTCTGCTTGTGCTCCTCTGCTTGCGCTTCCTCTGCTTGTGCTTCCTCTGCTTGCGCTTCCTCTACTTGCGCTTCCTCTCCTTGCGCTTCCTCTGCTTGCGCTTCCTCTGCTTGCGCTCCTCTGCTTGTGCTTCCTCTCCTTGTGCTTCCTCTGCTTGTGCTTCCTCTGCTTGTGCTGCCTCTGCTTGCGCTTCCTCTGCTTGTGATCCCTCTGCTTGCGCTTCCTCAGCTTGGGCTTCCTTTGCTTGGGCTCCTGTGCTTGCACTCCCTCTACTTGCACTTCCTCTTCTTGCGCTTCCTGTGCTTGTGCTTCCTCTGCTTGTGCTTCCTCTACTTGCGCTTCCTCTTCTTGTGCTTCCTCTGCTTGAACTTCCTCTACTTGCGCTTCCTCTGCTTGCGCTCCTCTGCTTGTGCTTCCTCTGCTTGTGCTTCCTCTGCTTATGCTTCTTCTAGTTGTGCTTCCGCTGCTTGTGCTTCCTCTGCTTGTGCTTCCTCTGCTTGCGCTTCCTCTGCTTGCGCTTCCTCTGCTTGCGCTTCCTCTACATGCGCTTCCTCTGCTTGGGCTCCTCTGCTTGTGCGTCCTCTGCTTGTGCTTCCTCTGCTTGCGCTTCCTCTACTTGTGCTTCCTCTGCTTGTGCTTCCTCTGCTTGCGCTTCCTCTGCTTGCGCTTCCTCTGCTTGCACTTCCTCTGCTTGTGCTTCCTCTGCTTGCGCTTCCTCTATTTGCGCTTCCTCTTCTTGCGCTTCCATTGCTTACGCTTCCTCTGCTTGTGCTTCCTCTGCTTGCTCTTCCTTTGCTTACGCTTCCTCTGCCTGCGCTCCTCTGCTTGTGCTTCCTCTACTTGTGCTTCCTCTGCTTGCGCTTCCTCTGCTTGTGCTTCCTCTGCTTGCGCTTCCTCTGCCTGCGCTTCCTCTGCTTGCGCTTCCTCTGCTTGCGCTTCCTTTGCTTGCGCTTCCTCTGCTTGCGCTTCCTCTGCTTGGGCTCCTCTGCTTGTGCTTCCTCTGCTTGTGCTTCCTCTGCTTGCGCTTCCTCTGCTTGTGCTTCTTCTGCTTGTGCTTCCTCTCCTTGCGCTTCCCCTGCTTGTGCTTCCTCTGCTTGCGCTTCCTCTGCTTGCGCTTCCGCTGCTTGTGCTTCCTCTGCTTGTGCTTCCTCTGCTTGTGCTTCCTCTCCTTGCGTTTCCTCTGCTTAAGCTTCCTCTGCTTGCGCTTCCTCTGCTTGCGCTCCTCTGGTTGTGCTTCCTCTGCTTGTGCTTCCTCTGCTTGCGCTTCCTCTGCTTGTGCTTCCTCTGCTTTCGCTTCTTCTGCTTGTGCTTCCTCTGCTTGTGCTTCCTCTGCTTGCGCTCCTCTGCTTGTGCTTCCTCTGCTTGTGCTTCCTGCTTGTGCTTCCTCTGCTTGCGCTTCCTATGCTTGTGCTTCCTCTACTTGCGCTTCCTCTGCTTGCGCTTCCTCTGCTTGCGCTTCCTCTTCTTGCGCTTCCTCTGCTTACGCTACCTCTGCTTGTGCTTCCTCTGCTTGCTCTTCCTTTGCTTACGCTTCCTCTTCTTGCGCTCCTCTGCTTGTGCGTTCTCTGCTTGTGCTTCCTCTGCTTGCGCTTCCTCCGCTTGTGCATCCTCTACTTGCGCTTCCTCTGCTTGTGCTTCCTCTGCTTGCGCTTCCTCTGCTTGCGCTCCTCTGCTTGTGCTTCCTCTGCTTGTGCTTCCTGCTTGTGCTTCCTCTACTTGCGCTTCCTCTGCTTGTGCTTCCTCTACTTGCGCTTCCTCTTCTTGCGCTTCCTGTGCTTACGCTTCTTCTGCTTGTGCTTCCTCGGCTTGCTCATCCTTTGCTTATGCTTCCTCCGCCTGCGCTCCTCTGCTTGTGCTTCCTCTGCTTGTGCTTCCTTTGCTTGCGTTTCCTCTGCTTGTGCTTCCTCTACTTGCGCTTCCTCTGCTTGTGCTTCCTCTGCTTGCGCTTCCTCTGCTTGCGCTCCTCTGCTTGTGCTTCCTCTGCTTGCGATTCCTCTGCTTGCGCTTCCTCTGCTTGCGCTTCCTCTGCTTGCGCTTCCTCTGCTTCCGCTTCCTCTGCTTTCGCTTCCTCTGCTTGCGCTTCCTCTGCTTGCGCTTCCCCTGCTTGCGCTTCCTCTGCTTGCGCTTCCTCTCCTTGCGCTTCCTTTGCTTGCGCTTCCTGTGCTTGCGCTTCCTATGCTTGCGCTTCCTCTGCTTGGGCTCCTTTGCTTGTGCTTCCTCTACTTGTGCTTCCTCTGCTTGTGCTTCCTCTGCTTGCGCTTCCTCTGCTTGTGCTTCCTCTCCTTGCGCTTCCTCTGCTTGTGCTTCCTCTGCTTGTGCTTCCTCTGCTTGCGCTCCTCTGCTTGTGCTTCCTCTGCTTGTGCTTCCTGCTTGTGCTTCCTCTGCTTGCGCTTCCTCTGCTTGTGCTTCCTCTACTTGCGCTTCCACTGCTTGCGCTTCCTCTTCTTGCGCTTCCACTGCTTACGCTTCTTCTGCTTGTGCTTCCTCTGCTTGCTCTTCCTTTGCTTACGCTTCCTCTGCCTGCGCTCCTCTGCTTGTGCTTCCTCTGCTTGTGCTTCCTCTGCTTGCGCTTCCTCTGCTTGTGCTTCCTCTACTTGCACTTCCTCTGCTTGTGCTTTCTCTGCTTGGGCTTCCTCTGCTTGCGCTTCTCTGCTTCTGCTTCCTCTACTTGTGCTTCCTGCTTGTGCTTCCTCTGCTTGCGCTTCCTCTGCTTACGCTTTCTCTGCTTGCGCTTCCTCTGCTTGCGCTTCCTCTGCTTGCGCTTCCTCTTCTTGCGCTTCCTCTGCTTACGCTTCCTCTGCTTGTGCTTCCTCTGCTTGCTCTTCCTTTGCTTACGCTTCCTCTGCTTGCGCTCCTTTGCTTGCGCTTCCTCTGCTTGTGCTTCCTCTGCTTGCGCTTCCTCTGCTTATGCTTCCTCTCGTTGCGCTTCCTCTGCTTGTGCTTCCTTTGCTTGCGCTTCCTATGCTTGCGCTCCTCTGCTTGTGCTTCTTCTGCCTCTGCTTCCTGCTTGTGCTTCCTCTGCTTACGCTTCCTCTACTTGTGCTTCCTCTACTTGCGCTTCCACTGCTTGCACTTCCTCTACTTGCGCTTCCTCTGCTTGTGCTTTCTCTGCTTGGGCTTCCTCTGCTTGCGCTTCTCTGCTTCTGCTTCCTCCACTTGTGCTTCCTGCTTGTGCTTCCTCTGCTTGCGCTTCCTCTGCTTGCGCTTCCTCTGCTTTTGCTTTCTCTGCTTGGGCTTCCTCTGCTTGCGCTTCTCTGCTTCTGCTTCCTCTACTTGTGCTTCCTGCTTGTGCTTCCTCTGCTTGCGCTTCCTCTGCTTGCGCTTCCTCTGCTTGCGCTTCCTCTGCTTGCTCTTCCTTTGCTTACGCTTCCTCTGCCTGCGCTTCCTCTGCTTGTGCTTCCTCTACTTGCGCTTCCTCTGCTTGCGCTTCCTCTGCTTGTGCTTCCTCTACTTGCGCTCCTCTGCTGGTGCTTCCTCTGCTTGCGATTCCTCTGCTTGCGCTTCCTCTGCTTGCGCTTCCTCTACTTGTGCTTCCTCTGCTTGTGCTTCCTCTGCTTGCGCTTCCTCTACTTGCGCTTCCTCTGTCAGAATATTATCTTATTGTTCTAGCCTGTAGTGGGGTGCTCTATAGCGAGTACAACCCTTCTAGGGTTTGCTATTTGTATCCTCATTCTTGCTAGTTCAATCCTCTTTCTTTCTTCTAATTTTGACATCCTCTGCTTGCGCTTCCTCTGCTTGCGCTTCCTCTGCTTGTGCTCCTCTTTTTGCGCTTCCTCTGCTTGTGCTTCCTCTGCTTGCGCTTCCTCTGCTTGCGCTTCCTCTCCTTGCGCTTCCTCTGCTTGCGCTTCCTCTACTTGCGCTCCTCTGCTTGTGCTTCTTCTGCTTGTGCTTCCTGCTTGTGCTTCCTGCTTGCGCTTCCTCTGCTTGTGCTTCCTCTACTTGCGCTTCCTCTGCTTGTGCTTCCTCTGCTTGTGCTTCTTCTGCTTGCGCTTCCTCTGCTTGTGCTTCCTCTGCTTGCGCTTCCTCTAATTGCGCTTCCTCTGCTTGCGCTTCCTCTGCTTGCGCTTCCTCTGCTTGTGCTCCTCTGCTTGCGCTTCCTCTGCTTGTGCTTCCTCTGCTTGCGCTTCCTCTACTTGCGCTTCCTCTCCTTGCGCTTCCTCTGCTTGCGCTTCCTCTGCTTGCGCTCCTCTGCTTGTGCTTCCTCTCCTTGTGCTTCCTCTGCTTGTGCTTCCTCTGCTTGTGCTGCCTCTGCTTGCGCTTCCTCTGCTTGTGATCCCTCTGCTTGCGCTTCCTCAGCTTGGGCTCCCTTTGCTTGGGCTCCTGTGCTTGCACTCCCTCTACTTGCACTTCCTCTTCTTGCGCTTCCTGTGCTTGTGCTTCCTCTGCTTGTGCTTCCTCTACTTGCGCTTCCTCTTCTTGTGCTTCCTCTGCTTGAACTTCCTCTACTTGCGCTTCCTCTGCTTGCGCTCCTCTGCTTGTGCTTCCTCTGCTTGTGCTTCCTCTGCTTGCGCTTCTTCTAGTTGTGCTTCCGCTGCTTGTGCTTCCTCTGCTTGTGCTTCCTCTGCTTGCGCTTCCTCTGCTTGCGCTTCCTCTGCTTGCGCTTTCTCTACATGCGCTTCCTCTGCTTGGGCTCCTCTGCTTGTGCGTCCTCTGCTTGTGCTTCCTCTGCTTGCGCTTCCTCTACTTGTGCTTCCTCTGCTTGTGCTTCCTCTGCTTGCGCTTCCTCTGCTTGCGCTTCCTCTGCTTGCACTTCCTCTGCTTGTGCTTCCTCTGCTTGCGCTTCCTCTGATTGTGCTTCCTCTATTTGCGCTTCCTCTGCTTGCGCTTCCTCTATTTGCGCTTCCTCTTCTTGCGCTTCCATTACTTACGCTTCCTCTGCCTGCGCTCCTCTGCTTGTGCTTCCTCTACTTGTGCTTCCTCTGCTTGCGCTTCCTCTGCTTGTGCTTCCTCTGCTTGTGCTTCCTCTGCCTGCGCTTCCTCTGCCTGCGCTTCCTCTGCTTGCGCTTCCTCTGCTTGCGCTTCCTCTGCTTGGGCTCCTCTGCTTGTGCTTCCTCTGCTTGTGCTTCCTCTGCTTGCGCTTCCTCTGCTTGTGCTTCTTCTGCTTGTGCTTCCTCTCCTTGCGCTTCCCCTGCTTGTGCTTCCTCTGCTTGCGCTTCCTCTGCTTGCGCTTCCGCTGCTTGTGCTTCCTCTGCTTGTGCTTCCTCTGCTTGTGCTTCCTCTGCTTGCGTTTCCTCTGCTTAAGCTTCCTCTGCTTGCGCCTCCTCTGCTTGCGCTCCTCTGGTTGTGCTTCCTCTGCTTGTGCTTCCTCTGCTTGCGCTTCCTCTGCTTGTGCTTCCTCTGCTTTTGCTTCTTCTGCTTGTGCTTCCTCTGCTTGTGCTTCCTCTGCTTGCGCTCCTCTGCTTGTGCTTCCTCTGCTTGTGCTTCCTGCTTGTGCTTCCTCTGCTTGCGCTTCCTATGCTTGTGCTTCCTCTACTTGCGCTTCCTCTGCTTGCGCTTCCTCTGCTTGCGCTTCCTCTTCTTGCGCTTCCTCTGCTTACGCTACCTCTGCTTGTGCTTCCTCTGCTTGCTCTTCCTTTGCTTACGCTTCCTCTTCTTGCGCTCCTCTGCTTGTGCGTTCTCTGCTTGTGCTTCCTCTGCTTGCGCTTCCTCCGCTTGTGCATCCTCTACTTGCGCTTCCTCTGCTTGTGCTTCCTCTGCTTGCGCTTCCTCTGCTTGCGCTCCTCTGCTTGTGCTTCCTCTGCTTGTGCTTCCTGCTTGTGCTTCCTCTACTTGCGCTTCCTCTGCTTGTGCTTCCTCTACTTGCGCTTCCTCTTCTTGCGCTTCCTGTGCTTACGCTTCTTCTGCTTGTGCTTCCTCTGCTCGCTCTTCCTTTGCTTACGCTTCCTCTGCCTGCGCTTCTCTGCTTGTGCTTCCTCTGCTTTTGCTTCCTTTGCTTGTGCTTCCTCAGCTTGCGCTCCTCTGCTTGTGCTTCCTCTGCTTGTGCTTCCTCTGCTTGCGCTTCCTTTGCTTGTGCATCCTCTACTTGCGCTTCCTCTGCTTGTGCTTCCTCTGCTTGCGCTTCCTCTGCTTGCGCTCCTCTGCTTGTGCTTCCTCAGCTTGTGCTTCCTGCTTGTGCTTCCTCTACTTGCGCTTCCTCTGCTTGTGCTTTCTCTACTTGCACTTCCTCTGCTTGCGCTTCCTGTGCTTGCGCTTCCTCTTCTTGCGCTTCCTGTGCTTACGCTTCCTCTGCTTGTGCTTCCTCGGCTTGCTCATCCTTTGCTTACGCTTCCTCTGCCTGCGCTCCTCTGCTTGTGCTTCCTCTGCTTGTGCTTCCTTTGCTTGCGTTTCCTCTGCTTGTGCTTCCTCTACTTGCGCTTCCTCTGCTTGCGCTTCCTCTGCTTGCGCTCCTCTGCTTGTGCTTCCTCTGCTTGCGATTCCTCTGCTTGCGCTTCCTCTGCTTGCGCTTCCTCTGCTTGCGCTTCCTCTGCTTGCGCTTCCTCTGCTTGCGCTTCCTCTGCTTGCGCTTCCTCTGCTTGCGCTTCCCCTGCTTGCGCTTCCTCTGCTTGCGCTTCCTCTGCTTGTGCTTCCTTTGCTTGCGCTTCCTCTGCTTGCGCTTCCTATGCTTGCGCTTCCTCTGCTTGGGCTCCTTTGCTTGTGCTTCCTCTACTTGTGATTCCTTTGCTTGTGCTTCCTCTGCTTCTGCTTCCTCTGCTAGTGCTTCCTCTGCTTGTGCTTCCTCTGCTTGTGCTTCCTCTGCTTGTGCTTCCTCTGCTTGTGCTTCCTCTGCTTGTGCTTCCTCTTCTTGTGCTTCCTCTGCTTGCGCTTCCTTTGCTTGCGCTTCTGTGCTCCTGCTTCCTCTGCTTGTGCTTCCTGCTTGTGCTTCCTCTGCTTGCGCTTCCTCTGCGCTTCCTCTGCTTGCGCTTCCTCTGCTTGCACTTCCTCTGCTTGCGCTTCCTCTTCTTGCGCTTCCTCAGCTTATGCTTCCTCTGATTCTGCTTCCTCATCTTGCTCTTCCTTTGCTTACGCTTCCTCTGCTTGCGCTCCTCTGCTTGTGCTTCCTCTGCTTGTGCTTCCTTTCCTTGCAATTCCTCTGCTTGTGCTTCCTCTGCTTGCGCTTCCTCTGCTTGCGCTCCTCTACTTGTGCTTCCTCTGCTTGTGCTTCCTGCTTGTGCTTCCTCTCCTTGTGCTTCCTCTGCTTGTGCTTCCTCTACTTGCGCTTCCTCTTCTTGCGCTTCCTTTGCTTGCGCTTCCTCCTCTTACGCTTCCTCTGCTTGTGCTTCCTCTGCTTGCTCTTCCTTTGCTTACGCTTCCTCAGTTTGCGCTCCTCTTCTTGTGCTTCCTCTGCTTGTGCGTCCTCTACTTGTGCTTCCTCTGCTTGTGCTTCCTCTACTTGCGCTTCTTCTGCTTGTGCTTCGTCTGCTTGTGCTTCCTCTTCTTGCGCTCCTCTACTTGTGCTTCCTCTGCTTGCGATTCCTCTGCTTGGGCTTCCTCTGCCTTCGCTTCCTCTACTTGCGCTCCTCTGCTTGTGCTTCCTCTGCTTGTGCTTCCTCTGCTTGCTCTTCCTTTGCTTACGCTTCCTCTGCCTGCGCTCCTCTGCTTATGCTTCCTCTGCTTGTGCTTCCTCTGCTTGCGCTTCCTCTGCTTGTGCTTCCTCTACTTGCACTTCCTCTGCTTGTGCTTCCTCTTCTTGTGCTTCCTCTACTTGCGCTCCTCTGCTTGTGCTTCCTTTGCTTGCGCTTCCTCTGCTTGCGCTTCCTATGATTGCGCTTCTTCTGCTTGGGCTCCTTTGCTTGTGCTTCCTCTGCTTGTGCTTCCTTTGCTTGTGCTTCCTCTGCTTGTGCTTCCTCTGCTTGTGCTTCCTCTGCTTGTGCTTCCTCTGCTTGTGCTTCCTCTGCTTGCGCTTCCTCTGCTTGTGCTTCCTCTGCTTGCGTTTCCTTTGCTTGCGCTCCTCTGCTCCTGCTTCCTCTGCTTGTGCTTCCTGCTTGTGCTTCCTCTGCTTGCGCTTCCTCTGCTTACGCTTCCTCTGCTTGTGCTTCCTCTGCTTGTGCTTCCTCTGCTTGCGCTTCCTCTGCTTGCGCTCCTCTGCTTGTGCTTCCTCTGCTTGCGATTCCTCTGCTTGCGCTTCCTCTGCTTGCGCTTCCTCTGCTTGCGCTTCCTCTGCTTCCGCTTCCTCTGCTTGCGCTTCCTCTGCTTGCGCTTCCTCTGCTTGCGCTTCCTCTTCTTGCGCTTCCTTTGCTTGCGCTTCCTCTGCTTGCGCTTCCTATGCTTGCGCTTTCTCTGCTTGGGCTTAGTTGCTTGTGCTTCCTCTGCTTGTGCTTCCTTTGCTTGTGCTTCCTCTGCTTGTGCTTCCTCTGCTTGTGCTTCCTCTGCTTGTGCTTCCTCTGCTTGCGCTTCCTTTGCTTGCGCTTCCTCTGCTTGCGCTTCCTATGCTTGCGCTTTCTCTGCTTGGGCTTAGTTGCTTGTGCTTCCTCTGCTTGTGCTTCCTTTGCTTGTGCTTCCTCTGCTTGTGCTTCCTCTGCTTGTGCTTCCTCTGCTTGTGCTTCCTCTGCTTGCGCTTCCTTTGCTTGCACTCCTCTGCTCGTGCTTCCTCTGCTTGTGCTTCCTGCTTGTGCCTCCTCTGCTTGCGCTTCCTCTGCGCTTCCTCTGCTTGCGCTTCCTCTGCTTGCACTTCCTCTGCTTGTGCTTCCTCTTCTTGTGCTTCCTCTACTTGCGCTCCTCTGCTTGTGCTTCCTTTGCTTTCGCTTCCTCTGCTTGCGCTTCCTATGCTTGCGCTTCCTCTGCTTGGGCTCCTTTGCTTGTGCTTCCTCTGCTTGTGCTTCCTTTGCTTGTGCTTCCTCTGCTTGTGCTTCCTCTGCTTGTGCTTCCTCTGCTTGTGCTTCCTCTGCTTGTGCTTCCTCTGCTTGCGCTTCCTCTGCTTGTGCTTCCTCTGCTTGCGCTTCCTTTGCTTGCGCTCCTCTGCTCCTGCTTCCTCTGCTTGTGCTTCCTGCTTGTGCTTCCTCTGCTTGCGCTTCCTCTGCTTACGCTTCCTCTGCTTGCGCTTCCTCTGCTTGCACTTCCTCTGCTTGCGCTTCCTCTTCTTGCGCTTCCTCAGCTTATGCTTCCTCTGATTGTGCTTCCTCATCTTGCTCTTCCTTTGCTTACGCTTCCTCTGCTTGGGCTTCATCTGCTTGTGCTTCCTTTCGTTGCAATTCCTCTGTTTTTGCTTCCTCTGCTTGCGCTTCCTCTGCTTGCGCTCCTCTACTTGTGCTTCCTCTGCTTGTGCTTCCTGCTTGTGCTTCCTCTACTTGTGCTTCCTCTGCTTGTGCTTCCTCGAATTGCGCTTCCTCTGCTTGCGCTTCCTTTGCTTGCGCTTCCTCCTCTTGCGCTTCCTCTGCTTATGCTTCCTCTGCTTGTGCTTCCTCTGCATGCTCTTCCTTTGCTTACGCTTCCTCAGCCTGCGCTCCTCTGCTTGTGCTTCCTCTGCTTGTGCGTCCTCTACTTGCGCTTCCTCTGCTTGTGCTTCCTCTACTTGCGCTTCTTCTGCTTGTGCTTCCTCTGCTTGTGCTTCCTGTGCTTGCGCTCCTCTGCTTGTGCTTCCTCTGCTTGCGATTCCTCTGCTTGCGCTTCCTCTGCTTTCGCTTCCTCTACTTGCGCTCCTCTGCTTGTGCTTCCTCTGCTTGTGCTTCCTCTGCTTGCTCTTCTTTTGCTTACGCTTCCTCTGCCTGCGCTCCTCTGCTTATGCTTCCTCTGCTTGTGCTTCCTCTGCTTGCGCTTCCTCTGCTTGTGCTTCCTCTACTTGCACTTCCTCTGCTTGTGCTTCCTCTTCTTGTGCTTCCTCTACTTGCGCTCCTCTGCTTGTGCTTCCTCTGCTTGTGCTTCCTCTGCTTGTGCTTCCTCTTCTTGTGCTTCCTCTGCTTGCGCTTCCTCTTCTATCGCTTCCTCTGGTTGTGACTCCTCTGCTTGCGCTTCCTCTACTTGCGCTTCCTCTACTTGCGCTTCCTCTGCTTGGGCATCCTCTGCTTGCGCTTCCTCTGCTTGCACTTCCTCTGCTTGCGCTTCCTCTTCTTGCGCTCCTCTGCTTGTGCTTCCTCTGCTTGTGCTTCCTCTGCTTGCGCTTCCTCTGCTTGTGCTTCTTCTGCTTCCGCTTCCTCTACTTGTGCTTCCTCTGCTTGCGCTTCCTTTGCTTGTTCTTCCTCTTCTTGTGCTTCCTCTTCTTGCGCTTCCTCTGCTAGTGCTTCCTCTGCTTACACTTCCTCTGCTTGCGCTTCCTCTTCTCGCGCTTCCTCTGCTTGTGCTTCCTTTGCTTGTGCTTCCTCTGCTTGTGCTTCCTCTGCTTGCGTTTCCTCTGCTTGTGCTTCTTCAGCTTCCGCTTCCTTTGCTTGTTCTTCCTCTGATTGTGCTTCCTTTCGTTGCAATTCCTCTATTTTTGCTTCCTCTGCTTGTGCTTCCTCTGCTTGTGCTTCCTGCTTGTGCTTCCTCTACTTGTGCTTCCTCTGCTTGTGCTTCCTCTACTTGCGCTTCCTCTGCTTGCGCTTCCTTTGCTTGCGCTTCCTCCTCTTGCGCTTCCTCTGCTTACGCTTTCCCTGCTTGTGCTTCCTCTGCTTGCTCTTCCTTTGCTTACGCTTCCTCAGCCTGCGCTCCTCTGCTTGTGCTTCCTCTGCTTGTGCGTCCTCTACTTGCGCTTCCTCTGCTTGTGCTTCCTCTACTTGCGCTTCCTCTGCTTGCATTTCCTCTGCTTGTGCTTCCTCTTCTTGCGCTTCCTCTGTTTGCGCTTCCTCTGCTTGCGCTCCTTTGCTTGTGCTTCCTCTGCTTGTGCTTCCTTTGCTTGCGTTTCCTCTGCTTGTGCTTCTTCAGCTTCCGCTTCCTTTGCTTGTTCTTCCTCTGCTTGTGCTTCCTTTCGTTGCAATTCCTCTGTTTTTGCTTCCTCTGCTTGCGCATCTTCTGCTTGCGCTCCTCTACTTGTGCTTCCTCTGCTTGTGCTTCCTCTACTTGTGCTTCCTCTGCTTGTGCTTCCTCTACTTGCGCTTCCTCTGCTTGCGCTTCCTCTGCTTGTGCTTCCTCTGCTTGCGCTTCCTCTGCTTGTGCTTCCTCTTCTTGCGCTTCCTCTGCTTGCGCTTCCTCTGCTTGCGCTTTTTCTGCTTGTGCTTCCTCTGCTTATGCTTCCTCTGCTTGTGCTTCCTCTGCTTGCGCTTCCTCTACTTGTGCTTCCTCTGCTTACGCTTCCTCTGCTTGCGCTTCCTCTGCTTGCGCTTCCTCTGCTTGCGCTTCCTCTGCTTGTTCTTCCTCTGCTTGCGCTTCCTCTGCTTGCACTTCCTCTCCTTGTGCTCCTCTGCTTGCGCTTCCTATGCTTGCGCTCCTCTGCTTGCGCTTCCTCTGCTTACGCTTCCTATACATGCGCTTCCTTTGCTTGTGCTTCGTCTGCTTGTGCTTCCTCTGCTTGTGCTTCCGCTACTTACGCTTCCTCTGCTTGCGCTTCCTCTACTTGTGCTCCTCTGCTTGTGCTTCCTCTGCTTGTGCTTCCTCTGCTTGCGCTTCCTCTTCTTGTGCTTCCTCTGCTCCCGCTTCCTCTGCTTGCGCTCCTCTGCTTCTGCTTTCTCTGCTTGTGCTTCCTGCATGTGCTTCCTCCGCTTGCGCTTCCTCTGCTTACGCTTCCTCTGCTTGCGCTTCCTCTGCTTGCGCTTCCTCTTCTTGCGCTTCCTCTTCTTGCGCTTCCTCTGCTTACGCTTCCTCTGCTTGTGCTTCCCCTGCTTGCTCTTCCTTTGCTTACGCTTCCTCTGATTGCGCTCCTCTGCTTGCGCTTCCTCTGCTTGTGCTTCCTCTGCTTGCGCTTCCTCTGCTTGTGCTTCCTCTCCTTGCGCTTCCTCTGCTTGTGCTTCCTCTGCTTGTGCTTTCTCTGCTTGCGCTCCTCTGCTTGTGCTTCCTCTGCTTGTGCTTCCTGCTTGTGCTTCCTCTGCTTGCGCTTCCTCTGCTTGTGCTTCCTCTACTTGCGCTTCCACTGCTTGCGCTTCCTCTTCTTGCGCTTCCACTGCTTACGCTTCTTCTGCTTGTGCTTCCTCTGCTTGCTCTTCCTTTGCTTACGCTTCCTCTGCCTGCGCTCCTCTGCTTGTGCTTCCTCTGCTTGTGCTTCCTCTGCTTGCGCTTCCTCTGCTTGTGCTTCCTCTACTTGCGCTTCCTCTACTTGTGCTTTCTCTGCTTGGGCTTCCTCTGCTTGCGCTTCTCTGCTTCTACTTCCTCCACTTGTGCTTCCTGCTTGTGCTTCCTCTGCTTGCGCTTCCTCTGCTTACGCCTTTCTGCTTGCGCTTCCTCTGCTTGCGCTTCCTCTGCTTGCGCTTCCTCTTCTTGCGCTTCCTCTGCTAACGCTTCCTCTGCTTGTGCTTCCTCTGCTTGCTCTTCCTTTGCTTACGCTTCCTCTGCTTGCGCTCCTTTGCTTGGGCTTCCTCTGCTTGTGCTTCCTCTGCTTGCGCTTCCTCTGCTTATGCTTCCTCTCCTTGCGCTTCATCTGCTTGTGCTTCCTCTGCTTGCGCTTCCTATGCTTGCGCTCCTCTGCTTGTGCTTCTTCTGCCTGTGCTTCCTGCTTGTGCTTCCTCTGCTTGCGCTTCCTCTACTTGTGCTTCCTCTACTTGCGCTTCCACTGCTTGCGCTTCCTCTACTTGCGCTTCCTCTGCTTGTGCTTTCTCTGCTTGGGCTTCCTCTGCTTGCACTTCTCTGCTTCTACTTCCTCCACTTGTGCTTCCTGCTTGTGCTTCCTCTGCTTGCGCTTCCTCTGCTTACGCTTTCTCTGCTTGCGCTTCCTCTGCTTGCGCTTCCTCTGTTTGTGCTTTCTCTGCTTGGGCTTCCTCTGCTTGCGCTTCTCTGCTTCTGCTTCCTCTACTTGTGCTTCCTGCTTGTGCTTCCTCTGCTTGCGCTTCCTCTGCTTGCGCTTCCTCTGCTTGCGCTTCCTCTGCTTCCTCTTCCTTTGCTTACGCTTCCTCTGCCTGCGCTTCCTATGCTTGTGCTTCCTCTACTTGCGCTTCCTCTGCTTGCGCTTCCTCTGCTTGTGCTTCCTCTACTTGCGCTCCTCTGCTGGTGCTTCCTCTGCTTGCGATTCCTCTGCTTGCGCTTCCTCTGCTTGCGCTTCCTCTACTTGTGCTTCCTCTGCTTGTGCTTCCTCTGCTTGCGCTTCCTCTACTTGCGCTTCCTCTGTCAGAATATTATCTTATTGTTCTAGCCTGTAGTGGGGTGCTCTATAGCGAGTACAACCCTTCTAGGGTTTGCTATTTGTATCCTCATTCTTGCTAGTTCAATCCTCTTTCTTTCTTCTAATTTTGACATCCTCTGCTTGCGCTTCCTCTGCTTGTGCTCCTCTGCTTGCACTCCCTCTACTTGCACTTCCTCTTCTTGCGCTTCCTGTGCTTGTGCTTCCTCTGCTTGTGCTTCCTCTACTTGCGCTTCCTCTTCTTGTGCTTCCTCTGCTTGAACTTCCTCTACTTGCGCTTCCTCTGCTTGCGCTCCTCTGCTTGTGCTTCCTCTGCTTGTGCTTCCTCTGCTTGCGCTTCTTCTAGTTGTGCTTCCGCTGCTTGTGCTTTCTCTGCTTGTGCTTCCTCTGCTTGCGCTTCCTCTGCTTGCGCTTCCTCTGCTTGCGCTTCCTCTACATGCGCTTCCTCTGCTTGGGCTCCTCTGCTTGTGCGTCCTCTGCTTGTGCTTCCTCTGCTTGCGCTTCCTCTACTTGTGCTTCCTCTGCTTGTGCTTCCTCTGCTTGCGCTTCCTCTGCTTGCGCTTCCTCTACTTGCACTTCCTCTGCTTGTGCTTCCTCTGCTTGCGCTTCCTCTGCTTGTGCTTCCTCTATTTGCGCTTCCTCTGCTTGCGCTTCCTCTATTTGCGCTTCCTCTTCTTGCGCTTCCATTGCTTACGCTTCCTCTGCTTGTGCTTCCTCTGCTTGCTCTTCCTTTGCTTACGCTTCCTCTGCCTGCGCTCCTCTGCTTGTGCTTCCTCTGCTTGTGCTTCCTCTGCTTGCGCTTCCTCTGCTTGTGCTTCCTCTGCTTGCGCTTCCTCTGCTTGTGCTTTCTCTGCTTGGGCTTCCTCTGCTTGCGCTTCTCTGCTTCTGCTTCCTCTACTTGTGCTTCCTGCTTGTGCTTCCTCTGCTTGCGCTTCCTCTGCTTGCGCTTCCTCTGCTTGCGCTTCCTCTGCTTGCGCTTCCTCTACTTGTGCTTCCTCTGCTTGTGCTTCCTCTGCTTGCGCTTCCTCTACTTGCGCTTCCTCTGTCAGAATATTATCTTATTGTTCTAGCCTGTAGTGGGGTGCTCTATAGCGAGTACAACCCTTCTAGGGTTTGCTATTTGTATCCTCATTCTTGCTAGTTCAATCCTCTTTCTTTCTTCTAATTTTGACATCCTCTGCTTGCGCTTCCTCTGCTTGCGCTTCCTCTGCTTGTGCTCCTCTGCTTGCGCTTCCTCTGCTTGTGCTTCCTCTGCTTGCGCTTCCTCTGCTTGCGCTTCCTCTCCTTGCGCTTCCTCTGCTTGCGCTTCCTCTACTTGCGCTCCTCTGCTTGTGCTTCTTCTGCTTGTGCTTCCTGCTTGTGCTTCCTGCTTGCGCTTCCTCTGCTTGTGCTTCCTCTACTTGCGCTTCCTCTGCTTGTGCTTCCTCTGCTTGTGCTTCCTCTGCTTGCGCTTCCTCTGCTTGTGCTTCCTCTGCTTGCGCTTCCTCTAATTGTGCTTCCTCTGCTTGCGCTTCCTCTGCTTGCGCTTCCTCTGCTTGTGCTCCTCTGCTTGCGCTTCCTCTGCTTGTGCTTCCTCTGCTTGCGCTTCCTCTGCTTGCGCTTCCTCTCCTTGCGCTTCCTCTGCTTGCGCTTCCTCTTCTTGCGCTCCTCTGCTTGTGCTTCCTCTCCTTGTGCTTCCTCTGCTTGTGCTTCCTCTGCTTGTGCTGCCTCTGCTTGCGCTTCCTCTGCTTGTGATCCCTCTGCTTGCGCTTCCTCAGCTTGGGCTTCCTTTGCTTGGGCTCCTGTGCTTGCACTCCCTCTACTTGCACTTCCTCTTCTTGCGCTTCCTGTGCTTGTGCTTCCTCTGCTTGTGCTTCCTCTACTTGCGCTTCCTCTTCTTGTGCTTCCTCTGCTTGAACTTCCTCTACTTGCGCTTCCTCTGCTTGCGCTCCTCTGCTTGTGCTTCCTCTGCTTGTGCTTCCTCTGCTTGCGCTACTTCTAGTTGTGCTTCCGCTGCTTGTGCTTCCTCTGCTTGTGCTTCCTCTGCTTGCGCTTCCTCTGCTTGCGCTTCCTCTGCTTGCGCTTCCTCTACATGCGCTTCCTCTGCTTGGGCTCCTCTGCTTGTGCGTCCTCTGCTTGTGCTTCCTCTTCTTGCGCTTCCTCTACTTGTGCTTCCTCTGCTTGTGCTTCCTCTGCTTGCGCTTCCTCTGCTTGCACTTCCTCTGCTTGTGCTTCCTCTGCTTGCGCTTCCTCTGCTTGTGCTTCCTCTATTTGCGCTTCCTCTGCTTGCGCTTCCTCTATTTGCGCTTCCTCTTCTTGCGCTTCCATTGCTTACGCTTCCTCTGCTTGTGCTTCCTCTGCTTGCTCTTCCTTTGCTTACGCTTCCTCTGCCTGCGCTCCTCTGCTTGTGCTTCCTCTGCTTGTGCTTCCTCTGCTTGCGCTTCCTCTGCTTGTGCTTCCTCTGCTTGCGCTCCCTCTGCCTGCGCTTCCACTGCTTGCGCTTCCTCTGCTTGCGCTTCCTCTGCTTGCGCTTCCTCTGCTTGCGCTTCCTCTGCTTGGGCTCCTCTGCTTGTGCTTCCTCTGCTTGTGCTTCCTCTGCTTGCGCTTCCTCTGCTTGTGCTTCTTCTGCTTGTGCTTCCTCTCCTTGCGCTTCCCCTGCTTGTGCTTCCTCTGCTTGCGCTCCCTCTGCTTGCGCTTCCGCTGCTTGTACTTCCTCTGCTTGTGCTTCCTCTGCTTGTGCTTCCTCTGCTTGCGTTTCCTCTGCTTAAGCTTCCTCTGCTTGCGCTTTCTCTGCTTGCGCTCCTCTGGTTGTGCTTCCTCTGCTTGTGCTTCTTCTGCTTGCGCTTCCTCTGCTTATGCTTCCTCTGCTTTCGCTTCTTCTGCTTGTGCTTCCTCTGCTTGCGCTTCCTCTGCTTGCGCTTCCTCTGCTTGCGCTTCCTCTTCTTGCGCTTCCTCTGCTTACGCTATCTCTGCTTGTGCTTCCTCTGCTTGCTCTTCCTTTGCTTACGCTTCCTCTTCTTGCGCTCCTCTGCTTGCGCTTCCTCTGCTTGGGCTCCTCTGCTTGTGCTTCCTCTGCTTGTGCTTCCTCTGCTTGCGCTTCCTCTGCTTGTGCTTCTTCTGCTTGTGCTTCCTCTCCTTGCGCTTCCCCTGCTTGTGCTTCCTCTGCTTGCGCTCCCTCTGCTTGCGCTTCCGCTGCTTGTACTTCCTCTGCTTGTGCTTCCTCTGCTTGTGCTTCCTCTGCTTACGCTATCTCTGCTTGTGCTTCCTCTGCTTGCTCTTCCTTTGCTTACGCTTCCTCTTCTTGCGCTCCTCTGCTTGCGCTTCCTCTTCTTGCACTTCCTCTGCTTACGCTTCCTCTGCTTGTGCTTCCCCTGCTTGCTCTTCCTTTGCTTACGCTTCCTCTGCTTGCGCTCCTCTGCTTGCGCTTCCTCTGCTTGTGCTTCCTCTGCTTGCGCTTCCTCTACTTGTGCTTCCTCTCCTTGCGCTTCCTCTGCTTGTGCTTCCTCTGCTTGTGCTTCCTCTGCTTGCGCTCCTCTGCTTGTGCTTCCTCTGCTTGTGCTTCCTGCTTGTGCTTCCTTTGCTTGCGCTTCCTCTGCTTGTGCTTCCTCTACTTGCGCTTCCACTGCTTGCGCTTCCTCTTCTTGCGCTTCCACTGCTTACGCTTCTTTTGCTTGTGCTTCCTCTGCTTGCTCTTCCTTTGCTTACGCTTCCTCTGCCTGCGCTCCTCTGCTTGTGCTTCCTCTGCTTGTGCTTCCTCTGCTTGCGCTTCCTCTGCTTGTGCTTCCTCTACTTGCGCTTCCTCTGCTTGTGCTTTCTCTGCTTGGGCTTCCTCTGCTTGCGCTTCTCAGCTTCTGCTTCCTCTACTTGTGCTTCCTGCTTGTGCTTCCTCTGCTTGCGCTTCCTCTGCTTACGCTTTCTCTGCTTGCGCTTCCTCTGCTTGCGCTTCCTCTGCTTGCGCTTCCTCTTCTTGCGCTTCCTCTGCTTATGCTTCCTCTGCTTGTGCTTCCTCTGCTTGTGCTTCCTCTGCTTGCGCTTCCTATGCTTGCGCTCCTCTGCTTGCGCTTCCTCTGCTTGTGCTTCCTCTGCTTGCGCTTCCTCCGCTTGTGCTTCCTCTCCTTGCGCTTCCTCTGCTTGTGCTTCCTCTGCTTGCGCTTCCTATGCTTGCGCTCCTCTGCTTGTGCTTCTTCTGCCTTTGCTTCCTGCTTGTGCTTCCTCTGCTTGCGCTTCCTCTACTTGTGCTTCCTCTACTTGCGCTTCCACTGCTTGCGCTTCCTCTACTTGCGCTTCCTCTGTTTGTGCTTTCTCTGCTTGGGCTTCCTCTGCTTGCGCTTCTCAGCTTCTGCTTCCTCCACTTGTGCTTCCTGCTTGTGCTTCCTCTGCTTGCGCTTCCTCTGCTTACGCTTTCTCTGCTTGCGCTTCCTCTGCTTGCGCTTCCTCTGCTTGTGCTTTCTCTGCTTGGGCTTCCTCTGCTTGGGCTTCTCTGCTTCTGCTTCCTCTACTTGTGCTTCCTGCTTGTGCTTCCTCTGCTTGCGCTTCCTCTGCTTGCGCTTCCTCTGCTTGCGCTTCCTCTGCTTGCTCTTCCTTTGCTTACGCTTCCTCTGCCTGCGCTTCCTCTGCTTGTGCTTCCTCTACTTGCGCTTCCTCTGCCTGCGCTTCCTATGCTTGCGCTTCCTCTTCTTGCGCTTCCTCTGCGTACGCTTCCTCTGCTTGTGCTTCCTCTGCTTGCTCTTCCTTTGCTTACGCTTCCTCTGCTTGCGCTCCTCTGCTTGTGCTTCCTCTGCTTGTGCTTCCTCTGCTTGCTCTTCCTCTGCTTGTGCTTCCTCTGCTTGTGCTTCCTCTGCTTGTGCATCCTTTGCTTGCGCTTCCTCTGCTTGCGCTCCTCTGCTTGTGCTTCCTCTGCTTGCGCTTCCTCTGCTTGCGCTCCTCTGCTTGTGCTTCCTCTGCTTGCGCTTCCTCTGCTTGTGCTTCCTCTGCTTGCGCTTCCTCTGCTTGTGCTTCCTCTGCTTGCGCTTCCTCTGCTTGCGCTTCCTCTACTTGCGCTTCCTCTGCTTGCGCTTCCTCTCCTTGCGCTTTCTCTGCTTATGCCTCCTCTGCTTATGCTTCCTGAGCTTGTGCTTCCTCTGCTTGCGCTTCCTCTGCTTGTGCTTCCTCTGCTTACGCTTCCTCTGCTTGCGCTTCCTTTACTTGCGCTTCCTCTGCTTGCGCTTCCTCTGCTTGCGCTTCCTCTGCTTGCGCTTCCTCTACTTGCGCTTCCTCTGCTTGCGCTTCCTCTGCTTGCGCTTTCTCTGCTTGGGCTCCTTTGCTTGTGCTTCCTCTGCTTGTGCTTCCTCTGCTTGCGCTTCCTCTGCTTGTGCTTCCTCTTCTTGTGCTTCCTCTACTTCCGCTTCCTCTGCTTGTGCTTCCTCTGCTTGCGCTTCCTCTGCTTGCGCTTCTTCTGCTTCTGGTTCCTCTGCTTGTGCTTCCTCTGCTTGTGCTTTCTCCACTTGCGCTTCCTTTGTTTGCGCTTCTTCTGCTTGTGCTCTTTGGTTGTCCTTCCTCTGCTTGTGCTTCCTCTGCTTGCGCTTCCTCTGCTTCTGCTTCCTCTGCTTGCGCTTCCGCTGCTTATGCTTCCTCTGCTTGCGCTTCCTCTACTTGCGCTCCTCTGCTTCTGCTTCCTCTGCTTGTGCTTCCTCTTCTTGTGCTTCCTCTGCTTGCTCTTCCTCTGCTTACGCTCCTCTACTTGCGCTTCCTTTGCTTGTGCTTCCTCTACTTGCGCTTCCTCTGCTTGTGCTTCCTCTCCTGGCGCTTCCTCTGCTTGTGCTTCCTCTGCTTGCGCTTCCACTACTTACGCTTCCTCTGCTTGTGCTTCCTCTGCTTGCTCCTCCTTTGCTTACGCTTCCTTTGCCTGCGCTCCTCTGCTTGTGCTGCCTCTGCTTGTGCTTCCTCTGCTTGTGCTTCCTGTGCTTGTGCTTCCTCTACTTGCGCTACCTTTGCTAGTGCTTCCTCTGCTTGTGCTTCCTCTGCTTGCGCTCCTCTGCTTGTGCTTCCTCTTCTAACAATTCCTCTGCTTGCACTTCCTGTGCTTGCTCTTCCTCTATTTGCGCTTCCTCTGCTTGCGCTTCCTCTACTTGCGCTCCTCTGCTTGTGCTTCCTCTGCTTGCGCTTCCTCTGCTTGTGCTTCCTCTGCTTGCGCTTCCTCTGCTTGTGCTTCCTCTTCTTGCGCTTCCTCTGCTTGCGCTTCCTCTGCTTGCGCTTTTTCTGCTTGTGCTTCCTCTGCTTATGCTTCCTCTGCTTGTGCTTCCTCTGCTTGCGCTTCCTCTACTTGTGCTTCCTCTGCTTACGCTTCCTCTGCTTGCGCTTCCTCTGCTTGCGCTTCCTCTGCTTGTTCTTCCTCTGCTTGCGCTTCCTCTGCTTGCACTTCCTCTGCTTGTGCTCCTCTGCTTGCGCTTCCTATGCTTGCGCTCCTCTGCTTGCGCTTCCTCTGCTTACGCTTCCTATACTTGCGCTTCCTTTGCTTGTGCTTCGTCTGCTTGTGCTTCCTCTGCTTGTGCTTCCTCTACTTACGCTTCCTCTGCTTGCGCTTCCTCTACTTGTGCTCCTCTGCTTGTGCTTCCTCTGCTTGTGCTTCCTCTACTTGCGCTTCCTCTTCTTGTGCTTCCTCTGCTCCCGCTTCCTCTGCTTGCGCTCCTCTGCTTCTGCTTTCTCTGCTTGTGCTTCCTGCATGTGCTTCCTCCGCTTGCGCTTCCTCTGCTTACGCTTCCTCTGCTTGCGCTTCCTCTGCTTGCGCTTCCTCTACTTGCGCTTCCTCTTCTTGCACTTCCTCTGCTTACGCTTCCTCTGCTTGTGCTTCCCCTGCTTGCTCTTCCTTTGCTTACGCTTCCTCTGCTTGCGCTCCTCTGCTTGCGCTTCCTCTGCTTGTGCTTCCTCTGCTTGCGCTTCCTCTGCTTGTGCTTCCTCTCCTTGCGCTTCCTCTGATTGTGCTTCCTCTGCTTGTGCTTCCTCTGCTTGCGCTCCTCTGCTTGTGCTTCCTCTGCTTGTGCTTCCTGCTTGTGCTTCCTCTGCTTGCGCTTCCTCTGCTTGTGCTTCCTCTACTTGCGCTTCCACTGCTTGCGCTTCCTCTTCTTGCGCTTCCACTGCTTACGCTTCTTCTGCTTGTGCTTCCTCTGCTTGCTCTTCCTTTGCTTACGCTTCCTCTGCCTGCGCTCCTCTGCTTGTGCTTCCTCTGCTTGTGCTTCCTCTGCTTGCGCTTCCTCTGCTTGTGCTTCCTCTACTTGCGCTTCCTCTGCTTGTGCTTTCTCTGCTTGGGCTTCCTCTGCTTGCGCTTCTCTGCTTCGGCTTCCTCTACTTGTGCTTCCTGCTTGTGCTTCCTCTGCTTGCGCTTCCTCTGCTTACGCTTTCTCTGCTTGCGCTTCCTCTGCTTGCGCTTCCTCTGCTTGCGCTTCCTCTTCTTGCGCTTCCTCTGCTTACGCTTCCTCTGCTTGTGCTTCCTCTGCTTGCTCTTCCTTTGCTTACGCTTCCTCTGCTTGCGCTCCTTTGCTTGCGCTTCCTCTGCTTGTGCTTCCTCTGCTTGCGCTTCCTTTGCTTATGCTTCCTCTCCTTGCGCTTCCTCTGCTTGTGCTTCCTCTGCTTGCGCTTCCTATGCTTGCGCTCCTCTGCTTGTGCTTCTTCTGCCTCTGCTTCCTGCTTGTGCTTCCTCTGCTTGCGCTTCCTCTACTTGTGCTTCCTCTACTTGCGCTTCCACTGCTTGCGCTTCCTCTACTTGCGCTTCCTCTGCTTGTGCTTTCTCTGCTTGGGCTTCCTCTGCTTGCGCTTCTCTGCTTCTGCTTCCTCCACTTGTGCTTCCTGCTTGTGCTTCCTCTGCTTGCGCTTCCTCTGCTTACGCTTTCTCTGCTTGCGCTTCCTCTGCTTGCGCTTCCTCTGCTTGTGCTTTCTCTGCTTGGGCTTCCTCTGCTTGCGCTTCTCTGCTTCTGCTTCCTCTACTTGTGCTTCCTGCTTGTGCTTCCTCTGCTTGCGCTTCCTCTGCTTGCGCTTCCTCTGCTTGCGCTTCCTCTGCTTGCTCTTCCTTTGCTTACGCTTCCTCTGCCTGCGCTTCCTCTGCTTGTGCTTCCTCTACTTGCACTTCCTCTGCTTGCGCTTCCTCTGCTTGTGCTTCCTCTACTTGCGCTCCTCTGCTGGTGCTTCCTCTGCTTGCGATTCCTCTGCTTGCGCTTCCTCTTCTTGCGCTTCCTCTACTTGTGCTTCCTCTGCTTGTGCTTCCTCTGCTTGCGCTTCCTCTACTTGCGCTTCCTCTGTCAGAATATTATCTTATTGTTCTAGCCTGTAGTGGGGTGCTCTATAGCGAGTACAACCCTTCTAGGGTTTGCTATTTGTATCCTCATTCTTGCTAGTTCAATCCTCTTTCTTTCTTCTAATTTTGACATCCTCTGCTTGCGCTTCCTCTGCTTGCGCTTCCTCTGCTTGTGCTCCTCTGCTTGCACTTCCTCTGCTTGTGCTTCCTCTGCTTGCGCTTCCTCTGCTTGCGCTTCCTCTCCTTGCGCTTCCTCTGCTTGCGCTTCCTCTACTTGCGCTCCTCTGCTTGTGCTTCTTCTGCTTGTGCTTCCTGCTTGTGCTTCCTGCTTGCGCTTCCTCTGCTTGTGCTTCCTCTACTTGCGCTTCCTCTGCTTGTGCTTCCTCTGCTTGTGCTTCCTCTGCTTGCGCTTCCTCTGCTTGTGCTTCCTCTGCTTGCGCTTCCTCTAATTGCGCTTCCTCTGCTTGCGCTTCCTCTGCTTGCGCTTCCTCTGCTTGTGCTCCTCTGCTTGCGCTTCCTCTGCTTGTGCTTCCTCTGCTTGCGCTTCCTCTGCTTGCGCTTCCTCTCCTTGCGCTTCCTCTGCTTGCGCTTCCTCTGCTTGCGCTCCTCTGCTTGTGCTTCCTCTCCTTGTGCTTCCTCTGCTTGTGCTTCCTCTGCATGTGCTGCCTCTGCTTGCGCTTTCTCTGCTTGTGATCCCTCTGCTTGCGCTTCCTCAGCTTGGGCTTCCTTTGCTTGGGCTCCTGTGCTTGCACTCCCTCTACTTGCACTTCCTCTTCTTGTGCTTCCTGTGCTTGTGCTTCCTCTACTTGTGCTTCCTCTACTTGCGCTTCCTCTTCTTGTGCTTCCTCTGCTTGAACTTCCTCTACTTGCGCTTCCTCTGCTTGCGCTCCTCTGCTTGTGCTTCCTCTGCTTGTGCTTCCTCTGCATGCGCTTCTTCTAGTTGTGCTTCCGCTGCTTGTGCTTCCTCTGCTTGTGCTTCCTCTGCTTGCGCTTCCTCTGCTTGCGCTTCCTCTGCTTGCGCTTCCTCTGCTTGGGCTCCTCTGCTTGTGCTTCCTCTGCTTGTGCTTCCTCTGCTTGCGCTTCCTCTGCTTGTGCTTCTTCTGCTTGTGCTTCCTCTCCTTGCGCTTCCCCTGCTTGTGCTTCCTCTGCTTGCGCTTCCTCTGCTTGCGCTTCCGCTGCTTGTGCTTCCTCTGCTTGTGCTTCCTCTGCTTGTTCTTCCTCTGCTTGCGTTTCCTCTGCTTAAGCTTCCTCTGCTTGCGCTTCCTCTGCTTGCGCTCCTCTGGTTGTGCTTCCTCTGCTTGTGCTTCCTCTGCTTGCGCTTCCTCTGCTTGTGCTTCCTCTGCTTTCGCTTCTTCTGCTTGTGCTTCCTCTGCTCGTGCTTCCTCTGCTTGCGCTCCTCTGCTTGTGCTTCCTCTGCTTGTGCTTCCTGCTTGTGCTTCCTCTGCTTGCGCTTCCTATGCTTGTGCTTCCTCTACTTGCGCTTCCTCTGCTTGCGCTTCCTCTGCTTGCGCTTCCTCTTCTTGCGCTTCCTCTGCTTACGCTACCTCTGCTTGTGCTTCCTCTGCTTGCTCTTCCTTTGCTTACGCTTCCTCTTCTTGCGCTCCTCTGCTTGTGCGTTCTCTGCTTGTGCTTCCTCTGCTTGCGCTTCCTCCGCTTGTGCATCCTCTACTTGCGCTTCCTCTGCTTGTGCTTCCTCTGCTTGCGCTTCCTCTGCTTGCGCTCCTCTGCTTGTGCTTCCTGTGCTTGTGCTTCCTGCTTGTGCTTCCTCTACTTGCGCTTCCTCTGCTTGTGCTTCCTCTACTTGCGCTTCCTCTTCTTGCGCTTTCTGTGCTTACGCTTCTTCTGCTTGTGCTTCCTCTGCTTGCTCTTCCTTTGCTTACGCTTCCTCTGCCTGCGCTTCTCTGCTTGTGCTTCCTCTGCTTTTGCTTCCTTTGCTTGTGCTTCCTCTGCTTGTGCTTCCTTTGCTTACGCTTCCTCAGCTTGCGCTCCTCTGCTTGTGCTTCCTCTGCTTGTGCTTCCTCTGCTTGCGCTTCCTTTGCTTGTGCATCCTCTACTTGCGCTTCCTCTGCTTGTGCTTCCTCTGCTTGCGCTTCCTCTGCTTGCGCTCCTCTGCTTGTGCTTCCTCTGCTTGTGCTTCCTGCTTGTGCTTCCTCTACTTGCGTTTCCTCTGCTTGTGCTTTCTCTACTTGCACTTCCTCTGCTTGCGCTTCCTGTGCTTGCGCTTCCTCTTCTTGCGCTTCCTGTGCTTACGCTTCCTGTGCTTGTGCTTCCTCGGCTTGCTCATCCTTTGCTTACGCTTCCTCTGCCTGCGCTCCTCTGCTTGTGCTTCCTCTGCTTGTGCTTCCTTTGCTTGCGTTTCCTCTGCTTGTGCTTCCTCTACTTGCGCTTCCTCTGCTTGTGCTTCCTCTGCTTGCGCTTCCTCTGCTTGCGCTCCTCTGCTTGTGCTTCCTCTGCTTGCGATTCCTCTGCTTGCGCTTCCTCTGCTTGCGCTTCCTCTGCTTGCGCTTCCTCTGCTTCCGCTGCCTCTGCTTGCGCTTCCTCTGCTTGCGCTTCCTGTGCTTGCGCTTCCCCTGCTTGCGCTTCCTCTGCTTGCGCTTCCTCTGCTTGCGCTTCCTTTGCTTGCGCTTCCTCTGCTTGCGCTTCCTATGCTTGCGCTTCCTCTGCTTGGGCTCCTTTGCTTGTGCTTCCTCTACTTGTGCTTCCTTTGCTTGTGCTTCCTCTGCTTCTGCTTCCTCTGCTTGTGCTTCCTCTGCTTGTGCTTCCTCTGCTTGTGCTTCCTCTTCTTGTGCTTCCTCTGCTTGTGCTTCCTCTGCTTGTGCTTCCTCTTCTTGTGCTTCCTCTGCTTGCGCTTCCTTTGCTTGCGCTCCTGTGCTCCTGCTTCCTCTACTTGTGCTTCCTGCTTGTGCTTCCTCTGCTTGCGCTTCCTCTGCGCTTCCTCTGCTTGCGCTTCCTCTGCTTGCACTTCCTCTGCTTGCGCTTCCTCTTCTTGCGCTTCCTCAGCTTATGCTTCCTCTGATTCTGCTTCCTCATCTTGCTCTTCCTTTGCTTACGCTTCCTCTGCTTGCGCTCCTCTGCTTGTGCTTCCTCTGCTTGTGCTTCCTTTCCTTGCAATTCCTCTGCTTGTGCTTCCTCTGCTTGCGCTTCCTCTGCTTGCGCTCCTCTACTTGTGCTTCCTCTGCTTGTGCTTCCTGCTTGTGCTTCCTCTGCTTGTGCTTCCTCTGCTTGTGCTTCCTCTACTTGCGCTTCCTCTTCTTGCGCTTCCTTTGCTTGCGCTTCCTCCTCTTACGCTTCCTCTGCTTGTGCTTCCTCTGCTTGCTCTTCCTTTGCTTACGCTTCCTCAGTTTGCGCTCCTCTTCTTGTGCTTCCTCTGCTTGTGCGTCCTCTACTTGTGCTTCCTCTGCTTGTGCTTCCTCTACTTGCGCTTCTTCTGCTTGTGCTTCCTCTGCTTGTGCTTCCTCTTCTTGCGCTCCTCTACTTGTGCTTCCTCTGCTTGCGATTCCTCTGCTTGCGCTTCCTCTGCCTTCGCTTCCTCTACTTGCGCTCCTCTGCTTGTGCTTCCTCTGCTTGTGCTTCCTCTGCTTGCTCTTCCTTTGCTTACGCTTCCTCTGCCTGCGCTCCTCTGCTTATGCTTCCTCTGCTTGTGCTTCCTCTGCTTGCGCTTCCTCTGCTTGTGCTTCCTCTACTTGCACTTCCTCTGCTTGTGCTTCCTCTTCTTGTGCTTCCTCTACTTGCGCTCCTCGGCTTGTGCTTCCTCTGCTTGCGCTTCCTCTAATTGCGCTTCCTCTGCTTGCGCTTCCTCTGCTTGCGCTTCCTCTGCTTGTGCTCCTCTGCTTGCGCTTCCTCTGCTTGTGCTTCCTCTGCTTGCGCTTCCTCTGCTTGCGCTTCCTCTCCTTGCGCTTCCTCTGCTTGCGCTTCCTCTGCTTGCGCTCCTCTGCTTGTGCTTCCTCTCCTTGTGCTTCCTCTGCTTGTGCTTCCTCTGCTTGTGCTGCCTCTGCTTGCGCTTCCTCTGCTTGTGATCCCTCTGCTTGCGCTTCCTCAGCTTGGGCTTCCTTTGCTTGGGCTCCTGTGCTTGCACTCCCTCTACTTGCACGTCCTCTTCTTGCGCTTCCTGTGCTTGTGCTTCCTCTGCTTGTGCTTCCTCTACTTGCGCTTCCTCTTCTTGTGCTTCCTCTGCTTGAACTTCCTCTACTTGCGCTTCCTCTGCTTGCGCTCCTCTGCTTGTGCTTCCTCTGCTTGTGCTTCCTCTGCTTGCGCTTCTTCTAGTTGTGCTTCCGCTGCTTGTGCTTCCTCTGCTTGTGCTTCCTCTGCTTGCGCTTCCTCTGCTTGCGCTTCCTCTGCTTGCGCTTCCTCTACATGTGCTTCCTTTGCTTGGGCTCCTCTGCTTGTGCGTCCTCTGCTTGTGCTTCCTCTGCTTGCGCTTCCTCTACTTGTGCTTCCTCTGCTTGTGCTTCCTCTGCTTGCGCTTCCTCTGCTTGCGCTTCCTCTGCTTCCACTTCCTCTGCTTGTGCTTCCTCTGCTTGCGCTTCCTCTGCTTGTGCTTCCTCTATTTGCGCTTCCTCTGCTTGCGCTTCCTCTATTTGCGCTTCCTCTTCTTGCGCTTCCATTGCTTACGCTTCCTCTGCTTGTGCTTCCTCTGCTTGCTCTTCCTTTGCTTACGCTTCCTCTGCCTGCGCTCCTCTGCTTGTGCTTCCTCTGCTTGTGCTTCCTCTGCTTGCGCTTCCTCTGCTTGTGCTTCCTCTGCTTGCGCTTCCTCTGCCTGCGCTTCCTCTGCTTGTGCTTCCTCTACTTGCGCTTCCTCTTCTTGTGCTTCCTCTGCTTGAACTTCCTCTACTTGCGCTTCCTCTGCTTGCGCTCCTCTGCTTGTGCTTCCTCTGCTTGTGGTTCCTCTGCTTGCGCTTCTTCTAGTTGTGCTTCCGCTGCTTGTGCTTCCTCTGCTTGTGCTTCCTCTGCTTGCGCTTCCTCTGCTTGCGCTTCCTCTGCTTGCGCTTCCTCTGCTTGGGCTCCTCTGCTTGTGCTTCCTCTGCTTGTGCTTCCTCTGCTTGCGCTTCCTCTGCTTGTGCTTCTTCTGCTTGTGCTTCCTCTCCTTGCGCTTCCCCTGCTTGTGCTTCCTCTGCTTGCGCTTCCTCTGCTTGCGCTTCCGCTGCTTGTGCTTCCTCTGCTTGTGCTTCCTCTGCTTGTGCTTCCTCTGCTTGCGTTTCCTCTGCTTAAGCTTCCTCTGCTTGCGCTTCCTCTGCTTGCGCTCCTCTGGTTGTGCCTCCTCTGCTTGTGCTTCCTCTGCTTGCGCTTCCTCTGCTTGTGCTTCCTCTGCTTTCGCTTCTTCTGCTTGTGCTTCCTCTGCTTGTGCTTCCTCTGCTTGCGCTCCTCTGCTTGTGCTTCCTCTGCTTGTGCTTCCTGCTTGTGCTTCCTCTGCTTGCGCTTCCTATGCTTGTGCTTCCTCTACTTGCGCTTCCTCTGCTTGCGCTTCCTCTGCTTGCGCTTCCTCTTCTTGCGCTTCCTCTGCTTACGCTACCTCTGCTTGTGCTTCCTCTGCTTGCTCTTCCTTTGCTTACGCTTCCTCTTCTTGCGCTCCTCTGCTTGTGCGTTCTCTGCTTGTGCTTCCTCTGCTTGCGCTTCCTCCGCTTGTGCATCCTCTACTTGCGCTTCCTCTGCTTGTGCTTCCTCTGCTTGCGCTTCCTCTGCTTGCGCTCCTGTGCTTGTGCTTCCTCTGCTTGTGCTTCCTGCTTGTGCTTCCTCTACTTGCGCTTCGTCTGCTTGTGCTTCCTCTACTTGCGCTTCCTCTTCTTGCGCTTCCTGTACTTACGCTTCTTCTGCTTGTGCTTCCTCTGCTTGCTCTTCCTTTGCTTACGCTTCCTCTGCCTGCGCTTCTCTGCTTGTGCTTCCTCTGCTTTTGCTTCCTTTGCTTGTGCTTCCTCTGCTTGTGCTTCCTTTGCTTACGCTTCCTCAGCTTGCGCTCCTCTGCTTGTGCTTCCTCTGCTTGTGCTTCCTCTGCTTGCGCTTCCTTTGCTTGTGCATCCTCTACTTGCGCTTCCTCTGCTTGTGCTTCCTCTGCTTGCGCTTCCTCTGCTTGCGCTCCTCTGCTTGTGCTTCCTCTGCTTGTGCTTCCTGCTTGTGCTTCCTCTACTTGCGCTTCCTCTGCTTGTGCTTTCTCTACTTGCACTTCCTCTGCTTGCGCTTCCTGTGCTTGCGCTTCCTCTTCTTGCGCTTCCTGTGCTTACGCTTCCTCTGCTTGTGCTTCCTCGGCTTGCTCATCCTTTGCTTACGCTTCCTCTGCCTGCGCTCCTCTGCTTGTGCTTCCTCTGCTTGTGCTTCCTTTGCTTGCGTTTCCTCTGCTTGTGCTTCCTCTACTTGCGCTTCCTCTGCTTGTGCTTCCTCTGCTTGCGCTTCCTCTGCTTGCGCTCCTCTGCTTGTGCTTCCTCTGCTTGCGATTCCTCTGCTTGCGCTTCCTCTGCTTGCGCTTCCTCTGCTTGCGCTTCCTCTGCTTGCGCTTCCTCTGCTTGCGCTTCCTCAGTTTGCGCTCCTCTTCTTGTGCTTCCTCTGCTTGTGCGTCCTCTACTTGTGCTTCCTCTGCTTGTGCTTCCTCTACTTGCGCTTCTTCTGCTTGTGCTTCCTCTGCTTGTGCTTCCTCTTCTTGCGCTCCTCTACTTGTGCTTCCTCTGCTTGCGATTCCTCTGCTTGCGCTTCCTCTGCCTTCGCTTCCTCTACTTGCGCTCCTCTGCTTGTGCTTCCTCTGCTTGTGCTTCCTCTGCTTGCTCTTCCTTTGCTTACGCTTCCTCTGCCTGCGCTCCTCTGCTTGCACTTCCTCTGCTTGGCCTTCCTCTGCTTGCACTTCCTCTGCTTGTGCTTCCTCTACTTGCGCTCCTCTGCTTGTGCTTCCTTTGCTTGCGCTTCCTATGCTTGCGCTTCCTCTGCTTGGGCTCCTTTGCTTGTGCTTCCTCTGCTTGTGCTTCCTTTGATTGTGCTTCCTCTGCTTGTGCTTCCTCTGCTTGTGCTTCCTCTGCTTGTGCTTCCTCTGCTTGTGCTTCCTCTGCTTGCGCTTCCTCTGCTTGTGCTTCCTCTGCTTGCACTTCCTTTGCTTGCGCTCCTCTGCTCCTGCTTCCTCTGCTTGTGCTTCCTGCTTGTGCTTCCTCTGCTTGCGCTTCCTCTGCTTACGCTTCCTCTGCTTGCGCTTCCTCTGCTTGCACTTCCTCTGCTTGCGCTTCCTCTTCTTGCGCTTCCTCAGCTTATGCTTCCTCTGATTGTGCTTCCTCATCTTGCTCTTCCTTTGCTTACGCTTCCTCTGCTTGCGCTCCTCTGCTTGGGCTTCATCTGCTTGTGCTTCCTTTCGTTGCAATTCCTCTGTTTTTGCTTCCTCTGCTTGCGCTTCCTCTGCTTGCGCTCCTCTACTTGTGCTTCCTCTGCTTGTGCTTCCTGCTTGTGCTTCCTCTACTTGTGCTTCCTCTGCTTGTGCTTCCTCTACTTGCGCTTCCTCTGCTTGCGCTTCCTTTGCTTGCGCTTCCTCCTCTTGCGCTTCCTCTGCTTATGCTTCCTCTGCTTGTGCTTCCTCTGCTTGCTCTTCCTTTGCTTACGCTTCCTCAGCCTGCGCTCCTCTGCTTGTGCTTCCTCTGCTTGTGCGTCCTCTACTTGCGCTTCCTCTGCTTGTGCTTCCTCTACTTGCGCTTCTTCTGCTTGTGCTTCCTCTGCTTGTGCTTCCTGTGCTTGCGCTCCTCTGCTTGTGCTTCCTCTGCTTGCGATTCCTCTGCTTGCGCTTCCTCTGCTTTCGCTTCCTCTACTTGCGCTCCTCTGCTTGTGCTTCGTCTGCTTGTGCTTCCTCTGCTTGCTCTTCTTTTGCTTACGCTTCCTCTGCCTGCGCTCCTCTGCTTATGCTTCCTCTGCTTGTGCTTCCTCTGCTTGCGCTTCCTCTTCTTGTGCTTCCTCTACTTGCACTTCCTCTGCTTGTGCTTCCTCTTCTTGTGCTTCCTCTACTTGCGCTCCTCTGCTTGTGCTTCCTCTGCTTGTGCTTCCTCTGCTTGTGCTTCCTCTTCTTGTGCTTCCTCTGCTTGCGCTTCCTCTGCTATCGCTTCCTCTGGTTGTGACTCCTCTGCTTGCGCTTCCTCTACTTGCGCTTCCTCTACTTGAGCTTCCTCTGCTTGGGCATCCTCTGCTTGCGCTTCCTCTGCTTGCACTTCCTCTGCTTGCGCTTCCTCTTCTTGCGCTCCTCTGCTTGTGCTTCCTCTGCTTGTGCTTCCTCTGCTTGCGCTTCCTCTGCTTGTGCTTCTTCTGCTTCCGCTTCCTCTACTTGTGCTTCCTCTACTTGCGCTTCCTTTGCTTGTTCTTCCTCTTCTTTTGCTTCCTCTTCTTGCGCTTCCTCTGCTAGTGCTTCCTCTGCTTACACTTCCTCTGCTTGCGCTTCCTCTTCTCGCGCTTCCTCTGCTTGTGCTTCCTCAACTTGTGCTTCCTTTGCTTGCGCTTCCTCTGGTTGTGACTCCTCATGTTCCGCTTCCTCTGCTTGCGCTTTCTCTGCTTGTGCTTCCTCTTCTTGCCCTTCCTCTGCTTGCCCTTCCTCTGCTTGTGCTTCCTCTTCTTACGCTTACTCTGCTTGCGCTTCCTCTGCTCACGCTTCCTCTGATTGTGCTTCCTCTGCTTGTGCTTCCTCTGCTTGTGCTTCCTCAACTTGCGCTTCCTCTGCTTGCGCTTCCTCTGGTTGTGACTCCTTAGCTCCCGCTTCCTCTGCTTGCATTTCCTCTGCTTGTGCTTCCTCTTCTTGCACTTCCTCTGTTTGCGCTTCCTCTGCTTGCGCTCCTCTCCTTGTGCTTCCTCTGCTTATGCTTCCTCTGCTTGCGTTTCCTCTGCTTGTGCTTCTTCAGCTTCCGCTTCCTTTGCTTGTTCTTCCTCTGCTTGTGCTTCCTCTGCTTGTGCTTCCTGCTTGTGCTTCCTCTACTTGTGCTTCCTCTGCTTGTGCTTCCTCTACTTGCGCTTCCTCTGCTTGCGCTTCCTTTGCTTGCGCTTCCTCCTCTTGCGCTTCCTCTGCTTACGCTTCCTCTGCTTGTGCTTCCTCTGCTTGCTCTTCCTTTGCTTACGCTTCCTCAGCCTGCGCTCCTATGCTTGTGCTTCCTCTGCTTGTGCGTCCTCTACTTGCGCTTCCTCTGCTTGTGCTTCCTCTACTTGCGCTTCTTCTGCTTGTGCTTCCTCTGCTTGTGCTTCCTCTGCTTGCGCTCCTCTGCTTGTGCTTCCTCTGCTTGCGATTCCTCTGCTTGCGCTTCCTCTGCTTTCGCTTCCTCTACTTGCGCTCCTCTGCTTGTGCTTCCTCTGCTTGTGCTTCCTCTGCTTGCTCTTCCTTTGCTTACGCTTCCTCTGCCTGTGCTCCTCTGCTTATGCTTCCTCTGCTTGTGCTTCCTCTGCTTGCGCTTCCTCTGCTTGTGCTTCCTCTACTTGCACTTCCTCTGCTTGTGCTTCCTCTTCTTGTGCTTCCTCTACTTGCGCTCCTCTGCTTGTGCTTTCTCTACTTGTGCTTCCTCTGCTTGTGCTTCCTCTTCTTGTGCTTCCTCTGCTTGCGCTTCCTCTGCTTTCGCTTCCTCTAGTTGTGACTCCTCTGCTTGTGCTTCCTCTACTTGCGCTTCCTCTACTTGCGCTTCCTCTGCTTGGGCATCCTCTGCTTGCGCTTCCTCTGCTTGCACTTCCTCTGCTTGCGCTTCCTCTTCTTGCGCTCCTCTGCTTGTGCTTCCTCTGCTTGTGCGTCCTCTACTTGCGCTTCCTCTGCTTGTGCTTCCTTTACTTGCGCTTCTTCTGCTTGTGCTTCCTCTGCTTGTGCTTCCTCTGCTTGCGCTCCTCTGCTTGTGCTTCCTCTGCTTGCGATTCCTCTGCTTGCGCTTCCTTTGCTTTTGCTTCCTCTACTTGCGCTCCTCTGCTTGTGCTTCCTCTGCTTGTGCTTCCTCTACTTGCTCTTCCTTTGCTTACGCTTCCTCTGCCTGCGCTACTCTTCTTATGCTTCCTCTGCTTGTGCTTCCTCTGCTTGCGCTTCCTCTGCTTGTGCTTCCTCTACTTGCACTTCCTCTGCTTGTGCTTCCTCTTCTTGTGCTTCCTCTACTTGCGCTCCTCTGCTTGTGCTTTCTCTACTTGTGCTTCCTCTGCTTGTGCTTCCTCTTCTTGTGCTTCCTCTGCTTGCGCTTCCTTTGCTTTCGCTTCCTCTGGTTGTGACTCCTCTGCTTGTGCTTCCTCTACTTGCGCTTCCTCTACTTGCGCTTCCTCTGCTTGGGCATCCTCTGCTTGCGCTTCCTCGGCTTGCACTTCCTCTGCTTGCGCTTCCTCTTCTTGCGCTCCTCTGCTTGTGCTTCCTCTGCTTGTGCTTCCTCTGCTTGCGCTTTCTCTGCTTGTGCTTCCTCTGCTTACGCTTCCTCTGCTTGCGCTTCCTCTGCTCACGCTTCCTGTGCCTGTGCTTCCTCTGCTTGTGCATCCTCTGCTTGCGCTTCCTCTGCTTGCACTTCCTCTGCTTGCGCTTCCTCTTCTTGCGCTCCTCTACTTGTGCTTCCTCTGCTTACGCTTCCTCTGCTTGCGCTTCCTCTGCTCACGCTTCCTCTGCTTGTGCTTCCTCTGCTTGCGCTTCCTCTGCTTGCGCTTCCTCTGGTTGTGACTTCTCAGCTCCCGCTTCCTCTGCTTGCATTTCCTCTGCTTGTGCTTCCTCTTCTTGCGCTTCCTCTGTTTGCGCTTCCTCTGCTTGCGCTCCTCTGCTTGTGCTTCCTCTGCTTGTGCTTCCTTTGCTTGCGTTTCCTCTGCTTGTGCTTCTTCAGCTTCCGCTTCCTTTGCTTGTTCTTCCTCTGCTTGTGCTTCCTTTCGTTGCAATTCCTCTGTTTTTGCTTCCTCTGCTTGCGCTTCTTCTGCTTGCGCTCCTCTACTTGTGCTTCCTCTGCTTGTGCTTCCTGCTTGTGCTTCCTCTACTTGTGCTTCCTCTGCTTGTGCTTCCTCTACTTGCGCTTCCTCTGCTTGCGCTTCCTTTGCTTGCGCTTCCTCCTCTTGCGCTTCCTCTGCTTATGCTTCCTCTGCTTGTGCTTCCTCTGCTTGCTCTTCCTTTGCTTACGCTTCCTCAGCCTGCGCTCCTCTGCTTGTGCTTCCTCTGCTTGTGCTTCCTCTACTTGCGCTTCCTCTGCTTGTGCTTCCTCTACTTGCGCTTCTTCTGCTTGTGCTTCCTCTGCTTGTGCTTCCTGTGCTTGCGCTCCTCTGCTTGTGCTTCCTCTGCTTGCGATTCCTCTGCTTGCGCTTCCTCTGCTTTCGCTTCCTCTACTTGCGCTCCTCTGCTTGTGCTTCCTCTGCTTGTGCTTCCTCTGCTTGCTCTTCTTTTGCTTACGCTTCCTCTGCCTGCGCTCCTCTGCTTATGCTTCCTCTGCTTGTGCTTCCTCTGCTTGCGCTTCCTCTGCTTGTGCTTCCTCTACTTGCACTTCCTCTGCTTGTGCTTCCTCTTCTTGTGCTTCCTCTACTTGCGCTCCTCTGCTTGTGGTTCCTCTGCTTGTGCTTCCTCTGCTTGTGCTTCCTCTTCTTGTGCTTCCTCTGCTTGCGCTTCCTCTGCTATCGCTTCCTCTGGTTGTGACTCCTCTGCTTGCGCTTCCTCTACTTGCGCTTCCTCTACTTGCGCTTCCTTTGCTTGGGCATCCTCTGCTTGCACTTCCTCTGCTTGCACTTCCTCTGCTTGCGCTTCCTCTTCTTGCGCTCCTCTGCTTGTGCTTCCTCTGCTTGTGCTTCCTCTGCTTGCGCTTCCTCTGCTTGTGCTTCTTCTGCTTCCGCTTCCTCTACTTGTGCTTCCTGTGCTTGCGCTTCCTTTGCTTGTTCTTCCTCTTCTTGTGCTTCCTCTTCTTGCGCTTCCTCTGCTAGTGCTTCCTCTGCTTACACTTCCTCTGCTTGCGCTTCCTCTTCTCGCGCTTCCTCTGCTTGTGCTTCCTTTGCTTGTGCTTCTTCTGCTTGTGCTTCCTCAACTTGTGCTTTCTCTGCTTGCGCTTCCTCTGGTTGTGACTCCTCACGTTCCGCTTCCTCTGCTTGCGCTTTCTCTGCTTGTGCTTCCTCTTCTTGCCCTTCCTCTGCTTGCCCTTCCTCTGCTTGTGCTCCTCTGCTTGTGCTTCCTCTGCTTGTGCTTCCTCTGCTTGCGCTTCCTCTGCTTGTGCTTCCTCTACTTACGCTTCCTTTGCTTGCGCTTCCTCTGCTCACGCTTCCTCTGCTTGTGCTTCCTCTGCTTGTGCTTCCTCTGCTTGTGCTTCCTCAACTTGCGCTTCCTCTGCTTGCGCTTCCTCTGGTTGTGACTCCTCAGCTCCCGCTTCCTCTGCTTGCATTTCCTCTGCTTGTGCTTCCTCTTCTTGCGCTTCCTCTGTTTGCGCTTCCTCTGCTTGCGCTCCTCTGCTTGTGCTTCCTCTGCTTGTGCTTCCTCTGCTTGCATTTCCTCTGCTTGCGCTTCCTCTGCTTGCATTTCTTCTTCAGCTTCCGCTTCCTTTGCTTGTTCTTCCTCTGCTTGTGCTTCCTCTGCTTGTGCTTCCTGCTTGTGCTTCCTCTACTTGTGCTTCCTCTGCTTGTGCTTCCTCTACTTGCGCTTCCTCTGCTTGCGCTTCCTTTGCTTGCGCTTCCTCCTCTTGCGCTTCCCCTGCTTACGCTTCCTCTGCTTGTGCTTCCTCTGCTTGCTCTTCCTTTGCTTACGCTTCCTCAGCCTGCGCTCCTCAGCCTGCGCTTCCTCTGCTTGTGCTTTCTCTACTTGCACTTCTTCTGCTTGTGCTTCCTCTGCTTGTGCTTCCTCTGCTTGCGCTCCTCTGCTTGTGCTTCCTCTGCTTGCGATTCCTCTGCTTGCGCTTCCTCTGCTTTCGCTTCCTCAACTTGCGCTCCTCTGCTTGTGCTTCCTCTGCTTGTGCTTCCTCCGCTTGCTCTTCCTTTGCTTACGCTTCCTCTGCCTGCGCTCCTCTGCTTATGCTTCCTCTGCTTGTGCTTCCTCTGCTTGCGCTTCCTCTGCTTGTGCTTCCTCTACTTGCACTTCCTCTGCTTGTGCTTCCTCTTCTTGTGCTTCCTCTACTTGCGCTCCTCTGCTTGTGCTTCCTCTACTTGTGCTTCCTCTGCTTGTGCTTCCTCTTCTTGTGCTTCCTCTGCTTGCGCTTCCTCTGCTTTCGCTTCCTCTGGTTGTGACTCCTCTGCTTGTGCTTCCTCTACTTGCGCTTCCTCTACTTGCGCTTCCTCTGCTTGGGCATCCTCTGCTTGCGCTTCCTCTGCTTGCACTTCCTCTGCTTGCGCTTCCTCTTCTTGCGCTCCTCTGCTTGTGCTTCCTCTGCTTGTGCTTCCTCTGCTTGCGCTTCCTCTGCTTGTGCTTCTTCTGCTTACGCTTCCTCTGCTTGCGCTTCCTCTGCTCACGCTTCCTCTGCTTGTGCTTCCTCTGCTTGTGCTTCCTCTGCTTGTGCTTCCTCAACTTGCGCTTCCTCTGCTTGCGCTTCCTCTGGTTGTGACTTCTCAGCTCCCGCTTCCTCTGCTTGCATTTCCTCTGCTTGTGCTTCCTCTTCTTGCGCTTCCTCTGTTTGCGCTTCCTCTGCTTGCGCTCCTCTGCTTGTGCTTCCTCTACTTGTGCTTCCTTTGCTTGCGTTTCCTCTGCTTGTGCTTCTTCAGCTTCCGCTTCCTTTGCTTGTTCTTCCTCTGCTTGTGCTTCCTCTGCTTGCGCTTCCTCTGCTTGCGCTTCCTATGCTTGCGCTTCCTCTGCTTGGGCTCCTTTGTTTGTGCTTCCTCTGCTTGTGCTTCCTTTGCTTGTGCTTCCTCTGCTTGTGCTTCCTCTACTTGTGCTTCCTCTGCTTGTGCTTCCTCTGCTTGTGCTTCCTCTGCTTGCGCTTCCTCTGCTTGTGCTTCCTCTGCTTGCACTTCCTTTGCTTGCGCTCCTCTGCTCCTGCTTCCTCTGCTTGTGCTTCCTGCTTGTGCTTCCTCTGCTTGCGCTTCCTCTGCTTACGCTTCCTCTGCTTGCGCTTCCTCTGCTTGCACTTCCTCCGCTTGCGCTTCCTCTTCTTACGCTTCCTCAGCTTATGCTTCCTCTGATTGTGCTTCCTCATCTTGCTCTTCCTTTGCTTATGCTTCCTCTGCTTGCGCTCCTCTGCTTGTGCTTCCTCTGCTTGTGCTTCCTTTCCTTGCAATTCCTCTGCTTGTGCTTCCTCTGCTTGCGCTTCCTCTGCTTGCGCTCCTCTACTTGTGCTTCCTTTGCTTGTGCTTCCTCTGCTTGTGCTTCCTCTGCTTGTGCTTCCTCTACTTGCGCTTCCTCTGCTTGCGCTTCCTTTGCTTGCGCTTCCTCCTCTTGCGCTTCCTCTGCTTACGCTTCCTCTGCTTGTGCTTCCTCTGCTTGCTCTTCCTTTGCTTACGCTTCCTCAGCCTGCGCTCCTCTGCTTGTGCTTCCTCTGCTTGTGCGTCCTCTACTTGCGCTTCCTCTGCTTGTGCTTCCTCTACTTGGGCTTCTTCTGGTTGTGCTTCCTCTGCTTGTGCTTCCTTTGCTTGCGCTCCTCTGCTTGTGCTTCCTCTGCTTGCGATTCCTCTGCTTGCGCTTCCTCTGCTTTTGCTTCCTCTACTTGCGCTCCTCTGCTTGTGCTTCCTCTGCTTGTGCTTCCTCTGCTCGCTCTTCCTTTGCTTACGCTTCCTCTGCCTGCGCTCCTCTGCTTTTGCTACCTCTGCTTGTGCTTCCTCTGCTTGCGCTTCCTCTGCTTGTGCTTCCTCTACTTGCAATTCCTCTGCTTGTGCTTCCTCCTCTTGTGCTTCCTCTACTTGCACTTCTCTGCTTGTGATTCCTCTGCTTGCGATTCCTCTGCTTGCGCTTCCTCTTCTTGAGCTTCCTTTGCTTGCGCTCCTCTGCTTGTGCTTCCTCTGCTTGCGCTTCCTCTGCTTGTGCTTCCTCTGCTTGCGCTTCCTCTGCTTGCGCTTCCTCTGCTTGCGCTTCCTCTGCTTGCGCTTCCTCTGCTTGTGCTCCTCTGCTTGCGCTTCCTCTGGTTGTGCTTCCTCTACTTGCGCTTCCTCTACTTGCGCTTCCTCTGCTTGCGCTTCCTTTGCTTGCGCTTCCTCCTCTTGCGCTTCCTCTACTTAGGCTTCCTCTGCTTGTGCTTCCTCTGCTTGTGCGTCCTCTACTTGCGCTTCCTCTGCTTGTGCTTCCTCTACTTGCGCTTCTTCTGCTTGTGCTTCCTCTGCTTGTGCTTCCTCTGCTTGCGCTCCTCTGCTTGTGCTTCCTCTGCTTGCGATTCCTCTGCTTGCGCTTCCTTTGCTTTCGCTTCCTCTACTTGCACTCCTCTGCTTGTGCTTCCTCTGCTTGTGCTTCCTCTGCTTGCTCTTCCTTTGCTTACGCTTCCTCTGCCTGCGCTCCTCTGCTTATGCTTCCTCTGCTTGTGCTTCCTCTGCTTGCGCTTCCTCTGCTTGTGCTTCCTCTACTTGCACTTCCTCTGCTTGTGCTTCCTCTTCTTGTGCTTCCTCTACTTGCGCTCCTCTGCTTGTGCTTCCTCTACTTGTGCTTCCTCTGCTTGTGCTTCCTCTTCTTGTGCTTCCTCTGCTTGCGCTTCCTCTGCTTTCGCTTCCTCTGGTTGTGACTCCTCTGCTTGTGCTTCCTCTACTTGCGCTTCCTCTACTTGCGCTTCCTCTGCTTGGGCATCCTCTGCTTGCGCTTCCTCTGCTTGCACTTCCTCTGCTTGCGCTTCCTCTTCTTGCGCTCCTCTGCTTGTGCTTCCTCTGCTTGTGCTTCCTCTGCTTGCGCTTCCTCTGCTTGTGCTTCCTCTGCTTACGCTTCCTCTGCTTGCGCTTCCTCTGCTCACGCTTCCTCTGCTTGTGCTTCCTCTGCTTGTGCTTCCTCTGCTTGTGCTTCCTCAACTTGCGCTTCCTCTGCTTGCGCTTCCTCTGGTTGTGACTTTTCAGCTCCCGCTTCCTCTGCTTGCATTTCCTCTGCTTGTGCTTCCTCTTCTTGCGCTTCCTCTGTTTGCGCTTCCTCTGCTTGCGCTCCTCTGCTTGTGCTTCCTCTACTTGTGCTTCCTTTGCTTGCGTTTCCTCTGCTTGTGCTTCTTCAGCTTCCGCTTCCTTTGCTTGTTCTTCCTCTGCTTGTGCTTCCTCTGCTTGCGCTTCCTCTGCTCACGCTTCCTCTGCTTGTGCTTCCTCTGCTTGTGCTTCCTCTGCTTGTGCTTCCTCAACTTGCGCTTCCTCTGCTTGCGCTTCCTTTGGTTGTGACTTTTCAGCTCCCGCTTCCTCTGCTTGCATTTCCTCTGCTTGTGCTTCCTCTTCTTGCGCTTCCTCTGTTTACGCTTCCTCTGCTTGCGCTCCTCTGCTTGTGCTTCCTCTACTTGTGCTTCCTTTGCTTGCGTTTCCTCTGCTTGTGCTTCTTCAGCTTCCGCTTCCTTTGCTTGTTCTTCCTCTGCTTGTGCTTCCTCTGCTTGCGCTTCCTCTGCTTGCGCTTCCTCTTCTTGAGCTTCCTTTGCTTGCGCTCCTCTGCTTGTGCTTCCTCTGCTTGCGCTTCCTCTGCTTGTGCTTCCTCTGCTTGCGCTTCCTCTGCTTGCGCTTCCTCTGCTTGCGCTTCCTCTGCTTGCGCTTCCTCTGCTTGTGCTCCTCTGCTTGCGCTTCCTCTGGTTGTGCTTCCTCTACTTGCGCTTCCTCTACTTGCGCTTCCTCTGCTTGCGCTTCCTTTGCTTGCGCTTCCTCCTCTTGCGCTTCCTCTGCTTAGGCTTCCTCTGCTTGTGCTTCCTCTGCTTGTGCGTCCTCTACTTGCGCTTCCTCTGCTTGTGCTTCCTCTACTTGCGCTTCTTCTGCTTGTGCTTCCTCTGCTTGTGCTTCCTCTGCTTGCGCTCCTCTGCTTGTGCTTCCTCTGCTTGCGATTCCTCTGCTTGCGCTTCCTTTGCTTTCGCTTCCTCTACTTGCACTCCTCTGCTTGTGCTTCCTCTGCTTGTGCTTCCTCTGCTTGCTCTTCCTTTGCTTACGCTTCCTCTGCCTGCGCTCCTCTGCTTATGCTTCCTCTGCTTGTGCTTCCTCTGCTTGCGCTTCCTCTGCTTGTGCTTCCTCTACTTGCACTTCCTCTGCTTGTGCTTCCTCTTCTTGTGCTTCCTCTACTTGCGCTCCTCTGCTTGTGCTTCCTCTACTTGTGCTTCCTCTGCTTGTGCTTCCTCTTCTTGTGCTTCCTCTGCTTGCGCTTCCTCTGCTTTCGCTTCCTCTGGTTGTGACTCCTCTGCTTGTGCTTCCTCTACTTGCGCTTCCTCTACTTGCGCTTCCTCTGCTTGGGCATCCTCTGCTTGCGCTTCCTCTGCTTGCACTTCCTCTGCTTGCGCTTCCTCTTCTTGCGCTCCTCTGCTTGTGCTTCCTCTGCTTGTGCTTCCTCTGCTTGCGCTTCCTCTTCTTGTGCTTCCTCTGCTTACGCTTCCTCTGCTTGCGCTTCCTCTGCTCACGCTTCCTCTGCTTGTGCTTCCTCTGCTTGTGCTTCCTCTGCTTGTGCTTCCTCAACTTGCGCTTCCTCTGCTTGCGCTTCCTCTGGTTGTGACTTTTCAGCTCCCGCTTCCTCTGCTTGCATTTCCTCTACTTGTGCTTCCTCTTCTTGCGCTTCCTCTGTTTGCGCTTCCTCTGCTTGCGCTCCTCTGCTTGTGCTTCCTCTACTTGTGCTTCCTTTGCTTGCGTTTCCTCTGCTTGTGCTTCTTCAGCTTCCGCTTCCTTTGCTTGTTCTTCCTCTGCTTGTGCTTCCTCTGCTTGCGCTTCCTCTGCTTGCGCTTCCTATGCTTGCGCTTCCTCTACTTGGGCTCCTTTGTTTGTGCTTCCTCTGCTTGTGCTTCCTTTGCTTGTGCTTCCTTTGCTTGTGCTTCCTCTACTTGTGCTTCCTCTGCTTGTGCTTCCTCTGCTTGTGCTTCCTCTGCTTGCGCTTCCTCTGCTTGTGCTTCCTCTGCTTGCGCTTCCTTTGCTTGCGCTCCTCTGCTCCTGCTTCCTCTGCTTGTGCTTCCTGCTTGTGCTTCCTCTGCTTGCGCTTCCTCTGCTTACGCTTCCTCTGCTTGCGCTTCCTCTACTTGCACTTCCTCCGCTTGCGCTTCCTCTTCTTACGCTTCCTCAGCTTATGCTTCCTCTGATTATGCTTCCTCATCTTGCTCTTCCTTTGCTTACGCTTCCTCTGCTTGCGCTCCTCTGCTTGTGCTTCCTCTGCTTGTGCTTTCTTTCCTTGCAATTCCTCTGCTTGTGCTTCCTCTGCTTGCGCTTCCTCTGCTTGCGCTCCTCTACTTGTGCTTCCTTTGCTTGTGCTTCCTCTGCTTGTGCTTCCTCTGCTTGTGCTTCCTCTACTTGCGCTTCCTCTGCTTGCGCTTCTTTTGCTTGCGCTTCCTCCTCTTGCGCTTCCTCTGCTTACGCTTCCTCTGCTTGTGCTTCCTCTGCTTGCTCTTCCTTTGCTTACGCTTCCTCAGCCTGCGCTCCTCTGCTTGTGCTTCCTCTGCTTGTGCGTCCTCTACTTGCGCTTCCTCTGCTTGTGCTTCCTCTACTTGGGCTTCTTCTGGTTGTGCTTCCTCTGCTTATGCTTCCTTTGCTTGCGCTCCTCTGCTTGTGCTTCCTCTGCTTGCGATTCCTCTGCTTGCGCTTCCTCTGCTTTTGCTTCCTCTAATTGCGCTCCTCTGCTTGTGCTTCCTCTGCTTGTGCTTCCTCTGCTCGCTCTTCCTTTGCTTACGCTTCCTCCGCCTGCGCTCCTCTGCTTATGCTACCTCTGCTTGTGCTTCCTCTGCTTGCGCTTCCTCTGCTTGTGCTTCCTCTACTTGCACTTCCTCTGCTTGTGCTTCCTCCTCTTGTGCTTCCTCTACTTGCACTTCTCTGCTTGTGATTCCTCTGCTTGCGATTCCTCTGCTTGCGCTTCCTCTTCTTGAGCTTCCTTTGCTTGCGCTCCTCTGCTTGTGCTTCCTCTGCTTGCGCTTCCTCTGCTTGTGCTTCCTCTGCTTGCGCTTCCTCTGCTTGCGCTTCCTCTGCTTGCGCTTCCTCTGCTTGCGCTTCCTCTGCTTGTGCTCCTCTGCTTGCGCTTCCTCTGGTTGTGCTTCCTCTACTTGCGCTTCCTCTACTTGCGCTTCCTCTCCTTGCGCTTCCTCTACTTGCGCTTCCTCTGCTTGCGCTCCTCTGCTTGTGCTTCCTCTGCTTGCGCTTTCTCTGCTTGTGCTTCCTGTGCTTGCGCCTCCTCTGCTTGTGCTTCCTCTGCTTGCCCTTCCTCTGCTTGCACTTCCTCTGCATGCGCTTCCTCTGCTTTTGCTTCCTCTGCTTATGCTTCCTCTGCTTGTGCTTCCTCTGCTTGCGCTTCCTCTGCTTGTGCTTCCTCTGCTTGCGCTTCCTCTGCTTGCGCTTCCTCTGCTTGCGCTTCCTCTGCTTGCGCTTCCTCTACTTGCGCTTCCTCTTCTTGCGCTTCCTGTGCTTGCGCTTCCTCTACTTGCGCTTCCTCTGCTTGGGCTCCTCTTGTTGTTTGATGCAACCATATGCATTCACGTCTGTCTGCCTCCCATCATGTGTTGGTGCGTTGCATGCGTGGTGTGAGCGTGTGCAAGAATTTGTGTTTGATGTGATTTGGTTTTTCAGAGTGAGTGTATGTTATTTGGCTTGAGCAGATATCTGAAGTGATTCCTCTACTCAAGAGCTTTCCGACGAACCAAGAATCGTCGCGATTGGAGCACAACCAAGAAAGTTACGAACATTGGAGTTCGTATGCTTATATATTTTGGTTGCAGCTACTTTGGGAAGTTGTGGCATTGACTCAATATGGGGCACAGACTTGTGGAGGTTGGGAAATTCGAACCCATCACTGTAGATGCTGCCAAGAGGTTGGGTGAAGCCAAACCAGGTTGGTAAGTGTGGCCAAGTTGTGGTGAGGTGGATGGCATGGGTTGGAAAGTGACAAAAGTCAAAGTTTGTTGCCTATGGGGAAGGGAATTGTGTGGCATGGGGTTTCCTTGTGTTAAACACTAAGGACGGAGTCTATGAAGATTAGGTGCCCAAATTTTTTAAAATCGTTGGTCTCAATTTCTGGACAGAAACGTTTCACAAGAAACGTTGTCGACGAAAGGTGCACTATTAGAATCCCACGAAATTCGACGTGGCTACATTTCCCAATTTGAATCGTATCAAATTTTGAAGCATAGCTTGAGTTAGACGTTTCGGCGCACTAGGGGGTATGCTGCCACAGAAATTTAACTCGATCACAATTAACTCACAAGTCCCACAAAAGAACATTAGAGTAGCACTAAACCTGGTAGGAGGGGAAGAGGAGGACGAGAGGGAAGGTCCCAAGAGAGAGTCCCCAACCAAGGAAACCCCATGCCACACAATTCCCTTCCCTATAGGCAACAAACTTTGACCTTTGTCACTTTCCAACCCATGCCATCCACCTCACCACAACTTGGCCACACTTACCAACCTGGTTTGGCTTCACCCAACCTCTTGGCAGCATCTACAGTGATGGGTTCGAATTTCCCAACCCCCACAAGTCTGTACCCCATATTGAGTCAATGCCACAACTTCCCAAAGTAGCTGCAACCAAAATATATAAGCATACGAACTCCAATGTTCGTAACTTTCTTGGTTGTGCTCCGATCGCGACGATTCTTGGTTCGTCGGAAAGCTCTTGAGTAGAGAAATCACTTCAGATATCTGCTCAAGCCAAATAACATACACTCACTCTGAAAAAACCAAACCACATCAAACACAAATTCTTGCACACGCTCACACCACGCATGCAACGCACAAACACATGATGGGAGGCAGACAGACGTGAATGCATATGGTTGCATCACACAACAAACTCCCCCTCTGGCTGCCAACCATCATCCCACATGCCATAACTCAAGCATGCCCCCTCAATGCACACTCATTCCCGCAAGCTTCATGCCCTTCCAATGCTCAGGTTCTGCCAGGCGCTTGGTGAGAATGTCAGCCGCCTGCTGCTGGGTCTTCACAATCTCCAGCCACACCTCCTTGTCCAGGAGCCTCCTTGTCCAATGCCACTTTGGCCTGATGTGCTTTGTCAAGCCATGAAGACAGGCATTCTTCGCAAGCTTCACCGCCGACTCATTTTCACAGAAAATCACAGTCGGCTTCCTCTGACACACTCCGATTTCCTCCAACAAACGCCTCAGCCACACCACCTCCTTTGCCCCATGATGAAGGGCCATGTACTCAGTCTCACACGAGGACAACCCCACCTCGTTCTGCTTCTTGCTGCGCCAGCTCACTACACCACCTCCAAAGAGGCAGACATAGCCTCCAATGCTGGTGCCATCCGTCTTCACTGAGTTGAAGCTAGCGTCGGTGTAGCAAGTCAAGCGCATCTCCCCCTTGCTCAAATCAGCTGCACCCCTCTGTAGCCTCTATCGCACAGCACTGTACTCCAAGCCCACTGATGCTGTAGCGCTCACATAGCGGACCAACCTCTTGGCCGCTTCCAGCTGCTCATGACTTGGGCATGAAACCACACTCGCAAGCCTGGATGTAGCAAAGGCAATGTCAGGCCGCGTGTGGTTAGCCGCATAGTTGAGTGCCCCCACCATGGAGTGAAACAACTTCCTCTCACTTTCCCCCACCACCTCCTCATCAGTACAGGGCTCCACAGTGAACCCCGAAGGTAGCAAGGTGGCTGGCTTTCCTGCATCTTGCAGCCCATACTTCTCAGCCAGCCCCTCACAATACTTCCTCTGGTGCAACCTCAACACTCCCTTGTCAAGGTCCCTCTCCACGTGCATCCCAAGGTAGTACTTCACATCTCCCATCTTGGAGCACTTGAACTGCATTTCCAGCATCTCCTCCACACGTTCAATCATCGCAGACGACTCAGAGAAGAGCAGGATGTCGTCCACGTACACCAGGAGTATGAGGAACTGTTCCTTCTCTTGCAGCAGGAACAGGCTGTGATCACACTCGCTCTTCTTGAACCCCCCAGCCAGCAGTGTCTCCTCCAGCTTGTGGTACCATGCGCGAGGAGCCTGCTTCAGGCCATAGATGGCCTTCTTGAGCCTGCACACCCTGCCGCTCCCATCATCCAACCCCTCAGGCTGCAGCATGTACAGCTCCTCCGAAATGATTCCATTAAGGAAGCCAGTGATTATGTCCATCTGCTTGATCTTCCAGCCACGGTTTGCAGCCATTGCCAACATCGTCCTCAGTGTAGTGCCTTTCCCCACAGGAGCAAAGATATCATCAAAGTCCTTCCCCTTTGTCTATTGGAACCCCTTAGCCACAAGCCTTGACTTGCAGCGGGTCAGCTCCCCATCAGGTCCGTACTTGTGCCTGAAAATCAGCTTGGAAGAAATGGCCTTCTTCACTGGAGGCAGCTCACACAGCTCCCACGTCTCGTTCTCCAGCAGAGAGTCATACTCCTCCTTCACACTCTGCTTCCACTTCTCAGCATCGGGCCCACTCAAGGCCTTGGTAAGTGTCTTGGGCTCAGGGACGGCTGCTGAGTAACAGTGCGCTATCTCCTCCTCATCACACTGCTCAGCCACACTTCCAGCATGCTCCACATTTTGTGAGCCAGTGCGATTATAGCTCTACCTAATAGGTGGGCGTATATCCCTCCTAGGACGCTCAGGCGGGCGTGGGGCACATGGTGGAGCACGTTGCTGCTGCCGCTGCTGCTGCTGTTGATGCTGCTGCGGCTGCTGTTGCTCCTCCACCTCAGGTTCTCCCCCATCCTTGGTCACCCCAGAGATCTCCTCCTCGGAGATATAAACCTCCACTTGCCTCGAGGGCCGCTGCAACTCATCGGCCTCAATGATCAGAGGTGTAGAAGGGAGCTTCTGCTGCTGCTGCTTCCACTCCTTGTAGTACAAGGACTCAAGGAACTTCACATCCCTCGACACAGTCAGTTGCTGGCTGGTCAAGTCCCAAATCAGCCATCCCTTGTGATCCTTAGCAAGCCCCAAGTGCACACCCCATCTCCCAGAGGCTTCCAGTTTTCCCCTCTTCTCCTTAGGTACATGAAAAACCACCATGCACCCGTAGGCTCTCAGCATGTTCACCGTTGGTGCACTCCCATACCACTTGGTGTAGGGGACCCACTGCTTGTCCCCCACAGTTGCCAGCACCCTGTTCTTCACAAGGGCGACCTGCCGCAGTGCAGTCACCCAAAACGGATCCGGCAGCCCTGCACGCCCAAGGAGAGTGCGAGCACCTTCCTGCAGGGTCCGGTTGAACCGCTCAGCCACGCCGTTCTGCTGAGGGTTGTAGGGCACCGTGAGCTGATGCTGGATCCCCTTCTTCTTCAGCACCACCTCAAAATCAGTGCCAATGAATTCTCCCCCGTTGTCAGTGCGGATCACCTTCGCCTTATGTCCGCTCTCCCTTTGAGCCCTCGGCATCCACTCCTTAAGAACAGCCGTTGCCACCTCCCCCTTAGTCTTGAGAGGGTACACCCACACCGCACGCGTGTGGTCGTCCACAATCGTCAAGAAGTAGCGGCTGCCCGAGAGAGAAGGGGCCCTTGTGGGGCCCACCACATCCATGTGCACAAGCGCGAGTGGAACCTTGGCTGGTCCCGTGCTGCTGCTGAAAGGGAACTTGGTGAACTTTGTCTCAAGGCATGTAGGGCAGCTCCCAATCTCCTTCGCTGCCCCCTTCACCTCCAATCCCTTCAAGCTCCCATCCTTCACCAACTTCTACAGCATAGGAATGTTGATGTGGCACAGCCTCTCATGCCACGTCTCCCAATCGGCCTCACCACTCCCAGACGAAGCCTTTGCCCATGCAGCCGTTGCATCCACACCAGCGAGCACCTCACCATATGATTGCTGTGGCTGCTGCACCTTCTTGACTGTATCCAGGGCCCCAGCAGTTGGTGCAATCTCCTCTCCTCCCGCAGTTGCCTTAGCCGCTGCCGCTGCCTTTGCCGTTGCTGGAGGTTTCCCATTCCAAGGGATGATGGGCAGCTGCCACAGGTCCTTGATGCAGCTGCTCTTCTCCTCCAAATCCCACAGCAGCAACTTCCCAAGCTTTGCACGGCAGCTGGTTGGGCCGAACGTAACTTTGGCCTTGCTTTTCTGCAGCCGGCGCACGGAGAGGAGGTTAGCGGATAAACCTTCAACCAACAGCACATTTCCCAGCCCCACAAGCCCCCCATTAGCTCCCATAACCTTGGCATTCCCAACACCAATTACAGGGAGCAAGGCACCTGAAGCGGCAGCCACAAACTTTATCTTCCCAGGGGGCTTCACCTCATCAAGCAAATCTGCCCGTGGAGTCATGTGACTCGTGCAACCTGAATCGATCACCCAATGAGTGAGGGGGTGCATCACAACCTTCCCAACTGAACCCACATCACCCCCACTCCCTTGCACATCCTCAACCATAAGGAACATCCCAGGGTCGGCTTTACCTTGTGCACCATCACCTTGTGCACATGAACATTGCACAGCGCCACCGCGTGCACGTTCACCACTTGGCGGCTTCATGCCTGGAGGGGCCCATCCCTCAGGCCGGCTGAAACACTTGAACCACGGGTGTCCAGCCTTCTTGCAGTACTAGCACGCACCCTCCATTCGGGTGCTCCCCCTGCCACCAGAGCTCTCATGCCCCTCGTTGTAGTCACCTCGACCTCTTCCTTTGCCAAAGCCTCTCCCACGGCCTCGGCCTCTCCCTCCCCCTCTCCCCCTGCTGCCTCCTACAGCTCCATACCCCTCAGCAGTTTTGTTGGCAGCACCACCTCCCGTGTGGCGCCTGCGGAAGTCCTCCTGCAGGATCTGCTGCCGTAACCACTCAGGCGTCCACTTGTCGTGCTGAGCGTTGAGGGTGGGGATAAGGTTGTCCCACGAGTTGTCGAGCACCGATATGATTTTGGTGCACTGCTGCATTTCCGACACCTTGCTGCCCGCCGATGCCATCCTCGCATAGGTGTCCTTGATCTTGTCAAGGGCCGGCTTCACATCATCTCCCGGCCGCATGGAGAGGGCAGCCAGCTCCTTCTCCAATACGATCACCATCGGCAGCGTGTTGGGTTGAACCACGTCGCGTAGCAGCTTCCACGCCTTCGGTCCGGAATCATCCAACTCCACCAAATCCTTGATGTGCTGGAACATGTCGTTGTTGACCGATTGAAGAATGAGGTCGTATAGCACCGCGCTCTTCTCAATCCACCGATCACAGGCATCTCCTTCCCCCGGCATCTTCTCCTCTCCCATTGCAATTTTCAGCAGCTTGTAGCGCTTGAAGGCGCTCCGCATCCGCCCGCTCCATTCCTCGTAGTTGGAGCCATCCAAAGCTTCGATCTTGGATGGTGGCGGTTCACTCCTCTTCTCAGCTGCATCTCCACTCCCTTGATTCATCTCCTCTGCTCCCAATCAAAGGTTTAGCTCCCCCCCTTTGCTGGTCACAATGTAGATCCACACAATCTTCACAAGTGTCGGCGCCAACGAAATTTCGGCAGAGTTTCCCCTTAGCGGAAGTCACATCCAACCTCCAGAACTCCACTTAGGCACGCCCACAGGCCATGGTGGGTCTAGGAGGGTCTTCACACTTCAGTAGACTCTCCACAAAGTCCTTAATCGGCTCTGATACCACTTGTAAAAAACTAAGGACGGAGTCTATGAAGATTAGGTGCCCAAATTTTTTAAAATCGTTGGTCTCAATTTCTGGACAGAAACGTCGACTTCACAAGAAACGTTGTCGACGAAAGGTGCACTATTAGAATCCCACGAAATTCGACTATGTTGTAGCTCTAGACCGTGGCTACATTTCCCAATTTGAATCGTATCAAATTATGAATCATATCTCGAGTTATAATTTTCGGCGCACTAGGGGGTATGCTGCCACATAAATTTAACTCGATCACAATTAACGCACAAGTCCCACAAAAGAACATTAGAGTAGCACTAAACCTGGTAGGAGGGGAAGAGGAGGACGAGAGGGAAGGTCCCAAGAGAGAGTCCCCAACTAAGGAAACCCTTGCCACACAATTCCCTTCCCCATGGGCAACAAACTTTGACTTTTGTCACTTTCCAACCCATGCCATCCACCTCACCACAACTTGGCCACACTTACCAACCTGGTTTGGCTTCACCCAACCTCTTGGCAGCATCTACAGTGATGGGTTCGAATTTCCCAACCCCCACAAGTCTGTACCCCATATTGAGTCAATGCCACAACTTCCCAAAGTAGCTGCAACCAAAATATATAAGCATACGAACTCCAATGTTCGTAACTTTCTTGGTTGTGCTCCGATCGCGACGATTCTTGGTTCGTCGGAAAGCTCTTGAGTAGAGGAATCGCTTCAGATATCTGCTCAAGCCAAATAACATACACTCACTCTGAAAAAACCAAACTACAACAAACACAAATTCTTGCACACGCTCACACCACGCATGCAACGCACAAACACATGATGGGAGGCAGACAGACGTGAATGCATATGGTTGCATCACACAACACCTTGGTTGGGGACTCTCTCTTAGGACCTTCCCTCTCGTCCTCCTCTTCCCCTCCTACAAGGCTTAGTGCTACTCTAATGTTCGTTTGTGGGACTTGTGAGTTAATTCTGATCGAGTTGAATTTCTGTGGCAGCATACCCCCTAGTGCGCCGAAATGTATAACTCGAGATATTCTTCATAATTTCATACGATTCAAATTTGGAAATGTAGCCACGGTCTAGGGCTACAACATATTCGAATTTTGTGGGATTCAAACAGTGCACCTTTCGTCGACAACGTTTCTTGTGAAGTCGACGTTTCTGTCCAGAAATTGAGACCAACGATTTTGAGAAATTTGGGCACCTAATCTTCATAGACTCCGTCCTTAGTTTATAACACTTTTGCTTGTACTTCCTATGCTTGTGCTTCCTCTGCTTGCGCTTCCTGTGCTTGGGCTTCTTCTGCTTGCGCTTCCTCTGCTTGTGCTTCCTCTGCTTCCGCTTCCTCTGCTTGTGCTTCCTCTACTTCGCTTCCTCTGCTTTCGCTACCTCTGCTTGTGCTTCCTATGCTTGTGCCTCCTCTGCTTGTGTTTCCTATGCTAATGCTTCCTCTGCTTGTGCTTCCTCTACTTGTGCTTCCTGTGCATGTTCTTCCTCTGCTTGTGCTTCCTCTTCTTGCGCTTCCTCTGCTTGCGCTCCTTTGCTTGCGCTTCCTTTTCTTTGGCTTCCTCTGCTTGTGCTTCCTCTGCTTGTGCTTCCTCTGCTTGTGCTTCCTCTCCTTGCGCTTCCTCTGTTTGCGCTCCTCTGCTTGCGCTTCCTTTGCTTGTGCTTCCTCTGCTTGTGCTGCCTCTGCTTGTGCTTCCTCCGCTTGTGCTTCCTCTGCTTGTGCTTCCTCTGCTTGCACTTCCTCTTCTTGCGCTTCCTCTGCTTTCGCTTCCTCTGCTTCCGCTCCTCTGCTTGTGCTTCCTCTGCTTGTGCTTCCTCTGCTAGCGCTTCCTCTGCTTGTGCTTCCTCTGCTTGCGCTTCCACTGCTTGTGCTTCCTCCACTTGCGCTTCCTCTGCTTGCACTCCTCCGCTTGTGCTTCCTCTGCTTGTGCTTCGTAATTGTGCTTCCTCTGCTTTCGCTTCCTTTGCTTGTGCTTCCTCTACTTGCGCTTCCTTTGCTTGCGCTTCCTCTTCTTGCGCTTCCTCTGCTTGGGCTTCCTCTGCTTACGCTTCCTCTGCTTGTGCTTCCTCTTCTTGCGCTTCCTCTGCTTACACTTCCTCTGCTTGAGCTCCTCTGCTTGTGCTTCCTTTGCTTGTGCTTCCTCTGCTTGCACTTCCTCTGCTTGTGCTTCCTCTACTTGCACTTCTTTGGCTTGTGCTTCCTCTGCTTGCCCTTCTTCTACTTGCACTCCTCTGCTTGTGCTTCCTCTGCTTGTGCTTCCTCTGCTTGCGCTTCCTCTGCTTGCGCTTTCTCTGCTGGCGCTCCTCTGCTTGTGCTTCCTCTTCTTGTGCTTCCTCTGCTTGCGCTTCCTCTGCTTGTGCTTCCTCTGCTTGCGCTTCCTCTGCTTGCAATTCCTCTGCTTGCGCTTCCTCTGCTTAGGCTTCCTCTGCTTGCACTTCCTCTGCTTGTGCTTCCTTTGCTTGCGCTTCCTGTGCTTGCGCTTCCTCTGCTTGTGCTTGGTGCTTGTGCTTCCTCTGCTTGCGCTCCTCTACTTGTGCTTCCTCTGCTTGTGCTTCCTCTGCTTGCGCTTCCTCTGCTTGTGCTTCCTCTTCTTGTGCTTCCTCAGCTAGTGCTTCCTCTACTTGTGCTTCCTCTGCTTGCGCTCCTCTGCTTGTGCTTCCTCTGCTTGTGCTTCGTGCTTGTGCTTCCTCTGCTTGCGCTTCCTCTGCTTGTGCTTCCTCTACTTGCGCTTCCTCTACTTGCGCTTCCTCTGCTTGCGCTTTCTCTGCTTGCGCTTCCTCTGCTTACGCTTCCTCTGCCTGCGCTCCTCTGCTTGTGCTTCCTCTGCTTGTGCTTCCTTTGCTTGTGCTTCCTCTGCTTGCGCTTCCTCTGCTTGCGCTTCCTCTGCTTGCGCATCCTCTACTTGCGCTCCTGTGCTTGTGCTTCCTCCGCTTGTGCTTCCTCTGCTTGCGCATCCTCTTCTTGTGCTTCCTCTGCTTGCATTTCCTCTGCTTGTGCTTCCTCTGCTTGCGCTTCCTTTGCTTGCGCTGCTCTGCTCCTGCTTCCTCTGCTTGTGCTTCCTGCTTGTGCTTCCTCTCCTTGCGCTTCCTCTGCTTATGCTTCCTCTGCTTGCGCTTCCTCTGCTTCCACTTCCTCTTCTTGCGCTTCCTCAGCTTACGCTTCCTCTGCTTGCGCTCCTTTGCTTGTGCTTCCTCTGCTTGTGCTTCCCCTGCTTGCGCTTCCTCTGCTTGTGCTTCCTCTCCTTGCGCTTCCTCTGCTTGTGCTTCCTCTGCTTTCGCTCCTCTGCTTGTGCTTCCTGCTTGTGTTTCCTCTGCTTGCGCTTCCTCTCCTTGTGCTTCCTCTACTTGCGCTTCCTCTGCTTGCGCTTCCTTTGCTTGCGCTTCCTCCTCTTAAGCTTCCTCTGCTTACGCTTCCTCTGCTTGTGCCTCCTCTGCTTGCTCTTCCTTTGCTTACGCTTCCTCAGCCTGCGCTCCTCTTCTTGTGCTTCCTCTGCTTGTGCTTCCTCTGCTTGCGCTTCCTCTGCTTGTGCTTCCTCTACTTGCGCTTCCTCTGCTTGTGCTTCCTCTGCTTGTGCTTCCTCTGCTTGCGCTCCTCTGCTTGTGCTTCTTCTGCTTGCGATTCCTCTCCTTGCGCTTCCTCTGCTTGTGCTTCCTCTACTTGCGCTCCTCTGCTTGTGCTTCTTCTGCTTGTGCTTCCTCTGCTTGCTCTTCCTTTGCTTACGCTTCCTCTGCCTACGCTCCTCTGCTTGTGCTTCCTCTGCTTGTGCTTCCTCTTCTTACGCTTACTCTGCTTGTTCTTCCTCTACTTGCGCTCTCTCTGCTTGTGCTTCCTCTGCTTGCGCTCCTTTGCTTGTGCTTCCTCTGCTTGCGCTTCCTCTGCTTCTGCTTCCTCTTCTTGCGCTTCTTCTGCTTGCGCTTCCTCTGCTTGCGCTTCCTTTGCTTGCGCTTCCTCTGCTTGTGCTCCTCTGCTTGCGCTTCCTCTGCTTGTGCTTCCTCTGCTTGCGCTTCCTCTTCTTGCGCTTCATCTCCTTGTGCTTCCTTTGCTTGCGGTTCCTCTGCTTGCGCTCCTCTGCTTGTGCTTCCTCTGCTTGCGCTTTCTCTGCTTGTGCTTCCTGTGCTTGCGCCTCCTCTGCTTGTGCTTCCTCTGCTTACACTTCCTCTGCTTGAGCTCCTCTGCTTGTGCTTCCTTTGCTTGTGCTTCCTCTGCTTGCGCTTCCTCTTCTTGTGCTGCCTCTACTTGCACTTCCTCTGCTTGTGCTTCCTCTGCTTGCGCTCCTCTGCTTGTGCTTCCTCTACTTGTGCTTCCTCTGCTTGCGCTTCCTTTGCTTGCGCTTCCTCTGCTTGCGCTCCTCTGCTTGTGCTTCCTCTTCTTGTGCTTCCTCTGCTTGCGCTTCCTCTGCTTGTGCTTCCTCTGCTTGCGCTTCCTCTGCTTGCAATTCCTCTGCTTGCGCTTCCTCTGCTTGTGCTTCCTTTGCTTGCACTTCCTCTGCTTGTGCTTCCTCTGCTTACACTTCCTCTGCTTGAGCTCCTCTGCTTGTGCTTCCTTTGCTTGTGCTTCCTCTGCTTGCGCTTCCTCTGCTTGTGCTGCCTCTACTTGCACTTCCTGTTTGAGCTCCTCTGCTTGTGCTTCCTTTGCTTGTGCTTCCTCTGCTTGCGCTCCTCTGCTTGTGCTTCCTCTACTTGTGCTTCCTCTGCTTGCGCTTCCTCTGCTTGCGCTTCCTCTGCTTGCGCTCCTCTGCTTCTGCTTCCTCTTCTTGTGCTTCCTCTGCTTGCGCTTCCTCTGCTTGCAATTCCTCTGCTTGAGCTTTCTCTGCTTGCGCTTCCTCTGCTTGCAATTCCTCTGCTTGCGCTTCCTCTGCTTGTGCTTCCTCTGCTTGCGCTTCCTCTGCTTGTGCTTCGTTCTTGTGCTTCCTCTGCTTGTGCTTCCTCTGCTTGTGTTTCCTCTACTTGCGCTTCCTCTACTTGCGCTTCCTCTGTTGCGCTTCCTTTGCTTGCGCTTCCTCTGCTTGCGCTTTCTCTGTTGCGCTTCCTCTACTTGTGCTTCCTCTGCTTGCGCTTCCTCTTCTTGCGCTTCCTCTTCTTGCGCTTCCTCTACTTGCGCTTCCTCTGCTTGCGCTTCCTCTGCTTGCACTTCCTCTACTTGCGCTTCCTTCGCTTGCGCTTCCTCTGCTTGCGCTTCCTCTGCTTGCGCTTCCTCCGCTTGGGCTCCTCTGCTTGTGCTTTCTTTGCTTGTGCTTCCTCTGCTTGCGCTTCCTCTGCTTGAGCTTCCTCTGCTTGTGCTTCCTCTGCTTGCGCTTCCTCTTCGTGTGCTTCCTCTGCTTGTGCTTCCTGTGCTTGTGTTTGCTCTGCTTGCGCTTCCTCTGCTTGTGCTTCCTCTTCTTGTGCATCCTCTACTTGCGCTCCTCTTCTTGTGCTTCCTCCGCTTGTGCTTCCTCTGCTTGCGCTTCCTCTTCTTGTGCTTCCTCTGCTTGCGTTTCCTCTGCTTGTGCTTCCTCTCCTTGCGCTTCCTTTGCTTGCGCTCCTCTGCTCCTGCTTCCACTGCTTGTGCTTCCTGCTTGTGCTTCCTCTGCTTGCGCTTCCTCTGCTTATGCTTCCTCTGCTTGCGCTTCTTCTGCTTGCGCTTCCTCTTCTTGCGCTTCCTCAGCTTACACTTCCTCTGCTTGCGCTTCCTCTTCTTGTGCTTCCCCATCTTGCTCTACCTTTGCTTACGCTTCCTCTGCTTGCACTCCTCTGCTTGTGCTTCCTCTGCTTGTGCTTCCCCTGCTTGCGCTTCCTCTGCTTGTGCTTTCTCTCCTTGCGCTTCCTCTGCTTGTGCTTCCTCTGCTTGCGCTTCCTCTGCTTGCGCTCCTCTGCTTGTGCTTCCTTTGCTTGTGCTTCCTGCTTGTGCTTCCTCTGCTTGCGCTTCCTCTGCTTGTGCTTCCTCTACTTGCGCTTCCTCTGCTTGCGCTTCCTTTGCTTGCGCTTCCTCCTATTGCGCTTCCTCTGCTTACGCTTCCTCTGCTTGTGCCTCCTCTGCTTGCTCTTCCTTTGCTTACGCTTCCTCAGCCTGCGCTCCTCTGCTTGTTCTTCCTCTGCTTGTGCTTCCTCTACTTGCGCTTCCTCTGCTTGTGCTTCCTCTGCTTGTGCTTCCTCTGCTTGCGCTTCCTCTGCTTGTGCTTCTTCTGCTTACGCTTCCTCTGCTTGCGCTTCCTCTGCTCACGCTTCCTCTGCTTGTGCTTCCTCTGCTTGTGCTTCCTCTGCTTGTGCTTCCTCAACTTGCGCTTCCTCTGCTTGCGCTTCCTCTGGTTGTGACTTCTCAGCTCCCGCTTCCTCTGCTTGCATTTCCTCTGCTTGTGCTTCCTCTTCTTGCGCTTCCTCTGTTTGCGCTTCCTCTGCTTGCGCTCCTCTGCTTGTGCTTCCTCTACTTGTGCTTCCTTTGCTTGCGTTTCCTCTGCTTGTGCTTCTTCAGCTTCCGCTTCCTTTGCTTGTTCTTCCTCTGCTTGTGCTTCCTCTGCTTGCGCTTCCTCTGCTTGCGCTTCCTATGCTTGCGCTTCCTCTGCTTGGGCTCCTTTGTTTGTGCTTCCTCTGCTTGTGCTTCCTTTGCTTGTGCTTCCTCTGCTTGTGCTTCCTCTACTTGTGCTTCCTCTGCTTGTGCTTCCTCTGCTTGTGCTTCCTCTGCTTGCGCTTCCTCTGCTTGTGCTTCCTCTGCTTGCACTTCCTTTGCTTGCGCTCCTCTGCTCCTGCTTCCTCTGCTTGTGCTCCTCTGCTTGTGCTTCCTCTGCTTGCGATTTCTCTGCTTGCGCTTCCTCTGCTTGTGCTTCCTCTACTTGCGCTCCTCTGCTTGTGCTTCTTCTGCTTGTGCTTCCTCTGCTTGCTCTTCCTTTTCTTACGCTTCCTCTGCCTGCGCTCCTCTGCTTGTGCTTCCTCTGCTTGTACTTCCTCTTCTTGCGCTTCCTCTGCTTGTGCTTCCTCTACTTGCGCTTCCTCTGCTTGTGCTTCCTCTGCTTGTGCTTCCTCTGCTTGCGCTCCTCTACTTGTGCTTCCTCTGCTTGCGATTCCTCTGCTTGCGCTTCCTCTTCTTGAGCTTCCTCTGCTTGCGCTCCTTTGCTTGTGCTTCCTCTGCTTGCGCTTCCTCTGCTTGTGCTTTCTCTGCTTGCACTTCCTTTGCTTGCGCTTCCTCTGCTTGTGCTCCTTTGCTTGTGCTTCCTCTGCTTGTGCTTCCTCTGCTTTCGCTTCCTCTTCTTGCGCTTCCTCTCCTTGTGCTTCCTCTGCTTGCGCTTCCTCTGCTTGCGCTCCTCTACTTGTGCTTTCTCTGCATGCACTTTCTCTGCTTTTGCTTCCTGTGCTTGCGCCTCCTCTGCCTGTGCTTCCTCTGCTTACACTTCCTCTGCTTGAGCTCCTCTGGTTTTTCTTCCTTTGCTTGTGCTTCCTCTGCTTGCGCTTCCTCTGCTTGTGCTTCCTCTGCTTGCGCTCCTCTGCTTGTGCTTCCTCTACTTGTGCTTCCTCTGCTTGCGCTTCCTCTGCTTGCGCTTCCTCTGCTTGCGCTCCTCTGCTTGTGTATTTTCTTCTTGTGCTTCCTCTGCTTGCGCTTCCTCTGCTTGTGCTTCCTCTGCTTGCGCTCCTCTGCTTGTGCTTCCTCTACTTGTGCTTCCTATGCTTGCGCTTCCTCTGCTTGCGCTTCCTCTGCTTGCGCTCCTGTGCTTGTGCTTCCTCTTCTTGTGCTTCCTCTGCTTGCGCTTCCTCTGCTTGTGCTTCCTCTGCTTGCGCTTCCTCTGCTTGCAATTCCTCTGCTTGCGCTTCCTCTGCTTGTGCTTCCTCTGCTTGCACTTCTTCTGCTTGTGCTTCCTTTGCTTGCGCTTCCTCTGCTTGCGCTTCCTCTGCTTGTGCTTCGTTCTTGTGCTTCCTCTGCTTGTGCTTCCTCTGCTTGTGTTTCCTCTGCTTGCGCTTCCTTTGCTTGCGCTTCCTCTGTTGCGATTCCTCTGCTTGCGCTTCCTCTGCTTGCGCTTCCTCTGCTTGCGCTTCCTCTGCTTGTGCTCCTCTGCTTGCGCTTCCTCTGCTTGTGCTTCCTTTGCTTGCGCTTCCTCTTCTTGCGCTTCCTCTCCTTGCGCTTGCTCTGCTTGCGCTTCCTCTGCTTGCACTTCTCTTCTTGTGCTTCCTCTGCTTGCGCTTCCTCTGCTTGCGCTCCTCTGCTTGTGCTTCCTCTGCTTGCGCTTTCTCCGCTTGTGCTTCCTGTGCTTGCGCCTCCTCTGCTTGTGCTTCCTCTGCTTGCGCTTCCTCTGCTTGCACTCCTCTGCTTGTGCTTTCTCAGCTTGTGCTTCCTCTGCTTAAGCTTCCTCTGCTTGCGCTTCCTCTACTTGTGCTTCCTCAACTTGCGCTTCCTCTGCTTGTGCTTCTTCTGCTTGCGCTTCCTCTGCTTGTGCTTCCTCTGCTTCCGCTTCCTCTGCTTGTGCTTCCTCTACTTGCGCTTCCTTTTCTTTCGCTACCTCTGCTTGTGCTTCCTATGCTTGTGCTTCCTCTGCTTGTGCTTCCTATGCTTGTGCTTCCTCTGCTTGTGCTTCCTCTACTTGTGCTTCCTCTGCATGTGCTTCCTCTGATTGTGCTTTCTCTCCTTGCGCTTCCTCTGCTTGTGCTTCCTCTGCTTGCGCTCCTCTGCTTGTGCTTCCTCTACTTGTGCTTCCTCTGCTTGCGCTTCCTCTGCTTGCGCTTCCTCTGCTTGCGCTCCTCTGCTTGTGTTTCCTCTGCTTGTGCTTCCTGCTTGTGCAGCCTCTACTTGCGCTTCCTCTGCTTGCGCTTCCTTTGCTTGCGCTTCCTCCTCTTGTGCTTCCTCTGCTTACGCTTCCTCTGCTTGTGCCTCCTCTGCTCGCTCTTCCTTTGCTTACGCTTCCTCAGCCTGCGCTCCTCTGCTTGTTCTTCCTCTGCTTGTGCTTCCTTTACTTGCGCTTCCTCTGCTTGTGCTTCCTCTACTTGCGCTTCCTCTGCTTGTGCTTCCTCTGCTTGTGCTTCCTCTGCTTGCGCTCCTCTGCTTGTGCTTCCTCTGCTTGCGATTCCTCTGCTTGCGCTTCCTCTGCTTGTGCTTCCTCTACTTGCGCTCCTCTGCTTGTGCTTCTTCTGCTTGCGCTTCCTCTTCTTGCGCTTCCTCTGCTTACGCTTCCTCTCCTTGTGCTTCCTCTGCTTGCTCTTCCTTTGCTTACGCTTCCTCTGCTTGCGCTCCTCTGCTTGCGCTTCCTCTGCTTGTGCTTCCTCTGCTTGCGCTTCCTCTGCTTGTGCTTCCTCTCCTTGCGCTTCCTCTGCTTGTGCTTCCTCTGCTTGCGCTTCCTATGCTTGCGCTCCTCTGCTTGTGCTTCCTCTGCCTGTGCTTCCAGCTTGTGCTTCCTCTGCTTGCGCTTCCTCTACTTGTGCTTCCTCTACTTGCGCCTCCACTGCTTACGCTTCCTCTGCTTGTGCTTCCTCTGCTTGCTCTTCCTTTGCTTACGCTTCCTCTGCCTGCGCTCCTCTGCTTGTGCTTCCTCTGCTTGTGCTTCCTCTTTTTGCGCTTCCTCTGCTTGTGCTTCCTCTACTTGCGCTTCCTCTGCTTGTGCTTCCTCTTCATGTGCTTCCTCTGCTTGCGCTCCTCTGCTTGTGCTTCCTCTGCTTGCGATTCCTCTGCTTGCGCTTCCTCTTCTTGAGCTTCCTCTGCTTGCGCTCCTTTGCTTGTGCTTCCTCTGCTTGCGCTTCCTCTGCTTGTTCTTCCTCTGCTTGTGCTCCTTTGCTTGCGCTTCGTCTGCTTGTGCTTCCTCTGCTTGCGCTTCCTCTTCTTGCGCTTCCTCTCCTTGTGCTTCCTCTGCTTGCGCTTCCTCTGCTTGCGCTCCTCTGCTTGTGCTTCCTCTGCATGCGCTTTCTCTGCTTGTGCTTCCTGTGCTTGCGCCTCCTCTGCATGTGCTTCCTCTGCTTACACTTCCTCTGCTTGAGCTCCTCTGCTTGTGCTTCCTTTGCTTGTGCTTCCTCTGCTTGCGCTTCCTCTCCTTGTGCTTCCTCTGCCTGCGCTCCTCTGCTTGTGCTTCCTCTACTTGTGCTTCCTCTGCTTGCGCTTCCTCTGCTTGCGCTTCCTCTGCTTGCGCTCCTCTGCTTGTGCTTCCTCTTCTTGTGCTTCCTCTGCTTGCGCTTCCTCTGCTTGTGCTTCCTCTGCTTGCACTTCCTCTGCTTGCAATTCCTCTGCTTGCGCTTCCTTTGCTTGTGCTTCCTCTGCTTGCACTTCTTCTTCTTGTGCTTCCTTTGCTTGCGCTTCCTCTGCTTGCGCTTTCTCTGCTTTGGCTTCGTTCTTTTGCTTCCTCTGCTTGTGCTTCCTCTGCTTGTGTTTCCTCTTCTTGCGCTTCCTCTGCTTGCGCTTCCTCTGTTGCGATTCCTCTGCTTGCGCTTCCTCTGCTTGCGCTTCCTCTGCTTGCGCTTCCTCTGCTTGTGCTCTTCTGCTTGCGCTTCCTCTGCTTGTGCTTCCTCTGCTTGCGCTTCCTCTTCTTGCGCTTCCTCTCCTTGCGCTTCCTCTGCTTGCGCTTCCTCTGCTTGCGCTTCTCTTCTTGTGTTTCCTCTGCTTGCGCTTCTTCTGCTTGCGCTCCTCTGCTTGTGCTTCCTCTGCTTGCGCTTTCTCCGCTTGTGCTTCCTGTGCTTGCGCCTCCTCTGCTTGTGCTTCCTCTGCTTGCGCTTCCTCTGCTTGCACTCCTCTGCTTGTGCTTCCTCAGCTTGTGCTTCCTCTGCTTAAGCTTCCTCTGCTTGCGCTTCCTCTACTTGTGCTTCCTCAACTTGCGCTTCCTCTGCTTGCGCTTCCTCTGCTTGCGCTTCCTCTGCTTGCGCTTCCTCTACTTGCGCTTCCTCTGCTTGCGCTTCCTCTGCTTGCGCTTCCTCTGCTTGTGCTTCCTCTGCTTGGGCTCCTCTGCTTGTGCTTCCTATGCTTGTGCTTTCTCTGCTTGCGCTTCCTCTGCTTGTGCTTCTTCTGCTTGCGCTTCCTCTGCTTGTGCTTCCTCTGCTTCCGCTTCCTCTGCTTGTGCTTCCTCTACTTGCACTTCCTCTTCTTTCGCTACCTCTGCTTGTGCTTCCTATGCTTGTGCTTCCTCTGCTTGTGCTTCCTATGCTTGTGCTTGCTCTGCTTGTGCTTCCTCTACTTGTGCTTCCTCTGCATGTGCTTCCTCTGCTTGTGCTTTCTCTCCTTGCGCTTCCTCTGCTTGTGCTTCCTCTGCTTGCGCTTCCTCTACTTGCGCTCCTCTGCTTGTGCTTCCTCTGCTTGTGCTTCCTGCTTGTGCTTCCTCTGCTTGCGCTTCCTCTGCTTGCGCTTCCTTTGCTTGCGCTTCCTCCTCTTGCGCTTCCTCTGCTTACGCTTCCTTTGCTTGTGCCTCCTCTGCTTGCTCTTCCTTTGCTTACGCTTCCTCAGCCTTCGCTCCTCTGCTTGTTCTTCCTCTGCTTGTGCTTCCTTTACTTGCGCTTCCTCTGGTTGTGCTTCCTCTACTTGCGCTTCCTCTGCTTGTGCTTCCTCTGCTTGTGCTTCCTCTGCTTGCGCTCCTCTGCTTGTGCTTCCTCTGCTTGCGATTCCTCTGCTTGCGCTTCCTCCGCTTGTGCTTCTTCTGCTTGTGCTTCCTCTGCTTGCTCTTCCTTTGCTTACGCTTCCTCTGCCTGCGCTCCTCTGCTTGTGCTTCCTCTGCTTGTGCTTCCTCTTCTTGCGCTTCCTCTGCTTGTGCTTCCTCTACTTGCGCTTCCTCTACTTGTGCTTCCTCTTCATGTGCTTCCTCTGCTTGCGTTCCTCTGCTTGTGCTTCCTCTGCTTGCAATTCCTCTGCTTGCGCTTCCTCTTCTTGAGCTTCCTCTGCTTGCGCTCCTTTGCTTGTGCTTCCTCTGCTTGCGCTTCCTCTGCTTGTGCTTCCTCTGCTTGTTCTCCTTTGCTTGCGCTTCCTCTGCTTGTGCTTCCTCTGCTTGCGCTTCCTCTTCTTGCGCTTCCTCTCCTTGTGCTTCCTCTGCTTGCGCTTCCTCTGCTTGCGCTCCTCTATTGTGCTTCCTCTGCATGTGCTTTCTTTGCTTGTGCTTCCTGTGCTTGCGCCTCCTCTGCCTGTGCTTCCTCTGCTTACACTTCCTCTGCTTGAGCTTTTCTGCTTGTGCTTCCTTTGCTTGTGCTTCCTCTGCTTGCGCTTCCTTTGCTTGTGCTTCCTCTGCTTGCGCTCCTCTGCTTGTGCTTTCTCTGCTTGCGCTTCCTCTGCTTGCGCTTCCTCTGCTTGCGCTCCTCTGCTTGTGCTTCCTCTTCTTGTGCTTCCTCTGCTTGCGTTTCCTCTGCTTGTGCTTCCTCTGCTTGCGCTTCCTCTGCTTGCAATTCCTCTGCTTGCGCTTCCTCAGCTTGTGCTTCCTTTGCTTGCACTTCCTCTGCTTGTGCTTCCTTTGCTTGCGCTTCCTCTGCTTGCGCTTCCTCTGCTTGTGCTTCGTTCTTGTGCTTCCTCTGCTTGTGCTTCCTCTGCTTGTGTTTCCTCTGCTTGCGCTTCCTCTGCTTGCACTTCATCTGCTTGCGCTTCCTCTGCTTGTGCTCCTCTGCTTGCGCTTCCTCTACTTGTGCTTCCTTTGCTTGCGCTTCCTCTTCTTGCGCTTCCTCTCCTTGCGCTTCCTCTGCTTGCGCTTCCTCTGCTTGCGCTTCTCTGCTTGTGCTTCCTCTGCTTGCGCTTCCTCTGCTTGCGCTCCTCTGCTTGTGCTTCCTCTGCTTGCGCTTTCTCTGCTTGTGCTTCCTGTGCTTGCGCCTCCTCTGCTTGTGCTTCCTCAGCTTGTGCTTCCTCTGCTTACGCTTCCTCTGCTTGCGCTACCTCTACTTGTGCTTCCTCAACTTGCGCTTCGTCTCCTTGTGCTTCCTCTGCTTGCGCTTCCTCTGCTTGCGCTTCCTCTACTTGGGCTTCCTCTGCTTGCGCTTCCTCTGCTTGTGCTTCCTCTGCTTGTGCTTCCTCTGCTTGGGCTCCTCTGCTTGTCCTTCCTATGCTTGTGCTTCCTCTGCTTGCGCTTCCTCTGCTTGTGCTTCTTCTGCTTGCGCTTTCTCTGCTTGTGCTTCCTCTGCTTCCGCTTCCTCTGCTTGTGCTTCCTCTAATTTCGCTTCCTCTGCTTTCGCTACCTCTGCTTGTGCTTCCTATGCTTGTGCTTCCTCTGCTTGTGCTTCCTATGCTTGTGCTTCCTCTGCTTGTGCTTCCTCTACTTGTGCTTCCTCTGCATGTGCTCCTGCTTGTGCTTCCTCTTCTTGCGCTTCCCTTGCTTGCGCTCCTCTGCTTGCGCTTCCTTTGCTTTGGCTTCCTCTGCTTGTGCTTCCTCTGCTTGTGCTTCCTCTTCTTGCGCTTCCTCTACTTGCGCTCCTCTGCTTGCACTTCCTTTGCTTGCGCCTCCTCTGCTTGTGCTGCCTCAGCTTGTGCTTCCTCCGCTTGTGCTTCCTCTGCTTGTGCTTCCTCTACTTGCGCTTCCTCTTCTTGCGCTTCCTCTGTTTGCGCTTCCTCTGCTTGCGCTCCTCTTCTTGTGCTTCCTCTGCTAGCGCTTCCTCTGCTTGTGCTTCCTCTACTTGCGCTTCCTCTGCTTGCGCTTCCTCCCTTTGCGCTTCCTCTGCTTGCGCTCCTCTGCTTGTGCTTTCTCTGCTTGTGCTTCGTAATTGTGCTTCCTCTGCTTTAGCTTCCTTTGCTTGTGCTTCCTCTACTTGCGCTTCCTCTGCTTGCGCTTCCTCTTCTTGCGCTTCCTCTGCTTGCACTTCCTCTGCTAACGCTTCCTCTGCATGTGCTTCCTCTTCTTGCGCTTCCTCTGCTTACACTTCCTCTGTTTGAGCTCCTCTGCTTGTGCTTCCTTTGCTTGTGCTTCCTCTACTTGCGCTTCCTCTGCTTGTGCTGCCTCTACTTGCACTTCCTCCGCTTGTGCTTCCTCTGCTTGCGCTCCTCTTCTTGTGCTTCCTCTACTTGTGCTTCCTCTGCTTGCGCTTCCTCTGCTTGCGCTTCCTCTGCTTGCGCTCCTCTGCTTGTGCTTCCTCTTCTTGTGCTTCCTCTGCTTGTGCTTCCTTTGCTTGTGCTTCCTCTGCTTGCGCTTCCTTTGCTTGCAATTCCTCTGCTTGCGCTTCCTCTGCTTGTGCTTCCTCTGCATGCACTTTCTCTGCTTGTGCTTCCTTTGCTTGCGCTTCTTCTGCTTGCGCTTCCGCTGCTTATGCTTCGTTCTTGTGCTTCCTCTTCTTGCGCTTCCTCTGCTTGTGTTTCCTCTACTTGCGCTTCCTCTGCTTGCGCTTCCTCTGTTGCGCTTCCTCTGCTTGCGCTTCCTCTGCTTACGCTTCCTCTGCTTGTGCTTCCTGTGCTTACGCTTCCTCTGCTTACACTTCCTCTACTTGCGCTCCTCTTCTTGTGCTTCCTTTGCTTGTGCTTCCTCTACTTGCGCTCCTGTACTTGTGCTTCCTCTACTTGTGCTTCCTCTGCTTGCGCTTTCTGTGCTTGTGCTTCCTCTGCTTGCGCTTCCTCTACTTGTGCTTCCTTGGGTTGCGCTCCTCTGCTTGTGCTTCCTCTGCTTGTGCTTCGTGCTTGTGCTTCCTCTGCTTGCGCTTCCTCTGCTTGTGCTACCTCTTCTTGCGCTTCCTCTGCTTACGCTTCCTCTGCTTGCGCTTCCTCTCCTTGCGTTTCCTCTGCTTACGCTTCCTCTGCTTGTGCTTCCTCTGCTTGCAGTTCCTCTGCTTACACTTCCTTTGCTTGCGCTCCTCTGCTTGTGCTTCCTCTGCTTGTGCTTCCTCTGCTTTTGCTTCCTCTGCTTGTGCTTCCTCTACTTGCGCTTCCTCTGCTTGTCGTTCCTCTGCTTGCGCTTCCTCTGCTTGCGCTACTCTGATTGTGCTTCCTGGGCTTGTGCTTCCTCTGCTTGTTCTTCCTTTGCTTGCGCTTCCTCTGCTTGCGCTCCTATGCTTGTGGTTCCTCTTCTTGTGCTTCCTCTGCTTGTGCTTCCTCTGCTTGTGCTTCCTCTGCTTGCGCTTCCTCTAGTTGCGCTTCCTCTGCTTGCGCTTCCTCTGCTTGTGCTTCCTCTGCTTGCGCTTCCTCTGCTTGTGCTTCCTCTGCTTGCACTTCCTCTGCTTGCGCTTCCTCTGCTTGTGCTTCGTGCTTGTGCTTCCTCTGCTTGCGCTTCCTCTGCTTGTGCTTCCTCTACTTGCGCTTCCTCTGCTTGCGCTTCCTCTGCTTGCGCTTCCTCTGCTGACGCTTCCTCTGCTTGTGCTTCCTCTTCTTGCGTTTCCTCTGCTTACACTTCCTATGCTTGCGCTCCTCTACTTGTGCTTCCTTTGCTTGCGCTTCCACTGCTTGCGCTCCTCTGCTTGTGCTTCCTTTGCTGTACTGCCTCTGCTTGGGCTTCCTCTGCTTGCGCTTCCTCTGCTTGCGCTCCTCTGCTTGTGATTCCTCTTCTTGTGCTTCCTTTGCTTGCGCTTCCTCTGCTTTTTCTTCCTCTGCTTGCGCTTCCTCTGCTTGTGCTTCATCTGCTTGTGCTTCCTCTGCTTGCGCTTCTTCTGCTTGTGCTTCCATAGCTTGTGCTTCCTCTGCTTGCGCTTCCTTAGCTTGCCCTTCTTTTGCTTGTGCTTCCTCTACTTGCGCTTCCTTTGCTAGTGCTTCCTCTGCTTGCGTTTCCTCTGCTTGCGCTTCCTCTGCTTGCGCTTCCTCTGCTAGTGCTTCCTCTTCTTGCGCTTCCTCTGCTTGCGCTTCCTCTGCTTGTGCTTCCTCTGCTTGCGCTTCCTCTGCTTGCGCTTCCTCTGCTTGTGCTTCCTCTGCTTGCGCTTCCTCTGCTTGTGCTTCCTCTGCTTGCGCTTCCTCTGCTTGCGCTTGGTGTTTGTGCTTCCTCTGCTTGCGCTTCCTCTGCTTGTGCTTCCTCTACTTGCGCTTCCTCTTCTTGCACTTCCTCTGCTTGTGCTTCCTCTGCTTGCGCTTCCTCTGCTTGTGCTTCCTCCGCTTTCGCTTCCTCTTCTTGGGCTTCCTCTGATTGTGCTTCCTCTTCTTGCGCTCCTTTGCTTGTGCTTCCTCTTCTTGTGCTTCCTCTTCTTGCGCTTCCTCTGCTTGTGCTTCCTCTGCTTGCGCTTCCTCTGCTTGTGCTTCCTTTGCTTACGATTCCTCTGCTTGCGCTTCCTCTGCTTGTGCTTCCTCTGCTTGTGCTTCCTCTGCTTGTGCTTCCTCTTTTTGTGCCTCCTGTGCTTGCGCTTCCTGTGCTTGCGCTTCCTCTGGTTGTGACTTCTCTGCTTGCGCTTCCTGTTGTTGTGACTCCTCTTCTTGTGCTTCCTCTGCTTGCGCTTCCTCTGCTTGCGCTTCCTCTACTTGCGCATCATCTGCTTGCGCTTCCTCTGCTTGCGCTTCCTCTACTTGTGCTTCATCTGCTTGCGCTTCCTCTGCTTGTGCTTCCTCTGCTTCCGCTTCCTCTACTTGTGCTTCCTTTGCTTGCGCTTCCTCTGCTTGTGCTTCCTCTGCTTGTGCTTCCTCTGGTTGCGCTTCCTCTGCTTGTGCTTCCTATGCTTGTGCTTCCTCTGCTTGCGCTTCCTCTACTTGTGCTTCCTCTGCTTGTGATTCCTCTGCTTGTGCTTCCTCTGCTTGCGCTTCCTCTGCTTGCGCTCCTGTGCTTGTGCTGCCTCTGCTTGTGCTTGCTTTGCTTGCGCTTCCTCTGCTTGCGCTTCCTCTACATGTGCTTCCTCTGCTTGTGCTTCCTCTTCTTGTGCTTCATCTGCTTGCGCTTCCTCTGCTTGCGCTTCCTCTTCTTGCGCTTCCTCTGCTTGCGCTTCCTCTTCTTGGGCTCCTCTACTTGTGCTTCCTGTGCTTGTGCTTCCTCTGCTTGCGCTTCCTCTGCTGTTGCTTCCTCTGCTTGCGCTTCCTCTGCTTGCGCTTCCTCTGCTGTTGCTTCCTCTGCTTGTGCTTCCTCTTCTTGCGCTTCCTCTGCTTGTGCTTCCTCTTCTTGTGCTTCCTCTGCTTGCGCTTCCTCTGCTTGCGCTTCCTCTTCTTGCGCTTCCTCTGCTTGCGCTTCCTCTGCTTGGGCTCCTCTGCTTGTGCTTCCTGTGCTTGTGCTTCCTCTGCTTGCGCTTCCTATGCTGTTGCTTCCTCTGCTTGCGCTTCTTCTGCTTGCGCTTCCTCTGCTGTTGCTTCCTCTGCTTGTGCTTCCTCTTCTTGCGCTTCCTCTGCTTGTGCTTCATCTCCTTGCGCTTCCTCTGCTTGCGCTTCCTCTGCTTCCGCTCCTTTGCTTGTGCTTCCTCTGCTTGTGCTTTCTCTGCTTGCGCATCTTCTGCTTGTGCTTCCTCTGCTTGCGCTTCCTCTGCTTGTGCTTCCTCTGCTTGCGCTTCCTCTGCTTGCACTTCCTTTGCTTGCGCTTCTTCTGCTTGTGCTTCCTCTGCTTGCGCTTCCTCTGCTCACGCTTCCTCTGCTTGTGCTTCCACTGCTTGCGCTTCCTCTGCTTGCGCTTCCTCTGCTTGTGCTTCCTCTGCTTGCGCTTCCTCTTTTTGTAATTCCTCTGCTTGTGCTTCCTCTGCTTGCGCTTCCTCTGCTTGCACTTCCTCTGCTTGTGCTTCCTCTGCTTGCGCTTCCTCTGCTTGCTCTTCCTCTGCTTGTGCTTCGTCTGCTTGCGCTTCCTCTGCTTGTGCTTTGTCGGAACCTTTCTTCTCCTCTGCCCTCGTGTGTCTGTGCTGTCCTCCAGGCCTCCGTGCTATATCTCATCAGCCCATCAAGTTCCTTAGCTCCCTCCCCAAGCCTTGGGTCTTTGGTTCTGCCTTTCCTACTTGCCCCCTCCTCGGCACTGGTTCCGTCCCTTTTCGCCGATGGACCTCCTGGTAGAAAGGCTGCTCTCCCTTTTCCTTCCTGAGGCTCCTCCTTCATGATGGGGCCATTGTAAGGGGCCTGGCCCGGGCCACGTTCGTTCGATGGTCCCGCTTCTCGTGGCCCTTCTCTCCGACTAGCACCACCACGCCTGAATCCTTCACTTCTTTCACTCTCCACCGCTTGACACTCAGTCCTATGTCCAGCATGTCCTGCCTCGCCTGCTTGACATACACTTCCTCTCCCACCCCCAGCTGTGGCTCCCTTTTCTCTGTCTGCTCTTCTCTCCTCCGTTTGTAGTGCTGGGCATCCCTGAGCTGTGCCACTTGCAGGTTCTTGAGTGCCGCTGGCAGCATCTCCCGCAGGTACCACGCCCGCGCCTCAGCTAGCCCCACCCAAGCCTCCGCTGTGTCGGCCCTGACCACCCCCGTCAAGAGCCGTGGCGCATCAACCGGTAGGATGGGTTCCCTTCCTAGCAGCAGGTAGTAAGGGGAGAAGTCTTTCAGGGCCGCTTGCTTACTGAATCGGTATTCCGCCGCCACCCAGGGTAGCCTTGCATCCCAATCTCGCTTGAACTTCTCTCCGTATGCCCTTAGTCCCTGCTTCATAGTCTGCACAAACCTCTCTGTAAGGTCGTCGCTCTGCGGATGGTACCGTGAGGTCCGCCGGTGAGTAATGCCACTCGCCTTCAGCAACTTCTCAAATTCACCGAAGAACTCAGTGCCTTGGTCCGTCAGTACTTCTCCGCAGGCTCCAAAGCGTGTCAGCACTTGCTCCTCGAATGCCTCGGCTATCTTGGCTGAGCTCTTGCTCGGCAGGGCCTTGACTTCCACCCATTTGCTGCTGTGCTCAATCATTATCAGAATGAACCTCTTCCCCCTTCAGCTGAGCGGCATCTCTCCTGCCAGATCTAGGGACCAACGGAACCCTATTCCCCTCATAGGTAAAGACTGAAGCTCCTCCCTTCCCTTCTCGAGCTCCGCTTTGTTCCGGCTGCATAGCTCGCACGAGCTCACCCAAGCTTTGATGTCTCCTCTCATGCCTGCCCACCACCAGCCTGTCTCTATCAGCTGGCTTGTCCGCAGGCTACCGTAATGCCCCAACTGCCGATGCACCTTCGCGATTATCTACTCCCGCTCTTCTCGCCGAGGGACTAGCTTTCACCCTTCCTTGGTAGTCTTCTGCAGTTGACCTTGGAACCACCGATAATGCAGCCCTCTGGCCCTGGCTCTCTCACTCACTATCTCTGCCTCGGACGTCTTTCCCTGGATCCACCGCAGAGTCTCGTCGTCGTCCCAGATGTCGTCAGCTCCTCGTTGTGCCTGCTGCTTTGCTCCTTCTCCGTCAATCTCGCGGGCCATTGCCACCAGGCACGTCTCTGGGCTCGTAGGGGGCGGGTTACGCGAGAGCCCGTCCACGTGCTGCAGCGTTTTCCCTGCTCGGTGCCGAATCGTGAACTCATACTCCTATAGTCTCATCGCCCATCGGGCATTCCTCCCTGTCAGGGCCTGGTTAGTCATCAGCCATGTCAGAGGTTGATGGTCTGTGACTAAGGTGAACGGTCTCCCTTGCAGGTATACCCGGAAATGGGTGATGGCCCACACCGCTGCTAGCCCTTCCCCCTCATAGGAACTGTAATTGGCTTCTGCTGGATTGCAGCTCCTGCTCGCAAACGCCACTACCATCTCCTGTCCTTCCCGTTCTTGGCATAGGATACCTCCCATCCCGGCACTGCTCCAGTCTGTGTAGAGTGTAAAAGGATCCTCTTTGTTGGGCAGAGTGAGCACTGTCCCGGTCTTCACAGCCTTCAGTAGGCCTTTGAATGCCCCCTGCTCCGCCTCCCCCCACTGCCATGGCTGCTCCTCCCTCAACAGCTTATTCAATACCGCGGCTGTGCGACTGAAGTTGGGTACAAACTTGCGGTAGTAGTTGAGGAAGCCTAGCACCGCCCGCAGCGTGCTACGATCCTTGGGGGCGGGGACCCGGTCCAGCACCTCAACTTTCGCCTGTTGGATGCTCAGTCGCCCCCCTTGTACCTCGAACCCTAGATACTTCACCGTACTGTTGCCAAAACTGCACTTCTTCGGATGGCAGGTTAGTCCTGCCTCTCGTATAGCTGCCAGCGTGTCGCTCACGTCCCTCACATGCTGCTCCTCGGAGGCGCTGAACACCACCACGTCGTCTATGTAGCAGGCTGCCACCGGGACATTCCTCAGCACTGAGTCCATCACCCTCTGAAACAAAGCCGGCGCGTTCTTCATGCCGAAGGGCATGAACTTCCGCTCGTGTAATCCGTCCGGCCCATGGAATGCTGTCTTCTTGCGGTCCTCCTCCCGAATAGGTATCTGGTTGAACCCCTGGCAGAGATCCAGCGTGCTGAACACCACTGCCCCTTGCAGCCGATCGAATATCTCCTCTGCGGATTGCATGGGGTACCGATCCGCCACCGTCACTTTGTTAAGCCCTCGGTAGTCCCCACACATCCTCCTGGCTGACACCTCCCTCGTGAGATCTTTCCGTGCAGCCACCACCGTTGCGGCTGCATAGTCACTGTCCGAGTTCTGTATGAGGCCCGCAGCCAACAGCTCGGCACACTTCTCTCTGCATATATCTAGGTCCCCGGGACTCATCCTCCGCTTCCTCTGGTATATGGGTACTTCTGTCGTTAGCTTCACTTGCATCTGATGCGTGTTGCACTGACCCAACTCTTGCAGGGTATAAGCGAACGTCTGGCGGTGCATTCTCAGCACTTCCTGCAGCGCTCGCACCGCTTTTGCCCCCATTCCTGTGCCAATGGGCCAATCGTCATCAGGGCCCCTTTCCTGACTTGGCTTCTCCGCGGGGGCTAGCAGCTCTCCGTCCAGAGGTAGTACCCCTTGATCCGCGCCTCTCTCCGCTATTCCCACGGCCATGTAGGCCCATCCTTCTAAAATCCGCGCCTCTTCTTGTTCTTCTATCGCTTGCAGCTGACGCCGCTTCATCTCGGCCTCCTCCTCCTCCTGGTACAGCTCGCTGACTTCTATGCCGCGTTGCAGCTCCTTCCGCTTCAAGTGCATGTGTATAGTCTCCACTAGCCACGTCATGACGTTCAAATCCATAGCTCGGCCCAGCGCTGCCCGTCTCTGGGGCTCCGTCACTCGCGGATGGGCTGTGGCTCCCAGGCTGTGGCCCATGGCTAACTCCCGTTCGGCAGCCGTAGGTTGCTCCCACTGCTTCCCCACTACATCGTAGATCATTCCCGGACCTGGCAAATCCCCCTCCATCACGAACCCGTACGCGTCCACGTAGGACACGAGTGTAGGCAGCGCCTGCCTCGGCTTCCCTGGCACGTTGCACTGATATTACGACGGATGGTCAGGAGTGGTGACTGGTGCGGGCAGCCGGTTGGGACCCAGGATGTCACTGACCAGCCTGGGTTCGGGCCGTTGCATCTGCGCGAGCGCGTGACGTAGGCTCACGTCCGAGATCCCGTTCTGCCAGTACCTTCTTGGTCGGTGGGCCCTGGACCCCAGCTGCGCTGCATCAACCGCCTGCCCCCTGCCTACGGCCGCCTCCACCTCCGCAAACGCCCTCCTCACGTGTTCCCGGCAATCCTCTGCGAAGTCCACGTTTTCCAGAATATACAACACTTCCCCTTGCCTCGTCTGGACCATTTCCAATACCCGCCTCAGATCCCGGAAAGAGGCCCCCCGGATATCGTCCATCCCCCACCCCGCTCCTGCGCGCCAGTATCCTTGACATTCCCATCCCGCGATGATGACGTCGATCTGCCCCCACTGCTCCAATCTCTCCATCGTAATGGTCCTCACGTCATCTACCACTTCTTCGTCCTCGGCTGGGATAGCAGACTCCGCTATCTGCTCCGGGTACTCTCCCAGTAGCAGCCGTGCGTGATGCTGAGCCATCCGCCGCACCACTGGGTCTCGTTCCACATGGATCCATTTTCGCACTCTGCATCCCGCCTTCAGCACTGCTGCCAACCCGGTAACGATGCCTCCGTAGAGCTCCATCACACACACCGACCCCTCAAGTGTCCATAGCCTGGAGATCCTCTCCTTTAGGGGCGGCGGCTCTCTCCCCTGCTGTCTCCTTTCGATGCGGCGTTCGTACTCCTCTGCATATTTCTCCCAACTCCACTCATCCAGCACAGGGCTCAAGTCAGCACGTCGCGCCCCGTAGGCCTCACGCGGCTCTTGCCTGACGAACTTCACCGGCAAGGTGCCGACCGGGCTGGCCGGATCCCAATAGTGTACTCGGTACAGCACTTTCTCTTGCCAGGTACAAATGGTGGCGCCCACTCGGTACAGCAGGTCCATGCCCAACAGCACGTCGTAATCTTCCGACTCCGACACACCGCAAGTCACGCAGATGCAGCATTCTTTCTCCGTCCCTGGGAGCAGTACGATCTTGATCGGCCTTACGGTCCGCGGCATCCATTTCGGCTCACCCCCTTCAGCGGTCATGAGTAGGATCCCCCTCGGTACCACCCTCCCCGGCAGGTCCAGCTTCAGCTGCTTCGCTAGGCCCCGTCCGATCAACACATTGTGCGCGCCAGTATCTACGATCGCCTGGCCGACGGGCAGCCCCCCTACGATCAGGCTCCCCTTTTCCGCGATCAGCACGGACGCCTGGCACACCAATCGCTTGTTAGGATGGCGGCGCAGCTCCGAGGTACTACTCCCCTCGTGGAAGTTACCTCTCGGTCCTCTCACGCGGCTGGAGCAGCTTTCGGTCGACTGACTTCCCCGAGGCCGAAGGTCTATCTCCCCCCTCTCTCTGGGGAGTGCGGAGATAACTACTACAACGGGAGCTTAGAGTACTGGCTAGGCACGTGTGCTCGTGTGATGTCTGCGTTCGTTGGTCCTTAGACGTTTTCCTAGTGCTCACACTGCTTGCTAGTTCACGGGGCAATTTTGGCAAGAGTTTCACTAGAGAAAGTTGTCAATAATGGTACAATGAAGTTGGCAATGCAAGACTACATCAGAGCTAGCATTCAGGTTGGTCGACTGCCAGCACAGCATGGTCGACCACATTCCAGCAAGACTTGGTCGACCACGCTACAGCAGTGCAAAGTCGACAGCTTGCCAACGCTGCAGGTTGACGGCGTGCCAGCATTGCTCACGCAGGACAGCAGTGCACCCGCTTTGCAGGTGCGCGCAGATGATTGGCATGCAAAGTCTCGTCACCTGCACAGCGCACACACCACGTCAACCTCGGGCTAGCGACTGCCTCTGATCCGCCACGACGACCTCGGAATACCACCATGGAGGTCGGTCTCGCCAACTTCGCCTGGGTGACCGTCGCACTCCTTCGCAGAACCTCGTCACCCAAGTATCCTGGTCGACCGGGCAACTATGTCGACCAGCTGCTCCTGTATGTGCTCGTCGACCTCCCAAGTCGACAACCACACCAGGTCGACCTCACCAGGTCGACCACTCCTCCGGTCGACCAGATCCAGGTCGACGTCACTCCTGGTCGACCAGTGCAGTTGTCAGCTACCCAAGTCGGCGTCACCAAGTCGACGCCCCTTCTACGTCGGCGCCAACTTCCAGACTGACCTCTTGAAGTTGGCGACCTTGCAAGTCGGCTGTACCTTCCGTACCCCCCACCACGAAGTCGGCTCCGCCCAAGCGTGGACGGGGCCAACACACAACTCCCGTTGACAGGGAGCGCCATGAAGCCACTTGCCGTCAGGTACTCGGATTCTCCTTCCTCGTCCTCAGCAATCTCTTCGTATGCGAGCATCGCCCGAGTTTTCGGCTTGATTCTCGACTTGGCTTCCAACTTCAATTGCAGCTTCTTAATCTCCGCTTGCAACTCCTCCTTGCTCGGGTTCTCTTCCAAGCGGCGGCGGCTGTAGCAGGCGTCCTCTTTATGCCCTCTCTTCCCGCAGTTCCCGCACACCGGCAGCTTCGGGCAGTCGCGCTTTAGATGACCCAGTTCTCCGCATTCGTGACACCGCCGTCCATCTGTCCGGGGCGCTCCTCCCTGCGCCGTCTCCACCAACGCTACCGCCGCCCACGAGGACTTCGCTTTGGGACGGGTCTCTCCATCCTCCAAATCCAGCATCCGTTGCGCATGCTCCGTACGTTTTGCCAGTCCATACACTTCCTTCAGTGTAATCTCCGCGCCGATGCCATATACCGTGTTCCGCACCACGTTCCGCAGGTCTTCCTCCAAGCCCCTGACGAACTTGCGTACGAGCAGTCGTTCGTCGCTACTCTCCAGGTCTTCAGCGAGCTCCCTCAGCCTCCAATAGTAGGCCAGCGGGGATTCCTCTCTTCCCCGGCGGAACTCGCGGAACTCTTCCACCCTCGCTTTGGTCTGGCCCAGGAACTCCTTCTTTAGTAGTTCGATGAAGCGCGTGGTCGGGTTGACTGTCTCCCCGCATTCCCATTCCTCGAGCACTTCACTCCGGGTCATCCGGTAAAAAGTCTCCGCTTCGCCCGCCAATGTCACTACCATCCGTCTGAAGAACTCGGCAGGGTCCAGTCCGTCCCGTTCCCAGCAGTACTGCACCGTCTCGAGCTGCATCAAGTAGTTCTTCAAGGTAGGGCCCACTCCGGGAATCCCTGTGAATCGCTCGGCCACTTCTAATTTTGGGAGAGCGCCGCCCTGCCACCTTTTTTCATTCGGACGGGGAGGGAGCGCCACAGCCGCTGGTACCTCCGCTGACCGACTAGCCACGATTTCCTGATTCGGCGGCGTCTGAAACCCGCTTTCTGGCTGGCGGCGTAGCCAAGGCGCGTGCACCGGCGTCCTGTCTGTCTCTATCCCCTGCATCTCTCTAGGGGAAGTGACCTCGGGCCTCCGCTCCCATCGCGCCCGTGCTTCACGTGCCCATCGCATATCGTGGGGCGTTTCTCCTGGGTCTGAATCGACGGAGCGCCGCGGCTCCATCTCCTCTTGTCTGTCCCGTTCACGTTGATGCGGGGTGCGATAGGCCGCAGTTCTTGGCAGTGACGAGCGCGTCGCTTCGGTCGCAGTTTCTCCTTCCCGGATGGTGGTGGTAGCGGCGCGCCAGCTTGGCTCCGCGAGAGGCGCTTCTCTACGATAGTTCTGTCCAGATCACAGTTTAAACCTATCGGTCATACTAACTCCGTGGCGAAAGCGGGTCGCTTTCTTGCTTGTTTGTTGAAAGTTCCTAGCCTCTAAATCTTGGCTAGGAAAACTTAACTCGGCTGACTGACGATCAAACCCCTTTTGCAACAATTCACTGGCCTTGCTGTGGTTGGCTCCTCTACGAAAGCAGCAATATGGAGTATCAAATCTTTGGCTAAGAGTGGAAACAAACAAGCAAGCAATTGAACCTACTTCGGTTGCTTGCCTAAGTAGTAGGACCGAGTTACCGTTGCTTCACAACGGATACCCGCTTTCGCTACGTCTCCTCGTTTCCCCCGCCTTGATTGCGCGGGGTTCCTTTAACTCATTTGTAGCTCTACTCACTACTGTAATCTGTCATGGTTTTATATTGTCCCTGCCTACGCTATTTAGCAATTAAAAACATGACAGCTTCCTCTGCTTACGCTTCCTCTTCTTGCGCTTCTTCTGCTTGTGCTTCCTCTGCTTGCGCTTCCTCTGCTTGCGCTCCTCTGCTTGTGCTTCCTCTGCTTATGCTTCCTCTACTTGTGCTTCCTCTGCTTGTGCTTCCTCTGCTTGCGCTTCCTCTACTTGTGCTTTCTCTGCTTACACTTCCTCCGCTTGAGCTTCCTCTGCTTGTGCTTCCTCTACTTGTGCTTCCTCTGCTTGTGCTTCCTCTGCTTGTGCTTCTTTGCTTGCGTTTCCTCAGCTTGTGCTTCTTCTGCTTGCGCTTCCTTTGCTCGTGCTTCCTATTCTTGTGCTTGCTGTGCTTGTGCTTCCTCTGCTTGTGCTTCCTCTGCATGTGCTTCCTCTACTTGTGCTTCCTCTGCTTGTGCTTCTTCTGCTTGCGCTTCCTCTGCTTGTGCTTCCTCTGCTTGTGCTTCCTCTACTTGTGCTTCCTCTGCTTGCGCTTCCTCTGATAGCGCTCCTCTCCTTGTGCTTCCAATGCTTCTGCTTCCTCTACTTGCGCTTCCTCTGCTTGCGCTTCCTCTGCGTGTGCTTTTTTGCTTGTGCTTCATCTGCTTGTGCTCCTTTGCCTGTGCTTCCTCTGCTTGTGCTTCCTTTGCTTGCGCATCTTCTGCTTGTGCTTCCTCTGCTTGCGCTTCCTCTGCTTGTGCTTCCTCTGCTTGCGCTTCCTCTGCTTGCACTTCCTTTGCTTGCGCTTCCTATGCTTGTGCTTCCCCGGCTTGCGCTTCCTCTGCTCGCGCTTCCTCTACTTGTGCTTCCACTGCTTGCGCTTCCTCTGCTTGCGCTTCCTCTGCTTGTGCTTCCTCAGCTTGCGCTTCCTCTTTTTGTGCTTCCTCTGCTTCTGCTTCCTGTGCTTGCACTTCCTCTGCTTGTGCTTCCTCTGCTTGCGCTTCCTGTGCTTGCTCTTCCCCTGCTTGTGCTTCGTCTGCTTGCGCTTCCTCTACTTGTGCTTCGTCTCCTTACGCTTCCTCTTCTTGAGCTTCTTCAGCTTGTGCTTCCTCTGCTTGCGCTTCCACTGCTTGCGCTTCCTCTGCTTGCGCTCCTCTGCTTGTGCTTCCTCTGCTTGTGGTTCCTCTGCTTGCGCTTCCTCTGCTTGTGCTTCCTCTGCTTGCGCTTTCTCTACTTGTGCTTCCTCTGCTTACGCTTCCTCTGCTTGAGCTTCCTCTACTTGTGCTTCCTCTGCTTGTGCTTCCTCTGCTTATGCTTTCTCTGCTTGTGCTTCCTTTGCTTGCGTTTCCTCTGCTTGTGCTTCTTCTGCTTGCACTTCCTTTGCTTGTGCTTCCTCTGCTTGTGCTTCCTCTGCTTGTGCTTCCTCTGCTTGTGGTTCCTCTGCTTGCGCTTCCTCTGCTTGCGCTTCCTCTGCTTGTGCTTCCTTGCTTGTGCTTCCTCTGCTTGCGCTTCCTCTGGTTGCGCTTCTTCTGCTTGTGCTTCCTCTACTTGCGCTTCCTCGGCTTGTGCTTCCTCTGCTTGCGTTTCCTCAGCTTGCACTTCCTCTGCTTGCGCTCCTCTGCTTTTGCTTCCTCTGCTTGTGCTTCCTCTGCTTGTGCTTCCTCTGCTTGTGCTTCCTCCGCTTGCGCTTCCTGTGCTTGTGCTTCCTCTGCTTGTGCTCCCTCTTCTTGCGCTTCCTCTGCTTGTGCTTCCTCTGCTTGTGCTTCCTCTGCTTGTGCTTCCTCTGCTTACTCTTCCTCTGCTTGCGCTTCATCTGCTCGCGCTTCCTTTGCTTGTGCTTCCTCTGCTTGAGCTTCCTCTGCTTGTGCTTCCTCTGCATGCGCTTTCTGTGCTTGCGCTTCCTCTGGTTGTGACTCCTCTACTTGCGCTTCCTCTTGTTGCGCATCCTCTGCTTGCGCTTCCTCTGCTTGCGCATCCTCTGCTTGCGCTTCCTCTACTTGCGCTTCCTATGCTTGGGCTCCTCTGCTCGTGCTTCCTCTGCTTGTGCTTCCTCTGCTTGCACTTCTTCTGCTGTTGCTTCCTCTGCTTGTGCTTCCTCTTCTTGCGCTTCCTCTGCTTGTGCTTCCTCTGCTTGCGCTTCCTCTGCTTGCGCTTCCTCTACTTGCGCTCCTTTGCTTGTGCTTCCTCTGCTTGCGCTTCCTCTGCTTGCGCTTCCTCTGCTTGTGCTTCCTCCGCTTGAGCTTCCTCTGCTTGTGCTTCCTCTGCTTGTGCTTCCTTTGCTTGTGCTTCCTCTGCTTCTGCTTCCTTTGCTTGCGTTTCCTCTGCTTGTGCTTCTTTTGCTTGCGCTTCCTTTGCTTGTGCTTCCTTTGCTTGTGCTTCCTCTGCTTGTGCTTCCTTTGCTTGCGCTTCTTCTGCTTGTGCTTCCTCTGCTTGCGTTCCTCTGCTTGTGCTTCCTCTGCTTGCGCTTCCTCTGCTCGCGCTTCCTCTATTTGTGCTTGCACTGCTTGCGCTTCCTCTGCTTGCGCTTCCTCTGCTTGTGCTTCCTCTGCTTGCGCTTCCTCTTTTTGTGCTTCCTCTGCTTCTGCTTCCTTTGCTTGCGCTTCCTCTGCTTGCACTTCCTCTGCTTGTGCTTCCTCTGCTTGCGCTTCCTCTGCTTGCTCTTCCTCTGCTTGTGCATTGTCTGCTTGCGCTTCCTCTACTTGTGCTTCGTCTGCTTACGCTTCCTCTTCTTGCGCTTCTTCTGCTTGTGCTTCCTCTGCTTGCGCTTCCATTGCTTGCGCTTCCTCTGCTTGCGCTCCTCTGCTTGTGCTTCCTCTGCTTGTGCTTCCTCTGCTTGCGCTTCATCTGCTTGTGCTCCTTTGCCTATGCTTCCTCTGCTTGTGCTTCCTTTGCTTGCGCATCTTCTGCTTGTGCTTCCTCTGCTTGCGCTTCCTCTGCTTGTGCTTCCTCTGCTTGCGCTTCCTCTGCTTGCTGTTCCTTTGCTTGCGCTTCCTCTGCTTGTGCTTCCCCGGCTTGCGCTTCCTCTGCTCGCGCTTTCTCTACTTGTGCTTCCACTGCTTGCGCTTCCTCTGCTTGCGCTTCCTCTGCTTGTGCTTCCTCTCTTTGCGCTTCCTCTGCTTGTGCTTACTCTGCTTGCGCTTCCTCTGCTTGCTCTTCCTCTGCTTGTGCTTCGTCTGCTTGCGCTTCCTCTACTTGTGCTTCATCTGCTTACACTTCCTCTTCTTGCGCTTCTTCTGCTTGTGCTTCCTCTGCTTGCGCTTCCACTGCTTGCGCTTCCTCTGCTTGCGCTTCTCTGCTTGTGCTTCCTCTGCTTGTGCTTCCTCTGCTTGCGCTTCCTCTGCTTGTGCTTCCTCTGCTTGCGCTTCCTCTACTTGTGCTTCCTCTGCTTACGCTTCCTCTGCTTGAGCTTCCTCAACTTTTGCTTCCTCTGCTTGCGCTTCCTCTGCTTGTGCTTCCTCTGCTTGTGCTTCCTTTGCTTGCGTTTCCTCTGCTTGTGCTTCTTTTGCTTGCACTTCCTTTGTTTGTGCTTCCTCTGCTTATTCTTCCTCTGCTTGTGCTTCCTCTGCTTGCGCTTCCTCTGCTTGCACTTCCTCTGCTTGTGCTTCCTCTGCTTGCGCTTCCTCTGCTTGCTCTGCCTCTGCTTGTGCTTTGTCTGCTTGCGCTTCCTCTTCTTGTGCTTCGTCTGCTTACGCTTCCTCTTCTTGCGCTTCTTCTGCTTGTGCTTCCTCTGCTTGCGCTTCCATTGCTTGCGCTTCCTCTGCTTGCGCTCCTCTGCTTGTGCTTCCTCTGCTTGTGCTTCCTCTGCTTGCGCTTCATCTTCTTGTGCTCCTTTGCCTGTGCTTCCTCTGCTTGTGCTTCATTTGCTTGCGCATCTTCTGCTTGTGCTTCCTCTGCTTGCGCTTCCTCTGCTTGTGCTTCCTCTGCTTGCGCTTCCTGTGCTTGCGCTTCCTCTGCTTGTGCTTCCTTGTTTGTGCTTCCTCTGCTTGCGCTTCCTCTGCTTGCGCTTCTTCTGCTTGTGCTTCCTCTACATGCGCTTCCTCTGCTTGTGCTTCCTCTGCTTGCGTTTCCTCAGCTTGCTCTTCCTCAGCTTGCGCTCCTCTGCTTTTGCTTCATCTGCTTGTGCTTCCTCTACTTGCGCTTCCTCTGCTTGTGCTTCCTCCGCTTGCGCCTCCTCTGCTTGTGCTTCCTCTGCTTGCGCTTCCTCTGCTTGCGCTCCTCTGCTTGTGCTTCCTCTGCTTGTGCTTCCTCTTCTTGCACTTCCTCTGCTTGTGCTTCCTCTGCTTGCGCTTCCTCTGCTTGTGCTTCCTCTGCTTACGCTTCCTCTGCTTGCGCTTCGTGTGCTCCCGCTTCCTCTGCTTGTGCTTCCTCTGCTTGTGCTTCCTCTGCTTGTGCTTCCTCTGCATGCGCTTTCTCTGCTTGCGCTTCCTCTGGTTGTGACTCCTCTACTTGCGCTTCCTCTGCTTGCGCTTCCTCTGCTTGCGCTTCCTCTGCTTGCGCATCCTCTGCTTGCGCTTCCTCTGCTTGCGCTTCCTCTGCTTGCGCTTCCTTTGCTTGTGCTTCCTCTGCTTGTGCTTCCTCTGCTTGTGCTTCCTCTTCTTGTGCTTCCTCCTCATGTGCTTCCTCTACTTGTGCTTCCTCTGCTTGTGCTTCCTCTGCTTGCGCTTCCTCTGCTTGTGCTTCCTCTGCTTGCGCTTCCTCTGCTTGCGCTTCCTCTGCTTGCGCTCCTCTGCTTGTGCTTCCTCTGCTTATGCTTCCTCTACTTGTGCTTCCTCTGCTTGTGCTTCCTCTGCTTGCGCTTCCTCTACTTGTGCTTTCTCTGCTTACGCTTCCTCCGCTTGAGCTTCCTCTGCTTGTGCTTCCTCTACTTGTGCTTCCTCTGCTTGTGCTTCCTCTGCTTGTGCTTCTTTGCTTGCGTTTCCTCAGCTTGTGCTTCTTCTGCTTGCGCTTCCTTTGCTCGTGCTTCCTATTCTTGTGCTTGCTGTGCTTGTGCTTCCTCTGCTTGTGCTTCCTCTGCATGTGCTTCCTCTACTTGTGCTTCCTCTGCTTGTGCTTCTTCTGCTTGCGCTTCCTCTGCTTGTGCTTCCTCTGCTTGTGCTTCCTCTACTTGTGCTTCCTCTGCTTGCGCTTCCTCTGATTGCGCTCCTCTCCTTGTGCTTCCAATGCTTCTGCTTCCTCTACTTGCGCTTCCTCTGCTTGCGCTTCCTCTGCGTGTGCTTTTTTGCTTGTGCTTCATCTGCTTGTGCTCCTTTGCCTGTGCTTCCTCTGCTTGTGCTTCCTTTGCTTGCGCATCTTCTGCTTGTGCTTCCTCTGCTTGCGCTTCCTCTGCTTGTGCTTCCTCTGCTTGCGCTTCCTCTGCTTGCACTTCCTTTGCTTGCGCTTCCTATGCTTGTGCTTCCCCGGCTTGCGCTTCCTCTGCTCGCGCTTCCTCTACTTGTGCTTCCACTGCTTGCGCTTCCTCTGCTTGCGCTTCCTCTGCTTGTGCTTCCTCAGCTTGCGCTTCCTCTTTTTGTGCTTCCTCTGCTTCTGCTTCCTGTGCTTGCACTTCCTCTGCTTGTGCTTCCTCTGCTTGCGCTTCCTGTGCTTGCTCTTCCCCTGCTTGTGCTTCGTCTGCTTGCGCTTCCTCTACTTGTGCTTCGTCTCCTTACGCTTCCTCTTCTTGAGCTTCTTCAGCTTGTGCTTCCTCTGCTTGCGCTTCCACTGCTTGCGCTTCCTCTGCTTGCGCTCCTCTGCTTGTGCTTCCTCTGCTTGTGGTTCCTCTGCTTGCGCTTCCTCTGCTTGTGCTTCCTCTGCTTGCGCTTCCTCTACTTGTGCTTCCTCTGCTTACGCTTCCTCTGCTTGAGCTTCCTCTACTTGTGCTTCCTCTGCTTGTGCTTCCTCTGCTTATGCTTTCTCTGCTTGTGCTTCCTTTGCTTGCGTTTCCTCTGCTTGTGCTTCTTCTGCTTGCACTTCCTTTGCTTGTGCTTCCTCTGCTTGTGCTTCCTCTGCTTGTGCTTCCTCTGCTTGTGGTTCCTCTGCTTGCGCTTCCTCTGCTTGCGCTTCCTCTGCTTGTGCTTCCTTGCTTGTGCTTCCTCTGCTTGCGCTTCCTCTGGTTGCGCTTCTTCTGCTTGTGCTTCCTCTACTTGCGCTTCCTCGGCTTGTGCTTCCTCTGCTTGCGTTTCCTCAGCTTGCACTTCCTCTGCTTGCGCTCCTTTGCTTTTGCTTCCTCTGCTTGTGCTTCCTCTGCTTGTGCTTCCTCTGCTTGTGCTTCCTCCGCTTGCGCTTCCTGTGCTTGTGCTTCCTCTGCTTGTGCTCCCTCTTCTTGCGCTTCCTCTGCTTATGCTTCCTCTGCTTGTGCTTCCTCTGCTTGTGCTTCCTCTGCTTACGCTTCCTCTGCTTGCGCTTCATCTGCTCGCGCTTCCTTTGCTTGTGCTTCCTCTGCTTGAGCTTCCTCTGCTTGTGCTTCCTCTGCATGCGCTTTCTGTGCTTGCGCTTCCTCTGGTTGTGACTCCTCTACTTGCGCTTCCTCTTGTTGCGCATCCTCTGCTTGCGCTTCCTCTGCTTGCGCATCCTCTGCTTGCGCTTCCTCTGCTTGCGCTTCCTATGCTTGGGCTCCTCTGCTCGTGCTTCCTCTGCTTGTGCTTCCTCTGCTTGCACTTCTTCTGCTGTTGCTTCCTCTGCTTGTGCTTCCTTTTCTTGCGCTTCCTCTGCTTGTGCTTCCTCTGCTTGCGCTTCCTCTGCTTGCGCTTCCTCTACTTGCGCTCCTTTGCTTGTGCTTCCTCTGCTTGCGCTTCCTCTGCTTGCGCTTCCTCTGCTTGTGCTTCCTCCCCTTGAGCTTCCTCTGCTTGTGCTTCCTCTGCTTGTGCTTCCTTTGCTTGTGCTTCCTCTGCTTGTGCTTCCTTTGCTTGCGTTTCCTCTGCTTGTGCTTCTTTTGCTTGCGCTTCCTTTGCTTGTGCTTCCTTTGCTTGTGCTTCCTCTGCTTGTGCTTCCTTTGCTTGCGCTTCTTCTGCTTGTGCTTCCTCTGCTTGCGTTCCTCTGCTTGTGCTTCCTCTGCTTGCGCTTCCTCTGCTCGCGCTTCCTCTATTTGTGCTTCCACTGCTTGCGCTTCCTCTGCTTGCGCTTCCTCTGCTTGTGCTTCCTCTGCTTGCGCTTCCTCTTTTTGTGCTTCCTCTGCTTCTGCTTCCTTTGCTTGCGCTTCCTCTGCTTGCACTTCCTCTGCTTGTGCTTCCTCTGCTTGCGCTTCCTCTGCTTGCTCTTCCTCTGCTTGTGCATTGTCTGCTTGCGCTTCCTCTACTTGTGCTTCGTCTGCTTACGCTTCCTCTTCTTGCGCTTCTTCTGCTTGTGCTTCCTCTGCTTGCGCTTCCATTGCTTGCGCTTCCTCTGCTTGCGCTCCTCTGCTTGTGCTTCCTCTGCTTGTGCTTCCTCTGCTTGCGCTTCATCTGCTTGTGCTCCTTTGCGTGTGCTTCCTCTGCTTGTGCTTCCTTTGCTTGCGCATCTTCTGCTTGTGCTTCCTCTGCTTGCGCTTCCTCTGCTTGTGCTTCCTCTGCTTGCGCTTCCTCTGCTTGCTGTTCCTTTGCTTGCGCTTCCTCTGCTTGTGCTTCCCCGGCTTGCGCTTCCTCTGCTCGCGCTTCCTCTACTTGTGCTTCCACTGCTTGCGCTTCCTCTGCTTGCGCTTCCTCTGCTTGTGCTTCCTCTGCTTGCGCTTCCTCTTTTTGTGCTTCCTGTGCTTCTGATTTATTTGCTTGCGCTTCCTCTGCTTGCACTTCCTCTGCTTGTGCTTACTCTGCTTGCGCTTCCTCTGCTTGCTCTTCCTCTGCTTGTGCTTCGTCTGCTTGCGCTTCCTCTACTTGTGCTTCATCTGCTTACACTTCCTCTTCTTGCGCTTCTTCTGCTTGTGCTTCCTCTGCTTGCGCTTCCACTGCTTGCGCTTCCTCTGCTTGCGCTTCTCTGCTTGTGCTTCCTCTGCTTCTGCTTCCTCTGCTTGCGCTTCCTTTGCTTGTGCTTCCTCTGCTTGCGCTTCCTCTACTTGTGCTTCCTCTGCTTACGCTTCCTCTGCTTGAGCTTCCTCAACTTTTGCTTCCTCTGCTTGCGCTTCCTCTGCTTGTGCTTCCTCTGCTTGTGCTTCCTTTGCTTGCGTTTCCCCTGCTTGTGCTTCTTCTGCTTGCACTTCCTTTGCTTGTGCTTCCTCTGCTTATTCTTCCTCTGCTTGTGCTTCCTCTGCTTGCGCTTCCTCTGCTTGCACTTCCTCTGCTTGTGCTTCCTCTGCTTGCGCTTCCTCTGCTTGCTCTTCCTCTGCTTGTGCTTTGTCTGCTTGCGCTTCCTCTTCTTGTGCTTCGTCTGCTTACGCTTCCTCTTCTTGCGCTTCTTCTGCTTGTGCTTCCTCTGCTTGCGCTTCCATTGCTTGCGCTTCCTCTGCTTGCGCTCCTCTGCTTGTGCTTCCTCTGCTTGTGCTTCCTCTGCTTGCGCTTCATCTTCTTGTGCTCCTTTGCCTGTGCTTCCTCTGCTTGTGCTTCCTTTGCTTGCGCATCTTCTGCTTGTGCTTCCTCTGCTTGCGCTTCCTCTGCTTGTGCTTCCTCTGCTTGCGCTTCCTCTGCTTGCGCTTCCTCTGCTTGTGCTTCCTTGTTTGTGCTTCCTCTGCTTGCGCTTCCTCTGCTTGCGCTTCTTCTGCTTATGCTTCCTCTACATGCGCTTCCTCTGCTTGTGCTTCCTTTGCTTGCGTTTCCTCAGCTTGCTTTTCCTCAGCTTGCGCTCCTCTGCTTTTGCTTCATCTGCTTGTGCTTCCTCTACTTGCGCTTCCTCTGCTTGTGCTTCCTCCGCTTGCGCCTCCTCTGCTTTCGCTTCCTCTGCTTGCGCTTCCTCTGCTTGCGCTCCTCTGCTTGTGCTTCCTCTGCTTGTGCTTCCTCTTCTTGCACTTCCTCTGCTTGTGCTTCCTCTGCTTGCGCTTCCTCTGCTTGTGCTTCCTCTGCTTACGCTTCCTCTGCTTGCGCTTCGTGTGCTCCCGCTTCCTCTGCGTGTGCTTCCTCTGCTTGTGCTTCCTCTGCTTGTGCTTCCTCTGCATGCGCTTTCTCTGCTTGCGCTTCCTCTGGTTCTGACTCCTCTACTTGCGCTTCCTCTGCTTGCGCTTCCTCTGCTTGCGCTTCCTCTGCTTGTGCTTCCTTGCTTGTGCTTCCTCTGCTTGCGCTTCCTCTGGTTGCGCTTCTTCTGCTTGTGCTTCCTCTACTTGCGCTTCCTCGGCTTGTGCTTCCTCTGCTTGCGTTTCCTCAGCTTGCACTTCCTCTGCTTGCGCTCCTTTGCTTTTGCTTCCTCTGCTTGTGCTTCCTCTGCTTGTGCTTCCTCTGCTTGTGCTTCCTCCGCTTGCGCTTCCTGTGCTTGTGCTTCCTCTGCTTGTGCTCCCTCTTCTTGCGCTTCCTCTGCTTATGCTTCCTCTGCTTGTGCTTCCTCTGCTTGTGCTTCCTCTGCTTACGCTTCCTCTGCTTGCGCTTCATCTGCTCGCGCTTCCTTTGCTTGTGCTTCCTCTGCTTGAGCTTCCTCTGCTTGTGCTTCCTCTGCATGCGCTTTCTGTGCTTGCGCTTCCTCTGGTTGTGACTCCTCTACTTGCGCTTCCTCTTGTTGCGCATCCTCTGCTTGCGCTTCCTCTGCTTGCGCATCCTCTGCTTGCGCTTCCTCTGCTTGCGCTTCCTATGCTTGGGCTCCTCTGCTCGTGCTTCCTCTGCTTGTGCTTCCTCTGCTTGCACTTCTTCTGCTGTTGCTTCCTCTGCTTGTGCTTCCTTTTCTTGCGCTTCCTCTGCTTGTGCTTCCTCTGCTTGCGCTTCCTCTGCTTGCGCTTCCTCTACTTGCGCTCCTTTGCTTGTGCTTCCTTTGCTTGCGCTTCCTCTGCTTGCGCTTCCTCTGCTTGTGCTTCCTCCGCTTGAGCTTCCTCTGCTTGTGCTTCCTCTGCTTGTGCTTCCTTTGCTTGTGCTTCCTCTGCTTGTGCTTCCTTTGCTTGCGTTTCCTCTGCTTGTGCTTCTTTTGCTTGCGCTTCCTTTGCTTGTGCTTCCTTTGCTTGTGCTTCCTCTGCTTGTGCTTCCTTTGCTTGCGCTTCTTCTGCTTGTGCTTCCTCTGCTTGCGTTCCTCTGCTTGTGCTTCCTCTGCTTGCGCTTCCTCTGCTCGCGCTTCCTCTATTTGTGCTTCCACTGCTTGCGCTTCCTCTGCTTGCGCTTCCTCTGCTTGTGCTTCCTCTGCTTGCGCTTCCTCTTTTTGTGCTTCCTCTGCTTCTGCTTCCTTTGCTTGCGCTTCCTCTGCTTGCACTTCCTCTGCTTGTGCTTCCTCTGCTTGCGCTTCCTCTGCTTGCTCTTCCTCTGCTTGTGCATTGTCTGCTTGCGCTTCCTCTACTTGTGCTTCGTCTGCTTACGCTTCCTCTTCTTGCGCTTCTTCTGCTTGTGCTTCCTCTGCTTGGGCTTCCATTGCTTGCGCTTCCTCTGCTTGCGCTCCTCTGCTTGTGCTTCCTCTGCTTGTGCTTCCTCTGCTTGCGCTTCATCTGCTTGTGCTCCTTTGCCTGTGCTTCCTCTGCTTGTGCTTCCTTTGCTTGCGCATCTTCTGCTTGTGCTTCCTCTGCTTGCGCTTCCTCTGCTTGTGCTTCCTCTGCTTGCGCTTCCTCTGCTTGCTGTTCCTTTGCTTGCGCTTCCTCTGCTTGTGCTTCCCCGGCTTGCGCTTCCTCTGCTCGCGCTTCCTCTACTTGTGCTTCCACTGCTTGCGCTTCCTCTGCTTGCGCTTCCTCTGCTTGTGCTTCCTCTGCTTGCGCTTCCTCTTTTTGTGCTTCCTGTGCTTCTGATTTATTTGCTTGCGCTTCCTCTGCTTGCACTTCCTCTGCTTGTGCTTACTCTGCTTGCGCTTCCTCTGCTTGCTCTTCCTCTGCTTGTGCTTCGTCTGCTTGCGCTTCCTCTACTTGTGCTTCATCTGCTTACACTTCCTCTTCTTGCGCTTCTTCTGCTTGTGCTTCCTCTGCTTGCGCTTCCACTGCTTGCGCTTCCTCTGCTTGCGCTTCTCTGCTTGTGCTTCCTCTGCTTGTGCTTCCTCTGCTTGCGCTTCCTTTGCTTGTGCTTCCTCTGCTTGCGCTTCCTCTACTTGTGCTTCCTCTGCTTACACTTCCTCTGCTTGAGCTTCCTCAACTTTTGCTTCCTCTGCTTGCGCTTCCTCTGCTTGTGCTTCCTCTGCTTGTGCTTCCTTTGCTTGCGTTTCCTCTGCTTGTGCTTCTTCCGCTTGCACTTCCTTTGCTTGTGCTTCCTCTGCTTATTCTTCCTCTGCTTGTGCTTCCTCTGCTTGCGCTTCCTCTGCTTGCACTTCCTCTGCTTGTGCTTCCTCTGCTTGTGCTTCCTCTGCTTGCTCTTCCTCTGCTTGTGCTTTGTCTGCTTGCGCTTCCTCTTCTTGTGCTTCGTCTGCTTACGCTTCCTCTTCTTGCGCTTCTTCTGCTTGTGCTTCCTCTGCTTGCGCTTCCATTACTTGCGCTTCCTCTGCTTGCGCTCCTCTGCTTGTGCTTCCTCTGCTTGTGCTTCCTCTGCTTGCGCTTCATCTTCTTGTGCTCCTTTGCCTGTGCTTCCTCTGCTTGTGCTTCCTTTGCTTGCGCATCTTCTGCTTGTGCTTCCTCTGCTTGCGCTTCCTCTGCTTGTGCTTCCTCTGCTTGCGCTTCCTCTGCTTGCGCTTCCTCTGCTTGTGCTTCCTTGTTTGTGCTTCCTCTGCTTGCGCTTCCTCTGCTTGCGCTTCTTCTGCTTGTGCTTCCTCTACATGCGCTTCCTCTGCTTGTGCTTCCTTTGCTTGCGTTTCCTCAGCTTGCTTTTCCTCAGCTTGCGCTCCTCTGCTTTTGCTTCATCTGCTTGTGCTTCCTCTACTTGCGCTTCCTCTGCTTGTGCTTCCTCCGCTTGCGCCTCCTCTGCTTGTGCTTCCTCTGCTTGCGCTTCCTCTGCTTGCGCTCCTCTGCTTGTGCTTCCTCTGCTTGTGCTTCCTCTTCTTGCACTTCCTCTGCTTGTGCTTCCTCTGCTTGCGCTTCCTCTGCTTGTGCTTCCTCTGCTTACGCTTCCTCTGCTTGCGCTTCGTGTGCTCCCGCTTCCTCTGCGTGTGCTTCCTCTGCTTGTGCTTCCTCTGCTTGTGCTTCCTCTGCATGCGCTTTCTCTGCTTGCGCTTCCTCTGGTTGTGACTCCTCTACTTGCGCTTCCTCTGCTTGCGCTTCCTCTGCTTGCGCTTCCTCTGCTTGCGCATCCTCTGCTTGCGCTTCCTCTGCTTGCGCTTCCTCTGCTTGCGCTTCCTTTGCTTGTGCTTCCTCTGCTTGTGCTTCCTCTGCTTGTGCTTCCTCTTCTTGTGCTTTCTCTGCATGTGCTTCCTCTACTTGTGCTTCCTCTGCTTGTGCTTCCTCTGCTTGCGCTTCCTCTGCTTGTGCTTCCCCTGCTTATGCTTCCTCTACTTGTGCTTCCTCTGCTTGCGCTTCCTCTGCTTGCGCTCCTCTCCTTGTGCTTCCTCTTCTTGTGCTTCCTCTGCTTGCGCTTCCTCTGCTTGCGCTTCCTCTGCTTCCACTTCCTCTTCTTGTGCTTCCTCTGCTTGCACTTCCTCTGCTTGTGCTTCCTCTGCTTGCGCTTCCTCTACTTGTGCTTCCTCTGCTTACGCTTCCTCCGCTTGAGCTTCCTCTGCTTGTGCTTCCTCTGCTTGTGCTTCCTTTGCTTGTGCTTCCTCTGCTTGTGCTTCCTTTGCTTGCGTTTCCTCTGCTTGTGCTTCTTTTGCTTGCGCTTCCTTTGCTTGTGCTTCCTTTGCTTGTGCTTCCTCTGCTTGTGCTTCCTTTGCTTGCGGATCTTCTGCTTGTGCTTCCTCTGCTTGCGCTTCCTCTGCTTGTGCTTCCTCTGCTTGCGCTTCCTCAGCTTGTGCTTCCTCTGCTTGTGCTTCCTCTGCTTACACTTCCTCTGCTTGCGCTCCTCTGCTTTTGCTTCCTTTGCTTGTGCTTCCTCTGCCTGCACTTCCTCTGCTTGTGCTTCCTCTACTTGCGCTTCCTCAGCTTATACTTCCTCTGCTTGAGCTTCCTCTGCTTGTGCTCCTCTCTTTGTGCCTCCTCTGCTTGTGCTTCCTTTGCTTCCGCTTCCTCTGCTTGCGCTTCCTCTGCTTGTGCTTCCTCTTCTTGTGCTTCCTCTGCCTGAGCTTCCTCTGCTTGTGCTTCCTCTGCTTGTGCTTCCTCTGCTTGTGCTTCCTCTGCTTTTGCTTCCTCTGCTTGCGCTTCCTCTGCTTGTGCTTCCTCCGCTTGCGCTTCCTTATCTTGCGCTTCCTCTACTTGCGCTTCCTCTGCTTGTGCTTAGTCTCCTTACACTTCCTCTGCTTGCTCTTCCTCTGCTTGTGCTTCCTCTGCTTGTGCTTCCTCTACTTGTGCTGCCTCTGCTTGTGCTTCCTTTGCTTGTGCTTCCTCTACTTGCGCTTCCTCTGCTTGTGCTTCCTGTGCTTGTGCTTCCTGTGCCTGCGCTTCCTCTGCTTGTTTCCTCTACTTACGCTTCCTCTGCTTATGCTTACTTTGCTTGAGCTTCCTCTGCTTGTGCTCCTCTGCTTGTGCCTCCTCTGCTTGTGCTTCCTTTGCTTGCGCTTCCTCTGCTTGCACTTCCTCTCCTTGTGCTTCATCTTCTTATGCTTCCTCTGCTTAAGCTTCCTCTGCTTGTGCTTCCTTTGCTTGTGCTTCCTCTGCTTGCGCTTCCTCTGCTTGTGCTTCTTCCGCTTGTGCTTCCTCTTCTTGCGCTTCCTTTACTTGCGCTTCCTCTGCTTGTGCTCCCTCTCCTTACACTTCCTCTGCTCGTGCTTCCTCTGCTTGTGCTTCCTCTGCTTGTGCTTCCTCTACTTGTGCTTCCTCTGCTTGTGCTTCCTCTGCTTGTGCTTCCTTTGCTTGCGCTTCCTCTGCTTGTGCTTCCCCTACTTGTGCTTCCTCTGCTTACACTTCCTCTGCTTGCGCTCCTCTGCTAGTGCTTCCTCTACTTGCGCTTCCTCTTCTTATGCTTCCTCTGCTTGAGCTTTCTCTACTTGTGCTCCTCTACTTGTGCCTCGTCTGCTTGTGTTTCCTTTGCTTGCGCTTCCTCTGCTTGCCCTTCCTCTACTTGTGCTTCCTCTTCTTGTGCTTCCTCTGCTTGAGCTTCCTCTGCTTGTGCTTCCTCTCCTTGTGCTTCCTTTGCTTGCGCTTCCTTTGCTTGTGCTTCCTCTGCTTGTGCTTCCTTTGCTTGAGCTTCCTCTGCTTTTGCTTCCTCTGCTTGCGCTTCCTCTGCTTGCGCTCCTCTGCTTGTGCTTTGTCTGCTTGTGCTTCCTCTGCTTGCGCTTCCTCTGCTTGCGCTTCCTCTGCTTACGCTTCCTCTGCTTGCGCTTCCTCTGCTTGCGCTTCCTCTGCTTACACTTCCTCTGCTTGCGCTCCTCTGCTTGTGCTTCCTCTGCTTGTTCTTCCTCTGCTTGCGCTTCCTTTTCTTGTGATTCCTCTGCTTGCGCTTCCTCTGCTTGTGCTTCCTGTGCTTGCACTTCCTCAGCTTGCGCTCCTCTGCTTGTGCTTCCTCTGCTAGTGCTTCCTCTCCTTGCGCTTCCTCTGCTTGCGCTTCCTCTGCTTGCGCTCCTCTGCTTGTGCTTCCCCTGCTTGTGCTTTGTCTGCTTGCGCTTCCTCTGCTTGTGATTCCTCTGCTTGCGCTTCCTCTGCTTCTGCTTCCTCTGCTTGTGCTTCCTCTGCTTGTGCTTCCTCTGCTTGTGCTTCCTCTGCTTGTGCTTCCTACGCTTGCCCTTCCTCTTCTTGCGCTTCCTCTACTTGCGCTTCCTCTGCTTGTGCTTACTTTCCTTACGCTTCCTCTGCTTGCGCTTCCTCTGCTTGTTCTTTCTTTGCATGTGCTTCCTCTACTTGTGCTTCCTCTGCTTGTGCTTCCTCTGCTTGTGCTTCCTCTGCTTGCGCTTCCTCTACTTGTGCTTCCTCTGCTTGTGCTTCCTCTGCTTACACTTCCTCTGCTTGTGCTCCTCTACTTGTGCTTCCTCTGCTTGTGCTTTCTCTGCCTGCGCTTCCTCTGCTTGTGCTTCCTCTACTTGCGCTTCCTATGTTTATGCTTCCTCTGCTTGAGCTTCCTCTGCTTGTGCTCCTCTTCATGTGCCTCCTCTGCTTGTGCTTCCTTTGCTTGCGCTTCCTCTGCTTGCGCTTCCTCTGCTTGTGCTTCCTCTGCTTGTGCTTCCTCTGCTTGAGCTTCCTCTGCTTGTGCTTCCTATGCTTGTGCTTCTTCTGCTTGCTCTTCCTCTGCTTGTGCTTCCTCTGCTTGTGCTTCCTTTGCTTGAGCTTCCTCTGCTTTTGCTTCCTCTGCTTGCGCTTCCTCTGCTTGCGCTCCTCTGCTTGTGCTTCGTCTGCTTGTGCTTCCTCTGCTTGCGCTTTCTCTTCTTGCGCTTCCTCTGCTTATGCTTTCTCTGCTTGCGCTTCCTCTGCTTGCGCTTCCTCTGCTTACACTTCCTTTGCTTGCGCTCCTCTGCTTGTGCTTCCTCTGCTTGTGCTTCCTCTGTGTTGGTGCAACCCTACGGTTTGCACTCGGCTTGTTGTCTGTGTGCGTGCATGTGTGTGTGTATGGAATGGTATGAGGGCATGGGATAATATATATTTCATGCTTATAATTGTGTGTGAATGTTGAGTCATGATGTCGAGTGTGTGTGTCGAGTCAATAGCGAGTTATCGCTAGACGCGTGTTACGCGGTCGTTTGTGTCTCGCGCGCGGTGTCTATTTTTGTCGTGCGCGGTTTCTATTTTGTCCTGTGTCGAACGTTTGGCGTGTCGCAGGTGTGTGCAGCAGACCCATCAAGAACTCAAGGATGAGTTTGTGATGAAGAGCCCGAGCCTTGGTGTCAAGCTTCAAGTGATTTCGAAGCTGGCCAAAAGGGTACACCTCAAGATATTGAAGATAGTTACATTACTTTGTGTAGTGTAACATTTCACTTGGTGTAGGCCCTAGTGAAGGGTAGTTTCGAGACCCTTCGTGGTTGGGGACAGTGTGGCACTGTTCCACATCACTGTACCTCGGCTCTTGGGGTTTGTAGGAGCTGGGAGTCATTCCCAACTCGTAACTCTTCATATCTCTTCCTATTTTGTGTTCTAAGACTATAGTGGCTGCCATAGTGCCGTTCGTTCAAACCGACACTGTGTCGTCAATACTTGGTGAAATTGTGCGATCAAAATTGCCTATTGTAGGGGACGTTTAGACGCTCCAGATACAAGTTGAATCAGGTCATTTTAAGCTGTGACCAGAACGCTATGAACGTTTGAAGCCGCTGTGCAGAAATCCGGCTGTGCACTCTATCTTTCGTTTTAGGCACATTGGAGCCTATTGTGACTATAAAAAGTGGTATCAGAGCCCCTTGGAGCAGTTTCGACAATGGCTGGACCTGAGGATAGGGGTGGCAGAGGTGCTGGTGGCAGAGGAGAAGCCCAAGCTCAAGGCCAACCCCGTGATTCAGCCATGGCACCTGTACAATCAAGTGTTGGCCCATCTAGGGATGAGCCTAGAGTGTTTGGCCTTGACAAGTTCAATGGTGACAACTTTGCTGAGTGGTCCTTCAGAATGGAGAACATATTTGACCACTATGACCTGCTGGAGGTAATGGAAGGAACGGAGAAGCGTCCCGAGAACGACCCGGAGAAGAGCCCGTGGGTGCGGAAGAGCGCACAAGGCTACCTCCTACTTGGGCAAGCGTTGGGGAGCAGCCAAATCCGTCACATCAAGCCTTTCCAGCGTGAACCAGAGAAGGGACCAAAGGCATGGGCTGCTCTCAAGAGTGTACACGCTCCTGCAACAGCGGCGGTAGCTGTGGTGTTGGAACGGCAAATGGCGACACTACGAATTGAAGAGGATGAAGCGGTTGAAGAAGGGGTGCAGAAATTCTTCGACTTGTTGACGCGGCTTGAGGGAGCTGATTTGAACTATAGTGAGCTCCAAAAGAAGACCAAGTTGCTGGCCCTACTCCCTGAGTCATGGTCCTCGCTCATCATCAACCTTAATCGCGACTTGCCCCGCCTCTCGCTTGAAGACGTGAAGCGAGCTATCCTTCAAGAGGATTTCCGCCGCCGTGAGTTGGCGAGTGCGGATGGCGCTGGGGCAGCGAGCATCGGCCGTGGATATGGTCGAGGAAGAGGTAGAGGACGAGGGGGAGGAAGGTTTGGTGGCAGCAACTTCGGCGGAGGCCGCGGGAGTAGCGGTTACGGCAGCGACAACAAGAGCTACGGACGCGGTCGCGGCCGATTCCACGGCGAGTGTCACTATTGCCACAAGAGCGGACACATGTGGCGCGACTGCTACAAACTCCCTGATGGTTGGACCCCTGCTCAAGGCCAAGAGGGTAGAGGAGCAGGAGGAGGGAGAGGAAGAGGCCGTGGAGGCCGTGGCGGTCGCGGTGGCGGAGCTGCAAACATGAAGAGCGGAGACAACGACAAGGACCCGAGCAACGATCGGTACCCGGGTCTATTCTACTTCGTGTCGACGCAAGTACCGACTGGTCCAGAGAAGGATGAAGGCTTTGAGGAGCCAGCAGCTGTGGGGAAGGTGACTCTACACCCTCTGGACTATTGGGTGATCGATAGTGGCGCTACCTATAGCATGACACCTCGCCCGGACTTGCTCACCGAACTCGAACTGTCACCGGTGAAGCATGTTACATCAGCTTTGGGACAGCGAGCGGAGGTGAAAGGCATGGGCAAGGCCATGTTTAAGGGTGCTGATGGGAAGATGGCGGGCCTCAAGAATGTGCTTTGGGTGCCCAGCCTTGCTGCCAACCTGATTTCCGTGCGGCGGTTGGCAAAGGCCGGCATGGACACTAACTCAAAGGGAGCCAAGACCTACACAGCAAGGCTTGGCGATCGGATTCTTTGGGACCTTCATGAGGACAGAGATGTCTACAACGAGATGTGGCAGATCCCTGTGGACCCTATGCCTAAGGAGAGGCAAGTGGCAGCAAGCGTCAGCACCAAAGGTGGAGCGGTTGGTAGCGGCGATTGCGCGGACGGTCGCGCTAAGGAGAAGGAGTCCAAGAAGTGCAATCTTGGAGGGACCAGCAAGCTTGGTGAACCTATGGAGAGAGGTGCAGCAGCCAAGGAGCAGCAAAAGGGTGAGGAGAACCCCGAGGCAGCAGCGGAGGAGGACTACGGAGAGAGTATGTGGGGCGCTATTGCGAGCGCGGCATTCTCCAATCCAACTTCGGCTACGGGGGAGTGTGATTGGCTCACCTTGCATCGGCGCATGGGGCATGTGGCCCTGCCCATCTTGCAGCAGCTATTAAAGAATGAGATGGTTGCTGGCATACGTGTGAAGGGGGAGCCCGATGAGGTACTTGGCTGCCCGACGTGCATGCAAGCCAAGCTCACCCGTTTCCCATTCTCTAGTTCAAAGGCAACGGCTAAGGCACCACTTGATGAGGTGGTGATGGACGTGGTGGGCCCCCTGAAGCTTGGAGCTGCTGGAGCTGAGTACTTCCTCACTATTGTGGACGTCTACACCCGTATGACTTGGGTGTACGTGCTGGCCAAGAAGAGCGACGTGGCTGAAACGTTGAAGGCGGATTGGTTCCCGATGGTGGAGCGGCAACAAGACCGTCTAGTCAAGTCAATCCGCACCGATCAAGGGGGAGAGTTCCTGAGCAAGGAGTTTGGGTTGTGGCTGAAGAAGAATGGTATTCGGCACTCCCTCACCATGCCATACTCCCCTGCAATGAACGGCATCGCCGAGCGAGCGAACCGCACAATCACGGAGGCGGCACGCGGGTTGCTCATTGAAGCCGGGCTACCCGACTATTTCTGGCCTGATGCAGTGCGGAGCGCGTGTGTGGCCAAGAACCGAGCCTTGACTCATGTGGGAGCAGATAAATGGGTGCCCTATGTGGAGTGGCTAGGAAGGAAGCCAAAGGTGGATATGCTTCGGGTGTTCGGGTGCATGTGCACGGCGCTCGTGCCTAAGCATCTTCGGCACAACAAGCTTGGTGCCAAGGCGGTGTGGGCCGTGCACTTGGGCATGGCTCAAAACAGCAAGAGATGGCTTCTTTGGGACCCATTCACCAAGAAGTTCTTGGTGAGCAGGGACTGCAAGTTCATGGAGAACTTCATATACAAAGATTGGAAGGCGGAGAATGAGGCGAAGATAGGCGTGCGGTTTGGGGAGGTGAAGAGTTTCGGTTTGGAGCATGTGGAGCTGCCTTTGGAGCTGAGCAGCGGCAGCACAACCACAAGGCAATCCTCCTTTGTGAATGGGCAAGAGGAGGCCAATGATGCAGAGGAAGAAGAGGAGGAGGTGCAGCAAGTGAGCGAGAGTGCACCGTCACTCCCTTCCCGCACTACAAGTGCTCCACGGATTCGAGCCACACCGCAGCAACGCCAAGGCCTTCAAGTCCCTGCAGATGAGGAGGAAGGAAGGGGGAAGAGAAGAGTTCAACCCCCTAATAGGCTGACCTATGATGCGCCAGGAAAGCAGGGCAAGACAGCCCTGGCCGGAGCGGCAATGATGGTCGGAGACGACGAGGAGAGTGACTACGAGGAGTGTGCCTTCGCGTTCTTCTCTCCGGTGGAGATGCCGGGAGAACCAGCAACTCTCAAGGAGGCTTTGGAGAGTAGTGATGCTGAGGAGTGGAAGAAGGCCATGGAGAGTGAGCTGAAGAGCATCAAGGAGAATGACACGTTTGAATTGGTGGAGCTACCGGAGGGGCGTACGGCGATAACGTCCAAGTGGCTCTTCAAAATCAAGTCGGATGCCGACGGCAAGATCGAGCGCTACAAGTCTAGGCTTGTAGTCAACGGGTACCAGCAGAAGGAGAAGGTGGACTTCAAGGAGCTGTTTGCCCCTGTGGTGAAGCCGACGACGCTGCGAACCCTATTCGCGGGAGCCGCCATCAAAGGATGGGTAGTAAAACAAATGGACATCGTAACGGCATTCCTTAACGGCATCCTTGAGGAGGAGATTTTATGGCGCAGCCAGAGGGGTTTGATGATGGTAGTGGCAGAGTGTGGAAGCTGAAGAAGGCCCTCTATGGGCTGAAGCAGGCCCCTAGGCAATGGTACATGAAGCTGCGCGAAGTGTTGGAGGGGATCGGCTTCACTCCCTCAATGGCCGATCACTCCTTGTTCATGCATGGCGAGCGGGAGCAGAGGAGCTTCATGGTGGTTTATGAGGATGACATTCTTATATTCTCACCCTCCTCTGACCTTGTGAAGGAGGTGATGCTGAAGCTGCATGACAAGTAAAAGTGCAAGTCCCTTGGTGACGTGAACTTCTACCTTGGGCTCCACATCGAACGAGACGTGGAGAAGCGGA